TGTTGAAAATGATATATATGTCGATGTTTCTGTGCATGATGATGACGGTCGGCAGTCATTGTACTAGCACTCTCCAAGTAATGGTGATGACTTACGTGAGTTACAAAAGTAGCTAGCATGAGCGCCTTTGTTTGGTGTTGCTCCAATAATAAATAAAAGCGGCTAAGTGAGTTTTCTGGATTCTGGTCTATCGATATGAAAATAGCTGTAAAAGCACAGGCTAGTATGCACGGCCGCATCACCAGAATACAAGGGAACTTCTGTGCGTGTACATAACATCCAGAAGCCTGGAGGGTTCCCTAAGAACGAGAAAGAATCTAATTGTCCAATGATAATAATCGTTCAGTAAGGGTTCTGATCGAAAACCCAAGATTCCTTATTTACATCATGCTGCCGCCACACCCAGACACGGCATTCCCTTCAATTGCGCCAACTCCAGTGTGTCCTAGAGAAGTGCTCAAGGCAGGTGCACTCTACAGCAAGTGTGATATTGTTAAATTACGGATACCAAGTCCTACGATGGCAGACGCTACCAACGCGCAGGTAGGTAAGTCAGTTTGCTTAGTTGATGATGATGGATATATGCAGGCCATGGACTTGGTGTATACAACGAGTCCGCAACATATGCGACCAACAAAGTCCACAAAGTTGTCGGGCTATGGAGTGCGAACAGCACCGAACTCGCAAGGAAATCATAGAACACAACAAACTGCAAGCGCACCACAACCGCATCAGTTCCTTCTTTCCTTCCCGCGATGGGCAATACACCCTCCCTCATCTGCCTAGCATTAACCGAATTCCTCGACAACCTCACACCCTCCAAACTTTCAAATCATGCATCCAGCGCTCTCCAGGGCTCCCACCAAACCCAGACGCTCATTCTGGTCCTACTTACCCTCCCCCATCACCGCTCACGTTTCTCAGCTCCTGACACCTGCTGATTCTGTCGTTGTGGGCTTGGGTATTCTTAGGACATCGGTTGTGAGGAGGCTTTCAGATAGTGCAAGTGCTGAGAAGCAAGAGATGCGTGTTCTGGGGCGACTGGGAGCTAAGTCTCGTATCAGGCTCTTTCATAGATCAGTCAACCCAACCTCTGTCTCCCGCCAATAATGCATGCCCAGGGTTCATAACCACTCTTCCCCCTGGGTTAACAGCCAGTCCTTCACTCCTTCACTCAGCAGCCAGCCCACCCATCCGGGGTATCTAGCCATAACTGTAACTCTGAACGGTAATTCCGCCGAAGCCACAGCAAAGTTATAAGTACTTGCATTAGCGTCGATGGCTGAACCGTGAAAGACAATGAGTGTTTTAAATTCTGGGGATCCTGGAGTTGCATAGCCTGACTATTGCCCGCTCGGTTTGCTAGCCATTCAAGCTGAGCCTTTGTTGGCTGTGACAAAGTGGAATAGCAAAGCCAGAGTTTTCTGAAGGAAGCCTCCAAGAAACGATGGATGTCTTCATCAACATCTGCGCTATCTAGCAAGATGGTGATAGCAACACCCTTGCCATAAATGTTCACTGGTATCTCACCCACCAGCGGGCGCACATCTTTTCGCATGACTTTGGCAGTGATATGAATTCAGCAAGCTCACTTTTGGATTTGTCTTCATCAGAGTATTTGCATGCAGATTGATCAAGGGTTTTGGATGTGCATTCATCGGGGGCGTCGCCCGCGAATGCCAAAGGCGCACTGCTGCATTTGCATAATGTATCTTGAAGCTTCCTGAGTGGTCAGAGAAACAAGCTTCCATATGATCGTGAATAGAGATGTCGAGGTCTAGAAGTGCAGGGTTCTCAAAGATCTGTTGGACAGCGTCACCGTCACATCTCTCCCTCCAGGAAGAACACGATCTCCCTAGGACTAGCTTGTTTGTATACGAGACAATATATAATACGATATCGAGACCGATGCCATACAAAATTCTAGGGTACTGTTTGTGTGGAAATGTTGTCGATGTATGAAATGAAAATGTCCCGTTCTTCGCAGCTACAATATCTCCAACATCCTGATGTCCATCATGACATCAACAAAAGCCATGTCCCTGACTTGTGCGATGATATTGTTATCTGAAGCGATTCTCTTATACTCCCCACCACGCTGTTGCACTAGCAAAAGTGTGCCGAAAGAAGGACTAAGGCGAATGAGTAACCTCAACCCTCTGGTGGTGACCGACTCATCAGGCCGATCACCCACGCTTTGCGACTCGTCTGCAAAGCAAGGTAGCTCGAGAAGATCACGAGTCCACAGATGGATGAGCAGGAATGTCTGCCGAGTACGCATTGCAGGCAAGAATTGAACAAGTTTGTCTTATGTGTGGTGTGTTTTAGTGGCTGTCCTATCTGCTGGTGCGACTTTATGCTCCACCATGACAGGCACAGTCTTATTGTCCGAGGTAGTTGCAATGAAGGAGTCATAAGAAGAGATGGCAAGTGAGTTGATGTTGATGTTAGTGTGACCGGTGCAAGGTTGACCAATCTGGGTTCCATTGTACGGACTTCCGCAGTGTAAACCACGGAAGGATGAGTATTATTGCTGTATGAACCCATAAGCAAGAACAGCCTCACCAGCCATCCTCCCGAAATGACCACCGAAGATCCCACCCTCACGTACAACCTCAATACCTATGTCAACCATCGCCATCGTCTCAGTAGGAGCAACAGACTCCGCATTAGCCAAACACCTTGTCCATGCAGGCTGCACAGTCCAGGCCGTTCCTCCTTGACCCACCAACACGCCCTCGATGCAGGAATGCTAAACGTCTCCCTCGGGGATTCGCGAGGGTGTTTGAGAGAGTGGCGGAGTCGCTTGAGGGTGACAGGGCAGATGATTGAGGAGCGGTGTGGAGAAGGCTTCAGGGTTGCAGGGGATGTCAAAATAGGTGTTGGACTTAGCTCCAATTCGGTTGATGGCCTATGACCTTCATTGAGTGGCGGTGTGCTCCAAGTTGAACATTTCAACTAGAAGCACTATCAAAGATTTTGCTCAACACGCGTTCCAAAGTTTGTGGGTGAGGTTACATTTGTCTATACAACTGGAACCCACCACAAACTTGTAGACACGGTCGTAGGATATACATATGCATGCACGTAGGAGGTTGATGAGGCTGATGCTGCGCCTGCTTCGCTTTCGTTCTTGGCTTTTTCCTTGTGGGGTGCTGTGTGAGGTGTTAGTGGTGAAGTGAGGAAGGCATTGGAGGTGAGATGTAGTGTATAAGAATACGAGTAGCATACGAGAATAGACAAAGGAATGAATGAAAGGAAGAACTGAAGAAAGACGGAAGTGACACACCCCAAGCAACAACACTCTTCTCCCGCTCCTCCTGCACTGTCGAAAACCCGTCTTTTGTAACCCCCACGCTAGCTCGTCCCGTCTATCTATCAGGGTCTTGAGGTGGTCTGCAAATATAGTGCGTTTGATGAGTTTCTGTGCGCCGACGTCATCCGGTGAGCAAGCACGTTCAAGGGTAGGTTGCACGGCGTACAGTCATAGTAAAATGGTTATAAGGAAACAGCACCGGCATAAAATAAAGTCTTCATCATATTCACTGGGGTTGACAGCTTTCAATGCGACATCTGTGAGTATGGGTTTGATAGAAGGTGGGAACTTGCCCTTGATGTCCCACGATTCTATGACATTGTCAGACCATAAGCTAGGGTACGAGGAGGCACGCACCTTTGGAGATAGTCGCGCTGGGTGCAAGTGAGCACAAGAGATGACGTGGTTTGGGTGACGTACAAGATCGACGATTTTCCTCTTCTTCCCGTTATCCTCTAGGACTATATAGTTCTTGTGTAAATGAGGACATTGGAGATATAATTACACCACACATACCTATCTTTCATAAGAGAAACTTCGCCACTAGAGACATAAAAGCCCCGTTGCTTTATCTGAGTGAAATGAGTGCAATTATCGATGTTCAACTCGGAGTTGTCGATGAATGGGTTGTTGATGTCGTAGTACTCTGAAGTAGCATGTTTTTTCTGCTTCCTTACTCAGTACTTAGCGTCGATATAGGCATTTATAGGAAATATGATAGTTTACCTTTTGCTTTTTGGGCTCACCGTCATCTTCACGTTCGGAGTCTGATGTGTCTGCTTTTGGAGGAGGTGGAGGTGGTTGACATTGACCTGTTGTTTTTGCCAAAGTAGCAATATCGACTTCATAATCATCTGGACCTCCTAGATTTATTTGTATTCTGATAGTTTGTAGGATGTGGCGGAGTTGAACAAGGAGAACGAGGATGTTGTGGTTTTGATGAAGAAGATGAAGAAGATTTCAGTTTCTTTGAATGTGGTTGTTGGTGTGGATGTGGGGGTCGGGGTGGTAGAGGAGGGGGCCGTGGTAGGAGCTGAGGTGGAGGTCCCAGTGGCGAGAAAAGCGAGTCCGCCGCAATGTCTGAGGAACAGAGCAAAGAAAAGTGCAACGAGCCGTTGAGCTTGACAGTGGCTCTGATACTGGTGATTGTGGTCAGGCTATCCGAGTTACGATTGCACTGTCAAGAAAAGTAACAACACTTGCAGTGTGCAGTTTTCAATACATTCCGTCTTGAAAGGTAAAGTCTTTCTCATTCAAGTTGTTGCAATGATATGGAGGGATCCTAACATGTGAATAACATAAAAAAAACCAAGGACTTTCCAGAGCACATGCTACAGTACTTATCATCTGGACTCTGTGTTGCATCATGCATGTCGCACCACTCCGCTATAGAGAGGATGACTATGATTGTGTTTTATGACTCTATATATATGTCTCAAAACAAAAACAACCCCAGTGACAGTAAGTATCTCCTCGGTGTAAACGATGAATAAATACTAATGACATATGAACCCATAAATAAGAACAACCTCACCAGCCCTCCTCGCGAAACGACCCCAAACCCACCCCCATGCACACCCCCAGTACCAATATCAACCATCGCCAGTCGTCTCAGCAGGAGTAATGGGCTCTGCAATAGCAAAGCTTCTCGTCCACGCTGACTGCACTGTCTACACCAACCTCGATGTCCCGCTCCCCCGCAGCCCACCAACGCGCCCTCGACGCAGGGATGGTGAACGTCCCCCTTGAAATCCTCCTATCCAAGTCAAACTGGATATTAAATATCGTGCCTCCAGGAGACGTATTTACATTCGTGCGCAGAGTACTTGCAGTGTCCTATTCCGCTCCCCTTCCCCTTCCACGCGCCTTTGTCGATTGTAACACTGTGAACCCCAAAATGGTAAAATGCATCGGGGGGCTGTTTAAGGAAGCCCCTGTGGGATTCATTGATGTGGGGATAGCAGGGACACCACTACGAACAGGATGGGATCCCACTTTTGATGCCTGTACAGAGTCAGGACTGAAGAGTGCTAGAGGAGTTTGCTGCGCTGTCCCAATACAGACTTAAAATATCACCGTTGAAAGGCGCAGGTGCTGGAATTGGCGATGCGAGTTCTTTGAAACTTTGCGAGTTTGTGAGTCATTCATTCTTGCGACATGGCTGAGCAGGTTTGAAACTGAAGGTTGGTGGTGGTGACAGACGATGAGGAAAGGATCTATAGGCCTCTTCATGATGATGATGCTGAGTGAGTCCTGCTCTGCACCCCTCGAATTCACCCCTCTGAATAATCAAACAACTTACCAAAACCACAACAGCCACCCACCGCTCCTCACCAGCAACAGCTGATGCTCTAATGAAAGAACTCAGTGTCTCCCAACCAGCCCTAATGGGCAGACTTATCCAAACAGTCTCAGAAGGAATCCCCAAAGCCTACCGATTCGTAGCCGAGATGGAAGGGCTCGCAGAATTTGTAGGAGGGGGAGAAGCAGATGTCTTCAAGGATTTGCGAGGGTGTTTGAGAGGGTCCAGGGATCGGTTGAGGATGATGGGGCGGATGTCGAGACATTGAGGAACGGCATGGAGAAGGCTTTGGAGTTGCAGGGGACTGTCGAAGTAGGCGTTGATCCTGATTGTGATGGCCCTATCTCCAGTTCGGTCCATGGTCCATGTACTTCATCGTGGCGATGTACTTCAACGTTTCAACTAGAAGGGATTGTTCGAGTCAATCAGTCAGAGATTTTGCTCAACACGCATTCCAAACTTTATGTGCGAGGTTGCACTTATCGAGTAATTATAATCAACTACAAACTTGTAGACACGGATTAAGACATGTGCATGTACATCGTTTAAGATGCGAGGTCAATAGAAGAACTGACAACTTGAACATTTGCAGTTTTGCATCAAGGATCCGAGGCACTCTACTACTAAGCGTTTCTAAGTCAGCACAAACCTCCACGAAAAAAAAGTAATGGGGCTAATGTTGTCAATAATAAGAGCTTAAGCTAAGTACCTGAAGGGAACAAAACAACCAAACCGGGAGCAGATGTCAAGTGAGGATCGAAGCAAAGTAGGGGATTGAAGGGCGCACAAAGTAGGCAACAAGGGATTAAAATAAGCAACTGTACATGTCACATTCAAGTTATATCTGAAAAAATCTCCACAAAGGTTCGATCGCTAGCACACAACATCGCAGTACTAAGGTCTGCAAGTGTTGATTTTTAGTAAGTACGAGGAATGGAAAGGGCTTCGAGGAGACTCACTCCTCTCGGCACTTTTGCCAGTGCTGTCCATGTGCCATGTGACTCAAATCAAGCTCAGGACCTCCTCTGGGTATCACCAATACTGTCTCCGGGTTATAGAATGAGTGTCGAGAAGCGGGTGGTACCCAGAATAAGAGCTGATGTTTGGGCCCTGCCACCCAACCACTATCATCATTCAGGGCAAAGGGGGTCGAACTACAGTCGTCACAAGATGCTTCCTCCATTAATTCAGAAGTGTTGCACAGTGCGTGGATAGAGTTGAAGGAGAAGGAAATGAAGTGGTTGTCCCAAGTGTTCGATTTCATGGTAGTGGTGGCCTCGATTGCGCACATGTTCGTTTGAAAATGCTGAAGGGTGTGACACTGGGGATGGTTGCGACGACTGCCTTGTCACTGTATCCCACAGCCGAATAGTCTTATCCAAAGAACCAGAGACGATGCGAGTGCCGTCTGGCGAGAACAAGACCGAGTTAACCCAACTAGTGTGCCCCCGCAAGGGCTCACTGACTGGCTGCCCCATCACAGCATCCTATAGGCGAATAGTCTTATCCCAAGAACCAGTGACGATGCGAGTGCCGTCAGGCAAGAAAGAGACCGACGAAACTGAATCAGTGTGCCCCCCACAAGGGCTCACCGACTGGCTGCCCCAGTCGCAGCATCCCACAGCCAAACAGTCTTATCCTTCGAACCAGTGATGATGCGAGTGCCGTCTGGCGAAAACAAGACTGATTGAACTTCTGAAGTGTGCCCCCTGCAAGGGCTCACCGACTGGTTGCCCCAGTCACAGCATCCCACAGTTGAATAGTCTTATCCTTCAAACCAGTGATGATGCGAGTGCCGTCTGACAAGAACGAGACCAAGGTTAACCCAATCAGTGTGCCCCCGCAAGGGCTTACCGACTGGCTGCCTTGTCGCAGTATCCCATAGCCAAACAGTGTCATCATAAGAACCAGTGACGATGCGAGTGCCGTCGGCGAGAACGAGACAGATTTAACATGACTAGTGTGCCCCCGCAAGGGCTCACTGACTGGCTGCCCTGTTGCAGCATCCCACAGCTGAATAGTCTTATCCCGCGAACCAGTGACGATGCGAGTGCCGTCAGGCGAGAACGAGACCGAGTAAACTGAATGTTTGTGCCCTCGCAATGGCTCACCGACTGGCTGCCCCGTCGCAGCATCCCACAGCCGAACAGTGTCATCCCAAGAACCAGTGACAATGCGAGTGCCATCCGGTGAGAATGAGACCGAGAAAACCGACCCAGTATGCCCCCTGAGCACAGTCTGAACAGCTTGCCAGTTCACATCACGTCCAGATGCCACACAAAGAATATTCGGAAACTGTGCAGAAGCTTTTTGGATAGCAGGGAGTTGGTAGGCGTGAATGGGAGTGCTGATACATATAGATGTGGTGTGCTGTGTAAAATCATGCTGCCGAAGACTTGAATAAATCTCTGTACGTCCATTGCAGTTGATGAGACATCTTTGAATTCGGGTTGGCCCTGCAGTTGCGCATGAGTGCTTTATCTGGCACACAGTAACAATGTACTCACCTTCAGCCACTGGGGAATGAGCGGAAGGGCAGGAACTGCACCGCTGAGCGCATTGATCAAGGCGAGTAACTCGAGCCAGAAAAATAACCGCTCGTGCTCGAACAACAATTTCACTTCTTTTGCGAGCTCCTTGTCGAAGACTGTGGTTCATACGTGCAATGTCCAAAATCGAGACACATATGACAGATGTGGGGAGATACATTTTTGGATTCATTCTTGTAGCCCGGGATCTTTGCTATTAGGCAGATACAAAGACTTTAAATCACAGATATTGAAGCGAAGGTCGTGTTGCATCACTCGAAGTGACGCGAATGCAAGGTCGCGTTGTGCCTTTGACAGGTTGATGAAAAACTCTCCACTGGATGGCTTGTCTGTTAAGAAATCGTGGAAGGATGCATGAAGGGGTCGGATGGGGGTGTATGAATTGGTGGTACCACTGAGGAGGGATCCCATGCGTTTGATCATTGCATCTATGTTGTAATGGCCGTGGTCCTCCGGGAAATGGTCCCGCATAGCATTCAGTGAAACTAAAGGGAGGGGTTTGTTTGTGGCAAGCATTTGTCCCATCACCGAATGAAACTTTGCTACAGCTTGCTTGTAATGGGCATCCTTATCCTTAGGCATGATTTCTGTTAACATGAGTCGATAAATATCATACAACAAGTTTTTTCCGCTCCCGGGATGGCGGTTCATGACTTCATCGAAGCAGTTCATCGGGGATAAGCCGAAATAGGGTTCTTTATAATATACCCGCACGCAAGACGCGCCCACTCGAAGAGTCCATCGGCTTTTGCAGTGAGTGTCACAAGATGGTTATCCTGAAATTCTGATAGCTCTTTCAACTCCTCAGATACGAAGGTGTGAATGTCGCGCTCCACGACATTTGGTGGAATACTGTCCATGGACAACCGTAGAATATGATCAGAGCCTTCAAAACCCCTTTCGATATCGGGAAGTGGGCGAGAGGTGACGAGAATCCGAAAGTTGGAAGGGAGTTCGGTGATTTGGGGAAGTCCTTCGTCCTGAAGTCTACTGGCAAGTATGCGGAGAATGTTACGCCGCGTCTCCACTCCACCACTCTCATCTAGTGCTCTGATCATGATCAAGACAGGCTCTACACTCGACGGGGAGAACTTCTTGAGTGGTTGCATGAGAAGCTTGCGCCACTGCTGGATAATATCTGTTGTATTCTTGAGCGAGTTTGCATCCTTGACTGCATCCGCTAATGCTCGTTTCATCCCCGGATCACAATCAGCAAGATCGCGAGCGATGGTGGAGAAAATCTTTTCATGGCGACGGTCTGCTTCTCTGTGCCGATCGAAACAAAAACATGAACCGAGGCCTCCGTTTCGTTGAACCAATTCGCAATCGTGTGGGCGATGGCCGATTTGCCCTTGCCTGCAGGGCCAGATAGCCACAGCATGCGTGGGACGTTGTCCCCAGTGCTGTTGACCCATTCTGTGATCTGGGAAAGGATTTCCGTGCGAAGGACGTCCGAACTCTTACCTGTATGGTGGACGTGTATGGCTATGTCGTGGACATGTATGGCTACATCGAGAGTAAGCTGGTCCCGGAAGTTTTGCATGAGCTTATCGAACACGTCGCTACACTTTTGGATCGTATCTGTCATTTCCGAGATGATGTTCTTTCCGAGTCTGTTCCCTGTGATGATGGTAGAAGCTTGAGACAGCACAGAGCACAACATCTGGTAATACTCACAAAAGTTCTTGGTCTCTGAATAGTTTTTGATAAAATGGGCGCATTCACGGGTCTGCTGAGAGATCTTTCCAAGGATAGCGCGCATCGACGAGATTTTGCCAAGCATCTCGTCTTGTGTTATGAAGCTGTAAACTTCATCTAACTTTTCGAGAAGTTTGAGTACTGCTTTGTCGCGATCCACTTGCACTAGAATAATCTGTACAAATAATTGTTGAGTAACAGTGGGAGATAGGGAGAGAGAAAATGAAGACATACTTTGGCTGCACAAGATAACACGCCCAGTGCCATCTTTGCATATGGATGAACCTGTGGACTGGATTAATTCGGTTCTGATCGAGAAGATGGCCCATACATCTGCGACCTGTCCGATAACAGTGTCGAATATCTTGAGGGGTTTGAGATATGTATCCTGAAATTTGTCAACAGCATCGAGATCCTCTTGTGCGTCTTGAAGATGAGAAGCCACGGTTGTCGCAGGTCCTGGAAGTGAATGCATGAGCTTTACAGCCTCTTGAATATCCTGAAGTGCCGATTGGGTATCAGCCTCCACTTCCATACCAGACGGAGCAGCCTGAACCTGTGTCACAAGTAGAATTTAGAGAGAGCGCAGAAACTGGAGGGCAAGTATGAGAACCTACCGAAGTCGATGAAGCACCTTCATCATTTTGGGGAACAGGGCTGCGGCTGCGGGAATCCTCCAAGCGCTTATGCCAATCTTAGTTGGACTCCAGGACACTCATTAGCATGCTCGTGGACTTACTCGGGATCCTTAACTTGTCCACACCGTACTTAACACCACCCTTGACCTTCTCCAGCAACCGTTTGACTCTGCCACGGGGTTGGTGCTAGACGAAGGATGACTCATTAATGTCAGTAGTTTGGAGTGGATGGATTGAATGAAGTGATCCTCATAAGGCATGTACTGAGCTTTCACCGGCTGTTGCTTCGGTGACTTGAATCGAATTCCTTGGTGAATTGCCTTTGCCTTTGCCTTGGGGCATTGTGAAGTGAAGTAATATGATGAGAAGAGCCCTGTATCATTTATATAGGCCATAAGTGTTCAAGCCATGAGGCAAAAATTTGTTGCACTGCTGGATCATATTCAGCAGAGCGGAATGAAGAAAAAATCTAATCATCCAATAATCATCCAGTGCCATAAAGGTTCTGATTGGTACCATATGCACAGCAGGCCATGCCCATCATGCAAGTGACAGTTTATATGTCACATAGTGCACACTCTTCTCCTCCTCGGAGTCCTCGCACCTGGATGCACCTATACCAACAGCTAGGTTCCACCATTGGTCGGCTGTACTATAGAACCTCATTAGTAGTATCCTTCACACTCTTCTCCTCAAACGAGATATACGCATCATCAACGTCGTGAATACTTTCTATGCAGCCACCACACCCCAATATCCAAGCCTCCATCATCTCCACTTTTCCACCAAGAAGGCTGGCGCAAGCTCCCTTCAAATTGACATTTTTCACCCTGCCACCTCCAAGACAGACGACTCTGCCATCCACATTGTCGAATGACAGGGTGCAAAAGTCTAGTAACATCGTTCCCCAGGCGCTCTAGATCAGATTCCATTGCACTGCTATTAACACATTTCGAGGACGGGATCAATACACATTCGAACATCATTCTTCATTTGAATGGATTCCTTAGGTATACGTTTATCCAGCACCTCCTCCACCTTCTCACAAAATCTACGACATCTGCTATGAAGTCTGTGATACTTGTCTTTTTTCTCCCAATGCCTGTCAAAAGTAATGCTTACCAGGCACCGATACTCGCTCGAGGCAGGCAGCATTCTATCATGAGTGTGATATTGTTAACCTACGTATAACAAGTCCTACAATGGCAGACGCTGCCGATGCGCAGGTAGGTGAGTCAGTTTGCTTAGTTGGTGATGATATTGACAATGATGAACACATGCAGGCCACGGACTTGGTGTATACGACGAGTCCATAACATATGGGACCAGTAAAGTCCACAAACTTATCGAGCTATGGACGGCGAATGGCACTGAAGTTGCGAGGAATTCATTGAACGTGACAAACTGCAAACACGCCACAACCATGTCGGTTCCTTCCTTCCCATGATAGGCAGCACACTCTCCCTCACCCTGCCTAGCATTAACAGAATTCCTCGACAACCTTCACACCTTGCAAACTCCCCAAGCACGCATCCAGTGTTGTCCAGGGCTTCCACTCCCAAACACCAGGTGCTCATTCTGACCCTATTGACCCTCCCCCATCACCGCTCATGTTTCCCAGCTTGTGACATATGATGACTTTGTCATTGTTGGCCTAGGTATCACTGGGACATCAGTTATAAGAAGGCCTTCAGGATAGTGCAGGTGCTGGGGGCATGATGTTAGAGTTGTTATGTTGGATGTGAGAGATGTGGGGCGACTGGGAGGTAAGTCTCATATCAACTCTTTCATAGACCAGTGAACCAACATTTTCAGTAGATCCAACGGCATATCTCACCACCTCTATATTATGACTGCACCTCGCTCAAGCGTGATCACAGACAAGCTGTCTGTCGCCCAAAGATGATGAAATTGAGGTTGGCGCATCTCAAGGAGTTATGAAGCATCACGGAGCGAGAATGCATTCTTGCAGAATCTCAGTGGCGGGAGGTAGAACCTGTAGATATGTTTTATAACTCAGACATGTTCGAAAAGGCAAAGACAAAGGTGCAAACATAAAACAGACATTCCCTTTGATGCTGAGCACTACACGACGCAAAAGAGACTACTTTTGGGGGGAGTGAAAGCAGTGCCTTTGGTGCGGGGAGTGGGCGGGAGGAGCGTGGAACACCACCAGAAACAAAAATAACCAATGACAGTACGTACCTCCGCAGTGTAAACCATGGAAGGATGAATATTAATGACATGCGAATCAAATATGAATAACCTCACCAGCCCTCCTCCCCAAAACGACCCCAACCCCACCCTCACGCACAACCTCGATACCAATATCAACCATCACCATCGTCTCACAGCAGGAGCAATGGGCACCGCAATAGATGCCTCGTCCACGCAGGCTGCACGGTCTGCACCAACCTCAACTGCTGCTGCTCCTTAGCCCACCAACGTGCCCTCGACGCAGAAGTGATAAACGTCCCCCTCGGGAATTCGCTGATGGTGTCTGGGAAAGTGGCGGGGTCGCTTGAGGGTGATGGGTAGATGTCGAGACGTTGAAGAACAGTATGGAAAAGGCTTTGGAGTTGCAGGGGATGTCGAAGTAGGTGTTGGATTTAGCTGCAGTTCGGTCGATAGTCCACTGCGGTGCCTAAACGTCTCAATGATAGAAAGGCTCGTCAGATTTTGCTCAACACGCGTTCCAAAGTTTATGGGCGAGGTTACATTTGTCTACAAACTGGAACCCACCACAAACTTGTAGAGACGGACGTAAGACCTATGCATGCACGATAGTTCAAGACGTGAGGTTGATAGAAGAACTGACATTAATGTTTGTAATTTTGCGTCAAGATGGCACTCTATTACAGCTGTTTCTAAGTCGCACAAGCCTCCCCAGGCATACGCAAAACACCTCCACAAAAAAGTAATAAATGAGGATAACGCTGTCAATAGTAAGAACGTACTTTGAGGGATAAACCGGCAGGAGCAAATGTCAAATGAGAATCGAAGTAAAGTAGGTCGCCCTGAAGAGGTCCTTTGTCAAACTGGTTGCAAATTCGTGGAGTCTCAAAAGCCTATTCGAATTCAGTTCCTCCGATGATCAATCGTTCGAACGTCAAAGCTTCACAGACATCAAGACCTCCATATTCACTCTGCCAACTATGATTCCTCCAGCATTCAATATTCACGCCTCTGGAATGGAAGTGAAGACACCGCTACACTCAGCCCTCATATTTTTGCTGTCGCATCTTCCAAGAGTCGCACAAAATACAACTTGTCACTCACATGGACGCCGATGGCACACGTCTTCTTCAGGAGGCTATAATAAAGATCCTACCATATTCATCCTGCTGGTACTCCCGTCGCTTCCACATCTGAAGACAAGTATGTCCATCTCTGATGGCTCTCACATCAATGAAACATCACCATCATCCTCGCCGCGATCTTTCACTTTCTCCGCGAACGGCAAACACATCCTCAGCGGAGGCGAAGATAAAACGATCTCAGAGTGGGCATACGGTACCAAAGAACACCAATCGAAAGGTGAGTTTCCATTCTTGACCCTCACAATGCAATTCGAGCATCCTTCGTGCAGATCCTGGCCACCACGATAGCCCACAATGTATGTATAACTGGGGACCTAGACACTGCTGAAGAGTTACTCACCCAAGACATCCACACTGACGCCAACGACTATACTTCATATGCCCATTGCTCATTCATTATATCCTGAAAACATGCCTGGGACCTCACCCTTGATGATGCAACCAAGGTGAATTATATTAATCCATCATGGCCCTTTGATTAAAGGCTTGCTTTCATTTGTGATGTAGTCCGTCAGCATTAGGCCCTCGTTAATGGGCTACATCTCCAAAGGAATCGTCCTCGACAGAAAATACCACGCCCGGGACGTCAGAGAGCATCTGACGACGTGTCTGTGTTCATCAACCAAGACTCAGAAGCATCCATTTTCTTCTCTTGATCAAGGTACATTAAATTTGTCTCGCATATTCTCTCCTTCATTGTGTGTTCCATGCTATAGCTCTCTTCAGCGTAGATCAACACGAGGAAGCGATGCTGCTCATCAAAGATTTGACTGCCGCTTATCTGAATACCAATCCTCTAGCGTGTCATGCCATGCGGCGTCGCTTGGTCATCGACGTTGATCTTTGCAACTCGCACATTAAGCATATCCACGCATTCACCTTGGAATCATTGCCTTTCATGGTGGGCGTCACAACGAAGCTGCTGGCCACTTCACTGCTGCTGCCAACTCAAGCGCATTCTCATTGAAATACATTCATCAAATATATGAGGCCTTGACCATGGTGCATCAAGATGACGGATACCTCATACTTTTCATAACTGAATGCTTTGTCCAGCTCTTCGGCTGGGATCTCAAGTCTTCGTGTCTCACTGCCCGTCGGAAACGGTGCCAGGCATTCTTTCGGCAGGTAAACCTGATGAAGTCCTCAAAGCACACAAATACATGACAGACATTGTTGACGAATCTGCAATAGCCAGCTACCTCGATTGGTCTAATAGTAAAATTTCAGCGACGTCACCCGAGGTCACCATACTCATCCCTATTTCACTCAGAATTCAAGGACAATGCAGCGCGCTTGTTAGACTGAAGGACCATATTTTTGGCATATGCACTCCCCTCCTCAACTCTTTCATGACTGACCGTTATGCAGGTGGAGATCCCAGGGAAAGAGCAAGATGGCCATGATACAGCACCCAATTTCTTCCACGGAATACATCAAGTTTGTGTAACAGTGTATCTACTTCCTTTCTTTCTTACATCATTCATTACAGCATTCTCAAATCTCCCTACCATAACCTCAACAGCACCATGGGCAGTCTCAAAAGACTGAGGCTCGCTATGATGAGGAGCCCTCATCCTCTACCTCCACCTGCACCACCTACGACCCCACAGCCAGTTGCCGCCGCTATCACCTTCGAAACCCACCTAAGACACATATTTACCCTGCCGCCGCATCATACAACGCCACCCGTCGTCGATGTCCCTTTTCCCATGGTCTACAGGTGCGACTGGTCGATCTTTAACTGTGTGTTGGGTGTCTGATACGTTAACTTACAGTGTTATGCTGTAGCAGGTGCTCCTGGGAGTGACGATTCCTTGATACATGATGAAGACTATCATGGACCTCCTTCATCAGATCCCAATCTACAACTGCAATCAGTAGCAACACAGGCAGACACCGGGTTTTTTTTTTTTTTTTTTGGTAGAACATTGTGGCTCGAGACCACTGGCTTCTGGCAACTGACAAAGTCAACCCCGGTCGGCCCGTTGAGTGTGCCGGGAATTGCACCCAGCGATACAGGGTTTTCAACCTGTCAGGGGGGAATGCATTTACGCAGACCCATATCTAGGTACTGTGGGACTCAGCTGACAAGCAATACCCACTAAAACCCCCTGGTGGTTATTACAGGATTTAAACCTGCGACCCTCTGATCAAGGCCGGCAACTGCCGAAGCAGTTCCAGGATCGGTGGCACATCCACTAAGCCACCTCCCCCAAAGTGGAGACACCGGGGAACATGAAGGCAGTGTAGAGACTCGTGTTTCTGCAGGCACATATGGGCACATTTCACACCTTTTCACAACTCATGACAATTGGCCTTCAATGCATGACTTGCACCATCAGCTATATTTGACTTCTATCATGTCTCTAGTCGTTTTATAACATAACGCGCAGCTTTCCCGCAAAACGCGCCATAGGCACGATACATTCCCACACAATGCGCAGTATTCCCGCATGCGCGCCTTGCGCGCTTTTTCGCACTTAAGCGCCCTGCATCGCCCTACATCACCCTGCATCGCCTATCATCCAGGAATGTCCCTCTATGTCCATCCACCTCATTGGTACGTCATATCCCTTGCCTCATGGTTTGTAACAAGCATTGCAGCGCTATTACATGTCATTACATATTCATAGCGCTTATTGCTCCTATCCCTTCCGCTTCCGATGCGATTTCCATAGTATAAAGTTTGCTGACTTACTACTTCATCATTATTACTCCCCTTTGCTGTACTTCCCTCGCTATTGGGTTTTACTTTAAAGTAGTAGTCACCACTTGGGCGCACTTTGTGTTTCCTATGGTTATTGCTATCCGCCTATACTAGACCTTTATCCGCACTCATTATAACACTCGCTCTGCATTTGCACTCGCTTTGCACATCCGCTTCCTTATCCGTTTCCTTATCCAGTATTCTCCGCACAATGCACGCCTTAGCGCTCACGTTCCCACGCTCGCGCTTACCTTAGTGCGCTCTCTCGCGCTTCGCACTCACTTCGCTTTTCTTCTTGCGCTTTCGTGCATCCATCGCACTACAAGGGTCTTTCTTTCATCTGGTTCTGTGTTCAGTAGCAGTCCCCTTTAGGGTCAAACGTTCTTGCATTCTGCGAGTATAGCAGCTAGGCAGAGCCAAGACTCACTTATACTGGTTGAGCATTTTTAGATATTTCATATCAGCCCAGCCAGGTTGAGATCGCCTCAGCAGTCAGTCGTGTTGTTGCTGCTAGGGCAATTTGTGCATATCCCTTGCTCGAGTATCTCAGTTCTATCATTGATCTTCTTGTGATATCAACATTGACTTGGAGCAGTACATGTAACCAATAGGTAAAGACTATTGTATGACTATTGTTATGTAGGTCATTTCTTGACCTTGTATGTAGGGCTAATTATGAACCTCACGTCTTCCATATGTAAAGTTGCTTGTGCATCACAGGAGCCACATGTAAGTTTTTGAATCGTCATCGTGCTCATGAGAACTTGAGAAGGATTTGATGCATCACCCCAGAAGCTTGAGGGCAATGAATACACACAAAGAATGAATCGCCTAGGGCTGGCACAAGGCTCTGCAGGTGAATAGTTTTCCAGATCACCTGCTATGAGATCGAGCATAGCGCGAGAGACAAGTATGAATTCAAAATGAGAGATATACACACAACCAACTTGAATAAGATGTAGATGAATGGGAGAAAGATCATTCACCGAAAGGATCATCAATGTGATTGAACAGCTCATTCGAGTATATTTCAGGTGACATATCGATGATCTACAAACCAAAGATGAGTTCTCAAATCATGTCTGCAAGCCTCCGTGGATTGCCTTGCAGGGTCACAGCACCCCACGCTACAGATTCACAGTACTAGTCCCGTCCCGCCAAGTTTGATGGACATATAATTACATCTCTGTGGGTATGCGCGCTAGGAAGGAACTTTTTAAAGATTCTTTCCACTGATGACTGTAGATAGAGTGCATAGGTCGTGAAACGAATACTAAGGAGATATGATGGAGTAACCCACCTTCATGCCTGATAGACTGGCCTTCTGACAGCATCACTCCTGCGTCATCAGCGATTGACGAGATTGGAACCGTTGTTGTTATCCTTTGGGACCATGGGGGGTACAGGCATCAAGACCTAAGATCCATCACCGTGACAGGCATGATTTACTGAACTCCTCTAAAGCGAGTTGTTAGGTTTGGTATTGCAAGACCTTCAACCCCAGTCAATCAAGAACTGGCAATGTGGCAAATGCATGAGTGCTAGAAGCGACTTTGACAGTCGAAGACGTATGCTCTTGCACATACACCTTTTGGAAACAAAATAGCCTTGGAATTCACATTTGGGACACATAAGAACTTGTTGTTGGCACCTGCATTGGTATGTTGGTCAGAGTCAGACAGTAGTGCCAATGAGTGCTAACTCAAAACTATACCGTATTTGCCTCCAAGTTCTCCTTGTTAAGCTTTCGAGGTTTTCTGCGGTTGTTGCTTTGAGTGAGAATGCGGGTGGTAGTGGGGAGGAGTATGTCAGGAGTGAAGGAAGGGAAGAGTATGTGTGGAGGAGTACGTGAGTATGAGTGCCAGGGTTGGTGGTGGGAGTAGTGAGCTTGGGAGAATGGTGTATGTTGGTGAGCAGAGGAGTGCGCGCTGTGAGGAGCCCGTGATATTGATTATTTGTGAGTTTGAATTCATGGTTATACAAAGACGCACTCAAACAAGCCCAGATCTACAAGGTTGCGATGAACTGGAGCTTGTGCACTGGGAGCACAGCATTGACTGCCGTGGCAAGGACCTTGAGCACCACTGTGAGGTTTTGCGAGATCTATAAGAGGCTGTTCGGCAACCAGATGTTGCCTAACATTTGCCAAATGTCATCTCGGCTTGGATTTTGCCGAAGTTCGGAGCTTGGATCATAGGCCCAATTCGGACTAACCCTAGCACGCTGATATGGGCTGTAGGGTATAATACGCTGTCCTTACATTTGTACTCTATGCGTCCCTACACCAATGGATCCTCAATCGGGACTCCAGCGTTTCATGCCCCAACATCCAGAAGTTCAACGCCGCCTCATCCGACACTCAATCCTTCTAGTCAGCATTTTAATCAGCGCTACAGCCAATATACTAGAGTCGGTGTATGCCAAAGATCCAGAACCGTATCACACATCTGCTCTCTCTGGTGAAGCCTGGGTGATAGAGCTGTTGACTGGCCACCCAGAACGGATTCGTTGTGAACTTGGCATGCATGCACATGCTTTTGAACAGCTTATATCTGAGCTTCGTACCCTTGGCTATACCAACTCCAAATTTGTTTCGCTCGAGGAACAACTCGCAATTTTTCTATATACGTCTGTCACAGGACTGTGTGTCAGGCACGTTGGCGAACGATTTCAACGCTCCAATGAAACAATTTCTCGGTAAGTACGCACTAATAGTTATTTTTTGTGGATGTCTCAATGTATAACCTATGTACTAGTTATTTTCGCAAGATGGTCAAGATATTCTCATCTTCCCCCTTCTACACAAACTATATTCACTTGCCGGATGACTCCGTTCCTGATAGAATTCGCTCTGACCCTAAGTTTTGGCCGTTTTTTCCAAGATACCATTGGGGCCATTGATGGTAGCCACATTCATGCTTCGCCTCGCGCATTCGAACGAGGTCCCTACCGCAATCGGAAGGGATTCATTTCACAAAACTGCCTATTTGCTTGTGATTTCAAACTGAATTTTACTTACGCACTCACCGGCTGGGAAGGGTCGGCCACAGACGCACGTATCTACGAGGCTGCAGTGGGCCATGACCTTCGCATTCCTGCAGGGAAATACTTCCTTGCAGATGCAGGCTTCCCTCTGCAACCTGAACTACTCGTTCCATACCGCAATGTGCGCTACCACCTTGCAGAATGGGGCCGTGCAGGTATGAGGTACGTGTACTGGTGTTATTCTTTCTACAATGTGCTGATTATTTACAGGCCGGCTACAAAAGAAGAGTTATTCAATCTGCGTCACTCGTCCGCTCGAAATGTCATCGAGCGGATCTTCGGTGTCCTCAAACGACGTTTCCGAATCCTCCATCTATCACCGCCATATGCTATGGACATACAAGCACAGATTCCAGCTGCGTTGTGCTGCATTCACAACTTCATACGTTTTCATGATCCCTCGGAAGGTGTGCTACCTGAAGCAGACCATTCAGACGCTCCCAGCACGCACACCGCAAACTGGGAGCAGGCAGTAGAAGAAGCTCCGGCCGCAAACAACGATCTGCACGCGCAGCGTGATCTCATTGCGCACGCAATGTGGGTTGAGTATCAGCGTATTTTAGAAGAACGACGTGCTCTTGGTAAGGACGACGACGACGTTTCGGATGACGAGTATGACGAGTATGACGATTATGGACTGGATTAATTCTCACTAGTAGCAAGTACCATGTACTTGTATCTGATCCGTTCCAATTAGTATATGATTCAATGATGCATGAAATACATGTAGAATGAGCAGTACATGAAATGGATACTACATGTTAGTACGAGACAAGAATGTAACAAGTGCAGCAATACAAATGATATGATAGTACTACTGCAGCGGTGGAGAGTCCAAGAGCTCTAAGATAAATGCACGGCGTGTCTCGTAGTCATCCTCGAGCCCAACATAGATAGCAAGCTTGTTATCCCCTCCTGCAAGGGAAAATATGCGCAGGAGACTGGCTCTCTGACCAACTGACAAAAAATCTCCATCTTTGCTGCGCATAATCTCTAGGCCGCGAGAGATGATATTTGGTACAGTTGGTACAACAACCTGAGGGACTGGTGGTGGAAGCGGAGGCGGAGTGGCTATGGTCTTCTCGATAACATCTGTGAGACGGTTGATGCTACCTTGCATGTTCATGACGGCAACTGCTGGAGTAATCTTGGCAGCAATCTTTGCGGCACTATTTATCCCTGACTGCATGCCACCATGTGCTGAAACTCATGCCTTCTTGGGAGCCGGTAATGATATCAACGTTGATGAAAGAGGAACAGGATTGTTGGACACGGGAGGGGCACCAGTGCGTTGAGATGAAGAGTCGACAAAAGTGTCGGTGCGCATGCGCTTACTGGACTGCGAGCCGGCAGCCTGAGAAGTAGCGGAGGTTCCATGAAGCTGGGCGCTAAGTGGCATCATTAAATCAGGGCTCATGTCTGGCACATCGCTGGGGGCAGCGGCTCCAGCAGTGTCTACATCCATATCAAGAAGGCCGAGGCCTCCGTCAAAAACATCAGGCACGTCATCTGCAGTATTGACAGACGGAGGGGGCGCAGTAGCTGGGTGCAACGCGTGCCTTCCACGAGCACCGCTATTATCACCTATGATCAGCTGCATGTTGTCGTATCGAGCCCACCCTTTGTTGCGAAAGGGGCGCATCACAGCTTGTGACTTTTGGGTGTCAGTCAAATGCAATAGAATTGAGCATCATTACATACATTGGGGTTAACATACGTATCCCAAACATCACCAGCAGCACGACCCTCGATTCCAGCCCCCCGCACATTATCCCAATGGAAACCAGACACATTGCGATAATTCTCGATTTGATTGAAGATTTTTTTGAGCTAAAACATGCTCGTAAACTTATAATCATTCGAGAAATGATCACATACCGATGTCCACTTTGTCCTAACCATCCTGGCCGTCTTCGGAGGGCCTATTGTTTGAATCGCGTGATTGTCATTGATAGCAGTTGCTGCGCTGTTGAAGGTAGTATTTGTGAAGTTCCCGCCATCACCACCCGCTGCCCGATTCTCAATCAGATGTTGGAGTAGAACGTCCACTTCTGTCTCTTGCCAGTGCACCTTTGCCGCATTGTCCGGCATTGATGTTACTTCAGGTTGAGCCATAAGGACTGTAGTAAAGCTAGCACAGAGAGCGGTGAGTGCAACAACAGAGGTGCAAAGTCTCTGTTGACGATAGTAGTCAATAAGATAAGAATTCATGGTAGATGTACAGGTATGAGATGTAAGGTTTGAGCTCCGACAATTGAGACGCTTGAAGCCGAGAATCCGCACATGACATTTGCCAAATGTTAGGCAACATCTGGTTGCCGAACAGCCTCTAAATTATTCAAACATTTCCATCATTTGCCCTGAAGAGCCTGTCCAAGGATATTTTGCGCTCGGTGTCCTTCAAGGGTTGAAGTACTAATTAGTTGGCACTTGCAGATTCGCGGAGTCTCAAAAGCCTATTCTTCACAAACATCATGACCTCCATATTCTCTTCAACTACGATCGCTCCAGCATTCACACCTCTGGAGCGGAGGTGAAGACACTGCTACGTTGAGCCCTCATATTTTGCATTGGACAGGATGAACACAGTGGGCCACGGAAATGGCCAATAGTATGTATTACTACTCACTATCCAATAACGACTTTGAAGGTCTCCGTGCCTGGGTGTGTTGAAGACACGCGTAGTAATCGTATTATGAACGCCCTCTCAACAGCTTCGTGAGTCGTAGTCTGCTTATCCTAGTCTTATATCCAAAGATTCATATTAAGTCACACATTTATCGCGAGCTCAATGCAGACTTATGGAACACAATTATAGTCCACAGACTCTTCCTGTTGAGTATCCACAAACCGACTATCAAAGAGATCCTTGACGAGAACGCCCGTTGTGACACCCTGGTGCACCTGCGTTTAATATCACCCTCAGTTCAATATCACCTATCGTGCCGGAACCTCTCATATTAGCTCCTACTCTTCGTATTGCCCCAATTTCATCTCCCGTTCGCTTGTTCTCACCCAGTACTTTTTTCCCTCCCGCTGTTTCTCATGCCTCACATCCCTACACATCGTTTTCATGGTGCTCTCGTTCTCACCGCCTTCGTCGTGGATATTGCGATTACATGCCGTGCTGTATAGGGTACACAATGGAATTACATGTTTCGTCCCACCCTGTTTTCTCGGATTTTTAGTCCACTTTGAATGTACTCGGTACAACGGGAACTTGAACGACCACAGATGACTGCAAGAATGATATCTTTCTGTTCATCTTCTCGGTCCGCTATGAGGAAGCACTGATCAGATGTACACACTTCAACGCAATCCAAGGCACACGCGCGACCGCATTGATGGAATCGACATGTCTCGTCCGTCGTTACGTACTCTCACGGGCCAGCACGACCTTCATCATGAATCATGAGATTCAAGCAGTCACCTCTTCAATAAGTCGCTCGCCCTGATAACCCTGAACTCTGATTAGATGCTGGGTATAGAATATACAGAACACAAAGTATGATCCACTGTACATGTCGCATTCAAGTTATATCTAAAATGTCCAAAAAAATCAAATCGGTAAAATATCATCACAGTAAGTACTAAGGTCTACAAGTGTTGGTTGCAGTAAGCGCGAGGAATGAAGAGGGCTTTGAAGAGACTCACTCCTCTCGACACTTTTGCCAGTGCTGTCCATGTGCCATGCGGCTCAAATCAAGCTCAGGACCTCCTCTGGGTATCACTAATACAGTCTTCGTGTTATAGAATGAGTTTCGAGAGGCAGGTGGTACCCAGAATAAGAGCCGATGTTTGGGACCTGCCACCCACCCACTGTCACTATTCAGGACAAAGGGAGCCGAACTGCAGTCGTCATGGGATGCTCCCTCCATTAACCCAGAAGTGTTGAACAGCGCATGGATAGAGTTGGACGAGAAGGAAATGAGGTGATTGTTCCAAGTGTTCGATTTCATGGTAGTGGTGGCCTCGATGGTGCAATGTTCATCTGAGAATGCTGAAGGATGTGACATGGCACACCGTGGCGACGGCTGCCCCGTCGCAGCATACCACAGCCGAACAGTGTTATCTGACGAACCAGTCACGATGCGAGTGCCGTCTGGCGAGAACGAGACAGACTCGACTGAATCAGTGTGCCCCCGCAAGGGCTCACCGACTGGCTGCCCCGTCGCAGCATCCCACAGCCGAATAGTCTTATCCACAGAACCACTGGCGATGCGAGTGCCGTCTGGCGAGAACGAGACCGACACAACTTCATCAGTGTGCCCCCGCAAGGGCTCACCGACTGGCTGCCCCGTTGCAGCATCCCACAGCCGAACAGTGTTATCCGAAGAACCAGAGACGATGCAAGAGCCATCTGGCGAAAACGAGACCGAGTAAACACGACTAGTGTGCCCCCGTAAGGGCTCACCGACTGCTTGCCCTGTTGCAGCATCCCACAGCCGAACAGTGATATCCGAAGAACCAGAGACGATGCAAGAGCCATCTGGCGAAAACGAGACTGAGTGAACACGATCGGTGTGCCCCCGTAAGGGCTCACCGACTGGCTGCCCCGTCACAGCATCCCACAGTCGGACAGTGTTATCCACAGAACTAGTGACGATGCGAGTGCCGTCCGGCGAGAATGAGACCGATTCAACTGAATGAGTGTGCCCACGCAAGGGCTCACCGACTGGCTGTCCAGTCGCAGCATCCCACAGCCGAACGGTCTTATCGTTCGAACCAGTGACGATGCGAGTGCCGTCCGGCGAGAATGAGACCGAGTTAACTGGCTTAGTGTGCCCCCGCAAGGGCTCACCGATTGGCTGCCCCGTTGCAGCATCCCACAGCTGAATGGTCTCATCCCAAGAACCAGTGACGATGCGAGTGCCGTCCAGCGAGAATGAGACCGAGCTAACTGAATGAGTGTGTCCCCACAAGGACTCGCCGACTGGTTGCCCCATCGCAGCATCCCACAGCCGGACAGTGCTATCCACAGAACCAGTGACAATGCGAGTGCCATCCGGCGAGAACGAGACCGAACAGACGTGATCCCCCAATAAGGGCTCACCGACTGGCTGCCCCGTCACAGCATCCCACAGTCGGACAGTATTATCCACAGAACTAGTGACGATGCGAGTGCCGTCCGGCGAGAACGAGGCCGAGACAACCCAATGATTGTGCCCCTGCAAGGGCTCACCGACTGGTTGCCTCGTCGCAGCATCCCACAACCAAACAGTCATATCATGCGAACCAGTGACAATGCGAGTGCCGTCTGGCGAGAACGAGACCGAGTTAACTAACTCAGTGTGTCCGCGCAAGGGCTCACCAACTGGTTGCCCCGTCGCAGCATCCCACAGCCGAACAGTGTTATCGTCCGAACCAGTGACGATGCGAGTTCCGTCTGGCGAGAACGAGACCGAGTTAACCGACTCAGTATGCCCCCGCAAGGGCTCACCGATTGGCTGCCCCGTCGCAGCATCCCACAGCCGGACAGTCTTGTCCACAGAACCAGTGACGATGCGGGTGCCGTCCGGCGAGAACGAGACCGAGGTAACTGACCAAATGTGCCCCCGCAAGGGCTCACAGACTGGCTGCCCCGTCGCAGCATCCCACAGCCGAACAGTCTTATCCTCCGAACCAGTGACGATGCGAGTGCCATCTGGTGAGAACGAGACCGACGTAACTGAATCAGTGTGTCCCCGCAAGGGCTCGCCGACTGGCTGCCCCGTCGCAGCATCCCACAGCCAAACAGTCTTATCCCTTGAACCAGTGACGATGCGAGTGCCGTCCGGCGAGAATGAGACCGAGTTAACCCAATCAGTGTGCCCCCTGAGCACGGTCTGAACAGCTGGCCAGTTCATATCACGTCCAGATGCCACATGAAGAACATTTGGAAACCGTGCAGAAAGCTTTCTAGATAGCGGAGAGTGGGCAGGCGTGAATGGGAGTGCTGATACATATAAATGGGGTGTGCTGTGTAAAATGATGCTACCGAAGACTTGAATGAACCTCTGTACGTCCATTGCAGTCGACGAGACATCTTTGAATTTGGGATGGCCCTGTCTTTGTGCATGAGCGTTTTATCTGGCACTCAGTAGCAATGTACTCACCTTCAGCCACTGGGGAATGAATGAGAGGGCGGTAACTGCACCGCTGAGCGCATTGATCAAGGCGAGTGACTCGAGCCAGAAAAACAGCCGCTCGTGGTCGAACAACAATGTCACTTCTTTCGCAAGTTCCTTGTTGAAGACTGTAGTTCGTACGTGCGACATCCAAAATCTAGAGGAATATGACAGATGTGGGGGGATGCATTTTTGGACCCGTTCTTGCAGCCCAGGATCTTCGCTATTAGGCAAATACGACGACCTTAAATCGCAGATGTTGAAGCGAAGATCGCGTCCCATCACTCGAAGTGACGCGAATGCAAGGTCGCGTTGCGCCTTTGACAGGTCGATGAAAAATTCTCCGCTGGATAGATTGTCCGTTAAGAAATCACGGAAAGATGCGTGAAGGGGTCGGATTGGGGAATCTGTGTTCGTGGTGCCGCTCAGGAGGGAGCCCATACTTTTTACCACAACCTCTACGTCGAAATTGTCTTCTCCCCTTGGAAAATGGCGCCTCATGGCATTCAGGGAAGCCAAAGGAAGGGGTTCAACTGTGCCTAGTATTTGTCCCATCACTGAGCGAAATCTTGCTAGCTTCGTCGAACGCAGTTTCGGCGGATGCTGCACATGGGTAGATGTAACCCTGGGCATGATATTTGTTAATATGAGTTCATACATGCTGTACAACAGCATGCTTCTCTCAGCAGGATCGCGTGACACCACAGCATTGTAGCAATCACTTGGAGACAGCCCCATATCGGACTCTTTGATGTATCCGCAGGCGAGACGCGCCCACTCGAAAAGTCCATCAGCTTTCTCAGCGAGGACCGCAAACTCTTTGGCCTGAAAATGCCACCCTTCCAACTCCTTGGATACGTAAGCATGGATGTCACGCTTTGCGTCTGCTGGCGGAATATCATCCATCGACATCGGTCGAATATGTTGAACACCACGAAACTCATTGTTGATGTCATGAAGCGGGCGAGACGTAACGATGAAGCGAAAGTTGTTTGGGAGATCTGTGATTTTGGGAACAGCGGGGTTGTGATGTTTGCCAGCTAGAATACGGAGGAGGTCTCTTCGAGTCTCTACTCCACCGCTCTCGTCCAGTGCATCAATCACAATCACAATGGGCTCCCCAGTTGACCTAGATGACTTCCCCAGTGGGTTGACAAGAAGCTTCTGCCACTGCTGGTTGATATCCGCCGTCTTCTTGAGCGAACTCGCGGCCTGAACTGCATCTGCTAATGCCCGCCTCATCTCCGGATCACCGTCAACCAGGTCGCGCGCGATCGTGGAAAAGATCTTTTCATGGCGACGATCTGCTTCTCGCTGGCGGTCAAAAGTGTAACACGAACCAAGTCCTCCCACGTCTTGAAACCACCTAGCAATGGTGTGGGCGATAGCCGATTTGCCCTTGCCTGCAGGGCCAGATAGCCACAGCACGCGTGGAACGTTGTCCCCGGTGCTGTTGACCCACTCTGTGATCTGGGAAAGGATTTCCATGCGGGTTCCTTGAAGACATTCTTTTCTAGTATCTAGTCCCGCGCCCTCTGCGTAAATCAGACCGCTGAGATCCGATATTTCTTCTGAAAAGGTATGAATATATGTGAAGTCACAATGATGTCCAAACCCTTACCCTTATGGTGGACGTGTATGGCTACGTCGTGAACGACCTGGTCCCGGAAGTTTTGCATGAGCGTATCGAACACGTCATTGTATTTTTGGATCGTATCTTCCGTTTCCGAGACAATGTTCTTTCCATGTCTGCTCCCTGTGATAATGGTAGAAGCTTGAGACGGTACAGAGCGCAGTAGCTTGTTAAGACTCACAAAATTTCTTGGTTTCCGTATAGTTTTTGATAAAACGGGCACACTCACGCGCCTGCTGAGAAATCTTTCCAAGGATAGCGTCCATCGACGAGATTTCGCCAAGGATCTTGTCTTGCGTTATGAAGCTATAAACTTCGCATAACTTTTCGACAAGTTTGAGCACTGCTGTGTCGCGATCGAGTTCCACTAGAATAATCTGCACACATGATTGCTGAGTAACAATAAGAGATAGGGAGAGAGAAAATGGAAACATACTTTGGCTGCACGAGACAACACGCCCAGTGCTATCTTTGCATAGGGATGTACCTGTGCAACTAGATTAGTTCGGTTCTGATTGAGAAGAGGGCCCGTACATCCGCGATTTTTCCGATGACAGTGTCGAATATCCTGAGGGGTTCAAGATCCTTGAAACTGCCAGCAGCATCGAGATCCTCTTGTGCATCATGAAGTTGAGAAACCATGATTGTCGCAGGTCCCGAACGCGAATGCATGTGCTTTACAGCCTCTTGAGTATCCTGAAGTGCCGTTTGGGTATCAGCCTGTACTTCCATACCAGACGGAGCAGCCTGAACCTGTGCGACCACCATAATTTAGAGAGAACACAGAGACTGGAGGGCAGATATGAGAACCTACCGAGGTCGATGAAGTACGTTCATGATTGACATTCGGGGAAACAGGGCTACGGCCGGGGGAATCCTTCGAGCGCTTATGACAATCATAGTCGTAATCCAGGACACTCATTAATATACGTGCTCATGGACTCACCGAGATCCTTAACTTGTTCACGCCGCCCTTAGCACCAACCTTAACCTTGTCCAGAAACCGACAGACACTGCCATGGGGTCGGTGCTAGATGAAGGATGGGTCAATGTCAGTGTTTGGAGTGGAGTGAATCAAGTGATCTTCATAAGGCACGTACCGAGCTTGAACCGGCTGTTGCTTCGGTGTCTTGAGTCGAATTCCTCGACGAATTGTCTTTGCCTTTGCCTTTCCGCATATTGTAATATAAAGCGAAGTAAGGTAATGAATGATACAGATGCAAATTCAAATTCAGGGCAACATGCATGAGTCAGCGGAAGTTCAAATTTGTAAATCCAGGTACCGGTTCCATCATTACATAATTAACTGACCTCAATATTAGCATCCACAACTTTATGCTGCCGATCTTCCACCAAGAAGACTAATACTAGGGCGTTCCCTTCAAATGACCCGCCAGCTCCCGTTAGTAAGACAGGTACCCAAGATAGACGCCCCCACCAGTAACGACTCGGACTCGGATGTGTAAAAGTCCAACATTGTCCCCATATCTGTGCGTTCCCGATCGATACCATTGCACCGCTATTAAGGACGGGATCAATCTACATTCAGCATTTGACTCGAATACCTAGGTACTGACGATTCCTGAGGTATACATTTCCCCAGCTCCTCCTCCACCCTCTCACAAAATCCACGACATCTAATAATGATGAAATACGCGCTGCATGTCCTTTTTCTCCCAACGCCTTTCAAGAGCAATGCCTACCAAGGCATCGATACTCCAGAAGAAGTGCTCAAGGCGGGTGCACTCTACTGCAAGTGTTAACCTACGGATACCAAATCCTACGATGGCAAACGCTGCCAACGCGTAGGTAGGTGTGTCAGTTTTCTTAGTTGATGATGGATACACGCAGGCTACGGACTTGGTGTATACGAGTCCGCAACATATGGGACGAATGTGAACTTATCGAGCTATGGAGGTAAAACAGCACCGTCATAGAACGTGACCAACTGCAAGCGCGCCATAACCGCATCGGTTCCTTCTCTTCTTCCCGCGATGGCCAATACGCTCTCCCTCATCCGCCTAGCATTGATCGAATTCCTCGAAAACCTTCACACCTTCCAAACTTTCCAATCACGCATCCAGCACCCTCCAGGGCTCCCACTCCTAAACCCCAACCGCTCATTCTGGTCCTACCTACCCTACCCCATCGCCGCTCACGTTTCTCAGCTCCCGGTGCATGCTGATTTTGTCGTTGTTAGCTCGGGTACTACTGGGACATCAGTTGTGAGGAAGCTTTTGGATAGTGCAAGTGTTGAAGGGAATGATGTTGGAGTTGTTATGTTGGAAGCAAGAGATGCGTGTTCTGGGGAGGCTGGGGGGTAAGTCTCGTATCAGGCTCATTCACAGATCAGTCTAACCCGACCTCTGTCCCCCGCCAATCATGCACGCCCGGGGTGCACAATCACTCTTCCCCCCTGGGTCAGTAGCCAGTCCTTCAGTCCTTCACCTAGCAGCCAGACCCACCCGTCCGGGTATTCAACCAGAACTGTAACTCTGAATGGTAATTTCCCGAAGCTATAACAAAGTTATAAGCACTTGCATTGGCTTCGGTGGCTCGACCATGAAGGACAACGAGTGTTTTAGTTGCATAGCCTGGCTATCGCCCTCTCGGTTCACTAGCCATCCAAGTTGAGCCTTTGTTGGCTGCGGGAAAGTGGAATAGCAAAGCCACAGTTTTCTGAAGGCAGTCTTCAAGAAACGATGGATGTCTTCAGCGACATCAGCGCTGTCTAGCAAGATAGTAGTAGCAACACCCTTGCCAGAAATGTTCACTGGTATCTCGCCCACCAGCGGGTCCACATCTTTCCGCGTGACTTCACGAATGTGCCCTTCCGAGCGACTTGCGATTAGAATGTGAGTTACGGGCAGTTCGACCACGGGCAGGGATGAGTTCACAGCCCAAGCTTCCAATGTTCGACATGCATTAGTATGTACGGTAATGTCGATCTCGAGTTTTTGGAACAGGCAATCTATCTCGGCGTCAGAGAAATGTTCAAAGATCAGAAGCGACGCTGTGAATTCATAAGGTGGTTGATGCGTGGTCAGGCCTCAGCCTGGACAAACAAAAAGGGCGCTGAAACATCCACATGTCTGCAATGTTGCATGTGCAGGTTTGTTTTGATAGAATGATGAGCGGTGGTCTCCCAAAAGCTAAAACAAAACCGACAGGCGAGCAATGATTTGTTATAAAAGTTGAACATCGTATAGCTCATTGTTGGATGGGAAATAGAAGCAGATTAACGGTATAGTATGGGTCACAGTTGTGAGCCGAGAAGCGAGGAGAAGCAACTGTGATGAATAGAAGGACGCGGGACGCAATGTACAGCTGCCATGCACAGGGGGCGTGTTAGGGTATGTATGCAAGGTGGCGCCGAAGGTCAATAGCTGCACTCACATTCAGAAATTCATCGCTGGTAGTAACACCACATTCACATCTGTATTTTTAGCGCGGATGAATTGATGTTTGGCCTTACCAGACGGCCCATCTTTGAATCGCTGCCACCGTCAGTCATATAGCACACTGACACCGACACCACAAGACCACTCAGCAATGGGATCTGAAGGAGGGCAAGGGGAGTAAAGCGCGGGGTGTTTGCAAGGAGGTGGTAGTGGCGGTATCAAGGGATGGCCAATGGGTTATCACTGCTAGTGTGGCAACTTGAAATTCATGACTGGTCTGTCTGGAGACGTTGGTTGGATGGGCGCAGTTCGATTCTCCGAGTCCACTGATTTAACTCGCAGTAAAGTTAGATACGGGGGATGGCCTTGAGGTCTCAGGTCTGGATACCCGATCACAGAAATGATCGAGACCGATACCATGCAAAATTCTAGGGATACTGTTCATGTGGAAATGTTGTCAATGTATGAAATGAGAATCTCCCGTTCTTCGCAGTTACAATATCTCCAGCATCCTGACGTCCATCATGTCATCAATAGAAGCCATGTCCCTGACTCATGCGATGATATTGTTATCCGAAGCGATTCCCTCATACTCCCCACCACGCTGTTGCGCTAGCAAAAGTGCGCCGAAAGGACGAGTAAAGCAAACGAGAAACCTCAACCCTCTGGTGACCAGCTGATCAGGCCAATCGTCTCTGCGACTCGTCTGCAAGGTCAACCAACTCAAGATCGTACCAATTCCACGGACGGACGAGCAGGAATGTCTGTCGAGTATGCTTTACAGGCAAGAATTGATCAAGGTTGTCGTCCGTTGTGACCAGCAAGTCTTGTAGTCCGTCTGTTTTGATGACATAAGTGAAACGTCTGGGCCTATCTTGACTAAGCCTCCGCCTGACTTCTGTGAGAGGAAATGCGATGCAAGGCAGTTGCAGTCTGACATTGGCAATCCGAGGAACGCTGAGGTTCTCAAGAGTGGAATACAGTTTCGAAGCCGACTCCACTGCCAAAATATTGTTTCGCAGCGTGGAGACCGATATCTACATGTCGTGTTGAGATAGAGTTAGTAGCGTGCATAGCAGAGTCTTGAAATCCCGGCTGGCAGGCAACTGTTGAAGCTGGACGATTGTCCTACCCATTCAAGGGCTGTGACGTCGCCCGAATGAACTATAGTCTCCTGCAAGAGTCGTCCGAGTCCCTTTTGTCTTTTCTCCCTATAGACAACAGGAAGGTTGACATCTTTGATGTCATACAAAGAGTAGGCGATGTCTTCCTCCTTCGTGGTGCGCCGGTTTGACGCCCATCGGAGTTTCTCTCGGGTATCTCTTGTCCCTGGATGGAAGTCAACGAGCGCCTGCACATTTATCCCAGTTGAATGCTCCAACTCATTCGTGATACTGACAGACTGTTTGTGGTTGCATGAGCGGTCGTCGACCAATCTGCTTGGTAGAAGAGAACGATTTTAGGAGCGAGGAACTTCTGAACGCTCCATCCTCACGTGTTCGAAATGCTGTTTGCGAGTGCGCCCGACTTTGATAAAGGCCGAACATCCGATAGGTAGACGATGGTGAGCGCTGAGTCCCGATACCAGAAAAACATGGAACTGACTGATTCTTGAAGCTCAGCATTGTTGTTCTGGTCAATGTAGCATGTGTCACTCCATGCTCAACGATGCCCCGCATCGCGTGCGACTTTGCATGACTTCTGCAACTTCACGACCGGATTCAAGTCGTATGTGTCCCTGCCCTGAATGTTGCGCGTCTGTACCGGCACTGTCGGCGTGCCCTTGACGTCCCATGGTTCTATGACAACGTCAGACCATAGGCTAGGGTATGTGGAAGCATGCACCTTCGGAAATGGTAGTCTTTGGGGTAGACAGGCAGGTGGATGTGGGGGTCAGTAGAGGAGGGGGCCGTGATGGGAGGATGGAGGTCGCAAGGCAAGTCCGCGATGAGGAGAAAAGTGCAGACAGACTGGTGGCTGGTGGTCGAGGTCAGGCTATCCCCAAAATGGTAAGCTATGTGTCTTTCTACGTCCGCAAGAGGAAGATTGTCTTACTATTTAGGGAAAGCGCTGTGAAAGCTGTGTGGCGCTCCTGGCCTTATAATAGGTCGCACTCGACCGCAACCCCTTAAGCTTACTATCTGCACGCATAGTCGGAATGGATGACAGGCAAGCCCTATTTTCTGTTTGCTCCGACTGTATTGTTCTCAACACTTCCCCACTCAAAGTACTCCCAAGTGTAATCCTTCACCCGAACCTTGCGATGTGGAAAAACAGCAGTTCGTAGACTTGGAAAAGATCGAGGAACCGATGCCGCTTTACTTGACACTGTTCTCAGTGAGCTTACATCGTCAGCAGTATTGTTCAGCCCTCTGATGACGCATGGTCTTGCTTCTAAACTCCAGGCGGTCGCAACTGGGTCAATTTTGTGGTTTTCCAGTGAGACGCAACTAGATTCCCCTGTTGACGTTGATGTCCCTACGCACGATCCTCAAACGCATTCGCTACGCCATACGCTCTTACGCGTAGTCTTCATTGTCGGCACCTTACTGAGTTTCTGCGTGGCACTCCTCATCGTTTTGAGCAAGATCCTCATGCGCCGGCACACGCTCACTCTGGTACTACCGCCTGATGGTCCTCGTCACCTCCACAAGTATAGGGTTCAATGTCTACCCGCGATACCAGCATCAATGCCTACGTGGTTCATGCAGCTTCTCAAGTCATTGTGGTGGATCTTGCTACTTGTTCAGTTGGTGATTGGTATGGCACTACTCCTGATCCGCTGGCTCTTTTAGTGGCTCGCCCTTGCCCATTATCCTTACACTCTCTCAATCTGGCAACAATACTTCGCATCGTCTCTTTCTTGCAACGAAGTTTATGTATACCTTCACCCTTGACCCATCAGCCACAGAACGATTTTATTTTATTATGAGCTTGAATCTATCGTCGATCTTGACCGAACGATAAATCATGATAGAAATTTCAACAGTTAGGGCTCGAGATTTTGTGTATGAAAGTCCAGAAGGATAAGAGGACATATGACCATGACTGCAGGCGAATGGTACATATAAGAAAAACATCGCGAATAGCACCTCCGCAAGCCCAACACCGACTGATAGCGCGATGATGGTCGCACTCGTTTGCGCTCGCCCTGGTGATACGCCGCAGCTTTTACATGTTTATAATGGCTGAACGTTGGACGCTAACAAGATACTTCCTTGAGAGCGAACCAAGACATTCCAATTCGTCATGCAACGGAACACTCGACCTAAGATCGACTGTTTGCCTCGACCAAACCAAACAATGTTAATGAATACTGATACAAACCTGTATACCCTTAAGAGTTTGTGTTGAAACGTCGAAGGAAATTATAGTCTCAACGTGATTAGCCTGAGAATCGATCAAACCTCGAGATCCTTGACTTGTTCCTCAAGCCAGTTCAGAGTCCATAGCTCTGAAGCCTGCTGTGGATCCTGTGCGTCTGGGTGTGCGTTCCCAATGCGTGCCCATGGAACAAGATACTTACTGTCTAGGATATAAGTATAAGTTAGAGAATGGTTCAGCTGAGAGAAGGAGGCTGATCTTTCCGTTAAGACTCGCTCCCTCTGAAGTTCATTCTTTAGGGTAGACGGGGAGATGGATGTGGGGGAGGTGGAGGTTGCACTAGTGGCGAAGTCCGCCGCAATGGAAAACGGAAGTACTGTTGAGCTTGACGGTGGCCCTGACAGCACTGGTGTTCGTGGTCAGGCTATCCGTGAAGATGACGTCTGTGATAACTTTCTACGGAGCAATTGACGCAAGAGGAAGATCGTCTTACTATTTAAGGAAAGCGCTGTGTGGCCTCCTGGCCTTATAAATAGGTCCCGCCAAGCTCATAATACCACCTACGTCGACCGCAACCCTTTCTTACTATCTGCACGCCTAGTGGGAATGGATCATAGGCAAGCCAATTTCTGTTTGCTCATACTGTATTGTTAACCTGAACACTTCCCCACTCAAAGTACTCCCAAGTGTAGTAATCCTTCCCCCGAACCTTGCGACATGGAAAAACAGCAGTCCGTAGACTTGGAAAAGGTCGAGGGACTGATTCCCGAGTTGGAAGAGGAAGAAATCTTGAGTTCCAACGACGTTGATCTTTATAGGCTTGTCGTCATGCTTAACTGGATACTGCTCTCGGTGAGTTTACATGATCAGCAGTATTATTCCACCCTCTGATGATGCACGGTCTTGTTTCTCAACTCCAGGCGGTGATAATCGGGTCACTTTGGTGGTTACAGCTTCAATTCCCCGCAACCAGGTTCCCCTGGTAACGCTGATGTCCCTACGCACGAACCTCAAATGTCTTCGCTGCGTTATACGCTCTCACGCGCAGTCCTCCTTGTCGGCATCTTGTTGATTTTCTGCGTCGCACTCCTCATCGTTTTGAGCAAGATCCTCATGCGCCAGTACACGCTCACTCTGATACTACCGTCTTGCTATGACACTCATCGCCTCCCAAAGTATAGGGTTCAATGTCTTCGCGCGATACCAGCATCCATGCCTACGTGGTTCATGCAGCTTCTGAAGTCATTGTGGTGGATCTTTATACTTGTTCAGTATGTGATTAGTATAGCAATACTCCTGATCCGCTGGCTCTTTTAGTGGCTCGCTCTTGCCCATTTACCCTTCCACTCTCCTAATCTAGCAACAATACTTTGCATCGTCTCTTTCTTGCAACGAAGTTTATGTATACCTTCACCCTTGAGGCTCTAAAGAATGAAGAATATAAGGTACGATCGTCTTTCCCTCACGATTTCGTTTCCCTGTGATCCATTACTCACAAAACGATTTGATTATTATGAGCTCGAGTCTATCGTCGATCTCGACTGAACGATAAATCATGATACAAATAGGGCTCGAGACTTTGAATATAGAAGTCCAGAAGGATAAGAGATCATACGACCATGATTTCAGGCGAAGTGCATACAAGAAAATCATCGCGAATAGTACCCCTGCAAGCCCAACGCTAACTGATGCGGTCGCATTAGTTTGTGCTCGCCCCAGTGAAGACGCCGCGGCCTCGACATTTTTGTGGTGTCTGAACTCGCGAACAAGGTAGCATCGAGCACTTCCTCGAGAGTGGAACAAGAAACTCCCATTTGTCGTGCAATGGAACACTCGATCCAAGATCGAGTGTTTGCCTCGAGCATGAATATCGACCCACCAAACAACGAATACTGACACAAACCTATATACCCCTAGAATTTGTGTTGAAACGTTGAAGGCAGTTATGCGACCGTGCAATATCGACATGATCAGCCTGAGAATTGATCAAACCTAAAGATCCTTGACTTGTTCCTCAAGCCAGTTCCATAGCTCTGAAGCCTGCTGTGGATCCTGTGCGTCTGGGTGTGTTCCCAATGCGCGCCCATGGAATAAGGTACTGTCCAGGATATAAGCTAGAGAAAAATTCAGTTGAGAGAAGGGGACTAACCTTTCCATTAAGATTCGCTCCTTCTGCAGTGGTTCTTGCATATAACTGCGTGAGCGCGCCAAATGATACATCATGGAAAACCATGTTCTACTAATGTCGTTGATACGATGGAGACAAAACTTACCATTTTGCTTTGGCCATACAGACTCATGGCGCTCTTCTTTTTCATGGCGGGAGAGTCCTTGAACGTGTTGTAGTCTAGACTACCGAACCAGTGGGCATTAGAAGACGTGTTCACAATGCGTGCAGTTCCGTCAGGTGACTGCGAGGCACCCGCTAGAAGCGCAGGCATAACAATTTTCGTGTAGAAGTGACCAAGGATATTTGTGCCAAATTGCAAGTCATGACGGCCCGTCGTCCGTCAACATCTCCATAGGGGGAGTCCGACATGTGAGCAGATGATGAGACGACAAGTTAGGAAACACTCACGCGTTGTTGAATAGGACGTCTAGTACGGGTTCTCTCCTGAAGGGAAGTGTCAGTTGTCTTGTTGCTCAACAAATGCAATGCAAGCGTACCGCAGAAACTCTTCTCCAGAAGTCTTGACGGATTTCAGGTTTGCCAAGTTGAGTTGCAAGAAACACGCTTCTTTTCCGGTGCTCTCCTTTAGATCGCGGATAGCGTCTTCACCTTTGGTCTTGTCGCGACAAGCAACATAAACCTTGGCGTTTTTTATGAGGACTTAACAGTAAAAACATCAGCATAAGGCAAACGCGTCAACGGGAGACGGACTCTAGCGGTCTGTTTGCCTATCCCTGAATTAGCACCGGTGACGAGAACAACCTTTCCGGACATGTCTGGGACATCAGACGCGAAAAACTGTGTTGACGGAGGAAAAGTCTCGCGAACGAACGCTGACCAGATGCTGACCCATGATGAATGATGGATTTTTGGGACGTACTAGTTTTCATCGATTGCAGAACCGGTACTGAAGTACTGATAAGCCGATGTTTTTCATCAGTTATAACTCACATATAATGGTGCTACTCATGTGCATTTTCTACTGGTTTCTCGGCAGTAAATTTGATTGGGAAAGGATTACATGTTTGTTTGGTCTCGCTTGCCATTACATATCACGCTCCATCGTGATTCGTGATAGACGTTGCTCCGCAAGGTAACAACGATCGTTCGAACCATGACATGCACACCCGTCCCTACCGTGATAATGTCCAAAATGCACGCTGTTTTAATTAAAGACGGGCAGGGTCCCATTGAGAACCTCTACATTGGGGAGACAGATAAGCCGGTCCCAACGAAGGGACAGGTTTTGGTAAAGGTCCGTGCCTTTCTTCATCTCATGGATCTACGTAAATTGATCTAGTCTGGTATGGAATGTTCGTGCTAGATTGTCGCATTCGGCATTAATAGCATGGACCATTATCAGCGTCAGGGTAGCTATCCTTGCTCCCCTAGGCGCTTCCTACATTCTCGGTGTGGAATTCTCTGGACGTGTGACTGAACTCGGGGAAGGGAGTAACAAGATGGGCTGTTGGTGATGAAGTATTTGGTCTCGTGGGCGGCGTTAGTCGATTGCCTAAGTCAAAGTGTATGTTCTTGACTGACTAAAACTGTCACGGGTATCTCAGGGAGCTTATGCGGAGTTCGTAAACTGTGACGAAGGACTCTTGTTGAAGAAGCCCGGTCACTTATCTTGGGTGGAGGCAGCCAGCATACCAGAAAACTATATTACAGGTGAGTACTGCAGATCAGCCAAGTAAGCTGTCGTCTTCGGTTCTGACTACTCTGGCACCATTCTTAGCCTATCAAGCTCTCGTGAAGTACGGGGAAGTCAAGAAGGGCGATCATGTACTCGTCCATGCAGGCGCTTCGGGTGTAGGCATTGCGGCTATCCAAATGGCAAGAGCATTAGGAGCGTGAGTATTCCGGTGTTCAGTTTCCCGGTCCTCATTGCCTTCGATGCTGTTCTGCCCTTGTTCTGCACGTTCTTGTTGAATGCGTATCACGCCGTGTTCACAGGACAACCGTTACTGCAACGGCGTCTACCACAGCAAAACTCGATTGGCTGCGATCTATTCCTAACGGGGCGACACATACTGTCAATTACAAAACTGAAGACTTTGCCGCGGAAGGTGAAGAAAACGACCAACGGTAAAGGTGTCGATGTTGTCATAGATTTCGTTGGACAAAGTCATTGGGCCAAGAATGTGGAATCCCTCGCCATTGATGGTAGGATGACGATATTAGCTACTTTGAGTGGTACGCATTTGTTATGTATTGAAGTGCAAAAATTCGTGACTAAATGGTTGGTTAGGGAGCGAGGTCCCCGCGGTCAACCTTGGCCCGATCCTTTACAAGCGTCTCCGCATTCAAGGTTCTACGCTGCGTTCCCGTAGTCTCCAGTACCAGACCGAGCTCATCTCAAGGTATTGTCATAATATTGCCTGATGTGATTCCCTTCCAGACTAACTTATCTTATAAGCTTAAATTTCCGTGATATAATCGATAAGGTGACTGGCGCCAACGGAGGTGGCCCGATGCGGACTTACATTCACAAAGTGAGTACATTCTTCTGCTCTTCTCATCCCGTCAGACACGGACGTACAACTCCACAGGTGTATCCTTGGGCAGAAATCCAAAGTGCTCATCACGAGATGGCCGACAATAAGAATAGGTGAGCACTGTTTCTGTCGGAAGATTTAGCGGTGACCGAGACTTCATTCTTAGCGGGAAGATCGTTGTTGAAGTTCAATAGAAACCCCGCTTGCACTAGGCGTCGATGCTGATGCTGCACCTGCTTCGCTTTCATTCTTGGCCTTTTCCTTGTGGCGTTCTGTGTGAGGTGTTAGTGGTGAGGTGAACGTGGGAACCTCAGGTGCTTTCTTAGTAATATCAGTCTGCGCGCCTAGTGGAAATAGATGTCAGGCAAGCCCATTTTCCGTTTGCTCCGACTGTATTGTTCTGAAGACTTCCCCACTCAAAGTACTCCCACGTGTAATCTTTCTCGTAAAAATGACTGCTAATCCCATGTGATTCTACTGTCAATGCATCGACTCGTAACCGAATGAGTCTATCTTGACCAGTCTTAGCAGCTAAGCAGCTAAACCAAACTTGGTGACGGGACAAACAATCTTTTCCTTTTACTACGCCTCCTTGAACATTCACTCATGGATGGATTTTTCAAGGCCTATCTTGAGTAGTCATAGCTAACCGTTTGGCACCAGAACAGATTAGAAATCTGCTCTCTTGTGGTGCGGATTCGAGACCTGTCGACATGGACAGTTCTTCGGAGGTTCGTCTCAACTTGGGCAACAAGTATCCTGGCCCAAGTGGTTAACACAACAGAATCAAAATTTGTTTCTCTTGTATTTCGCAGGTTCGAAACCTGCCTAACGACAGACGCCGTGAAGATTCACTCATGGACAGTTCCTCGGAGGTTCATCTAAACTTCGTCCTCGCCAAAGTGGTTACCACAACGGAATCAAAATCCGTTTCTCTTGGACTACGCAGGTTCGAAACCTGCCGAACAACGGTGTTTTTTTTTCTATCGGAACACGCCCAATTCCTCGGAGCAACTTCGCCCTGACTGATGTGGTTACTGCAACATAATCAAAATCTGTCTCTTAGACTGTACCAGTGCAGGTTCAAAACCTGCCATTGAGTTTTTTTTCCATCCGAACACGCCTTCAATGAGGATTCACTGATGGACAGCTCCTCAGAGGCTCATCTCAACTTCGCCCTGGCCAAAGTGGTTACTGCAACGGAATCGAAATCTGTCTCTTGGACTGACACTACCAGTGCAGGTTCCAAACCTGACGACGAAGTTTTTTCCATCTGAACACGCCTTGACGATTCACTGATGAACAGTTCCTTAAAGGTTCATCTCAACTTTCCCTTGGCCAAAGTGGTTACTGTCACAGAATCGAAATCTGTCTCTTGGACTGTACCAGTGCAGGTTCAAAACCTGCCGACGAGGTTTTTTCTCTCTCAGAACACGCCTTGAAGATTCACTGATGGACATTTCCTCGGAGTTTCATTTCAACTTCGCCTGGCCAAAGTGGTTGCTACAACAGAATCGAAATCTGTCTGTGTCGAACTTACGCAAGCTCGAAACCTGCCGACGACAAGGTTTTTTTCTATCGGAACACACTTTGACATTCACTCATGGGTGGATTCCTCGGACTCTCATCTAACTGGTCTTAATCAAGTGGTTATCACAACAGAATCAAAATCTGTTTCTCTTGCAGTCGGTTCGAAACCTGCTGACAACATTTTTGCAGTGTATAGATCCTCAGAGCTCCGTCTGAACTAGGCCCAGTCATTGTGCCGTTTTATGTGATAGTCTGTCCATGGAATAGACTTCACGCCTCGTGCGGATCGTCTCAGAAACATAAGGTATTGTGTATGTGCCAACCTAGTTTCTCGACGGACTAACCAAAACTGTCGGGATTCACCACCAAATGAAACATTGATGGAGCTGGAGGCCAGAAGAATGCACTCAAGCTAAGGACAGAGTGAGTCTGACGGTCACGCAGATGGTGTGACCTCCCCAGCCTCGCTGAAGTCTCATCGATGAACACTCCTTCGGTCGCTGGCTCTTCCAAAGCGACCGAGGATGATTCGAAAGATAAAGGTGGGAGAATTGAAAGTGGCAGACCGAGCCATATCATTCTGATATGTGTAGTTTGCGTGCGCTCCTGTTTTGTGTTGATGGCACAACCGCATTTCTGATGGAATCAGGATTCAGCATGCCTTGTCCATCGTTACCCCGTACAAGCATCATTCATCATGAGTCACGCAATCAGCTCTTCAATAAGTCGGTCGCCCGGACAACCCTAAACTCTAACTGGATGCTGGGTATAGACTAGAATACAAAGTATGATCCACTGTACACGTTACATGCAAGTTATATCTGAAATGTCCAAACAAATCAAAATCGCTAAATACGATCATCACAGTACTAAGGTCTGCAAGTGTTGATTTTAGTAAGTGGGAGGAACGGAAAAGGCTTTGAAGAGACTCACTGCTCTCGGCACCTCTGCCAGTGCTGTCCATGTGCCATGCGACTCAAATCAAGCTCAGGACCTCCTCTGGGTATCACTAATGCAGTTCCAGGGCTATAAAGTAGGTGTCGAGAAGCGGGTGGTACCCAGAATAAGAGCCGATGTTTGGGCCCTGTCACCCACCCGTTATCATTCGGAACAAAAGGGGTCGAATTGCAGTCGTCATGGGATGCTCCCTCCGTTAACTCAGAAGTGTTGCACAGCGCGTGGATAGAGTTGGGCGAGAAGGAAATGAAGTGATTGTTCCAAGTGTTCGATTGCATGGTAGTGGTGGCCTCGATTGTGCAATGTTCATCTGAGAATGCTGAAGGATGTGACAGGGCGCACTGTTGCAACGGCTGCCTCGTCACTGCGCTCCACAGCCGAACGGTCTTATCCTCCGAACAAGTGATGATGCGAGTGCCGTCCGGCGAGAACGAGACCGAGGTAATTGACTCAGTGTGCCCCAGCAAGGGCTCACCGACTGGCTGCCCCGTCGCAGCACCCCACAGCCGAACAGTCTTATCCGAAGAACCAGTGACGATGCGAGTGGCGTCGGGCGAAAACGAGACCGAGTTAACTGAATCAGTGTGCCCCCGCAAGGGCTCACCGACTGGCTGCCCCGTCGCAGCATCCCACAACCAAATAGTCTTATCTTTTGAACCAGTGACAATGCGAGTACCGTCCGGCGAGAATGCGACCGATTTAACTGAATCAGTGTGCCCCCGCAAGGGCTCGCCAATTGGCTGCCCCGTCGCAGCATCCCACAGCCGAACAGTCTTATCCCTTGAACCGGTGACGATGCGAGTGCCATCTGGCGAGAACGAGACCGAGTTAACCCAACCAATGCGCCCCCGCAAGGGCCGACGGACTGGCTGTCCCGTTGCAGCATCCCACAGCCGAATAGTCATATCATGCGAACCAGTGACCATGCGAGTGCCGTCCGGCGAGAACGAGACCGAGCTAACTGCATCAGTGTGCCCCCGCAAGGGCTCACCGACTGGCTGCCCCGTCGCAGCATCCCACAGCCGAACGGTGTTGTCCCAAGAACCAGTGACGATGCGAGTGCCGTCTGGCGAGAACGACACTGAGTAAACCCAACCAGTGTGCCCCTGCAAGGGCTGACCGACTGGCTGCCCCGTTGCAGCATCCCACAGCCGAATAGTCATATCATGTGAACCAGTGACTATGCGAGTGCCGTCCGGCGACAACGAGACCGAATTAATTGACTCAGTGTGCGCCCGCAAGGGCTCCCCGATTGACTGCCCTGTCGCAGCATCCCATAGCCGAACGGTGTTGTCCAAAGAACCAGTTACGATGCGAGTGCCGTCTGGCGAGAACGAGACCGACTCAACTACATAAGCGTGCCCCCGGAAGGGCTTACTGACTGGCTGACCCGTCGCAGCATCCCACAGCAGAACAGTGGAATCCGAAGAACCACTGACGATGCGAGTGCCGTCTGGGGAGAACGAGACCGAGTTAACTGAAAAAGTGTGCCCCAGCAAGGGCTCACCGACTGGCTGCCCCATTGCAGCATCCCACAGCCGAACAGTCTTATCCTCCGAACCACTGACGATGCGAGTGCCGTCCGGCGAAAACGAGACCGAGTTAACAAAATGAGTGTGCCCTCGCAAGGGCTCACCGATTGGCTGCCCCGTCACAGCATCCCACAACCGAATAGTCTTGTCCGAAGAACCAGTGGAGATGTAAGTGCCGTCCGGCGAGAACGAGACCGAGTAAACTGTTTTAGTGTGCCCCCGCAAGGGCTCGCCGACTGGCTCCCCCGTTGCAGCATCCCACAGCCGAACAGTGCTATCTCCTGAACCAGTGGCGATGCGAGTGCCGTCCGGCGAGAACGAAACCGAGTAAACTGAATAAGTGTGCCCCCGCAAGGGCTCACCAACTGGCTGCCCCGTCGCAGCATCCCACAGCCGAACAGTGTGATCATCAGAACCAGTGACGATGCGAGTGCCGTCCGGCGAAAACGAGACCGAGTTAACCGAATTAGTGTGCCCCCGCAAGGGCTCACCGACTGCTTGCCCCGTCGCTGTGTCCCACAGTCGAACAGTCATATCATGCGAACCAGTGACTATGCGAGTGCCGTCCGGCGAGAATGAGACCGAGCTAACTGCATCTGTGTGCCCCCTGAGCACGGTCTGAATAGCTGGCCAGTTCATATCATGTCCAGATGCTACACGAAGAATATCCGGAAACCGTGCAGAAAGCTTTCTAGACAGCGGAGAGTTGGCAGCCGTGAATGGAAGTGCTGATACATACAGATGTGGTGTACTGTGTAAAATCATGCCGCCGAAGATTTGAATGAACCTCTGTACGTCCATTGCAGTCGACGAGACATCTTTGAATTTGGGATGACCCTGTGGTTGCGCATGAGCGTTTTATCTGGCACTCATTAGCAATATACTCACCCTCAGCCACTGGGGAATGAATGAGAGGGCAGTAACTGCACCGCTGAGCGCATTGATCAAGGCGAGTGACTCGAGCCAGAAAAACAGACGCTCGTGGTCGAACAACGATGTCACTTCTTTCGCAAGCTCCTTGTCGAAGACTGTGGTTCGTACGTGCAACGTCCAAAATCGAGATGAATATGACAGATGCGGGGGGATGTATTTTTGGATTCGTTCTTGTAGCCCGGGATCTTCGCTATTAGGTAGATATGATGATTTTAAATCGCAGATATTGAAGCGAAGACCGTATTCCATCACTCGAAGTGACGCGAATGCAAGGTCGCGTTGCGCCTTTGACAGGTCGATAGAAAATTCTCCGCTGGATAGATTGTCTGTTAAGAAATCACGGAAAGATGCGTGAAGGGGTCGGATTGGGGAATCTGGGTTGGTGGTGCCGCTGAGGAGGGAGCCCATGCTTTTTACCACAAGCCCCACGTCGAAATTGTCCTCTCCCGTTGGAAAATGGCGCCTCATGGCATTCAGGGAAGCCAAAGGAAGGGGTTCAACTGTGCCTAGTATTTGTCCCATTACTGAGCGAAATCTCGCTAGCTTCGTCGAACGCAGTTTTAGCGGATGCTGCACATGGGTAGATGTAACCCTGGGCATGATGTTTGTTAATATGAGTTCATACATGCTGTGCAACAGCATGCTTCTCTCAGCAGGATCGCGTGACACCACAGCATTGTAGCAATCACTTGCAGATAGCCCCATATCGGAGTCTTTGATGTATCCGCAGGCAAGACGCGCCCACTCGAAAAGTCCATCAGCTTTCTCAGCGAGGATCGCAAACTCTTCGTCTTGAAAATGCCACCCTTCTAACTCCTTGGATACGTAAGCATGGATGTCACGCTTTGCGTCTGCTGGCGGAATATCATCCATCGACATCGGTCGAATATGTTGAACATCACGAAACTCGTTAGTGATGTCATCAAGCGGGCGAGAGGTAACGATGAAGCGGAAGTTGTTTGGAAGGTCTGTGATTTTGGGAACGACGGGGTTTGGATGTTTGCCAGCTAGAATACGGAGGAGGTCTCTTCGAGTCTCTACTCCACCGCTCTCGTCCAGTGCATCGATCACGATCATGATGGGTTCCCCAGTTGACCCGGATGACTTCGCCAGTGGTTTGACAAGAAGCTTCTGCCACTGCTGGATGATATCCGCCGTCTTCTTGAGCGAACCCGCAGTCTGAACTGCATCTGCTAATGCCTGCCTCATTTCCGGATCACGGTCAGCCAGGTCGCACGCAATAGTGGAAAAGATCTTTTCATGGCGACGATCTGCTTCTCGCTGGCGGTCAAAAGTGTAACACGAACCAAGTCCTCCCACATCTTGAAACCACTTAGCAATGGTGTGGGCGATGGCCGATTTACCCTTGCCTGCAGGGCCAGATAGCCACAGTACGCGTGGAACGTTGTCCCCAGTGCTGTTGACCCATCCTGTGATCTGGGAAAGGATTTCCGTGCGGGTTCCTTGAAGGCATTCTTTTCTGGTATCTAGTCCCGCGCCCTCTGCATAAATCATACCGCTGAGATCCAATATTTCTTCTGTAAATGTATGAATGTATATCAAGTCACAATGATGTCCAAACCCTTACCCTTCTGGTGGACGTGTATGGCTACGTCGTGGGCAACCTGGTCCCGGAAGTTTTGCATGAGCGTATCGAAGACGTCATTGTACTTTTGGATCGTATCTTCTCGTTTCCAAGACAACGTTCTTTCCATGTCTGCTCCCTGTGATAATGGTAGAAAGCTCGAGACGGTACAGACCGCGGTAGCTTGTTAAGACTCACAACATTTCTTGGTCCCTGAATAATTATTGATAAAACGGGCACATTCACGGGTCTGCTGAGAAACTTTTCCAAGGACAGCGTGCATCGACAAGATTTTGCCAATTATGTCGTCTTGTGTTATGAAGCTATAAACTTCACCTAATTTCTCGAGAAGTTTGAGCACCGCCGTGTCGCGATCAACTTTTGCTAGAATAATCTGTACAAATGATCGTTGAGTAACAGTAGGAGATAGGGAGAGAGAAAATGAAAACGTACTTTGGCTGCACAAGACAGTACACCCAGTGCCATCTTTGCATAGGGATGTACCTATGGAACTAGATTAGTTCGGTTCTGATGGAGAAGAGGGCCCATACATCCGCGATCTCTTCGATAACATCGTCGAATATCCTGAGGGGTTCGAGATATGTGTCCTGGAACATGTCAACATCATCGAGATCGTCTTGTCCGTCTTGAACAGGAGAAACCACGGTTGTCGCAGGTCCCAAACGTGAATGCATATGCTTTACAGCCTCTTGAGTATCCTGAAGTGCCGATTGGGTATCAGCCTCCATCTCCAAACCAGACGGAGCCATTTGAACCTGCATAACCGCTAGAATTTAGAGATAGTACAGAGACTGGAGGGTAAGTATGGGAACCTACCGAGGTCGATGATGCACATTCATTCGGGGGAACAGGGCTGCGGCTGGGAGAATCCTTCAAGCGCTTATGCTAGACTTAGTCGTATTCCAGGACACTCATTACGCATGCTCGTGGCTTACCGAGATTCTTAACTTCTTAAAACCGCCCTTAACCAAAACATAGTTAGTTTCATCATGATGCAGCAATTCCTGTGTGTTCTCCAAAAACCGATCCACTCTGCCATGGGGTTGGTGCTAGACGAAGGATGCATCAATGTCAGTGAACTAAGTGATCCTGATAAGCCACGTACCGAACTTTCAGGAGCTGTTTCTTCGGTGTCTGGAGTCGAATTCCTTGATAAATTGCGTTTGCGTTTGTCCATTGTGAAGCGAGCTAAGGTAAGGAAGGGTCCCGTTGTCGGCATGCAGAACCTTTGGCTTCTCATTGGCTGGACTACCGGTCCGTATCACTCCGAACTCGTTGCAAACCGTTAGTTTGAAGTTTGAACTGTATCGATTTATCAGATTTTTCCACCTTGATTCGATTCACCTCGACGGCAACACTAGTCTATAAACCGAATGCAAGTCGAGGCAACGTGTCAACGGAACAGATGTAAATTCAGAGCAATGTACATGGGTCAGCACGACAACTTACACTTTTCATGGCCAGCATCAGAATACTGCGAGGCAATGTGCGCAGAGATGAGAATCTAATAGTCCAATAATCGTCCAGGTTCTGATTGTCGACGCTATGCAGAGCAGTGCATCGGGCTTATCATCGACTAACCTCATTAGCATCATAATTAACTTAATTGACATTTCTCCTCGTCGCATCCACCGAACAAGATACACGCATCATCAATTGTGTCATGCCGCCACCGCGCCCTAGGCCTCATCTCCAATCGTCCACCAAGAAGACTGGCGTTCCCTTCAAATGACCTGCCAACTCCCGCGTGTCCTAGATATACTCGCTATGGAGGGCAAACAGCACCGAACTTGCAAGGAAATCATAGAACGTGACAACTGCAAGCGCGCCACAACCGCATCAGTTCCTTCTTTCCTTCCCGCGATGGGTAACACACTCTCCCTCATCCGTCTAGCATTAACCGAATTTCTCGACAACCTCCACACCTTCCAAACTTTCCAAGCACGCATCCAGCGCTTTCTAGAGCTCTCACTTCCAAACCCCAGCCGCTCATTCTGGTCCTACCTACCCTCCCCCATCGCCGCTCACAGTTCTCAGCCCCCGATGCGTGCTGATTTTGTCGTTGTTGACTCGGGTACCGGGACATCGGTTGTGAGGAGGCTTTTGGATAGTGCAAGTGCTGAAGGGAATGATGTTAGAGTGCTATGTTGGAAGCGAGAGATGCGTGTTCTGGGGTGACTGGGAGCTGAGTCTCGTATCAGGCTCTTTCATAGACCAGTCTGACCCGACCTCTGTCCCCAGCCAATCATGCACGCCCGGGGTGTGCAACCACTCTTTCCCCCCTGGGTCAGCAGCCAGTCCTTCACTCCTTCACTCAGCAGCCAGGCCCACCCGTCCAGGTATCTAGCTAGAGCTGTAACTCTGAACGGTAGTTCCCCCGAAGCTATAACAAAGTTATAAGTACTTGCATTGGCTCCGGTGGGTGGACCGTGAAGGACAACGAGTGTTCTAAATTCTGGGGATCCTGAGGTTGTATAGCCTGGCTATCGCCCTCTTGGTTCGCTAGCCATTCAAGTTGAGCCCTTGTTGGCTGCGAGAAAGTGGAATAACAAAGCCACAGTTTTCTGAAGGAAGCCTCCAAGAAACGATGGATGTCTTCATTGACATCTGCGCTGTCTAGCAAGATGGTAGTAGCAACACCCCTGTCAGAAATGTTTCACTGGTATCTCACCCAGCAGTGGGCGCACATCTTTCCATATAACCTCACGAATATGCCCTTCTGAGCGTCTTGTGACCAGAATGTGAGTCACGAGCAGTTCAGGATCACGGGCAGGGATGAGTTCAGCAAGCTCACTTTCGGATTTGTCTTCATCAAAGTATTCGAATGCGGACTGATCAAGGGTTTCGGATGGGCATTCATCAAGGGCATCGCCAACGAACGTCAAAGGCGCACTGCCGCATTCGCGTAGTCTACCTTGAAGCTTCCTGAGTGGTCGAAGAAACCAGCCCTCATCTAATCGCGAACAGAGTTGTTGAGGTCTAGAAGTGCAGGGTTCTCGAGGATAGCTCTATTTACATGCGCCCTGACGCTGGAAAAATTGCTGGCAAGCTGGTAGGCAAGCGTCGCAAACAAATAACAGGTCGTGCGCCGTTTCGTGTGCTTGTGGGAGAAAAATAACGTTCTTGCGAGTCGCATCTCTATATGCGTCTGCTCTGTCACTTTCAATCCTTTCACTCTTTGTGACGTTGACTATTTAGCGTTTGAGGTTCAAAGACAGTGGCAGGAGTGCGTTCAAAACAAAATGACAGCATCAAAGTCTGAATTCTGGGAGTTCAAACAACAGTAGTGCAACTCTACGACAGCGAGTATCAGGCAAACTTGAACGCGGGAGCGGGGAAATAGGGATACAGGACGGGTAGCAAACGATATTCGACCAAAGGCGACATTGAGCAACCATTCTAAGAAATAACAGGTAAACAGTGAAGGTAGTTGAGAACTTGACAAAAATAAATGAAACAGATATTGGACGTGGGGTGTTGGGTAGCGCCACCGACGTTACATCTCCTCCAGAGAGAACACCATTTTCCGGACGTCTGATTTTGGGATTAGGTTCTTTGTAAAAGAGACAATATATGATACGATATCGAGACCGATACCATACAAATTCTGGGATACTGTTCATGTAGAAATGTTGTCAATGTATGAAATGAAAATGTCCCGTTCTTCGCAGCTACAAAATCTCCAGCATCCTGACGTCCATCATGTCAGCCAATAGAAGGCATGTCCCTGACTTGTGCGGTGATATTGTTATCCGAAGCGATTCTCTTATACTCCCCACCACGCTGTTGCGCTAGCAAAAGTGCGCCGAAAGGACGAGTAAGGCGAACGAGCAACCTCAACGCTCTGACCGGCTCATCAGGCCAATCACCCACGTTCTGCGACTCGTCTGCAAAGCCAGGTAGCTCGAGAAGATCACGAGCCCACGGATGGATGAGCAGCAATGTTTGCTGAGTACGCATTGCAGGCGAGAATCGGTCAAGCTTGTCTTCTGTCGTGATCAGCAGGTCTCGTAGCCCGTTTGCCTTGACGTAATAAGTGGGACATCTGGCCCCATCTTGAACAGGCCCCAGCCTGACTTCTGTGAGAGGAAATGTGATGCAAGGTAATTGCAGTCTGGCAGTGGCAAAACGAGGAACGCTGAGTTTCTCTAGGAGGGAGGTATACAATTTCGAAGCTGACTCCACAGCCGCAATATTGTTTCGCAGCGCGAAGACCGATGTTTGCATGTCTTGTTCAGATAGAGATGGCAGTGTCCATGACGGACCCTTGTATGAGGAAATGTCGGCTGGCAGACAACTGTTGAAGTTGGACGATTGTCCTACCCAATCAAGGGCTGTGACGTCGCCCGAATGGGCTATAATCTCCTGCAAGAGTCGTCCGAGCGCCTTTTGTTTTTTCTCCCCGTAGATAACAGGAAGGTTGACATCAAAGATGCCATACAAAGAGTAGGCGATGTCTTCCTCCTTCGTGGTTTCACGGTTTGACGCCCATCGGAGTTTCTCTCGCGTATCTCTTGCCCCTGGATGGAAGTCGACGAGCGCCTGCGCATTTATGCCAGTTGAGCGCTCCAACTCATTCATGATACTGACAGACTGCTTGTGGTTGCATGAGCGGTCGTCAAGATATAGGGTCCAATCTGCTTGGTAGAAGAGAATGATGTTAGGAGCGATGAACTCCTGAACGGTCCATCCTCGCGTGTTCCAAATGCTCTTTGCGAGCGCGCCCGACTTTGACAAAGGCGCGACATCCGATAGATAGACGATGGTGAGCGCTGATTCCCGATACCAGACAAACATGGAATTCACTGATTCTTGGAGCTCAGCATTGATGTTCTGGTCGATGCAACATGTGTCGCTCCACGCCCAACGATGCCCCGCATCGCGTGCGACTTTGCAGAACTTCTGCAATTTTACCATGTTTCCGACCGGATTCAACTCGTATATGTCCTTGTCCTGAATGTCGTGTAACCCCGGCTCCCCGGCTCCCCACCTATGGGACAACATGACCCAACTGAAGTACTTCGCAACCGCTTCTTTGATGAGCTTCATTTGGAGGGGCCCATGTATGTCCGATGAAGTCAAAAGCTGTTCGTACTCTGTACTCTCCACGAATGCGTTGATCTGCACAGCCCGATTGCACAAACGTCCAGTAGAGGTGTTGATTAGACGAAGTGGAGCCTTTTTAAGTTGGGAGCCAATGGCTTTCCGAATAACACTTTCTACTTCATATTGACGGAGATATTGCTGACGTAGCTCTGCAAAAAATGTAAGTCTTCAAGTCGGCGCTTGAGTTGTTTGGGGCTTACGTTGTTTCTGTGGATCGTGTGGGTCATCCAACTCGGAGAGCATGACTCTGAAAGCCTCCGATGCATCATCATGGCGATGTGCTGCACGAAGCGCTTTATACTTCAATTCGTATCCAATATGAGACGAGGGTCGAGCTCAATGACCTGCGGAATATCATCACAAATGTTAAAATAATGACCAATATTGTCCGCACCTTTTCCGCGTCCGAAAGGGCCTCCGCATGGAGGTTTAGGTCCAACTTCACCTTACTGCGACCCGCAAAGTATGAGGGATCCATCCCGAATGCTGCAGAAAGTGTCTTGTCGATGGACCACAGCTGAAGATTTCCATGAAAGTCTCCACTCGCGAGCCGTTCTCCACTGGGAGAAATTGCGACGCAACAAACATACGTGGGATTTTCGAGTTGTTCGAGTGGCTGTCCGATCTGCTGGTGTGACTCTACGCTCCACAGGCGCACAGTCGTATCGTCCGAGGCGGTTGCAATGAAGGATCCATCAGAAGATATGGCAAGTGAGTTGATGTCGTTAGTGTGACCGATGCAAGGATCACCGATCTGGGTTCCATTCAACGAGTTCCAAAACCTGACTGTTTTGTCTTCTGATGCGGAGACAAGTTGCTGACCGTCAGGCGACCACACAACGCTGTGAACCCAACCGTCGTGAGCGTTGATGTCGAATAGAGGCTTGGCGTTATCAGTGCTCCAAACCCGAATCTTGCGCTGTGTTCCAGCTGCTAGTTTTAGCCCATCTGGGCTGAAGGCGAGACAATACATCGCACCCCCACCCTGGAGTGTGGAGAGGACAGCGCTAGTCTTCGCATCAGATATGATAACTGTTTCATCATACCCTCTTGCGACTCTTTTGCCATCGGGGGAGAAACACACCGACCAAACCTGGCCTATACGCCTGATCAGTGGTTTGAATCCCTTCTGCTTGATATCGACGTCCCAGATGGCGAGGGCTCCATCTTCTGAACCACTCGCAATTCGCTTATCGTCTGGCGATATGGAGACTGAATACACATAGTCACTGTGTCCCTTGAATGGCCCTCCCACCACTGCTCTGTTCTCCACGTCCCAAATTTGCACGGTGCGATCCCATGAACCGGTGGCGACCCGTCGACCATCTTTAAAGAACGCGACTGCCGACAGTGATTTCGTGTGCACTTGCTTCGTGTATGTTAGCATCGGCTGGGTTGTCTGCGCCAGCGTCGGGCGCCTTCCCTCAGTAAGATCTTCTATATCGCGCGATCCTGACATATCGCTAAACAGGGAGATTGACTGTCAGCAGCGTTTGAAGTTGACGACGAGCGTACTCTGTGGTTAAGATCTCTAAGTCCTTGATCTTATGTGTTGTAAGAGGTCGTGAGCAGAATTGGATGTTTGCCCATAACCCATTTCAATCGTTTGTTCCATAAGTACCACGTTGCTACAGCATTTCGGTTGGATCCATCCGAATCAGTTCCTCCGTCCATAGTAAACGCCCGTTATATTTAGCTCCTCCACTCTGTTCACAGCAAATTCCTTATAATTTTCTCGAAGAATCATGATGGAAGAAATATATACTTGCCGTATCCCTGAAATTTGCACCCACCGATTGATCTCTACCTTCAATGTGTCCTCGACGCACTCCCGTCAGTCGGGCAGATACCCGATTCCATAGATACTAACAATTCCTCAGGTATACGTTCCCCCAGCCCCTCCTCCACCTTCTCACCCCAACGCCTTTCAGGAGCAATGCTAATGGTACGTGTCCTGTGCTACCATAATCAGGGGGGTCAAAGTCGTTCACCCAGCAGAGTTCAAGAGTCCGAGGTATGTTCTTCTCCATCTTATTTCTTATCTACTTATCAACTTAAATCCAGATGGTGACTCTACCAAACCAGTGACAGTAGGGACCTCCGCAATATAAACCACGGAAGGATGAGTATTAATGACATACGAATTGCATACGAACTCATAATAAACAAGAACAACCTCACCAGCCGTCCTCCCGAAACGACCACCGAAGATCCTACCCCCACGCACAATCTCAATGATACCAATGTCAACCATCGCCGCCGTCTCAGCACGAGCAATGGGCTCCGCAATAGCCAAATACCTCGTTCACGCAGGCTGCACAGTCTAGGCCGCTCCTCCTTAGCCCACCAACGCGCCTTCGACGCAGGAATGATAAATGTCCCCCTTGGGAATTCGCGAGCGCGTTTGAGAGGGTCGCGGGGGTCGCTTGAGGGTGATGGGGGCGGATATCGAGACGTTGAGGAGCGGCGTGGAGGAGTCGCGGGGGACGTCGAAGTAGGCGTTGGACTTATCTCCAATTTGGTCGATCGGTCCACGAGTGGCGGCGTGCCTAAACGTCTCAACTAGAAGCGCTCGTCGATCAATCAATGATTCTGCTCAACACGCGTTCCAAAGTTTGTGGGCTAGGTTGCATTTGTTTGATACAATTGGAACCCACCACAAACCTGTAGACACGAACGTAAGATATGCGCATGCACGTGGTTCAGATAAAGGCACCCTATTACTAAGCCGTTTCTAAGGCGTTTAACCTCCACGGCAGGCACAAAGCGCAAAAACAATAAATGAGGATAATGTTGTAAATAGTAAGAGCTTAAGCTAAGTACTTCGAGGGGGACAAGCCAACCAAACCAGGAGCAAATGTCAAGTAAGGATCGAAGCAAAGTAGGGGGGAGAGATCAAAATAAGCAGGGACGAAAATCAGCGAGACGAATAATAATATATACCAACCACAGACAAAACAGACGTACGCCCTTCATAACTGAAAGATGATATGACCGAATAAAATAAACGAGAGAATCCGTCTTCAGCTCAGCTCTCTTGCTCCATTGTCTCTTTCTCGTATTTCTTCTTTAGGGAGCTCACTGTGTTTGTCGTTAGTTTAGATATAGAGAGCATGAGTGGGAAAACGCACCTTCTCGTGATAACTGACCGGAATTCAACCATCCACTGGGGAACGCCGCTACGATCTACCACCACCAATGAGCACTCGCCATACCAATCAAAATAGAAAACACACCTTCTGATACAAAATCTTTCTCGACCCCTGTTCGCTAACAAGCGCATTACTCCCATCTAATTCACTGTTCATTCACATCAGTAACCACTTCCAAAATCCCCACAAAAACAATGAAAGAAGGGAAGAGAAGGAAAGAAGAAAGAACTCGCACTCACTTCTTCTCATTCTCAAGCCTACAACATTCATTACTAAGCATCACAAGCTGCCACACAATCACCTTCATCGCCTCCGTCAATCGGTATTTCTGCGCAGGGGGATGTGCGTCTCGCGTTCCGTCTACTTTGTTTGTTCCTGGGGCATTATCGTCTGCGCCTGGTCCTCCGCCGTCTGTGCCTGCACCGGCTCCACCGTCTGTACCGGTGCCGTCGGCAAGGGTTCTGTCTCCATCGGCACGGACGTTGTCACCATCGACACCGCTCCCTGTGCCGTCGTCATGGTGTGCGGCGTCTGCGCTTGCACTGGGCGTCGAGGCTGATGCTGCGCCTGCTTCGGTTTCGTTCTTGGCCTTTTCCTTGCGGCGTTCTGTGTGAGGTGTTAGTGGTGAGATGAGGAAGGCGTTGGAGGTGAGGTGCAGTGGATAAGAATACGAGTAGCAAAATGCTGTATAAGCAAACGCGAGTTACAAGAATAGACAAAGGAACGAACGAAAGGAACGACAAAAGGTTGGACAAGAAATATAGAGGTGACGCACCCCAAGCAACAACACTCTTCTCCCACTCCTCCTGCGCTTTCGAAAACCCGTCTTTCGTAAGCCCTGCAAGCTGCTGAAGCAGCTCGTCCTGTCTATCTGTCAGGATCTTGAGGTGGTCTGCGAATATAGTGCGTTTGATGAGTTTCTGTGGGCAGACGCCATCCAGTGAGCTCTCGCGTTCGAGGGTAGGTGATACGACAGTACAGTCATAGTAAAGCGGTTATAAGGAAACAGCACCGGCATAAGATTGAAAAAGTCTTCATCGTATTCGCCGAGGTTGACAGCTTTCAACGCGACGTCTGCGAGTATGGGTTTGATAGAGGGTGGGAACTTGCCCTTGACGTCCCATGATTCTATGACAACGTCAGACCATAAGCAATGGTATGTGGAGGCACGTACCTTTGGAGATGGCAGTCTTCAAGTCTTCGATGGCTAATTGAAGTTCAGGATGAAAGTCGCGCTATGTGCGAGTGAGCACAAGACATGACGTGGTTTAGGTGACGTACGAGATCGACGACTTTCCTCTTCTTCCCGTTATCCTCTATGACTGTATAGTTCTTGCGTTTCTTATTGGATTTGTCTTCACCTAATAAACTGATAGGATGTTCCTTTGTCCCTTCTTCCTTAGCAACAGTCTTGCTAGGTCCAGCAGTCGCACCACCGTCAGCAAGAACCTTTTTCGATTTAGGTTTCTTGGGCGTCCTGCTGCGCACACGAAATGAGGATATTGGAGATGTAATCACATTGCACATACCTATCTTTCATAAGAGCAACTTCTCCACTAGAGACGTAAAAGCCCTGTTGCTTTGTCTGAGCAAAATGAGTGCGATTATCGATGTTCAACTCGGAGTCGTCAATGAATGGGTCGTTGACGTCGTAGTACTCTGAAGTAGCATGCTTTTTCTGCTACCTTACTCAGCTAAGCGTTTATATGAAATGTGATATTTTACCTTTTTCTTTTTCGGTTCGCCGTCGTCTTCACCTTCGGAGTCTGATGTGTCTGCTTTTGGAGGAGGTGGAGTTGGTTGACGTTGACCTGTTGTTTTTGCCAAAGTAGCAATATCGACTTCATAATTATCTGGACCTCCTAGATTTATTTGTAGTCTGATAGTTTGTAGAGGGGGTGGCGGAGGAGGGGGCGGAGTTGGAGAAGGAGAACGAGGACGTTGTGCTTTTGATTTTGGTTTTATTGTAGAAGCAGGTTTTGATGAAGAATTTGAGGAAGATTTTAATTTCTTTGAAGGTGGTTGTTGGTCAATGTCAGTATCTTGCATTACTACGTCTTCAGACATTTCTGATATGATGAGCGCGTGCACGAAGGTGGGTACGAGGAGATGAGGTGGGCCCTTTCCTAAAAAGGAACCTCTCAGCTCAAGTCCTTTCCACTTTTCTCATCCAATCTTTTCACCCTCAGAGTTCTCAAACTGCGAAATCCAAAGTAAAACCAACATCGTACATAGACAACCACACTAACAATGACAAATCATTTCCCACTCGGCATTTCCCGGAGTCGGACTCGAACTCGTACCATCTCCCTCACCCAAAAGCATTAATGTCGCAGTATGGTCCGTGCAATTTTGTGCTAGCCAGCCGGTCTGCCTCCTATGCTGACGGAATTTGATTTGGCCTGAATCTCGACTGGGTCTGTAAGTTGATCGTTTTCGCTTCATGGCTGCAAACAAACAATGAAGAATATCTAACCCCTATTGTTGTGTGACATACCTCGCATCATCAATGACTACCTCCAAAGACGATAGCAGTATTATCAACACGGCACCTCCCTCATATGACACAATCTCAGCAAGTCCCATCCTCAGTTAACCATCTCTAATTCCCTTTCGTCGCACGAAGCAGAAGCGTACTGCTGTCCTATCCCGCATCCGTGACATCGTCTCAGCCTCCAATTCCCCTCCGCTTCTGTAGCCCCTGATATCAATGCCTGCACTGCCGCTCTCCTAGCTGCAACATTCTCAAAGATCCTGCAATCATCCAATATCGAGGGTCACACAGCGCTCTATTGGGCAATTGTGAATAATCGACCAGAAGTTGTCTTTGCATTTCATAATATCTTTCCCCCTCGCGCTTCTTCAAGTTATGACTACTTTTGCGACGCGCGTCTCGCGTGCATGACAACTGGTGACCACGTATTGTTTAAGAAGCTGAATCTTGCATATGGCCCTGCTCCTGGTAAGTGCATTCTAATGCCCACACAAGAGGCCATTCATTCATTCAATGTTCATCAGCCAAATATGAGCATTTGAGAGACTCTCTAGGCTGCCCGCCAGATGATATTCAGGTAAATGCATGTGACGAGCCCGAGAATCGCTTCGATGTTGTTTTGCGCATCCACATGTTCCAGAAGCGCCTGCGGGCCGCACAATTTATGTACTACGAGTTTGTTGCCGGGGGTGTGTGATCATGTCTCTCGCTTCTCCTTATTTTGACGCTGTGGGACAAATCCTTGCAGGACGTATATGGTGGTTGCGCTTCTCCTTTGTAGAACACACTAGCATGGTGTGGTGCGTCAAGATTGGCCTCGCTGAGCATAGCTATCCAGCCCGTCCAAACGCCGTACTTCTGATCGAGGCCCATAAACGCAAAGCCGGCTGTGAAACTTCACTCAAAGCACTGAAAATTCCGTTAAAATTGACAGATACCGTGAAAAAGCTTGTACCGTATGGTCAATTTTGTTTTGGCTACACGAGTCCAAAGTGCGCTGATATTTCTTACTCTCTCATTGGCTACTCTGATCTGGAAGATGTTCTGATCATTGGCCCAAACACAACAATAATAACTGCATCTCGAATGAGTTGGGTGATTGGGTGATGAACGAGTAAGTCTTCTCCCTTGAGCCCCCTCAGCTTGATCCGTGTTACATGTGGATGTGTTTTCTCTCATTTTACCATCCCAAGCATTTTTACTCTTCTCCGTAAATGAATCAAACCGACTGACACTGTTTTTTTAGCAATACTAAATATGTAGACCACGAGGGTATCCTGCATGCGAAGCTGGAGCTATCATTATTACAATTTAAAAATAAAAACTAGGTAAAGGCGTAGCATGCGAATAAATCCATCAAACACGTCCGTCTTAGATGAAGATCAAGCGAAGCGTCGGCCATCATCACTTCTCACCATACATTTGCCCTCTCCAGATCTTCCTTCACCTTCCTCCTCGCCTTCTCCTCGCCTCCTTGCTCTCGCTCTCTAACTGATAAAGCTGTTCAGGGACAAGGTTCTGGAACAACACAAACTTGAAGCCGTGGGGTATCTGCCGCAGTCCGTATGCAGCGTGCGTGCCAAGGTGGACAGCGAAAATTTGGCCGAGCTCCTCCAGGCTCTTGCCTTTCATCTCGCGCACGAATGTCAAGACAGGCCCGAGGGAGCTAATATGCATGCGAGGTGCTGGAAAGACAACTCTGACGTTTGCGGTGATGAATTGGCCTCCAGATGTAAGTGGAGGAATGTCGAGTGCACTTAGCTCTGGGTCCTGTCCTTGTTCTGGCGAATGTGAAGACACACTAACGTTCACCCAGCTGTCATCATGGATAGTCATAGGGTCGTATCTCGAAGGCCCAGCATCCGAGAGGTGTGAAATATGTTGGGTGCAGGTCGACTGGTGGAAGACATGTGCGCGACTGGGCTCAGAGTTCGTCTCGGAAAGGGTTGGATGGCCATGGTACGTCCCAGATGGCATGCGTCTTTTGTGTATGCGTTGGGAGGGTGCAGCGCGGGTACTCGAAATAACAAACAAGCCTCGCACTGGATATTTGATGGAAATCCTCGGTATTCTTGGTAACCTTCCATCGCAGCATGGCCATCATTATAGCTCTCACCTCCCTTTATAGACACTCTTAAGTCCTGCATCGCGTCATATGCCGGGAGCGACGTCTGCAAGGAGGAGCCCGACCAGCGTTCATGCGCATGTGAGGGCAAAGCAAGAAAGTGAGTGTGGTATTAGTAAGTATTAAATGCTAATTGTCATGCGCGTGGCAAGGGCGGGTCTTTGGATTTCGATCCAGAACTAGTATGCTTTGAGGAAGTGCGGTAGATGTGTTGTCACGAGTCTAGTTCATATGACATTAGCTTATTCCGTAAAAGTATCTACACGCATGGTTTGACTATCATAGCTAGGCACCAATGTCACATTTTCAAGATCAGTCGCGTAAGCGGTAGGTTACCGTAGGTACTAGGTAGGAACAATCGGAAGTCCACACGAGCCTATTTGGAGTCAAAAGTATATATATATTTGGGTGATAATCGATAAAGGGGCAATTCCCTGCAACCATGTCTACTATCCCAACAACTGAAATCATCATCCTCGACACTTCAGAGGAGTTTCGAAAGGATGTCGTCTCAATTATAAGCCCTGCATTCGACTTAGTTTCAAAGGTTGATGGTTTCCAGGCGTGCGTAAGGTTCTCTTGCTGGTAGATATTACTAGCAGCATCGGACGCCCTAATCATGCTGTTATCGCGACAGGCCCGTTTACACTGGGATACAGATCGAGAACCCAACTACAGGATATATCATCCTCAGTACGTGTTATGTATTTTGCTGGTCTTTGAAAGGGGGCTCATTATGCCCTGGCTTTAGACTGGGAAAGCATGGCGCACCATCAGGCGTTAATGGATTCCCCCTCGTACGGTTCTGTGCTTGAAGCTCTGAAACCCGCCTTTGGGGGCCCGTTCAAGAACTATCATGTCATTTTCAACGAGCATCCCATCGCATTACAACAGCCTGTCACACATGTCCTCCTCCTCACGCTCAAAGATCCCAGCCATCGGGCAGAGGTATTCGACATCCTCAGTAATATAACGGTCTTAAGCAAGAAGATGCTCGTGTTCGGGCCTACACTGGAGAACGAGAATCAGATTGTTCTTGTCGGCGGCTGGGCAAGCGTTGAGGTAGACGTTGATATTATCATGATTTTGCACGTACTGATGCTGTTGTGGACCTCTAGGCTCACTTGGAGAGGGTTGCCACTGAGCCGAAAGCGGTGGTCGAACGGCTATTCGCTCTTGCTACCAAGGACCATTCGTTCCATGTTACTTTGAAGTCATATGCAGGAAACTAGCGGTCGGCAGGTGCGGTTAATTAAGGTCGAAATCAATGCATGTAACCTACATTATGAGCTCCTGTATCGCAAAGTCCACATGATGGAGAGGAATGTGAGGTATCGAAGGCACGCCCTGGCTATTTATCGGTCGGGGTTGCCAGGAATAAACTTCTGATCCGCTGTTCTGACGCAACTTAACTGTCGATGAGAAAACCCATCCAAGCACATTCTGGTCCCTGAGACATCCAAGACGAGTTCGTACCCATCGCAATCCGCCTGAATGGAATAGCCAGACAGGGGGCACTCATCGACGATAAGACACTGTAGCATGTTGCTCGCTAAGTTAGCTCTAGCGGTGCCGGCGATAACTTCAAAAGATAAATGAGCTAGGCGTTGCACCGTGCGTGACGGACGGGAACTTTATGACCAACCGACTTTGTCCTGGAGCTCCCATGGGTGGAGTGGAAGCCCTAACGCAAAAAACTTCCAGTGTCACCACGCGGGAGCCGGAGTACATCTTTCAATTGTGAACGGCGCAGCCGCGACATCGTTGAAACACGTTCACACTACCACGGCAGATTCACCGCACGCTATTATGGTAATGTCTCTCGAAGCACTTGCCGTTATCATGCTGGCTGATGCAGTCACCGAATGACCAACTCTTCGCAGCTAAGTCTGGCCCAGGGCAACTTGAACGCGGGCCGTATGAGGTGACCGGCGGAAGGCAGAACAATTCTTCAGCCATCTTCCTCCACATCTCTTCAGTGAGGACTTTCAAGACTTGGTTCCGGTGAGTTTTTTGCTGGTCCATTTTAGGCCATCAGCATTCGCGATATCGAGCAGTGTCGCGTTCAAGTGCATGTGTGTTAAATGTGTGTTGTCTTTTTTTTCAAGCCAGAGCAAACCACGGTGTAGAGTCTACACCGTGGGAGGCGACTTGATTAATTGGTTGCCAGTCGGTCCGAGCTTACTCATCTCTTTGTTCTCAACTTCTCGATCTTCATACGTGCTTACTGCTAGCACTGAAGAATTATGCCCGACGCGGATTTCACGTAAGTGCATGCCGCAGAGCCGTTCCAGTTCAGAGCTTATGAGTGCCATTGAAGTCTATATTCAAGTTGTCTTGGCGCCACCAGGAACACTACTTGTATGATAATGACACACTGCGCTGGGATTTCAGCCCAGTAAAACAATGAGGAACACCACAGTAGCATGCGATGACATGGCCGTGGTAGACACTAGTAGTATGGTACCTAGGGGGAGAAGACTACGAACATCACGCTCACTACTAAGAGTCCTGAGTTTCGACTGTTTCATCTTAACTCAGATACTTCTGCAAGCCAGCCCATTCACAGTACTCGTTGCAGATATGCTGCGCCTCGAACGTTGTCACTGCGGCCTCCATGTTGCCGTCACCAAAAATATCCAGCCCTCCGCTAACGGAGCTAACCATCATGTATAGTGGTGCATCAGTGGCAGTCAGAGCCTCCGGAAAGAGCTTAAGAATATACATACGGATCTGTCAATATTGCCGCCACACTCACAGGGACCGAGGGACCGCAGACCGAGGGACCGCACTCGAGTGACGAGGTCCAGAGGACATTCAGTAAAGAATGCAAGCACGAAAACATCATCCTATCAGCTGTAGTGAATATTTTGAAATTGATAGGGGAGGCTGTGGTCGAATGTACCTCTACGTGAGTAGAGCATACGGTAGGCTGTATATAATTGCAAGCGTCTCGAGGCCGTGCTTGGGGTGCACTAAGCTCTCCAGGCGTGCTTGCTAATCGGATGCGTTCGTTGGATGACGTATGACCACTGAGCGAGCTGTAAGAAGACGCACCGCAATATCAATCATGTCTGGACCTAGCACTGTCGCCTGACTATCGACGTGTCAGCATGATCCGCATATCGCAAAATTAACAGGGAATGAGCCTACAAGCAGATTGAAATCCTGTATTTCGGCGTTCAGCTTCTGAACGAAGGTGTGCCAGTCGAGCTGATTAACTATAGAGTCAACATAGAATTTGTGAAGAGAACGGACGTGCTCATAAGGGACATTGAAGGTGATCATGGACTGTTCCTCGTAGGAGTCACCATGTACAGTCTGGTCTCGGGAGGGTCGTACGCCTTGCTGCCCGTGATAATTAAGGTATTGACAGTGCCCTGGTGCAGGAGATTGGAAGACACCTTAAACTAGAACTAGGTCCCGTACTAGAATGATTCGTCATTCTCGCTAATGGTTACATGCTATGTATGTCATGAATATCGATCTATTGCACGCGAAATACGACTACTTACCGATCAAACATCTGTCATTCTCCACTTGACGTACACTAAGTTTTGCGATCTCGGGAGTTGGTGTGACCTACCATCCACATCTTTGACGAGGTCCAGAGTGGTCTTGAGGACATCAATGCTGAAGCACAGACCGCCAATACCTCCGAAGTCATCCAATCTGAAATGTGCAATCAAGCTCTCGTATGATGTCCCAGTAGTAAAGAAGAGCCTACCGCTTATCACAAACGGATGATCTGCTGCAATCGTCGAAGGACCTGAGAGTGGAGAACACTTGGGTGTGGGCATGACTCCATTTGCGTGAGCAGTCACCAATGACCATGCCTCGACTCGGATGTAGCCTAATCAGTACAATACATTCTGGTAGTGAAGCATACATTGATCGAATATACTCACAAACTGCTGTAGCGCATACCAGTACTTGCGTGGTGCTTATGCTCGGCATGCGGATATCCGAGTCAGAATAAGAGATACCTCGAATCATGACGCGGACGTATCACAATTAACGGTTAATAATTTTTCTAATGGTCGTACAGGGTGTTCGGAGGTCAATGGAAGCACTTGCCTCAATATTAGGCAGGTTCTGAGAAGAAGAAGTTGTAAAAGTAGAGCACGGAGGTCTGGCTTTCCATACACGAGTCTAGTTCATATGACATTAGCTTATTCCGTAAAAGTATCGCATGCTTTGACTATCATAGCTAGGCACCAATGTCACGTTTTCAAGATCAGTCGCGTAAGCGGTAGGTAGGAACAATCGGAAGTCCACACGAGCCTATTTGGAAATTCGTCAGTCAAAAGTATATATATATTTGGGTGATAATCGATAAAGGGGCAATTCCCAGCAACCATGTCGACTATCCCAACAACTGAAATCATTATCCTCGACACTTCAGAGGAGTTTCGAAAGGACGTCTCAATTATAAGCCCTGCATTCGACGCAGTTTCAAAGGCTGATGGTTTCCAGGCGTGCGTAAGGTTCTCTTGCTGGTAGATATTACTGGCAGCATCGGACGCCTTAATCATGCTGTTATCGCGACAGGCCCGTCTACACTGGGATACAGATCGAGAACCCAACTACAGGATATATCATCCTCAGTACGTGTTATGTATTTTGCTAGTCTTTGAAAGGGGGCTCATTATGCCCTGGCTTTAGACTGGGAAAGCATGGCGCACCATCAGGCGTTAATGGATTCCCCCTCGTACGGTTCTGTGCTTGAAGCTCTGAAACCCGCCTTTGGGGGTCCGTTCAAGATGTATCATGTCATTTTCAATGAGCATCCCATCGCATTACAACAGCCCGTCACACAGGTCCTCCTCCTCACGCTCAAAGATCCCAGTCATCGGGCAGAGGTATTCGACATCCTCAGTAAGATATCGGTCTTAAGCAAGAAGATGCTCGTGTTTGGGCCTACACTGGAGAATGAGAATCAGATTGTTCTTGTCGGCGGCTGGGCAAGCGTTGAGGTAGACGTTGATATTATCATGATTTTGCACGTACTGATGCTGTTGTGGACCTCTAGGCTCACTTGGAGAGGGTTGCCACTGAGCCGAAAGAAGTAGTCGAACGGCTATTCGCTCTTGCTACCAAGGACCATCATTTCCATGCTGCTTTGAGGCCATATGCAGGAAAATAGCGGTCGGCGGGTACGGTTAACTAAGGTCGAAATCAATGCATGTAGCCTACATTATGAGCTCCTGTATCGCAAAGTCCACATGATGGAGAGGAATGTGAGGCACCGAAGGCACGCCCTGGTTATTTATCGGTCGGCGTTGCCAGGAATTAACTTCCGATCTGCTGTGCTGATGCAACTTGACTGTTGATAAGAAAGCCCATCCATGGTCCCTGAGACATCCAAGACGAGTTCGTACCCATCGCAATCCGCCTGAATGGAATAGCCAGACAGGGGGACGCCACTCATCAACGATAAGACACTGTAGCACGTTGCTTGCTAAGTTAGCTCTAGCGGTGCCTGCGATAACTTCAAATGATAAATGAGCTAGGCGTTGCACCGTACGTGACGAACGGGAACTTCATTGACCAACCGGCTTTGTCCTGGAGCTCCCATGGGTAAAGTGGAAGCCCTAACGCGAAAAACTTCCATATGCCTCCTGCGTTCGGCGCACGATAACGGAGCTTAAAATCAACTACGCGAGGGCTGAACGTCGCCGGTGTCACCACGCGGCAGCCGGAGTACATCTTTCAACTGTGGACGGCGCAGCCGCGACATCGTTGAAACACATTCACACTACCACGGCAGATTCACCGCACGCTATTATGGTAATGTCTCTCGAAGCACTTGCCGTTATCATGCTGGCTGATGCAGACACCGGATGACCAATTGTTCGCAGCTAAGTCTTGCCCAGGGCAACGCGGGCCATATGAGGTGACCGGCAGAACTTGGGCAGAACAATTCTTCAGCCATCTTCCTCCACATCTCTTCAGTGAGGACTTTCAAGACTTGGTTCCGGTGAATTTTTTGCTGGTCCATGTCAGGCCATCAGTATTCGCGATGTCGAGCAGTGTCGCGTTCAAGTGCATGTGTGTCAAATGTGTGTATCTTTTTTTCAAGCCAGAGCAAAAGCCACCTAGGTCTACACCGTGGGAGCCGACTTGATTAATTGATTGCCGGTCCGAGCTTACTCATCTCTTTGTTCTCAACTTCATACGTGTTTACTTACTCTTTCACGGAATAATAGCTTCTATGTAGTTCATCAACATCTGATTTTGCATCCCTCCCATTTCTCTCCTCGTCACAGATCAAGAGCTTCCCAATGATGGGACGTCTATAGTGCCATTTTATGGTCAAAGATCTAGAAGTGTTTCAGCATTATAACAAAGGGAATGTAGCGGTCAGATCGCAGGGTTCTACTGAGCTTCGGACAGTCTGGTACATACTCCAAGTGGACGAAAGACAAGAAAGGCCTCACATGTGTCTGGGCGACAAGATGAATCTGCGCACAGTGCTACTAGCACTGATGAATTATGTCCGACACGGATTTCACGTAAGTGCACTGCGAGCCGTACCAGTTCAGAACTTATGACTGCCACTGAAGTCTATATTCAAGATGTCTTGGCGCCACCAGGAACACTACTTGTATGATAATGACACACTGCGCTGGGATTTCAGCCCAGTAAAAACAATGAGGAGCACCACAGTAGCATGCGATGACATGGCCGTGCACGTAGACACTAGTAGTATGGTACCTAGGGGGAGAAGACTACGCGAAGAAGACAGATGAGAGAAATTCAAAAGGCCGCTTACATTGGTGTGATCTGAATAATGTACTAATCTGGTCTGGATTGGATGTTTTTGTAGTAGAAAATAAGGTCCTGGAATGCCAAGTCTCGGTAACTGACTTACATAAACTACGTCTGTCTTAAACTTGCTCAGCCATCAAACTTATCTCCACGGCTCCGAGCTCGTCGCCTTGGCATGTGGGCATGAAAGTTTGGCTTCAAGCGCTTTTGCTAGTGGGAAAGAGTGGTTGGTTGATTCACGGGAGCATTGGAAAAGGAATCGGAGTCGATCACTGGCATTGAGTCTACGTCGAAAATGACTTCTTGGGCGACATCTGCAAGACACTGCAATCAAGCATCCGCACTTTCATGGAGGGGCCCAGCAGGCTGGCCTATCGGTGCAAGTTGTTTGCTTCACGTGAGTCGTATGAAAGTAGTCTCGGATCCCTTAGCAGACCGTTACAGAAGGAAGACAACTGTCCCTTCTTGCAGGTATCTCTACTGCACACTCTACCTTTGGGAGAATAAACTCGTCCAATCAATGGTGTCGCAGTTGAGATTCAAGGTTTGTGACTTGAACGGTGTGGCACACCACCACTAACAAGCTTCTGAATCCGGTACTATCAGCAGAAACCCACAGGGAAAGAGATGTACAGTCTCGTCTGCAAGCTGTTCAAAATTTTCGGGCTTTCAGATTTAACATTATCTATCTCCGAGTTACTTGCCTACCTGTCAAGCATAGCAATTTGTGAGGAGTCCTGAACTGGGATGGGTGCGCTGACCTCATGAGCTCATTCCAACGTTCGATCATATCTCCTACGCCATGCATAGTTTGCCGGAGGCCGAGGCGTGGCAACCGTGGCACGGTTCAAACTCCACCTCATGAGTTATACATACTCACGCTTGTCCATAGTTGACCGTATACATGAAACAGATTCGATATCTTACCTTCGTTCTCCTCGGCCGATTTTACTGTGGTAATTCATTCTTCCCTATGTACAGTGTCCCGTGCATTACCTTCCGTCGAATATGGACTTACTAATTGAATACCCGACAGCCCGGCGACTTATCATTAACGTCTTTGCAAGCATTCTTGCAAAACTTCCCGGGCACTCTGTAGAAGCTGACGTGGCTGAGAGTTTGGATATCCTAAACATCTTGACGAACTCGGTCAACCATCTTAATAACATGATGCGCGGCCACATGACATACAATTGGAGTGTGTCGGATAACAAATCACCTAGACTCAGACAAAGCCCTGACTGTCAAGATGCTTTCAGTGATGCATTTTCACGGCAGCGGTCGCCCGGAGGGAAACCTTGGTCGGTAACTGCGAAGGGATAATTCGTTTTACCCTCTGATTCAAAGGGCCTGTGCTGACATTTTCAAGTAAGCGAGCACTCCTGCTTCCAATTCAGGAGACAGAACCGGCGAGGGAAGAAAATTGACTAGCCAGCGCCGAAGACGGGCGTGAAACTCCTGATGATTGGATCGATACGACAAGGAGGTACGTTCTCGTTCGCTTAGCACCCTATATCAATAGTCCGCCCACATTGATCATTGTACACTTTCAGCCCCTTCCATCATTCCCACTCTATTATTCCCAAGTCTTGCTCCTTGAGTAATACGATGGACGCACAGAAATCTAAAATAGTTAGTAGTGATATGGGCACGGTTTAAACCAAGCTATGTACTGACCTTCTGGATGCCTCAGGCTGGTTCGACCCATCAGCCAGACCATCTATACAAAGGAAGGCGAGCTTCACTGCCTCTCGATATCGTAGTCATAGGATGCGGTCTGGGAGGTCTCGCCGCTGCATACTGCCTCGCACAGGCAGGCCACAACATCACCATCCTCGAAGCAGCGCCAGCCATCGGTGAAGTAGGCGCTGGCGTTCAAGCCAGTCCCAACGTCTCGCGTCTCTTGATGCGTTGGGGTCTCGGCCCACGTCTTGAGGAACTTGGCGTCAAGATTCAGGCTATGAGTCTTAAACGATGTGAGTTACGTTGAAGTATTCTGGCGCTCTTGCTTGATGCCAATCTCCAGGGAGCAACGATGAGGTCATAGGGTGGACGCCACTTGGGGATGTGGTCGAGAAGGAATACGGTGCTCCTTTCTACCTCTTACACGTTAGTCCTCTCCCAATCGCATCTATTCTTTCTGACGAGGCTAAAACAGCGAGCTGATTTCCATCGTTTGCTCTACGAAGCCACTGAGCCATACTGTAACATCCGTGTTAATAGTCGCGTCGTATCCGTGGACCCATCGAAACCCAGTGTGACTCTTGCTTCTGGGGAGGTCGTATCTGCTGACCTAATCATTGGCGCCGACGGAGTGAAAAGTGTTACTCGGGAGTATGTTGTCGGCGGGCCCGATAAACCCAGGGCTACTGGAGATGCTGCTTACAGAGCACTCATCCCAGCTGAGAAACTCCTAGAGGATGATGAGCTGAGACCATTGATGGAGAAGATGGAATCGAATATATGGATGGGCCCCGGAGGTCACATCGTCGGCTATACTATTGTAAGCCGGCCGTTCAGCTAACATGGTTAACTTCGGGAACTAATGCGAGAGTTGGACAGCGTGCCAAGAAAGAATTTAACCTTGTCATGATGCACCCTGATGATGCTGAAGAGGGCGTGGAATCATGGACTGCTGAAGGTAACGTGGACAAAATGAGGGAGTTCTACAAGGGATGGAGTACCACGTTAGTGACTCCATTTTAATCCCCGCCTTGTGCTCATGCTAACTGGTGGCACGGGACGCAGTATTCGAAAGCTTCTGGCGCTTGTTCCGTCAACGCTCGATTGGAAGTTGATGGACCGAGACCCACTGCCTTCGTGGATTCACAAGGATGGCAAGTTGGCCTTGTTGGGCGACTCATGCCACCCGATGCTGGTTTGTGTGAATTCTAGATCAAAATAGCGCACACTGAGTGTCATATCTTCCTAGCCGTACCGCGCACAAGGGTCAGCTATGGCGGTAAGGAGGAGTATCGATAGTAAAACGAGTGCTGACATCGGAGTTCTCTAGATTGAAGATGCTGCCGTCCTAGGAAACATATTCTCGCATTGCTCGGACCGCTCGCAGATCTCGTCTCTCCTCTATGCCTACCAATCTATCCGATACGACCGTGCTACCGCGACACAGAGGTCCTCAAGTCTAAACCGGTACATATTTCACAAACCCGACGGGCCAGAGCAAGAGGAGCGTGATCGCGACATGCGCGCGGCTACGGAGGATGCGTTGCGCGTTGCACGCGGCGAGCAGAGCACTCTTGTGCTTGCGGGAAATGCGAACCAGTGGGCTGATAAAACGAAAAGTGATATCCAATATGGATACGATGCGGATGAGGAGGCAGAAAAGTGGTGGCTCGCGAATGGGAACAAGCTTATGACTTCGGTTCCTTCAGTTGAACTCAAGCCAAGAGTTGCGCATTCTGCAAATCGCGATCACTAACTCCATGGGAGTCTTGGTTATTTATATCAGTTCCATTCTGGATTATTGGGTGATACACGGGTACCGAGTGTGTGGTGGCCGTTTAGCTCAGTAGTCCTATCCTACAATAGTACTGTACCTATTGCGCAGCCGACCTGTAACAATTTGAATTTTCACAATACTTATTCTGAAATATTCTGAGTGATGACTCCATGCAAAAAAATCCAGAGGTAGAACATAGTACAATCTTCGAGGTTCACGTTGACGTGTCGTTCGTGCGAAGAGGGGGGCCAAACGGAATGGAACTGTAACAGCGCACTACGTTTGTACATGCGTGTGATTAGGTGAGAGTAGGGTGTGACATGGGTGAACCCGGGTGGCACCCGTACCCAATCCGCGGGTAGGTGGCACTCTGAAGGCCTACCCGCACCCGTACGGGTCAGACTATCACGGGTGTGGGTGGATCCGTGGGTGGACCCGCAGGTGGTGCGGGTCACCCGGGTCACCCACGGGTGACCTAGTATATATTATGTACTAGTAGAACTGTAGGTATGAGAACATATGTATGAAATATATGTAAAAAAAATCAATCAGAATCGACGTCAATTGTGTCAGGGCGTGAGTCCTCTTTTCCCTTCCCTTCTCCCTTCTCCCTTCCCATTTTCCTTCGCATGATTTTTGTAGCGACGCTGAGATCGGGCATAAGGGGTGTGTTGAACCAAGATCCGACGGCGACCTGTGCCTTGAAGGTCTGCGAGCTGATACCATGCTGAAGGTGGTTTACTTGCAGACGGCCACCGGAGAACGCCCGTTCGGCATCAACTGAAGAAGCTATACGAGTGTCAGTACTAGTGGTGGATACAAGCACTTGTGAGTTGTCATACCAGGTGCTGACAAAAAATCAAGTGCCATTTGTGCTAGTCGAGGTCGAGTGGCACGGGCATTCTCCCAATATTGCAGAACTCCGCCTGCAGCATTGACCTCAGTCCTTGATACACGCGGGGAATCAAGGTAGGCTTCAATGGAGTCTGGGCAGGTGAAATTATCTTCTCCGTCCTCTTCATCACTCAGGCTGTGTGACATGTAACTATGTTACATCGTACAATTAAATAAGAGAGACACTCACTTATAATCTCGTCATCAGTATTGCTCCAGATTGCTATGTCGGACAGCTCTGCTTTGGCGCGCCGTTTCTTTTTTGGAGACTCTAGAACAGGAATCGGAGACGCCGCCGGTCTTTTGCGACTGCGTGTATTTGTTGCTGGCGACTTGGATGCCAAAGACACGTCCGAAGCTGAGTTGAAACTGCTCTCCGGCATGGAGGATAGAGGGTAACTGGCGACGAGAGAGGATGACAACTAGCTGTGTAGCACACATCGAATTTAAATATCTGGAATAGATGATGTCAGTTGGCGGCATGTTGACAGGCTCTGATAATGACCAATATCCATCTGAAACTAGTTCGTCATACAGCACTGCTTAGTACCGGTTCAGAACGTTCATACCACGTTCATAGTACCTCATCGTGCTTCATTTTGACATCGGATAAGTGCAAGTAGTAGTAGTGAGTCTAGTTCAGGGTACAATATTCATCTGAAACTAGTTTATGAGGTCTGTCACTTGGTACTTACCTCATCGAGCTTGATTTTGACGAGTCTGGTTCAGGGCATTCGGCCGTCAATCATTTCTCGTTGGGGTACTAGACCACCCGCGGGTACCTGCGGGTACCCGACTTTAGCAAATGCTCTCACCCGTACCCGCGCGGGTGAGCCACCCGCGCCACCCGCCACCCGTACCACCCGCCCCACGTTCCATCCGCGGGTGACACCCGGGCGGGTACCCGGGTGGCCCTCACCCATGTCACACCCTAGGTGAGAGGACTAGAAAGGTTTTCGGGCGAAGGGACTTAGCCGCCTAGTAAAGGAAGATAAGTGAGCTACGCGGGCGGGCGGGTCACCTCGCTGAGTCTTGGCCCCTTCAGGGCCCGTGTGAGAGTTTTAGGATTGTGATTTAGGTATTTAGCGAGGCGCTGAATCGTGCTGACGCAGGAGTCCAGGACGAAAGAGGGGCAGGAGGGTGGGAAAAAGAAACGACGAAGTGCACGGGGGTCACGTTGACTTAGCTCTATTTCCTCCGCTCGTGCCTCGCTATGTAATAGACTGCAGGTATCAGCCTATCAGGTATCTGACATTTGTGATGTCACAGCACGGTCACTAATCATGTGATGTTTGGTAGATTTGCTTGTCGTCTGCCTTATTTCCATATAACCTTGAGTCTTGACATATGGGCACGAAACTTTAGCTCAAGTACCCGTATCGTGACTCGATAAAACGCTTCTGGTAGTGGGAATTTGGAAAAGAACGGCTGATTCACGGGCCCAGCATTGAGAAAGGAATCCGAGTCGATCGATAGCATTGGGTTTGCAGACACTCGACGTCGAAAATGACTTCTTGGCTCTTCTTGGGCGACATCTGCAGGAGACTGCGATCAGGCATCCGCGTTCTCATGGGGCCCGGCAGGGTGGCCCATCGGTGCAGGTTATTTGCTTCACGTGGGTCATATAAAGGTAGTCTCTCCCTTGGCAGACCGTTACAGAAGGAAGAAAGTTGTCACTTCTTGCAGGTATCTCTACTGCACACCCTACATCTGGAAGAATAAACTCATCCAATTAATGATGAGATTCAAGGTTTATGACTTGAAAGGTGTGGCAGACTACATAGCACTAACAAGCTTCTGGATCCGGTACTATCAGCAGAAACCTACAGGGAAAGAGATTCACAGTCTCGTCTGCAAGCTGTTCACGGTCATCTATGTTTAAGTTTTTCGAGCATCCAGATTTAACATGATCTATCTCCGTACATCCGATGGTCTACCCGTCGAGCATGGTATTTTCCAGGAGTCCCAAACCAGGATAGGTGCGCTGACCTCTTGAGCAACTCATTCCAACCCGTGATCGTATCTCCTAGGTTGCCCGGAGGCCGAAGCATGGCAGCCGTGACAATGGCACAGTTCATATTCTACCTCATGAGCCATACATACTCACGGTATACACGCTTGTCATCATTCAGAACTTAATATACGAGCTATGGTTTATCCTTCCATAAGCCCATTCATAGTCGACCGTAGATTCGATATTTTGCCTTCGCTGCTCCTCGGCCACGGGGAATCTCCCGTTTTTAAAAACTTACTGCGGTAATTCATTCTTCCTTGCAGTACCCCTTGCATTACCTTTGTCGAGTATGATTTACTAATTGAATACCAACAGTCCGGCGACCGTACTGCAATCGTCTTGTCTCACCCACCCCTATCATCATTATCTTTGCAAGCATTCTGGCTTTGAATTAAAGCCTCCCGGGCCCTCTGCAGTCGCTTCTATGCCTGAGAGTTGGAAGATCTTAATAACATGATGTGCGTCCACATGACATACTATTGGAGTGTGTCGTGTAACACCTCATTTAGACACAGACAAAGCCCTAACTATCAAGGCGCTTTCAGTGATGCATCTTTACGGGAGCGGCCGCCCGGAAGGAAATCTTGGCCAGTAACTGCGAAAGGATAATTCGTTTTACCCTCTGATCCCAAGGACCTGTGCTGCCATTTTCAAGTAAGAGAGCGCTCCTGCTTCCAATCCACGAGACAGAACCCACGAGGGAAGCAACATGACTAGCCAGCGCCGAAGACGGGCGCGAAACTCCTGATGATTGGATTGATATGACGACATAAGGTCCATTCTCGTTCTCCTTAGCACCCTATATTAATAGTCCACCCACATCAATGATTACACACTCTCATCCCCCTCTATCGTCACCACTCCATCATTACCAAGTCCTGCTCCTTGATTGATATGATGAACGCACAGGAACCTAAAACAGTTAGTAGTGATGTGGGGCCATCAAAGCGAAGCTATGTACTGACCTTCTGAATGTCTCAGGCTGGTTCGACCCATCAGCCGGACCATCTATACAAAGGAAGACGAGCTTCACTGCCCCTCAACATCGTAGTCATAGGATGCGGTCTGGGAGGTCTCGCCGCTGCATACTGCCTCGCACAAGCAGGCCACAACATCACCATCCTCGAAGCAGCGTCAGCCATCGGTGAGGCAGGCGCTGGCGTTCAGTCCAGTCCCAACGTCTCGCGCCTCTTGATGCGTTGGGGTCTCGGCCCGTATCTTGAGGAATTTGGCGTCAAGATTCAGGCTATGAGTCTTAAACGATGTGAGTTACGTTGAAGTGTTCTGGCGCTCTTGCTTGATGCCAATCTCCAGGGAGCAACGATGAGGTCATAGGGTGGACGCCACTTGGGGATGTGGTCGAGAAGGAATACGGTGCTCCTTTCTACCTATTACACGTTAGTCCTCTCCTTATTGCATCTATTCTTTCTGACGAGGCTGAAACAGCGAGCTGATTTCCATCATATGCTCTACGAAGCCACTGAGCCATACTGTAACATCCGAGTTAATAGTCGCGTCGTATCCGTGGACCCATCGAAACCCAGTGTGACTCTTGCTTCTGGGGAGGTCGTATCTGCTGACCTAATCATTGGCGCCGACGGAGTGAAAAGTGTTACTCGGGAGTATGTTGTCGGCGGACCCGATAAACCAAGAGCTACTGGAGATGCTGCTTACAGAGCACTCATCCCAGCTGAGAAACTCCTAGAGGATGATGAGCTGAAACCATTGGTGGAGAAAATGGAATCGAATATATGGATGGGCCCCGGAGGTCACATCGTCGGCTATACTATTGTAAGCCGGCCGTTCGGCTAACATGGTTAACGTCGGGAACTAATGCGAGAGCTGGACAGCGTGCCAAGAAAGAATTTAACCTTGTTATGGTGCACCCTGATGATGCTGAAGGGGGCGTGGAATCATGGACTGCTGAAGGTAACGTGGACAAAATGAGGGAGAACTACAAACGATGGAGTCCCACGTTAGTGGCTCCGTTTTAATCCCCACTGTATGGTCATGCTAACTGGTGGCGCGGGACACAGTGTTCAAAAGCTTCTGGCGCTTGTTCCATCAACGCTCGATTGGAAGTTGATGGACCGAGACCCACTGCCCTCGTGGATTCACAAGGATGGCAAGTTGGCCTTGTTGGGCGACTCATGCCATCCAATGCTGGTTTGTGTGAATTCTCGATCAAAATAGCACATACTAAGTCTTATATCTCCCTAGCCGTACCGTGCGCAAGGGTTAGCCATGGCTGTAAGGAGGAGTGTCGACAATAAAACGCGTGCTGAAATCAGAATTCTCTAGATTGAAGATGCTGCTGTCTTAGGCAACATATTCTCGCATTGCTCGGACCGCTCGCAGATCTCGTCTCTCCTCTATGCCTACCAATCTATCCGGTACGATCGTGCCACCGCGACACAGAAGTCCTCAAGTCTAAACCGGCACATATTTCACAAACCCGACGGGCCAGATCAAGAGAATCGTGACCGTGACATGCGCGCGGCCATGGAGGATGCGTTGCGTGTTGCGCGCAGCGAGCAGAGCACTCTTGTGCTAGCAGGAAATGCGAACCAGTGGGCTGATAAGACGAAGAGCGATATCCAATTTGGATACGATGCGGATGAGGAGGCAGAAAAGTGGTGGCTCGCGAATGGGAACAGGCTTATGACCCTGGTTCCTTCAATTTGACTCGAGCCAAGAGTTGTGCATTTTGCAAATCGTGTCACTAACCCAATGTTTCTGCTGGCTTGGTCACATTTACAAACCACGTTGATTGTGTTATTAGATGAGTTTGATACAGCACGTTTGAACAGTTTCTTGTGATGATAACAGATCTAAGTACATGCGGCATAGAATACTATTAGTCGCAGGAGATGTGTCCCGATACGCTTGATAGCCAAATTACCAGATCTTCAGATGTAGCGCCAGCTTGAAAATTTTATTGCAAAGCTCGCTATAGATTGCTATGTCTCAGCTCAAGTCCTTCCCTTTTTATCTCATCATCTTTGTCACCCTCTTTAGATCTCCAGTGAGAATTCAAAGATAAAAGCCAACATTATACATCGACAACCACACCAGTGCAGTTGGATGCAGTTACTACGCGATCAAGATCACAATGACTGTACACTTAGTATAGTATTCACGCCAGCAGATGCTGTACCTAAGGGACAGCTATCTTCATTTTATTTAGTAGGTTCTGGTAGCATAACTAGCACTTGACAGATGCAACATGTACCAATTCTGAGGAGCTAATCATCAATGATGTTACAAGGCGAGTAATGTTACAGATTCAGACAATGTTACCGACCTCACTGCTACTTATTTAAAACTTCACCTCCCCAGTGAGTTCACCAGCATATGTGTATCCCATGTGAACTCGTAACATAGTGTTCGGATCAGCTGGATCATGTTTTCCATGTTTAGATTGGCCCGCCCACTCGACGTTCTGGCCCCACAGGTCGAAGAATCTTTGAATCTTCTCATGTTGTCCGGATGTGAGCAGGTATTCATACACTGCGCGCCATGCGCTGTCCAATGCACCGACGACCCACCTGCAGGTTACATTACGGGCCATAAGTTGTAATCATCAAAACGACTCAACGGCTTTTCACTCACGAATGACGAACGCTGATGGCCTCTCCAGCGAAATGGAGCCTCTTGTTGGCATTGGGTACGGTGAGAGACGTGTATAAATCTTGAAAATCTCCGGGCCCAAAGAACGCAAAGCCACCTGTAACGGAGAGAGTGAGAATCGATTGGCTCATGTCAATATTCAAAGACTTGCCCATGACGAACGGGTCGTCGCTCCAGTCCCATGCATGCATGTCTACATACTGATCCAACAAGAAACTATAATCCACATTGTGTACTTCCGCGAGATTGCGCAGCACGAGTTCCTTCAATTGCTCCTCATACTCTATCTTACCGGTGTTGATGAGCGCTCTCAAGCGTTCTGCATCATCTGTCAAACAGTAGCTCGCAATCAGCACTGTGGACGGTGTGCTAGATTCAGCACCGTGAGAAGGGTACATGATAGTTCGGATGGGAAGGTCAGTGGATGATTTGCCCCCTATGATATCGAAAAGTTCGGTCCACCACGCTGATCGAAAGCGCATGGCAACCTTTATTGAAGGAGCGTACTGCACTTTACGCAATGCATTTTTCTGCATCACATTTAAACCAGCACGTCCGAGTTCAATCATCCGTAGGCCCGGCAGAGGAATAGTCGATATAACGTGTGAATATGTGCGCGGGCTACACTCGCCCCTCACAGAAACATTCATTGCAATGTCTCCACTCTGAAGGATGCTCGTGACCTTCTTATTGAACTGGATGACAGGCTTGGTGCCATTAGCAGTAAGATATGCCGCCATGTAGTCGGTGAGCACTTGAGAACCGCCTCTGGGTACGGTGATGGTATGTGTGAGACTACATGAGTTCCAAAACAGGTGCGCTTACTCAAAACACTTCCATTCTACGCCTCCAAGGGTCTGCGACTCGACACTGGCTAATGCCAGCGCCTGAAAAACCGCTTCAGTTAAACCGCGGTCATACGCGCCCGTGCTGTCATCGAATGTCTCACACCAATGGATAACGTTAGCGGAAAGATGCGTGCGCGGAATTTGGAGGCTGGCGCTGGGAGTGTACTTGAGTGACATGAATAAGCGAAGTGAGTATGCATTGTGCTTCATTATGTTGTGCCAGCCCGAACGGTCATTTTGCTCCAAGTCTTTAATGAGGTCCTTAGCGAACGGCCGAATGACGTCCTGGACAATATTCTCAACTCCCGCGGCGATTGTACTGAGAATCCACACCCATTTCTCGGGCACGGAAGTCAGGAGGGCGCGATGTCTGAGAGACTTGATGACGTTGATTGTTGAAGTAGAGAAAATGACCCTGTCTCTTTGACGTAAAATGATAATCGATAAGTTGGGAGCTTAGAGGTGGCTTGGATAAACCCTTGTTAAGCTTCGAGTAGTTGATCAACTCGCCCAGGCGCGTCATCATGCCAATCTTGTAATTGCCTTGAGCGTCCTTCTTTGGCAGGGGAAACCTCATGGCGCCAACATCCTAGTTAGCAGGAAAGCCAAGAGTTTACATGGTCAGCATCTTTGGTGCAGCAGCATCGAATGAACGACATACGTAGTAGTCGTATTTACCACCATTCGGGAAGTTGTAGGTGAAGAGGCGTCCGCCGGTGCGGTTCGACGCCTCTAAGATCTCGTAGTCGATGTTTAGCGAATCTAGGATAAGGGCGGTGTATAGACCACCAACTCCCGCGCCTAGAATTCCAACTGTGCCCAGCGGGCCATAACCATGCTTAGGGAGCGCAGGTATCTGCAATGTCTCTTCATGAGGAGTCGCGGTGAGTGGGGGGAATGCCTTTGCGGAGAGTATCATCATGATCTTCGATGATTCCTCGACCCCAGTAGCCGAACACATCTTGGAAATCCATAGTAAGCGCACCTGGGATTGAAGATCGAATGTGTTGAATGTATCTCGTCTAGTAAGAACAGATCAAAAACCACCCTATATATCGTGCATATAGGTCGGAGAATGAGAAGGATCAGCCCATTCTGCGACTGCACAGTGCAAACAACATTTGGACAGGAACCTGAAGATATCGGATATAAAGTAGCTTCCCCGCGGTCGGTATTTTTTAGAGACGCCATCACCAGATAGAAGTATGCTGTCTCAGCATATTAACAATTCGAAGAGAAAGAAGTGGTATCGTACCCAGCTGCCTGATAATTTGGTAGGAGTAGTGGAAATAAGGCGAAAGAGATAAGTCTTGGTTAGTGGTCCTGGTGAATGCATTAGCAGGGGATCTGGTCCAGCAGAATAGTAAGACGGCGGGACCTTTCTTTGCAATATGGGATTATTTTTGCCAAAATTCTGAATTTGGAGTTGCTTCGAGGAACCAGTGTGTACGAGTGGGCCTTTGATGTTGTTAGTGCTGGGGGCAGAACTATTTGGAGGCAATTGTGCCGGCACAACCGGCAGAAGTGGCAGAACCGCCACTTCTGCCACTAGGCAAAACTATCAAAGCGCTACAGGGCTGTGCATATGACAGTATATCACTAGGAAACACCATTAGAAGACACCAGCATGTCCACATCTCACTGTCTGTTGTCGTGTGGGGTTTATTTCCACCATCCAGCGGCTACATCAATGTTGACGCCTGCCAGGTGCTGGTGTGCATGTGCGCATGACATCGATGAATTGGCCTGCCATTAGCCACGGCATTCTGATGACCATGGTAATGCAAAGTTGCTCAAATCTTTGCTAGTGCTTTTGAATCGTGTCTATTGTGAGATTGCAGCGCTGCAGAGACTGAGTGCTACACATATCTGAGAAGAGGTGTTCGACGTTGGAGAGGTGTATCCACAACTGTGTGACTGCATGTCATGAACAAGCCAAGAAGTGATGAACTTCGAAGTTCGCTTGTGAAGGGCACTACGCGGCAGCGATGCTACAAAGCCCGAAGGAGTGGCTGACTAAGCTACAGTGCCGCTACTCTACCTGGGTCCAATGTGGGTAGCATGGAGAACAATAATAGATGAGAGGGTGATTGCAAGTGCCTTCAAAGGATTCTACTACAGGTAAGGAATTCTGCAGTTGCTGATGAAGAAGGTTATTAGAACATCTTTCACTGTGATCCCCTGTAGTTTGACATTCTGCCATCTGCAAGGCAGAACCGGTTCTGCCAAACCGGCTGGCAGAATGGCAGACTTCTGCCCACAACACAAGATGTTGTGGTCATATGGCGGTCCAAACGCAACTTAATTACAGCTGTTTTCATAAATATGCGGAATCACTAAACTTGACACTTGCGTGTCGGAAATGTCCGATACCCGGGTTACAGTCACGTGCAATCATTATCTCTTCTCATGGATCGATCAACCGATTAAAAACCCACTAGGTTCTGAGAAAGGCTGCATATGTGAGGTTGCGTAAAATTATCTAAACTGAGCGACACAGATTATCTCGACAGAAAAATGAGATTAATAGTAAATGTGCACCGTTATACACCAGGGCTTCAAGCTAATTGTGACCGGTGACCGTCAGTCCGGCAAGGAAGTATATATAACATAATGAGGTAGCAGTACATGTGCAAGTGATGTCGACAACAAATGTTAAATGGATAGATAGCATGCGAACAAATCCGATGATCAAACACATCTGTCTTAGACGCGAAGTGTCGGTCATCATCACATCACAGCTCAACTCATCATACATTTGTCCTCTCCAGATCCTCCTTCACCTCCCTCGCCTTCTCCTCGCCTCTAGTGCTCGATACATTGCCCGCCAGCTGATGAAGCTGCACAGGGACAGGGTTCTGGAACAATACGAACTTCCTGAAGCTGTAGGGTATCTGCCGGAGGCCGTATGCAGCATGCGTGGCAACGTCGATAGCGAAAACTTGGTCGAGCTCCTCCAGGGTCTTGCCTTTCGTCTCGCGCACGAATAACAAGACGAGCACCCAGAGAATACAGCACCATGCTGCGTACCAGGCGAAGGCACCTTGTGGTTTGAGGGTCAATATGAGCGAAGGCCAAGTGATTGACAGAACGAAATTCCAGAACCAATTGGTTGCAGTGGCAAAGGACATGCCGATATCACGAATGTAGAGAGGGAATGCCTCTGCGCAGTACGTGTACGGTACTGGACCTTCGCCTGGAGAATAGAAGATTGCATAGAGGTCTGAAGGAGTGGATATCAATGGCAGTATATAGTACCAAAAGGATGGCGTACATATTCCGAGACTAACGCCAGCTAGACGCCCTGTTTCCGAAGTAATCCAGAAGGAGAAGCCCGCAATTAAAAGACAGATGGCCATGCAGGGAAAAGTGAACAAAAGTAAGTTCCTCCGTCCAAAAGTATCGATCTAGTGTTTCAACTTTGAATACTTATGGAAACCCCAACAACCATGGAAGGGACCACTCACGGTGAAAACAGCAGGGAGGGCGAACAACCAGTTAAGTATACCGAATACAAGGGAAGAATCCAGTGCCGAAGCCCGCGAGAAACCAGAAGCCAGGAAGATGTTGGACGAGTAGTAAGCTGCCACCGCGTTAATAAATACTTTCAAACTATGGACACAAACCTCATACCGATGACATTGACACCGCAAAACTGCTGACCGAACATGACAATCCAACTAGCAGCGGCAGCATGCCTGTTACGCGGAATCGTGAACATCTCAACAAGACGGTTTGCGATCCTTCCTCATCTCGTTTTCCGCCTCGAGTGCCACGTGAATGTAGTACAAATCACGAGCAGCCTGAACGTGCGAGAAACGAAGCCGACAAAGTGCATCGAAAGCATCCTCGTAGCGACCCTTGGAGATCAACCAACGAGGCGACTCGGGCACAAATAAGACTTGCAGGCAGACAATGAGACCAGGGATACCAGCAGAAGCTAGCATGAGTCGCCAGTTCAGACCAGTCACACCGGGGGCGTCTGAAATGTAGTAGAATACAGAGTCGATAAGGTCTCCTAGAGCAATGCCGAAAGCGGTCCACATCTGCCACATCATGACGAGGGCACCACGTATTGGTGCAGGTGAGCACTCCGCGGTATACACTGGGACAGTGGCAGATTTGGGACCAATTCCAAAACCAAGGAAGAACCGTGAGATGAAAAGGTGCCACCAAGTATTGGTGAATCCAGACCAGATACATGTCAAGAACGAGATCATACAAGTGATGAAAATGGTCTTTCTACGCCCAAAATAGTGGTTGAGCGGATACGTCATCCAACAAGAAATGGTGGCACAGCATCTGTGAAGTGATGAGGAACAGTATCCTGCAATTAGAACAAAGCACACACAAGTAGGGTGCAGAGTTGATGAGACCGACCAACCATGAATCGCGTTCTGCACACACAATTTATGAATGATGATGATCGGAATGATAGAAGAGCTTCTACGCACGACTATTCGAATCGCCAATGCCGAACTGCTTGGGATAAAGGATTTGAGCGCCATTGATAACAGCCTCGTCCATTCCCTGAACAGCCGCTGCAAGTGATGACATTACGACCATCTGTTTTAAACGGTGTGAGTTATGACAAACAGTCCAAAAGAGGGCAACTCCAACATAATAAAGCGTGCGCGTTTGTCGCCACTTGTGCGTAACCTCTTCTGTAAAAATTCGTTTGTCTTCATCCGAAAATATGGGCAGATGATTATAACCTGCACACCCAAAGATATCAAGTCAGCTAGGGAAATGTCTCTCAAGTTAACATACACGTGGGATCCTGGGCAACAAGCGCCCCTTTCTTGAGCTCAGGCAAAAGATGGGTCATTCCTCTCTCCTGGGCAAAAATTTCAACATCCGCCATGAGACGATCATGAGGTATGCCGCGCAAGGGGTTTGATAACTTGGCATTGACGTTACTGACAGAAAGCTTTGTGTCAGTTGTGGGCAGATGACTCAAGGGTGATCCCATACGCACGCAGCTCTTGCCCCCGCATTTGATTTATGGCGGTGGACATGATGTGGGTGGTGCGAGTGGTGCGGGTGCTCTACCACGGTATCGGATTTTTCATTCGAGGGCGGGGACGTCGACATTACAGTCATAGGCATGCAGCATGGAAAGGTGTGCGAAAGGCACCACGCGGGGACTAGAAAAACGCTGCGCCACGTTGCGACTGCTGTAATAAAACTTGAGCACAGCCTGTGTGGATAATCAGCTAATGGTGACATGAGGCGCACGTATAGTTATTGTACGGACGAATCAATAGCGCGCCGGACATACCATTGCATGATAAGGCGGATCGTAGTCATGGACGGAACGACAGCCTACAGCACACCGAAACTGCCTTCAAACCTCCACGGTCAACTCACGACAGCAATCGAGTACTGTCACAAACAGGGATATATACTTAGTGAGCATCAAAAGCCGAACATTATGATTACGAAGGACGACAAAGTGTATCTCATCGATTGTGATTGGGATGGACGCGAAGGCGAGGCCACATACCCTTTGGCTGAGTCCATCTCTGCCGGCATTAACTGGCCAACGGAGGTGCAAGCCCAAGGATTAATAGGCCTTAGGCCTTAGGGCTGATACTGAAACAACATGATCATACTATGGTCCTATGGATCATAAGTTACTCGGAGATGTTGAGCGGCGGAGTTTGAATTTCACATACACCCATGATGAGTCATGACCCATCCTTTTTCTCTCATATTCGTATATCATGTTCGCTCCCCGGGAGCATCAATATTAGGCCTCGCTGAACTCATTTCTGACTCTTTCGACTCCAGAAACCTTGAAGCCTCTTTACCCATACCTTGATCAACTTTTGAATATCGAGCCGAGGCCGCTTGCTTAGCATATCGCACCTAACCGCCTTTACAGCACCTGATTCGTGCAAACCATTATCACTATCGAAGATTCTCTTATTTTTACTCTCCGTCATGCGTCATTTGTATATTTAAAGCCAAGAAAATGACATTTCGCAACCGAGTTCTACGCACCGACTCGGAGTTGATTCTTACCCAGTGTTCCAATTGCACCAAGTTTCGTAACAACTCAATCGTTCCTTTGCTGATGACATTTCGGTTCGATAGCGCGGAGTTCAACGTACACCGAGATTTGTCATGTCGAGATCCTTTGCACTGACACATAAATCTAAGTATCGGCCCTCCACGAGCAACTTTCCAGAGCATACCACCCTCCCCAAATCATTATCAGCTCTTCTGGGTTTCTGGACAAGGAACACGAGCATGTGTCACCTATACAACCATTCCCAACGAAGCGAGCTCGACGGCTGCCTGCTCCCCCTGGCGTAGTTTCAAAAATAACTCGGCATGAGTTGTGCAATGTGCATGATAGACCTCCCAATTTTTCTGCTTTACCCTCAGGGTTTGCATATCTACATTCCAGATCCGCACTATCACTGAGTACTGATGTCCCAGCTGTACATAGTACCAACCCATGATCATGATAATATACAATGCAGTAAGCCTGCAAGTTTCCAAACTACTAATACAAAGTTCCTTCAGCAAATCCAATACCGAATGCAGCTTTTATCCACTGTGCACCCCGGATACAGTCTTCGCAATATCAATGCTGGTAGAAGCATGCCTCCCAATGCCTCACAGATGCAACGACACTACATCATCCCGTCGACTCTTCTTACAGGCGGCTTGCTGGAATGGGCTTATACACCGCAGCAGTGAGCGCTCTCACCGCCTCCTCCGAATGAGGCGGATACCTCATCGCCAGGTCTGCCTCGGCCCTACCCAGATTCAGATCAATCTTCCAAGCGATAAAAAGGTAACCAAAAGTAGAACTCACTCCTTCGGCATGTCAATAGAACTACGAAGCTGCGTGAACGTATCGTATGTATGTTTCATAAACTGGTATCCATCTGTCAGGGATCCAGAGTGAGCGGTGCTCCCTCCTAGGTAGAGTGGAAATCTCACAGCCAGACTCGCCCACCCCCGTAAATGGCAGTTCGCTCACTGGCCAGCGGATTTGTGTGAGTAGCAGTACGAGCATGGTATTAGTACGTACCGGCGAGCTGTTGGAAGGTGTCATTGAAAACAATACCACCGCTCTGTGTTTCCGAGACAACTGTTGTAGAAAATTTGATCAGTATTTTAGCATGAACCGACCGTCATCAGCCAAGTGAAACATACGCTGTTGCTTCAGGCTCTCGTTTTCACTGAAAGCGTACAAAACTAGCGGATGAGATCTATGTGCGATAAATCAGTCGATGAGTTGGATTTTGGGAGGAGAGCTTACCGTGCATTAACAAAGTTGATTGCCTGTTGGAGAGAATCTACGGGCACGATAGGTAATATCGGACCAAAGATTTCTCTGTAAATACCATACTATCAGAATCACACTTCCAACAACAGGGAGTACTGACTCTTCTAGCAAGGAGTCCCCGTCGACAACATTCTTAACAATGGTGGGCTCAAGTCTCCTCCTTGCGGCATCAGTGCGACCCTGAAGGACAACTTCACCCTTTGTGCGGGAAAGAAGTGAAGTGAGGCGTTTATAGTGCGAATCTGACACGATGCTTCCGAACAATGGCGAATCCAGCGCACCCTTGGGGAAGAATGCGTTATAATGCTTCTGGAATGCTTTGACCAGCTCATCCTGCTTGTCCCGCTGTACGAGGACGTAATCAGGTGCCACGCAGATCTGCCAGAATTCCCGATCAGTACGCCGCATCGGTGAGTAGCTCCAAATTTGTCAACACCAACTCACCTGTCCTGCATTGTTGCACTTGCCCCACAAGATCCTCTTGGCGGCAAGATCGATATCGTATGCAGAGTCGATAATGACAGGACTCTTTCCACCTAATTCCAGTGTCAGTGGCGTCAGGTGCTTAGCCGCAGCGCTGGCGACGATCCTGGCGACCTTGCCATTCCCCGTGTAGAAAATGTGGTCCCATTGAAGCTCGAGAAGCTTTGTAGTTTCAGGCACAGCACCATTGACAACACGGTACGCATTTGGGTCGAGGTACTTTGGCACAATTTCTTCCAAGAGCTGTGAGAAGGTGGGGAGAAGCTCAGAGGGCTTTAGTATGGCAGTGCAGCCTGCTGCGATTGCTCCCATGAGAGGTTGGAAACTGAGGATCATAGGGTAGTTCCATGGTCTGTTTAAGCGCGATGTCAGGAAGCGGGACTGAGACAGTATGTTCCGTCTCACGAGATTATCAACGCAGTGCCCTTCGGAGCCTTATAGATCCTGGTACATGTATAATTATGAGTGACATTGAAGGATCAAACGATCACTCACGTGGGCCTCCATGACTTGCGCCGATCGGGCACGTCAGGATATTCAGTCTTGGCCCACTCTGGGAGTTGCTTTGCACACTTGACAGCTCTTTCGACGATGCTGCCCACTTCATTGACCAGGACCTCTGTTTTTGGCTTTCCGAGATCTTTCTGTAGGGCATCGCAAATGAGCTCCCGTTCATTCTGGGCCATGCGTGCAAGCTGGTATAGCTGGTGCTGACGCCACGGTAAGGGACGTGTCAAACCGCTACGGAACGTCGCTTGAAGAGCATCTCTGATCTTCAGAGCTGACTTAGATCATACAACAAGTGTTGAACAAACGTGACTTACCTTTGGAATTGTACTAGCGAAGGTCGACATCCTTCAGTCGCAGATCAATCGATGGAAGTAAAGTCAAGCTGTATAGGCTGGAGAGATGCTAGCAGTCTGAAGACCAGACGTTTTGCGCAAAGGACAGACAACGGGAAACCAAATTGCTGCGTGCCATCACGGTATTTAAAATGAGCGGCATAAATAGGTATTACTACGGATCCTGATAAAAGCTGCAGTAGTACGCCTCGTTTCTCTCCTACATACCTTTGCATCCAAATTAGGTTAAGTGACGTGACAGATGTGGCGAGGCCAAAACTATGCAACACACTGTAAGTAGTTTACATAATTAGTATCATATGCATAGGTATCACGCACCTATTATATATGTGTTAGCCACGCCACTGACGAGTTCAGACCTACGAGTAGAACTTTCGGACTCGTCAAGACAGTTGCAATTGGAGCCCCTGAGACACAGTCGTGACGCGACACTGTCACAAATCCAACCGCTCGACGGGAAACGAGATTACCGAGTGCACATCACGGCAATTGAAATCAGCGACAGCCGTTTTACAACAGATTGTCACGGATCATGATAGCATAGGTATGACCTAGCTATCCCTCTCCGTAGATCTGTACCTTGACATGTTAGCCACGCCAAATCTCGGTTGATGAGCTCACACCTACTTTGTGATGGAAGCGAAAGTCTCAGACTCGCCAAAGGCAGGTGAAATTGACGCGGCAAGTACTGTCACAAATCGACCAACGCTTCAAAATGAAGATGCGGCGGCAAGTCGTCCGTGTGTCTCATCGATGCGAAGAGCTTCCTCTTCACATCCGAGACATGCGCGTAGCATCCCAAATTTTTATTTCCTTTTACGACTTTTAGCCTAAACGTTAACGCAACGTTACATAACGCCTCTTATCTCTTGAACACGTTGTGCAGGGCACCAACTTCTCTCTTTCATCGTCCAGCATCACTTCCTCTCGTATGCGCTTCTTATCACTCACTTCTCCCTTTCATGCTCGTACATACAAAAGACTCCCTGTATTCATGTATACGTTGTCGAATCCAGCGCGTTTCAACCCCACAGAAGCAAACGTCCTTTAACCGTTTCAATATTTCAAATATTTCTTCGAAAACCCACTAGCGAAATCCTTTTTACTCGTTTCGGATGCATTCCCCGTCGAACTCACGCGTCAGCCTTACAAAACACCTCGAATCCTCGTTAATGATCAACATATGATCAATGTCCATCTACGTACAGGCTCTCCGAGTGCTGCATTCACCCACATTTAAGGTGCTCTGCGTTCGTACTACTCAGAATCTGGGATGCATCAATGAGTAGTGTGCATCTTGTATTGCCTCTAACAGTGATCTAATGTTGTTTTTCAGATGCAGCGCAAAGTATTGTCTCGCCCTCATTCAGGCTGGGTCAAGGACCACTTATATCACGACACGTTCTCCTCAACCTCCGTACGGATGCGAATCTCCACACTTACCTATACCACGTCAAATCCCACCCTGCGCGTCAGCACTTCAACTGTCAGTCTAACTTGGGTATATTCTCAATCCCTCATAATGATTGATTTTATCACAGTGTCTCCTTAGGTCACCTTTCGTCCTAACAGAATTAGACGTCATACGCTATAGTCGTCCACTTTTATCTCATCTCTTATAACCGAGAGACGAACCGGTATCGCGCTTTTGGAAATCACGGCTTTTGTGAGTGCTTTGAGATATGGAGTACACTCGTTTGGACCATTCTCTAGGACTTTTTCTATTCTACAATCTACAGAGATAGGCGATCATAATTATCGATTGATATCGTGGCCCCTTATTCAGCGATAATTCGTCTTCAGACGAGCAATCCGAAGCTGTTTCGCTGCGACCGGCTCTTCGGAAGAATTTGCACCGATTAAACGTCGACATGCTTCGCAGAGGATCCGGAGAGGGAGGAAAAGAAAATAGACATTGGCTAATGTAGCTACTTCTATGCGTCCCTAGGATGGATAAAATATCGAATGTACAACTTGATCTGCGAGTCATTGGCATAAACTTGAATATGGGAACGAGAGCCCAGCCCAAGACTTGCACCAGCGCTGTGTCGATGGCCCAGGCTCGTCACATGCCCGTCCCGAAAACGACTACTACAAGCGACAGTTCTGAAACCCCATCGTTCACGACCAGAACCCTATGGACCATCATGCATCATCGACATCTCTAGCTCTGCTCTCACTCTGTTTGCGTGCATTTATAGTAGTTCGAATCACTACCATTCACCCCAATATCCCGAGTCCCAAGGACAGTACCAATCACATCCTACGGCATCGGCTTGGCGTCATGATTATGGCACTGATCGCCCCAGAACTCATTCACGCCAGTGGTTCAGCGCTCATCAAATTACGAGATAGTCCAAGGATTCAGGATATTAATTCAAAGTTCAAGTCAATCTGGAAGTGAGTTGTGCTTTTGGAAATTCTGCATCTGCAATTCACTACTATACACGTCCTTAGGGACTCAAAGGAGTCCGTCAAAGCATATGACTCAGCGGAGCAACGGGAAATTTTGAAGGTAAGCTCGATCCGTTCACCCAAATGTTCGACTCGTGTACATCCTTAGATCGGATATGTTGATGACCCCCAGACCCTAACGAAAAACCAGATCCACGACAAGAGCAAAGGCAATGCGATATCGAAAGGATTCAGCTATGAGTTATCACCTACACCGTTATCATATCGAAACCACCCAGCTCGAAGCGGGGACACTCGCTTTTCAGTTCTCAACTTCCTGACCTATGCTAGTGGTGGAATAAGAGGCTCTCGACGTGCAATGTCCGCATCCAGTGTACTAGGTCAAACCTAGAAAAGTATTTTGATGAGTATGTCTGCACCTCAATCGAATTATACCGCTGCTGATTATGTCTGCCTTAGGGTTGGTGAAAGTGAAGGACTCGTCACTCGAGGCTCAGGATAATGACTCTCTAATCTTCCGCCTGATTCTCGAACTGATCATCAGGTTCGTCTGACATTCCAATTTCCCGCATCCCGAGTTCCAACATCTGACTCAGATTGCAGCAGCGGAATCGAAGATTCGGACGCCAATAGTCTCGTGTTTGCTCATGGCGACCATATTTGACGGTATCCATTGTATGGCTTGGTTATCTGCCTGTCCCACATACGAGGAACAGGTGCTATTACGGTAATAGCGCACAAGTGCTGTCGCTATTAGTGAGTATAACTTTCACATCCTTGCTTTGTTCTCTTACGAAATTCATACATAATTCAGTACCAGAGGTCGTGTTGATGTGTACGGCCCGATTTATTTGGCATCCGCCGTGTTATACATCATCTACTACTAGCTCGCGCCGTCCTTATCATGATGTCCCCCACTTTACGCGATCTTCCTCCTGACGCGTACAAGGCTGTGTAGTAGATTAGTTTGGTCAGCGCACACTGAGAGTGAACAGCGGAATGCATGTGGAGCTCAGGTGGAGTACACGCATGGGAGTCAACCGTTCTGTCCTCACATATGTTAGAAGTTACTTAAATTGCTTGACATTTCGTTACACGAGTTCCCAATAAACCAAGAAACTGCATTCAGTATGTATAATGTGGAGTAGTGACTGCCGCGGCAAAAGAGGGATGGCGCAACCATTGAGATTAACGGACAGAAGGCTGAACTGAGCATTCCTAAAGCAAAGCAGCGCGCTGCTGCTTAGAATGTCAATGCTTTCGTGGATATTCGTCCGCAGAGTGCACCACCGCTGACGAGGCTGGCCGCAGGCATGCTTTGTACGTTTTGATCAACCTCTATCTCGGTACCTTCAAGAGCTAACTGATGGTTTGTTCAGCCTTGTCTCACCGCTTGCGTCGTATATGGCTGGCCATACACTGGAGGTAATGAGCGGACGAGGAATCTAATGTTGCATTCTATTTCATGGCAATTATCTCCTGTGCAGTTGTATTATTCTTCATTGCTAGGACACCGAAACTTCAAACAACTCACGAGCAGGACGATCATGCATTAAGTATCATTTTTTCTTCTCGTACTGATGAGCACATCGAGGGAAATGTTAGGCCCATCGACGATATCACCTGGTGAAGAAAAGTTATCTAGAAATTGAAAGTAAAAGACCGGTGGCGCTTCTGTTCCATTTCACGGGTATCGCGTAGGTGCTTTTCTTCTTCACAGGTCGGGCTATTGGTCGTCCTGCTCCGTGACACAACCAGTATTCTAGAGTCAGGGTCCATCCCATCTAAATTCGACGTCGTACTCGAGATTGAAAGTTAGTTCAATCACGAGGTCTTATTGAAAATACAGCATCCATGTCCATCCGCACGACTTTAGAGCTACATCATCCCTGCTCAAGCCAAGGCCTAGCGGAGGCTGCGCAAGAAGCAAAGAGAAATCTCCAAGACAAGACGTTCCGAAAGGGAGTGCGTCGTCGGTCTATTGATAATGCAAAACATCAGACGAAAGAGCCTATGGCGCGTAAGATAGCGTGCTTACACAGATGACGATAGGATGGTCATTCACTGGTTGTGTGCCTATCAATGCGTTGCCAGCCTGGCATGAACATGGATGCTCCTATATTTAAACATAGAAATCAAGAAATTCCCTTTAAAAAATAAAGCAAGTACCTCTCACGAGAGGGGCACCAGAGACCCAGTACCGGAACCAGCATAAACACAGTCCATCTTCACATCCGGGAGCGGATGATCGCTCGTCCTTGTGTAATTGTCATGTCAGAGCAGTAGCATCGTGAGCATATAAGTACCCTACCAGCATGACAGTACGGGATTCCATCCTCCTTATGTCCCCACCACATCACAGGCGACCACTCGTCTATGAGGTTGGCGAGCGTCTGGACGTGGCCGTATGCAGCCGGTTGGGGGCCACGAGGTCGGCGCAGTGCGACGAAAGTGAAGAAACAGGCAAATATAAAAAGCGCAATGCACAAGTTCCAGATCTGCACGAGGGTGTGAGGATGTCGTAGCAGCTTTACACAGGCAGTAAGTGCGAACCTGGGTAGTGTTCATGATTACCGACAATATTTCCAGTTGTCCTTGTTGGGCGATGTCACCTATGTTGAATGCAAGCCCAAACATCCAGTCTGTGATCGTCGACAATGATGTTCAATGCCACCGATACAGGCATGAATGACTCACGCAGGAAAGGCTTCGTGACGAAAAGTACAAGACAGATCGGATGAGTGAACATTGTCTTCACTGGGTTCGTCGCCGTTTTAAGCCCTTTCCTCCCAGTAGCACATCTCCACTGTCTCTCGTCTCGAATGACATTTGCGATGAGCTCCGAGCAATGCAGCCCAAGCGTCAACGGTCCCTGGATAACTGCCATGTTGACAAAGAGTAGAATCCACATCCCAGAATTGCCACCCAGCATAACATACTGAATGGAATTGACCCCGTTGGGCAAGAACGACCACGTTTGTGGGATAAGCACACCAGAGGAAGATACCCCCCCGCCGAAAGACTTGTCCCAGATGTACGTGACAAGTGCGGCCCATACAGTGCATGCTGCAACGATCCCCCAAAGAGAAATGATAACTTTCCGGATGCTAGGGTGAGCATGCCACGCAGAGGGCTGTATCTCTGGTGGCTTCGCTGGACCTCCATATGTGTCTAGGTCAGACACACAACGCATGCACCGAAAAGTAGCAGGGGTCAATTGCGTGTGGTGGACCAGTGCAGCGGTTAAGTCGAAAGGTGAGGAGCTCCACGTCAATATTTTGACAGCCCGCATCCCTGACAATGCGATCATCACCTGGAGGAAGAGTGCGACGCCCAAAATGAGGAGAGGTACCGCTGCGATGGCAACACCCTCCTCAGCCTTGCTTGACATGCCTGGCATGACTTGATAGTTGAGACCTATGACGAGTGAGGCCGAGCTGTAGGACACAATGAGGGGGACAGCCGAGATGCCGTTAAGCAGGGCGCCGTTAGGGTTATGCCATCCACGAACTCCAGTTAGAAGGCGCAGATTGGTGTTGAAACGAAGCCGAGACTCTGAGGCCAGCGCAGAGCGCAATGAGAGGCTGTGTACGAATCCTATGGACTCAGTGCATAACGTGACGATTAAGTTAAGTGTCATGGACAATATCTTCCCCTGCAACTCCAACTGAGCGAGCAGATCAGGATTGACCAGGTTGAGCGTGGTTACTCCTCTGACTCCTTGATTGGCTAAAGTGACAATGCCTGCAACGATGCATAAGCAGCTGAAGATACTTGAGCATGCCACTCCGACAAGGGCATATCTGCGACTCGTCAGACTGCGGTCGTAGAAATCGGTTCTAGTATCAGCAGTGAACTTTGCATCAGATATCATTGGGTCAAAGTCCTGGTGATTCGGGAGTGCGTCATATGCAAGAAGACCGGACGGATGCGAACTTTCATCTGTCGATTTGGAAGAAGCGGTCATGGGAGGCAGAGACAGAAGGGCTGGCACATTATGGACAAGCAGATTAGATGTATTTCACTTACGAGCATAGCCTCTGGCGCATGTGATTTTGTGATGGAAAGCGGTCGTGCGACGGGGTATTTATGTGTATCCAGTGCACCGTTGATTCGCATCACAGTGTGGCAATACTGAAAGTGCATGCTGTACAGGCCCGAGATATACTAAGTAGCAGCCTCGTTCATGTCACGTGGTTTGAAATGAGCGGAAGCGCCATGTGAATTGATCTGCAATTATGGATTGCTACGATGATGATGATTTCTAGGCGGTGGGGTGAGTCTCGCACTACTTTAGTGGCAACAGTTGTCCACGTGTTGACGATGTAGGTGCCTATGAATATTAATGCAAATTAGAAGGTCTATCAGGAGCGATCATAGATGCAATCACATCAGGCGACGGACCGTTGTACAGCTGGACTGTACACGCTACCGACAACAAGGGTCGGTTTATTTGCCCGAGAAATACGCCTACTACCCCTTATTAGGATCTTTTGATCAAAACGATACCCTTGAATGGAGAGTCCTTGATAAACCAACATTGTCCTCTACGAGTACGTCCCATCCATCTCCCGGCCGCCCGTCCCACACGCTCCCTCGCTCTTCCAGTCAAACAAGCCCTCGACGACTTAACAACATACATCATACCCATCACCGCCCGCTCACCAATAGAATCACTCCTCATCCAGTCCAAGAAAGCCTCTATGAGTGGTGTCCTCAAACCAGTGTGCGTCACTATCCCGCATCGAGGACTGCGAATCGATGGAGTGGAAGCTGCTAGGGTGTCGTTCGAGGCTACGAGGGATTGGTTCAAGGCGTTCGCACAGGGCTGTTAGTCGTGCGGTGGTGTACATAGCAAAATCATATGGGCTGGGATCTGCCCTTGATGTCGACCGTCGAAATTTGGTCTTCGCAATATCAATGCTGGTACATGCATGCCTCCCAACATCTCACACATGCAATGGCTACTACATCATCCCTCATCAGCTAAGTGAAACATACGCTGTTGCTTCAGGCTCTCGTTGTCACTAAAAGCGTACAGAAACTAGCGGATGAGATCTATGTGCGAGAAGTCAGTCGAGGAGTTGGATTTAGGAGGAGACCTTACCGTGCATTAACGAAGCTGATTGCCTGTTGGAGAGAATCCACAGGCACGATAGGTAATATCGGACCAAGGATTTCTCTGTCAAAACCATGCTATCAGAAACACATTTCTAACAACAGGGAATACTGACTCTTCTAGCAAGGAGTCACCGTCGACAACATCCTTAACAATGGTGGGCTCAAGTCTCCTCCTTGCGGCATCAGCGCGACCCTGAAGAACGACTTCACCCTTTGTGCGGGAAAGAAGGGAAGTGAGGCGTTTATAGTGCGAATCTGACACGATACTTCCGAACAATGGCGAATCCAACGCACCCTTGGGGAAGAATGCGTTATAATGCTTCTGGAATGCTTTGACCAGCTCATCCTGCTTGTCCCGCTGTACGAGGACATAGTCAGGTGCCACGCAGATCTGCCAGAATTCCCGATCAGTACGCCGCATTGGTGAGTAGCCCAAAATTAGTCAACACCAACTCACCTGTCCTGCAATATTGTTGCACTTGTCCCACAAAATCCTCTTTGCGGCGGCATCTCGTAATTAACAACAAATGGGTGCGCGGGATCATCGGATGCGAGTAATTACATTATTTTTTGAGCCGATTTATGATTATTAGGATCCAGGCGAAGCCGGGGCCTGAGGAAGCCAAAAAGGAGCGCGGAGCGCTCTGTTTGAGACCGCGGCCTTGGCTTCCTGTGTCGAAGGTTGATTATACTTACCGATTACAGCATACCACCAACAACTGATGGAATGATCCTTTGAGAAATCCATTAACAACTATGTATCGTAACGGCGCCAAGTTGGTCGGCCGCGCTAGCGCTGGCAAAGTAGAATCAACTTTCGACATTTTCATGCATGGCAATGATATTGTCTAAAGCCGAATTGAGGCAGGTCCTACTACATAGTCTCTCCCAAAAGAGAAAGACGATAGTGGTTCCTATATGCAGCGATGGCATGGGCTACTACTAGGTTCAACTTGATCACCGTGACCAAACCTGCCCTGCTATTACATGACTTCTTCTGTGATGGAATGGAAGGGTCCAACTATATAAGTACATAGTCTTATTTTTATTTTGACGATTGGTCTAGCAATATTAACTGCAATTGCAAACGCTTTGTATCGTAACGTTGAAGCAAGTTGGTCGGTTGCGCTGGCAGTCCCTGATCACATTGTTTAAACTTTGAATTTGCCTGGCATCCAAGTTTTGGCGATTTCGATCTCCTGAGAGATTTACTCATCCTACATGGCCATATTGAGAATTTAGCTGCTCATTTGTTCCTCCTGTCCAAGTTGTCGAGATGCGGCCTTCAATTGAACAATTATCTGGCAACTCAATATTTCCGTCCTGCCACATTCTGGTATCTCCAACATTTGTTCATCGATAAACAGTGCCGTCAAAATCCACTGAACGTTCCTCATCAAATGTTTGCCGTACATGTTGTAACCCGTGGCATTGGCTATAGCGCACAAGATTCCTGCCAACAAGCATTAATTTAATCAGCACCCAGCACTGTCCCGTGTCCAAGAAACATTGCATAGTACGCAGCAGGACGTCCACAGCTACGTCAGTCACACAGAACAGGTTCGAAACGCTCAACTTCCTTCTCCACGTGCATCACCACACCCTCATCGATGATTCTGCTGTTACCATTCACCAGCTGCACAACTCCCAACTCGCCGCCTCACATTCCAAGTGTTTGTACGCGCTCAACCAACACGATGCTGCGAGTCTAAGTGGTCGTAAGCGTGACAGCATCGCCCTGCTCGATGACGTCGATGGCGAGTGGCAGCACGAGGGTCTCGGACGAGGTTTGAAGTGAGGCCATAGGCTTTGATGATCGCCCCTAGCAGAGCATAAACATCGGGGCGCTGAAGTTCCGCCTTTTTGATTCGTGCGCTGCGATAAAAATATCTATGTACGATTGTTACTTATGATATGATCAATTTTTTCTTCGCATTTGGATACTATGATTAGGATGCTTTATTCTTTGTTTGCAGATTTCCTTTGATGTTTAGTGTCGGGTGTTCGGGTGTTGGTACGATGCAATGATCCAGATAGCTGTTGTTAATTTTAATGTGAGTTAGACGATATGCCTTTTGATCAAGCGAGCATAATATATAAGTTACTCCATATTTCGTTGCACGAGTCCTCAATAAACCAAGAAACTGCATTTAGTATGTACAGAGGAGCGACTGAATCTGAGTTATCTAGAAGGAACTGCATGCGCAATCAGAGGAGTAATCAATCGCTACTAAAACACTTGCTAGTGCCCTTGAACAGTCTCTGAATCCAGCACTAATCCCGTTTACCACTCGTGGCGTAAACAAGGCGGATGCATAGGTCCGATAAATAGTGGTAGAATGGTGAACCCAGAATCGATACCAAATGACAAGCGCCAAGGAAAGCAAATGTCATGCTCATATAAAGTTTCACAGTTTCGGAGTGAGATGCGAACCCTGTGAGCACGATGGCTGATGACGAACTGTGTAAGTTGCGATCACGCATTACGAGGTAAACTGCACACCTATGAGCAAAAGCACAACTGATATGCTAAAGATAATGATTGGCACTGCCAAACCTAGGAGGTGCCAGAATATTCTCCAGCGTCTCTCAATTATGATCTGTGATGAGGTCAACGCTGGCCTTCCACCCTGACAATAAAATGTGTACCTCTGCAGCACTCCGCTTTTGAAAAAGGAATCCAGAAGCAGATGCTTTCAGTTGGAACAATAGCCCAAACAACGAAAAGACGAGCGACTCTGCCATACAGGCGTAAGATGCAGAAGACGAGTAGTTGACTTCTTTCACAAGCGGTGGATTTGAGGAGATAAAAACCGCCGCAGTGGTAAGCACGAGTCCTTGCTGCGCAAGAACTCATTAATGTGATCAATTTGAATGAATGATGCCCATCATCGACTTACCACGATGGTCACTTTATCGACCTGGGTCAGATATTGACGATGCAGCTCTTCCCAGGTGTTTCCTTCTTTCAAGAGGTTGTGCAACCAGTGCAGATCGTCGTGCCAGGTGAATATGAGGCAGCATATTTTAAAGATATGCCGCGGGATAAAGGATTCTGGAGCATCCCACTTGTGTGGAAATTGGTCGAAAAAGCTCTCATTCGGGGCAGTGTCACGGTGTAGCTGTGCCGCTGGCAATGACTGTGAGTATTCACTGGCAACTCGACTTTGGCTGGACATGAGAGCTGAGCAGCAGTAAGCGATAACCGACTTGTCCGAGTCAGAAACAAATCGTTGCGAGGATATATAGGCTATGTAAAGCCTTGACTCATATTGACTGCACACGTTGAACGTTGCTTGACAGTCTTACAGCACAGAAAATTCGAATGCACATGTAACTTACCTCACATGAGAGCTAACAGTTTTAGGATGAACGGCAGATAGGCCCTGGCCTATGCACCGTACACTGATCGGTGATTATCGCAGCCGGAAAGCGTTTTTCACGCATCAAATGATAGACACAGCATCGTTGACATTCATTAACATTTTCTAGAGGACCCTCTAGACCCACTATAGCTAAAGTGGGTGTCGTGGAAGGAAAGATGAATCAAAAATCGCTTCCAGCGTGTGGTGATGGTCAACAATGTGCTAGTCCAACGGCATTACATAATTCTCGGTTCCTTCGAACGACTTGAAAGTTTAAATCCTAGATTGGACACCCTAACGTCATTCAAACCTCAGACTCTTGCTCAAACATCTTCGCTTCAGCTTAAGTATGAATATTTTGATGTCGTACTAGCTATCATATATATAATGGCTTCAGCATATCCTCAGTCCCACTCCCTTCCCTTCACTCCTTTTTAACTGGTAAAGATCGAACCGACAAAGCTGCTGAAGCATCGATTCTGCACGTCCCACATTCCTTCTGCAATGCCTGGTGTGCCCATGAACCTTCTGTTACATACCGTTATCATCTGTAGCCAGGTTATTGTCCTGGCATTTGGGTATGGATTTCTTGGTGCAGTTCTCTATTATGGTTACCTCTCTCCACCCGATCAAGTCGCCAATTTATGGAAGCATCGCCCCCAAGATTTGACAATGGTAGTCACATTAATCGCAACTGCGCTTTCAGTGACTACCGCAATGTCTGTATACCCTTTTACTCTCTGTAGCCCACCACTCACATAGAGATGAACATTCCCCTAGTATTTTCACAATTTCAATGAAGAAGGCATTGAGACATCGGATGTCGGATTCCATTTCTCTCATTCAGATAAGCGCTGGTGTCGCTTTGTCGAAGGGCTCATACATATTGAGGCCTGAGTACTTGCGACTGACCACTATGACGCTGTTCGTCTTTGGTGTCCTGAGACTCTTGACAGCAGGGTAACTCGTTACTGAGGGCATCGTACTATTGCAGTGTTGTCTAATTTAAGTCCGGATATAGGTGGACGACTCTCCTGACACCAACCCCCTTCCTATGGCCAATTCAGATGCAGGGATCTGAACTTGACATTACTGGAACTGCGTTTGCCACCTTGCTCTCCGGAGAATTTCAAACGCAGGGTATTGTTGACAGTGCGTATCTCTACTTTCCCAGTGTTTCGCCCGTTTCTTCTAACACGAACGACCCAAGTCCAGGACAATGCTTTCGAGGTTCTCGACATCGGCGCAATGTTAAGCGGAGTCTCTGCCGCAGGGTATACCTATGGTCTTCCTGGGACATTCAATTTCAATGGCGCAAAATATAACGTATCTACTCGTATGTTCAGATTCTCAGGTCACTTGGAGCTGTTTTGCGATGATGTGTTGTGTACCTAGAGGGGATTGTGCCCACCATCGAGAATTTTTCTGGCTCGGATGGAGTTCCGGATGCCAACAGTACTCGTCTTGGGTTTTCTGGTGGAAATGTCACGGTCAACACAAGACAGATATCGGGAAAACATACCAGCGTGCATATTCCTCAAGGCTTCAACAGGAACTATTCCATGTGGCAGCAAGGGTTAACAGCCGACGTCAGCTGCCGGGCCATTGACTCAAGTTCAACGCAGTTCCTTTGGAACACGAGCAACTCCTCTGTTATCTATACCAATGCAGCTGCTTCGAACGACTCCATCACTGGTCTTCGCCTGTGGAATATAACTGCAAACTGCGGTGCCAGTGAGTTTCGACCGCATATACCTTGCCTCGAATTTACTCTCAACTCCTAGACACGCTCACAACGCAGGAATATGTGACCAAGGTGGATGCAAATGGAAATGCGAGCTTGTCAGGGAGTGGCTTTCTTCCTTCCGTTGTGTGCCCGGGGCCCATGAATTTGACTCAAACTTATACAAGCTTCAGTGAGTCATTGAAATATGCGTTTGTAGTCATCGACCGATTTTGTTCCTATAGCGATTCTTTCACAAGGATTTTACAAGTATAGGTTCCTCGATGCAAGCGTGTGCGAAGTGACCCCACTGTTGACTACAGTCCGCGCCAATTATTCCAACGACCTGATTTCTTCCGAGGTCAATTCATCAACCCCTTTCGGGCCAGAGAATGTTCACCTACTGTCATTCATTGCCGGAATGGTCAAGTTCCAGTCGATCAACTCGCAGGGGCTTATAAGTAGCGCGATCGGAGATACTCTATATTCCATCTATTCCTCAACGACTAACACATCTATCGACGACAATCTTGGAAATCAGACGCAGGTTTACCAGGAGCTGGTGAGTCTCATGTCGCAAGGTTTTTGGCCACGTTAAGTTTATGCCTTTCCTAGGAGGAGTATTGGCGTGGCGTTGTTGAGTTTTCGGCCACAGTGAGGGTTCCGGTCTCTTAGGTCCGATCCAAATTGACTTAGCATCATTTGGCAGTTCCTTCGCTCCGGGTTTATGGTTGTGGGCAGTTTCCCCGATAATACGATCCCGGACAACCTCATCTCCCAAGTCAACGGGACAATGTACATATCGACGATCGGTTGGACTCGGCGGTCGGCGACATATCTTCTCGCTATCCTTCCCATCACTATCACTACCATGCTCACATTCGCCTGCGCTTTGTATAATATCTTACGGGCTCGGAAAGAGAATAGTGGCCATAGGACCACATTCGATCCGGCAAATACCCTTCATCTCATTATGGCATCCGCTGCCGGGAACCTGACACTCAAAGATTTCAACAGGAAAGGGATTATCGACAACGAAGACGTGAGGGTGCAACTGCAGGAGTCCAAGGACGACCATGGTGTGAAGAAGATGTTTGTGATAGCTGACCAACCGAATTCGGTGGCGTCGCAGGAGAGCCTTGTATGATTTTTGGTACCATCGCGCCATGCAGTTGTCTTTTCTTATTGGTATACCCATGCTTACTCCTGTCTGATTGTAATGGTGGCGTTGTCGGACAGAACCTCCTAACTACACTCATTTGTTGTTATTCTACAGTCGCCATCGGCCGAGTACTTTGCTACCCATTCTTTACCTCTTTTCCCTGTTCCCGCGTCTGTCTGATACTCGCTGTTTTATGGCCTTAAATACAGCTGTTAGTCGTAGAGTTCCACTAGTGTATTTTGAACCCCCGAATTGGACACTTTAATCATGTCATTTTTCGTTCGAGCCACTCTTCTATATTGTGACGTTGACCCTTCGAGCCTTACACGCTACAAGGCCCCTTCGGTCTGCTGTTGGACGTTATAGTGTGTGTACGGGGCTTGGACTCGTACCGCCATCATCGAGTCGGGTGACACAAAAATGCCCCCCGCTGGTTTGATCATCTCTTCAGTATCCTTAATTGCAGCTCGCTAAAAATTTTCAATTCATCAGTCTAGAAAGGCATCGACCTTCGTTCACGCAAAGGGCTCGAGGGGAAATGAGATTGGCGTGTGGGTCGCGATATTTAAAATGAGCAGAGCGCCATGACTTGCAACGATGGATTGCTGTGATTTCCGGGCGGTGGGTGAGTTCCGCACTACCGTAGTTTAGTAGCGACGCAGCTATATCTCTCGGATTTGAAGTGGCACGCTTCATTCATTATGCACAGGTTAGCTATTGTGGCCGGGAACTAGTAATGATATGCCAGCAGAGCCACTTATCAATAAAGGTCGAATTGGCACATGTAGATTTGTGGTAATCGAGAGGATTCCCTCACTTCGGGGCGGAACAGTCTAAGGTATAACCTTGCAAGTCAACTATACGACGTGTCATCAACCCAAATCACAACGATTTAGAAACTCGAATTGAACGTATCTCCACTAACAGTGGTCCCGAATATGAATGGAATAAGAGAACTACCTACAACGCAACAAGCAGCATAAAAATCGTAAGTGTATCGTTCAACGGCATGGCTGATTGTGTGCCTATCAATACGTCGCCAGCCCGACATGGATGCTCCTATATTTAAACATAAAAATCAAGAAATTCCCTTTAATAAGTAAAGCAAGTACCTCTCATGAGAGGGGCACTAGAGACCCAGCACCGGAACCAGCATACACACAGTCCATCTTGACATCCGGGAGCGGATGATCGCTCGTCCCTTGTGTAATTGTCATGTCAGAGCAGTAGCATCGTGAGCACATAAGTACCCTACCAGCATGGCAGTATGGGATTCTATCCTCTTTGTGTCCCCACCACATCACAGGCGACCACTCGTCTACGAGGTTGGCAAGCGTCTGGACGTGGCCGTATGAAGCCGGTTGGGGGCCACGCGGTCGGCGCAGTGCAACAAAAGTGAAGAAACAGGCAAGTATAAAAAGCGCAATGCATAGGTTCCAGATCTACACGAGGTGTGAGGATGTCGTGGCAGCTTTACATAGGCAGTAAGTGCGAACCTGGGCAGAGTACATGGCTACCGACAAATATGACAGTTCTCCGTCTAGGGCGTAGTCACTTATGTTGAGTGAAAGCCCAAACATCCAGTCTGTGATCGTCAACGATGGTGTTCAATAACACCGATAAAGGCATAAGGCATGAATGACTCACGCAGGAAAGGCTTCGCGACGAAAAGTATAAGACAGATTGGATGAGTGAAAATCGTCTTCACCGGGTTCATCGCCGTTCTAAGTCCTTTCCTCCCAGTCGCACATCTCCACTGTCTTTCGTCTCGAATGACATTTGCGATGAGCTCCGAGCAATGCAGCCCAAGTGTCAACGGTCCCTGGATAACTGCCACGTTGACAAAGAGCAGAATCCACACCATAAAATTGACACTCGGCATATAATACCCGATGGAATCGATCCCGTTGGGCAAGAACGACCACGTTTGGAGAGTCAACCCTGGGCCGTTTAATTGCATGTGGGGGTACTTGTCCCCGATATACATGACAAGTGCGGCCCATCCAGCGCATGCTGCAACGATCCCCCAAAGAGAAATGACAACTTTCCGGATGCTAGGGTGAGCATGCCATGCAGAGGGCTGTATCTTGAGTGGCTTCGCTGGACCTTCATACGTGTCTAGGTCAGACACACAACGCATGCACCGGAAAGTAGCAGGGGTCAATTGCGCGTGGTTGACTAGTGCGGCAGTCAAGTCGAAAGGTGAGGAGCTCCACGTGAATATTTTGACAGCCCATATCCCTGATAATGCAATCATCACCTGGAGAAGGAGTGCGACGCCTAAAATGAGGAGAGGTAACCCTGTAAAGGCAACACCCAACTCATATCCTTGTGACGTTTCTGCCGGTATTTGGTAGTCCACACATACGGCGAGTGAGGCTGAGCTATAGGATATAATGAGGAGGACGGCCGAGATACCGTTAAGCAGGGCGCCGTTAGGGTTATACCATCCACGAGCTGCAGTTAGAAGGCGCAGATTGGTGTTGAAACGAAGCCGAGACTCTGAGGCCAGCGCAGAGCGCAATGAGATGTTGTGTACGAATCCTATGGACTCGGTGCATAACGTGACGATTAAGTTAAGTGTCAGAGACAATATCTCCGCCCGCAAGCGCAACTGAGCATCCAGATCAGGATTGACCAGGTTGGCCACGGTTACTCCGACGACTCCGTAATTGACCCAAGTGAGAATGCCTGCAGCAATGCATGAGCAGCTGAAAATACTTGAGCATGCCACTCCGACAAGGGCATATCTGCGACTCGTTAGACCGTGGTCGTAGAAATCGGACGGATGCGAACTTTCATCTGTCGATTTGGAAGAAGCGGTCATGGGAGGCAGAGACAGAAGGGCTGGCACATTATGGACAAGCACATTAAATATATTTCGCTTGTGGGCATAGCCTCTGATACAAGCGACTTCATGATGGAAAGGGCGGTCATGCGATGGGGTATTTATGTGTATCCAGTGCACCGTTGATTGATGTCGCATCGCAGCGCGGAAATACTGAAAGTGCACATATCAGGATGGTGACCATTGAAAGCCAGTCGAGCCTATCCTTATACTATACACGTATCAGTACAGGATGCACAAACCGGCCGTTGTCTGCCGATTAAGTAAGGCCAGTGAGAAACAGGATCAGCAATCAAGGGAGTTTGAAGGTGTGAAACATCGGAAAGTAGCAGTGATATAACATAAGTAAATTGCGTAAATGCAACTTCAAAGATACTCACCTTGACAAGAACGTCAAATTGATCAATTGATGGATCCCACTGGCAGGCGTCATAAATTTGTTTCTCATCAGCAAGCATCCATAAAGTTAAGATTCCATGTAGAGCTTGCTTTGAACACCATAGGGTGCTGTCATTCGCATCATGATGCCAGTGGACTGCCAATCGCTTGCATCCACTTGTCATTATCAATACGTGATGTTTAGTAAACCCTCACTTGGATGGTCTGCAAACTCACGTGGGACGACTACTTACTGGTATTCAATGAGCTCCAAAGCGCCTGAGCTAGTACAGGATTCCCCGACATGTTCATTTCCTTATCGCTCTCGCTTTCCTCCACGAACATCGCACGATGACTTGCTGAGGACAGTGTCGCCAATGTTGGGATATGCGACCCCCGTTGTCGGAGAAATAGCCATCCTCTAACCGGTCGGAGCATTACCTAGTCAGAACTTGGTTTTGGATGTGACATTCGATAGAGAAGCAGACAAGAATTAAGCGGTGTATGTTAGCTGACTCGGGTTGAACGTTGAACGTTGAGTAAGGAGTCTAAGGACCCTGTGAAAGCTGCGCGTCAAGACCGCGGCAGGCGCGGCAGGACCGCGTCAAAATAGCTACGCCCATTTGGGATCGTACTGACGAGGGTCGCCACATCTCTCAGTTGCAGGTCAATCCAATATCTCGGAGTCATGCTGTATAGGCCAGACATATACTAGCAGCCTGAGGACCTTCGTTCATGGGAAGCGCCGGGGACACTATTTTAGTAGCAACGGTTATCCACGGGCCCGTTGACAGTGTAGGCGCCTATGAATATTAATGGAAGTTAGAATAAGGCTGCGCGTTGACCCCCATGCCACTCCAATATACTGGTCCGTCGACGTTCTACACTGAACTAGCTGAGATTCCTCTTCCTGTATCTGCTGAATTCATTGGCAACGATGTTACACGGGTTACTTATTCCATTCGCGATCATGATCGAAACATCAAACGATATCTCACGAAGACATCCGACAATCAGTGCACAACCTCTCATGATTCATCCGAAGTAAAGGCGTTCAAAACTTCACCTTCTAAATCTCGTCAAGCGATCCTGAGAGAGGTAGCCAATAGCAAACGATTCGTCGAGATCTGGGCTGGCACCCAATTAGAAGCTTCTTTGGATGTATCAAACTACCATCAAGCTTTCCTCACAGATGGTGAGCAGAACAAAAAACCACGAATACCTGCTAATCAAATCCAAGATTTCCTATACTCCCTTTCCTTCTCTCCCTCTGAAACGTCGCTCCTATACACCGCCGAAGCATCTCTCAACACCGATGATAATCCATACTTCAAATTTAGATACACACCTCACTTTGGTGATACCTCTCGCGCAAAGAAACGTCCTACCATCTTTATATTCAGCTGGACCAGATCACCCGAATTCACAAGGGCAAATAAACAAGACTCGACACTTGTCGCAATTCCGTGCCAGTCCACCAAAACACCCATCCTATTCGCTCAAGCCACATTCGCAACAGAGGACACAGTCTTTGCAACAGGTCACGAATACACTATAGACGGCCGTCTCCTCGGCGCAAAAGGATGCTTCAACCGTCCTATGGGCATATGGCAACTTATTTTCCCCAAAGGCTCATTCTGCTCTCCATCTGCATCAAGACTCACTCCCCCAAACAAATCTTGCCGTTCTCCTCGCGTCTTATACCACGACAACCAGCCCATAAAACTCTTCTGGTTCTCAAATCCCATAGGCGGCCCCCACGCATCCTGTGTCTCTCTCGAATCCCGCGATCTCCTCACAGGCATTAACACAACCCTCGTAAAAACCGTGTTCGAACCTACCCCATCAAACGACTTTCCAGGTCTCTACACAGAGTACAACATGCCTTCAAGCCCGTTTTTGCGCCGCGCAGACCGCGTATACATCGTTCTACAGTCCATATGGCACTCACGCACGACCGTTTTCTTCATCGATACCCAATCAGGAGCCGTCATAGATGCAACGACATTAGGCGACGGACCGTTGTATAGCTGGACTGTACACGCTACCGATAACAAGAGTCGGTTTATTTGCTCAAGGAGCACGCCTACTACCCCTTGGGAAGTCTTATTAGGATCTTTTGATCAAAATGATACCCTCCAATGGAAAGTCCTTGATAAACCGATATTGTCGTCTACAAGTACGTCCCATCCAAATCCCGGCCGTCCCACCCACTCACTTGCTTCCAGTGAAAGAAGCCCTCGACGACCTAACACCATCCATCATACCCATCACCACCCGCGCACCAACAGAATCGCTCCTCATCCAATCCAAGAAAGCTTCTACGAATGGTGGCCCGAAACCGGTGTGCGTCACTATCCCGCATGGAGGACCCCATGCGACCTCGACTACTGCGTTTGTTCCGGCTGTCGTCGCATTAGCACTTGAAGGATGTACGTCCCTCTCTCTAAACAACGACTTCTAAATTACAACCTCGATCACTCATTCGCTCACATCACAGATACCCTCAACCTCCCCAACTACACAGGCTCCATGGGATTCGGCCAAAAATACATCCAAAAGCTCCTCGGGAACTGCGGGAGCATGGACGTCGAAGACGTCGCAGAAAGCGTCAGGGAACTTATTAGAAGGGGCGTTTCGGAGGAAGGAAAACAGGTCATGATGGGAGGTAGTCATGGCGGGTTCATCGCTGCTCATTGTACGTCCCCTTTCATCCGAATAGGCTTTTTCATTCACAGTCGATATATGCGCTCGATGACGCTGACATTCACCTTTGCGCGCATACAGTGATAGGCCAACATCCGACCCTATTCAACGCAGCATCACTCCGCAACCCCGTCATCTCAGCAGGCGAACTCGCGACAGGGACTGATATCCCTGATTGGGTTTATTCTGAATTCGGGGTTACATCCACCAACTCTGATTCTGAATCCAACTCCAACTCCTTCACACCACCCCCACCAACACCAATGCCTCCCACGTCTGCACCTTCCCAAACGATGCCTCTGCCCACACCCCCTCTTCCACTAATGACACCCAAAGCATACAACACCCTCTTCACCGCATCCCCAATCGCGCATGTCGACAATATAACAGTGCCAGTGCTGATATTGATAGGCGAGGATGATTTGAGGGTGTTTCCGGGGCAGGGTATTGGGTTTTATCATGCGATTAAGGGGAGGGGAGGTGGTGTTCGGAATGAGAATGTAACTGAAGATGCGACTGGAGATGGAACTGGGGATGCGACCGTGATTGGGGATGAGACGGGGACCGAAAAGGACACAAAGAAAGGGATAGTAGAGATGTTATCTTTCCCCGGAGAATCGCATGCGATCGATGGAGTTGAAGCTGCTAGGGTTTCGTTCGAGGCTACGAGGGATTGGTTCAAGGCGTTTGCAGAGGGCTGTTAGTCGTGCGGTGGTGTATATGTACGGGAAATCATGTAGGCTAGGATATACCCTTGACGTCGACCGTCGAAATTTAAACATGGTGTAAATTAGTAAGATTTTCCTTTCGTGTCAACTGGGTGTTCGGAATGTATGTATGGCTCGATCAAACATTGCACTGCATTATGGTGTCGTCCTATGTTGCACATCCTGTTAACTCCCGTGATCTCATGCACGAACAGTAGCAAGGTTTGCTTATGAGATCATGGGAGCTAACAACCTGCCGGTCAGTGTAAACTCCCCTACCTCGAGCACCGGGGGAACTAGCTATATAGAAGACACCACGAAAAAAACAATCAGGAAAAGTCTAGAAATCAACGATTCAAAGTACTCATCTCTGACCGCGAATCCAGAATCCTGGTGCCCACACCCTCAGCATCGACTCGGACCCTAACAAGATTCAAGCTCTCCTGATCTCATCGGCGAACACCAACAATCTATTAGCTGTACAAGTCCATAGATGAAATCATGGGAGCTACCAGTGCCAACATCAAGCTCGACCTCCACGCGGAGCACCTTGAAGCGGGGAGACTCGGACTCGCCGCAGAAAATGGAAAGCTAGCAGAGATTCACAAGCCTTCTCACTGTCCGCGCCGTCACTAGTACTAGTACCAATGTCCTGCAGTCGGATATCAGCAAGCTTTGATATGAAGAGAAGATTTACCAGCGAGGATGCAGAACTGGCGCTTGGTGCGATAGACACTGGGTACTAAATAGATGATGGGTGAACTTTTTCGATGGCATCGAGGTACGCGCAATGCCAAGTTGGCATGATATCCAACGCGATCGGATCGGACCTGCTATTACGATGTATGACGTGTCGAGTATTCGGAAACGGAATGCACATTGTCCTTAGTATCGATCTATACAAGGTATGTGAGCTCATGCATGCTACAAGTAAACATGCATACCTCAGCGTCTTGATTCAGGGCCAGGCGAACACCTGAGGGGCGTCTCGAATTTCGTGACGATCAGCACAGTAAAAGAGTTTTCGTCGACATGAAATACTAATAGGTGCAGATCATCCATTAGGAGACAATAGACCGCTCTGGTCTCTATCCTATAACGGAATCTCCAACAATGGTGGTGCGATGGGCATCGTCTGGAATCCAACGGGTGCCTCCGAGGTGATGGCGACGAGCTGCTCATCGATGGCACAGGTGTAACTGCCAGCTCATAGGCGATATCAACCTGATGGGATGTGTGTCGCTCAGAGCGAAGTCGGGTGAGAGGAGGGAGGAGGAATGATCAGTCAGTGTCTCGAGGGACTCGCCTTAAGTAGTTCGCATGGTTTAAGGGACGATCCCATCGTAGATTCATAGTACGTCTTATTGTTGAAAAGAGTCGTCGTGTTCGACTCGGAAATCCATTGGTGGTCAGGGAACCGACTGTTGTGACTATGGAGTTGTCATTTAAAGATTCAATTTACTTACAAGTATACATCACTCACATATAGGACAACGTTTCGTCCGAGGGTTTAATCGCCCGTGCGCGTGAACGGCTGACGAAAATTCAAGGTAATAATTATTCACAAGAACGCGAGGATCCTGCGCAGAAGTTCCAGATTGGGTGCTGGCTTTAGTGCTACACTCGGGTCCCCGCACCGGAACGCCACATTCGGGCTGGCCGATGCTATAACGGAAATTTCACTGATCAGATCCACATATGCCTGACTGTAGTGCTCGTAAATTTACAGTTACTACCTGAGATCACAATGACTGTACGCTTAGTACATTGTTCATGCTAGCAGATAGGCTGTGTGTAAGGAACAACTTTTTTCATTCTAGTAGGGTCTGGTAGCACAACTAGCACTTAACATCCTAGGAGCTAACCATCAATGATCTTACAAGGCGAGTAATGTTTACAGATTGTTACCGAGCTAACTACTACTTATTCAAAACTTCACCTCTCCAGCAAGTTCACCAGCATATGTGTATCCCATGTGAGCACGTAATATGGTGTTGTCCAGATCAACTGGACCATGGTCACCGGGCAGAATTCTATATTTGGATCGGCCCGACCACTCTTCGTTCTGGCCCCACAGATCGAAGAATCTTTGAATCTTATCATGCTGTCTGGATGAAAGCAGGTATTCATACACTGCGCGCCATGCGCTGTCCAATGCACCGACGACCCACCTGCAGGTTACATAGCCTTTAAGTTGTAATCACCAAAACGACCCAATCGCTTTGCACTCACGCATGACGGGTGCTGATAGCCTCTCCAGCGAAATGGAGCCTCTTGTTGGCATTGGGTGCGGTGAGAGACGTGTATAAATCCTGAAAATCTCCGGGCCCAAAGAACGCAAAGGCACCTGTAGCGGAGAGAGTGAGAATCGATTGGCTCACATCAATATTCAAAGACCTACCCATAACGAGCGGGTCGTCGCTCCAGTCCCATGCATGCATGTCTACGTACTGACCCAACAAGAAATCATAATTCGCTTGCTCGCCGTGTACTTGTGCGAGATTGCGCAGTACGAGTTCCTTCAGTTGCTCCTCATACTCTTTCTTACCAGTGTTGATGAGAGCTCCCAAGCGTTCTGCATCATTTGTCCAACAGTAGCTCGCAATAAGCACTGTGGATGGCGTGCTAGATTCAGCCCCGTGAGAGGGGTAGACGATAGTTCGAATGGGAAGGTCTGTGGATGATTGGCCTCCTATGATACCCAAAGTGGTCCACCACGCTGATCGAAAGCGCATGCCAATCTTGATTGAAGGACCGTACTGCAGTTTACGCAACGCATTTGTCTGCATCACATTTAAACCAGCATTTTCGAGTTCAATCACCCGCAGGCACGGCAGAGGGATAGTCGATATAACGTGTGAATATGTGCGCGGGCTAGATTCGCCTCTCACAGAAACATTCATTGCGGCGCCACTCCGAGAGATGCTCGTGACCTTCTTATTGAACTGGATGAGAGGCTTGGTATCGTTAGCAGTACTAGTAATGTATGCCGCCATGTAGTCGGTGAGCACTTGAGAACCGCCTCTGTGTACAATAAGGTAATAGCATGTGTGAGACTGTGCATGAGTCCAAGACGGAAGTGCACTTACTCGAAACACTTCCATTCTACGTCTCCAAAGGTCTGCGACTCGACACTGGCGAATGCCAACGCCTCGAGAACTGATTCAGTTAAGGCGCGGTCGTACGAGCCTGTGCTGTTTTCGAATGTCTCACACCAATTGATGACGTTGGTGGAAAGATGCGTGGGCGGAATTTGGAGGCTGGCGCTGGGAATGTACTTGAATGACATGAATGAACGAAGCGAGTATGCATCGTGCTTCAGCATGTTGTCCCAGCCCGAATGGACATTCTGCTCTATGTCTTTAATGATGTCCTTAGCGAACGGTCCAATGACGTCCTCGACAATATTCTCAACTCCCGCGGCAATGTACTGAGAATCCACACCCATATCCCGAGCATGGAAGTCAGGAGGGCGCGATGGTGTCTGAGGGACCCGATAACGTTGAGTGTTGAAGTAGAGGAAATACCCTTGTCTCTTTGACGTAAAATGATAATCGATAAGTTTGGATTTTAGGGGTGCCTTGAATAGATCCAAAGTGGATGGCAGACGCGGGGTAGTGTTGAGCTTCGGGTAGTTGATTAACTCGCCCAAGCGCCTCATAATGCCAATCTTGTAATTGCCTTGAGCATCCTTCTTTGGCAGGGGAAACCTCATGGCGCCAACATCCTAGTTAGCGGGAAAGCCAAGAATTTACATAGTCAGCATCTTTGGCGCAGCAGCATCGAATGAACGACATACGTAGTAGTCGTATTTTCCACCATTGGGGAAGTTGTAGGTGAGGAGGCGTCCGCCGGTGTGGTCCGACGCCTCCAAGATCTCGTACTTAATGTTCAGCGAATCCAGGATGAGGGCAGTGTATAGCCCACCAACTCCTGCGCCTAGAATTCCAACTGTACCTGGCATGGGGTCATAACCATCCTGAGAGAGTTCAGGTAGCTGTGAGGTCTCTTCAAGAGCAGTCGCGGTGAGCGGGCCAATGAGTTTGAGGAGAGCATCATCATATTTTTCAATGATGTTTCGACCCCAGTAACCGAACACATCTCCTTGGAAATCCATGGTAAGCGCAACTGGGATTGAAGATTGAATGGTTGAATATATCTCGTCTAGAAGAACAGATTGAAGAGCACCCTATATATATTGTGCATTTCGTTCGGAGAATGAGAAGGATTAGCCTATTCTGTGAATGCACAGCGCAAGCAAAATTTGGACAGGAACCTGAAGATATCGGATGGAGCTTCACCCTGGCGTCTTTTAAGACGCGATCACCAGATAGAAGCATGCCGTCTCGATACGCCATCCTCAATCCAATCTATTTGGTGCGCAATGTCACTTATGGATACCAGTTAACGTAGCCAAAATACTTACATGATCGGATTTGATCCTTTCCTGAGCTGCATAGTACTAGGCAACCAATCATAAGTCATTGGCTCAACGCAGGCATCTTCGATTGAGATGATGGACTCCTGTGCCTGTAAGTTCCGAGTCAGCATTCAATAATCAAAGTTCATGACCAAAGCCAGTTGTAACATACTTACGCCCAACTGACCATAAGTCATTGGCTCAACGCAGGCATCTTCGATTGAGATGATGGACTCCTGCGCCTGTAAGTTCTGGGTCAGCGTTCAAAATGTAATCAAAGTTCATGACCAAAGCCAGATGTAACATACTTACGCCCAACTGACCGTAAGTCATTGGCTCAACGCAGGCATCTTCGATTGAGATGATGGACTCCTGTGCCTATAAGTTCCGGGTCAGCGTTCAATAATCAAAGTTCATGACCAAAGCCAGATGTAACATACTTATGCCCAACTGACGCTTGATTGACGCCTTCGTTAATTTCGCGCATGATGCACGAGTCCTGACCTCAATATCGTATGGCCTTGCACATGATACTGAAGGTCCGCCCCGGTTTTCAAATGTGGTCGGGACGCATCTCGATCTCGACTCTAGACCTTGCGAATCTGTTGATACAACAGAACCCCATCCGATAAGTTGCTCTGGTTCGATATCGTGTTCTTTCAAGTTAATCTTGGTGGTGGTGAAGCGTATCACAAGGACAAATTGTTGCTACAGATCACTACTTATGATCAGAGACTGGAAAGGTTTTGCCGCCCATCTTGAACATTCAGATATTCCAAACACAAAAAGGTCTAAAAACGTACTATGAATACATAGTAGTTCACAGTGGATCGAGAATTCGAAGAGAAACTTGAAGCGGTCTCGCACCCAACCGCCTTATAATTTGGTGGGAGGAGTAGTGGAAACAAAGCGAAAGCAATAGGTCTCGGTTAGTGGTCCAGGTAAATGCAGGGGATCTGGTTCAGCGGAATAGGAAGATAGTGGGACGTTTCTTTGCAGTGCGGGATAACGGTTCACCAAAGTTCTGGATTTGGAGCTGCTTCGGCGGTATATAGAAAAGATGCTTCAGATGGGGAGAAGGAGAGCAAAGATAGGAAATCTGGGATTTGATTAGAGGGTACCGATGCGTACGAGTGAGCGTTTGATGTTGCGGTCATGATCACGAACGTACATACGGTACAAGTCACAAAGAGTGACACGTGCAACTGGGAGGGGCGTCTATCTGATTATCAGGATGAACACACTGCAGCTGGCCATCGCCGTCAATGAAATCAACAGATGCTGTAGGGAAGGAGAAGTTTTGCTAGTTCTGTGTAGAAGGATCGCGATTCGCCGGTATGATTGAAGTGGCGGCCGTGCCACGCTCTATCTTACATAAGTATCTACACATACACGTTTTCCTTGCCTGGTTCTCCATCTAGATCGATCTCAACTCCTAGTGACTCATCAAAGAGACATTAAGTCCACACCAATTAGCTCCCTTGATCTCATGCATGAACAATGATAACGCTCGTACACGAGATCATTGGAGCTAACAACCTGGCCAGTGTAACGCTCCCCCACCTCGAGCACTGGGAGAACTGGCTATGTAGAAGACACCGCGAAAAAAATCAATTATAAAAAGTCCAGGGAATAACGATTCGAAGTACTCATTTCTGACCGCGAATCCAGAATCCTGGTAGTACCCACGCCCTCAGAATTGACCCGGACCCTATCAAGATTCAAGCTCCCCTGATCTCATCGACGAACACCAACAACCCATCTGCTGTACGTGTCGATAGATGAAATCATGGGAGCTGTCAGTGCCAATTTCAAGCTCGACTTCCACGTAGAGCACCTTGGAGCGGGGAGACTCGGACTCACCGCGAAAAATGGGAAAGCTAGTAGAGGTTTACGAGCCTTCTTGCTGTGCGCGCCGTTACTAGTACCAATATTCTGCGATCCAATATCAGCAAGCTCTGTGTTATGAAGATAAGATTTACCGGGGAGGATGCAGAGGACGTCTAAGTCGTGGTGCTCGGAGCTACCGTCACTGCTCCTAGTACTACTGTAGAGATACGCACTTAGGTTCGGCCCTATTGAGGTGTGACCAAATGAACGTTAGGTTCGAAGGTTCGCAGGGGGGGTGTGACGTGTGACAGGCTGTGCTTAGGTTCGACGACCGTTAGGCAAACACATTCCTTTGTAAGTATAAGCATGCTGATCCTTACGCTCGACCAGGAAATGCTCACTTTACAAGCTTCGTTTCTAACTTTATGTCTGTCTGTCTGTCTGGCAACACAACAGCTTCCCTGTATGTTGTTGTAAAGTCTTGTCAGTGTGGATCCTCGGCATGCCTGAGCACTGAGTACTGACCGCTGAGCCTCCAAGACTTGATGGACACGCCGGTTTGAAGCATTTCCCCTCAAATTTCTGTTCCATGCCTGATCTCTGTGTTGCCACCTCAGAGGCTAAATTCCAGGATGTGCTATCTGTACCTGCACCATTCTCAATTGCTCCTTCTGGCAGTCTTTCCGTCGCTACACTACTGCTTCTAAACCTGCATACAGTGTTACAAAATGACGCCTCTGCCACTAGAATTTTCTTTTCCAAAAAGTCCCCTTTGCTTGAGTTGCCCATAGATTTTGTTTCATGGCCTGTCCCACCATTTCAAACAGCCTCGTCCCTTCGCGATCGTGCCAGTGGTGCATTTCAAGACGGAGATAAATCAGTGATCCATCCTTCGTTCCCTGATGACCCGCTTCCTATGTGGGTTGTGTCGTACTGGGTTGCCATGTCGCATGCTCTCGAGAATCAGCGTGATTGGCGTACCTCATATGACTGGGTCTTGGACCGACTCGATGTTGTTCCAGCCAATGGACAAGAGTTGGAAATTGTTGATGATGTGCTAGATGTCTGAGAGAGTCTTCCGTGGGATGCCGCTCTCAAGGGATTCGGTGCTCACACAAATCTGAGGACTACCGAGCTCCGACCCCTGTTGGCATCCTGCTCGATTCATGGACGTCTTTTGGACACCATGATTGCTGCAGTGGTTGAAGACCTCCAGTCTGTTTCTATTGAAGACCCCCAGTCCGTTTCTGTTGAACCTCTTGACTTTGCAGATATCCTTCGGCTCAATGAGACACGGTGGAAGAACTATGAGACGGACCGGGCTTTTGTTCACCTTCGCACCATTGGCTCTGCATTGCATGACGGCACAATTAATCGTGTTCTCTTCCCCATCAATATCGACAATGTTCACTGGGCTGCTATCGAGGTCAATGCTATCGACCGAAGTATCTCCTATGCTGACTCCCTTGACTGGAGTTGGCCCAACAAAGACATTGATGCTATACATCGTTGGCTGGGCTATCATGGTTTCGCCAAATTTGACCGGGCAACCACACTCCAGCATGGCGAGCAGCGGGACTCGTTCTCATGTGGTATCGCAGCTATAAACACAATCAAGCATGCGCTGTTTTGCGATCCATTGTTCACTGATGATAGAGCGTTTTCCCTCCGCATGGAAGAGTTTCTTCATATTGCTTACAATCACCTTGAGGTATGGATATCTCATTCCCAGTGACGTGAATTCGAGACTCACTAGTATCTTCTCATTTTACAGCTCTCTGATCCCAATGATGATCTAAATGACAGCTTGTATTCAGACAGCGATGATTTTGAGATGGAAGAAACTCAGCCACTGTCCCGCAATGATCAGTCACGGTCTCCGCCCTCTCCAACTCACGATCAGTCACTGTCCCCGTCCTCCCCAACTCTGCCTATACATCCTCCACATAATAAACCGAAACTCAACCTTCGCACCTCTGATGCAGATTGGAGCACTGGTCTGTTCAAATTTTTCCCAACGGTTTCACGCGATGAGCATTTAAAGCTTGCCTGGAAACCTTCTACTTGGGAGCTCAAGGACTGGGAGCAGCAGGAGCGGGCCCGTTACCAGAAAAGGTTGGATATGTTTGAGAAGACTGCTCACAAGCGTGAAAGGGCTGCTGAGCGCAAGAGAAAGCAGCGAGCACGTGAAAAAGCCACCAAGCAGGTAAGCGTGCATCTTCTTTTCTTTAATCTTAATAGCTCACATGTTCTTGTCACCAGAAACTGTCCATTGATTCAGTTCTTCACGACAGCAATCCTCAGCCGCTAGCAATTAGTATTGCAGAGGCGTCACGTCCATATCGCCAATTGCAAAGGCATGCTCACAGCAAACAGACATCCAACCTAGGCCGGAAGCGCAAGCGAGAGGATGGAGATGCTTTGCGTGTCAACTGGCAGAGCCCTCTTTTATGGCCGACTATCGAAGCAGCTGCCATTCATGTTGGCTACGGAATGTCACCAATCGAGATTGAGCGTGAGCTTAAGCGAGTTGATCCCTCTCGCTTTTGTGGTATTTCTGCACAGGTTATAGGAAGGTGGGTTGACCATAGCGGGACACGGCCAGTATGGCGTGCCAATGTCCTTGCTCGTGTTAAGAAGGGAAACCTTCCCTTGATGACTGGAACACCACCAAGCATCCTCTCAAAGTACCCCGACGTTACAAAGACCATTATCAAAGATTTCCAGGCTTTGCGTACCGTCGGTGTCGCTTTGGACACAATGCGTTGTCGTGGTGTAATCATTGCTCGCCTCGCCGTCTCTTGCCCCGAAATATATGAGGCCACTGCCAAGGATGGCTCAAGCTTTCGATGTACTGAGTCTTGGGTCAAAAAAATTGTAGATCAGACTCTCAACTGGTCGTTTCGTCGTGCAACTCGTGCTGCACAAAAGACTCCTTCCAATGCTGATCAGCTCTGTCTGGACCAGTTTTATCGTCTAACTTTAACTATCCGTGATTGCGCGATCTTTGATGCTTCCTTCTATGTCAACATCGACCAGACCAACATCGTCTATCAACCTGGAAACACCGCTACATACCAAGAAGTTGGTTCTAAGCAAGTCGCAGTCATTGGACAGGAAGAAAAACGAGCATTTACTGTGCTCGTCGGCATCTCTGCGTCTGGGGACGCTCTTCCATTCCAGGTCATCTATTGCGGCAAAACCGCTCGTTCACTCCCCTCGAAAACCACACCGCAGTTCAAGGTTGCACAAGACTTAGGGTTCAAGCTGTGCTTCTCCAATACTGACACTTATTGGTCAACATTCCAGCTCATGTGTGACTACATTCGCGATATTCTAGTTCCCTACTGGATGAAACAGAAGGAACTTGTTGGGGCTCCTAACGACCAAGAATGTATCCTACAGCTGGATGTTTGGTCGGTACACAAGTCTGTGCAGTTTCACACTTGGCTTGATCAGCACTACCCATGGATCAAGTACCGCTTTGTTCCTGGTGGTTGCACTGGAATTGCCCAGCCGTGCGATGTCGGCATCCAGCGCCCGTTTAAGCTTGCTGTCAAGCGGTCTCAACATGCTGATATTGTTGAGGAGTCGTTGTCATTACTGAAGAAAGATAAAGCTGCGCATGTCATCCGACTGGACACAACATTACCCACTCTCCGTGATAGGTCTTTATGCTGGCTCATCAATGGTTACCATGCTATTAACAAGCCTGACATAGTCAAACAAGTATGTCACTCGCATTGTCCTCGTTTTTCTCGCTGATGTTGAAACACTTAGTCGTTCTTTCAGTGCAAGGCTGGCGCGGCATTTGACCTCTCTTTTGCGAGCCTCACCAGTCGTGAGGCTCTTCATGCACTGCGTGACGTGGAGAAAAACGACACCATGACTTGGGATCGCATCAAAACATCTCAATATAAAACTCCCAAGGCCGACGACGAAGAAGAGCCGCCTTTCACACATGCGGCAGATGCTGAGCTCGATCCTAGTGATGTTTCCATGGATGTTGTTCTGCAGCATATTGCATTGGGTGAATCAACTGTCCCTCATGGCTATAGCGCTGATGAATCAGGTAATCTGCTGGTAGACAACGAGTCGGAGAGCTATGAGCAAGTGGTACTGCCAGTGGATGACACGGAGCTTGAATCTACAGTGAATGGGTCTAAGGAGGTTGAGGCTGGGGGCCGTGGAAAGCGCAGACGCATTGCAAACACTCAGTACAAGGATTTTTGGCTGCACTAGACCTTTTTGTCATGTTTTTACCATATGTCACAGTTTAGGTTCGACGGCCTCAAAATTGGTGTGACCGTCACACAAAATAGGTTCGATTCGCTAGGCGTGTGACGGTGTGACGAACTTAGGTGCGTATCTCTACAGTAGTATTGATGAACTTTTTGACATCGGATCAGTTCTCATCGAAGGAAGGCCCTGCTGTCGCGGCCTATACAAGGTTCGTCAACTCGTGCATGATGCTACGAGTAGGCATCCGTACCTTGAGGGGCGTGATCCAGAGCCCGGTGAACACCTTGCTACATTCTAGAAGCCTGATAGGCGGTCTCAGCCACCTCACAGGCGTCTAGAATGTGAATTTCACAAGTAAAAGAGTTTTTCGTCGACATGAAATACTAATAGGTGCAGATCATCCGTCAGGAAGCAGTGCAATCAACGTGTAAGGAACCATCTTCCTCACGGGATTTCAACACTGATGTTGCGGTGGGCGTCGTCTGAAATCCAACGGGTGCATCCGAGATAGATGGTGATGAGCTGCTCATTGAATGAAGTGGTAGCGTGTGCCAGCTCATAGGCGAAGTCGGGTGAGGGGAGAGAGAAGGGATGGTAGGTCAGTGTCTCGAGGGACTTGCCTTTAAGTAGTTTGCATGGTTTGAAGGGACGATCCAATTGTAGTAGATCTTATTGCCGAATATAAGAAGGAGTCGACCGGACCGTCGTGTTTGGCTTCGCTCGACTTGGAATTCAGTGGATGGTCAAGAAGCTGGCTGTTATGACTATGGAGTTGTCATTTAAAGGCTCGATTTACTTGCAAGCGTACATCACTCACATATAGGACAACAGTTTTTCCGAGGGTTTAAACGTTCATGATCAGCTGACTCGGAATTCCTTGACGGTTTGGGATACTGCTTATTTTTTTAGCTGTTAAATCGTACTGGTTACTCACATTGCACAAGAGCGCGAGGATCCTGCACAGAAGTTCCAGATTTTTTTGTGGAATTGGATGCTGGTTTTAGCTAGGGCCGCACCGAAGCACAACATTCTGCTAGTCGAGAGCTATAACGGGAGTAAGATGGACCTGACTGCGGTGCTCGTAATTACAGTCATGGAGAGCTCTTCTGTCGCCGTAATATTACAGGGCTGAAAGTGGACAATCATTTGCGGGCCGTCACGGTTGCGTGTAACGTTGACCGTAATAGATGAGCTTGATAGTACAGCACGTTTGAACAGTTTCTTGTGATCAATATAACAGATGACATCGTTACGGTGGTATGGTATTTAACAGATGTGATATGCACCAGTTCGTAGGAGCTAATCATTAATGATCTTACAAGGTGAGTAATGTTACAGATCCAGACAATGCTACAGAGCTAACTACTACCTATTCAAAACTTCACCTCCCTGGTGAGTTCACCAGCACATGTGAATCCCATGTGAACTCGTAACATAGTGTTCGGATCAGTTGGATGGTGCTTTCCATGTTTGGATTGGCCAGTCCACTCTTCATTCTTGCCCCACAGATCGAAGAATCTTTGGATCTTATCATGCTGTCCGGATGCAAGCAGGTATTCATACACTGCGCGCCATGCGCTGTCCAATGCACCGACGACCCACCTGCAGGTCACATTGCCTCTAAGTTGTAATCATCAAAACAACCCAGCCGCTTTTCACTCACGTATGACGGGTGCTGATGGCCTCTCCTGCGAAATGGAGCCTCTTGTTGGCATTTGGTACAGTGAGAGATGTGTATAAAGCCTGAAAATCTCCGGGCCCAAAGAACGCATTGGCGCCTGTAGCGAAGAGAGTGAGAATCGATTGGCTCACATCAATATTCAGACTCACCCATGAGCGGATCGTCGCTCCAGTCCCATGCATGCATGTCTACGTACTGATCCAACAAGAAACTATAATCCACATTGTGTACTTCCGCGAGATTGCGCAGCACGAGTTCCTTCAATTGCTCCTCATACTCTATCTTACTGGTGTTGATGAGCGCTCCCAAGCGTTCTGCATCATTTGACCAACAGTAGCTCGCAATCAACACCATGGATGGCGTGCTAGATTCAGCCCCGTAAGACGGATAGACGATAGTTCGAATGGGAAGGTCTGTAGATGATTGGCCTCCTATTATATCAAAAAGTTCGGTCCACCACGCTGATCGAAAGCGCATGCCAACCTTGATTGAAGGTCCGTACTGCAGTTTACGCAATGCATTTTTCTGCCTCAGATTTAAACCAGCACCTCCGAGTTCAATCATCCGCAGGCCCGACAGAGGGATAGTCGATATAACGTGTGAATATGTGCGCGGGATACATTCGCTCCTTACAGAAACATCCATTGCGATATCTCCACTCTGAGAGATGCTTGTGACCTTCCTATTGAACTGGATGACAGGCTTGGTGCCATTGGCAGTAAGGTATGCCGCCATGTAATTGGTGAGCACTTGAGAACCGCCTCTGGGTACGATAATTGCATGTGTGAGACTGCATGAGTTCCAAGACAGAAGTGCGCTTACTCGAAACACTTCCATTCTACGTCTCCAAAGGTCTGTGACTTGACACTGGCGAATGCCAGCGCCTCAAGAACCATTTCAGTTAAAGCGCAGTCATACGAGCCCGTGCCGACGTCGAATGTCTCGCACCAATTGATAACGTTGGTGGAAAGATGCGTGCGCGGAATTCGGAGGCTGGCACTGGGAATATACTTGAATGACATGAATGAGCGAAGCAAGTATGCATCGTGCTTCATCATGTTGTGCCAGCCTGTATGGACATTCTGCTCCAAGTCTTTAATGAGCTCATTAGCAAACGGCCGAACGACGTCCTCGACAATATTCTCAACTCCCGCGGTGATGTACTGGGAATTGACACCCATTTCCCGGGCATGAAAGTCAGGAGGGTGTGATGTCTGAGAGACTTGATAACATTGATCGTTGAAGTAGAGGAAATACCCTTGCCTCTTTGACGTAAGATGATAATCGATAAGTTGGGAGCTTAGAGGTGGTTTGGATAAACCCTTGTTGAGCTTTGAGTAGTTGATTAAGTCGCCCAAGCGTCTCATCATGCCAGTCTTGTAATTGCCTTGAGCGTCCTTCTTTGGCAGGGGGAACCTCATGGCGCCAACATCCTAGTTAGCGGAAAAGCCAAGAGTTTACATGGTCAGCATCTTTGGTGCAGCATCATCAAATGAACGACGTACGTAGTAGTCGTATTTACCACCATTCGGGAAGTTGTAGGTGAAGAGGCGTCCGCCAGTGCGGTCAGACGCCTCCAGGATCTCGTACTCGATGTTCAGTGAATCTAGGATGAGGGCAGTGTATAGACCACCAACTCCTGCGCCTAGAATTCCCACTGTACCCAGCGGACCATAACCATGCTTTGGGAGCACAGGCAACTGCGAGGTCTCCTCGAGAGGAGTCGCGGTGAGTGAGGGAATGTTTTTGAGGAGAGCATCATCATAATCTTCGATGATGTTTCGACCCCAGTAACCGAACACATCGCCTTGGAAATCCATGATAAGCGCAGCTGGGATTGAAGATTGAATGTGTTGAATATATCTTGTCTAGTAAGAACACCACCTTATATATTGTGCGTTTCGTTCGGAGGAGAGGGATCAGCCTATTCTGTGACTGACTAGCGTAAGCAACATTTGGACAGGAACCTGAAGATATCCTTCTCAGGGCGCTTGAAGATATCGGATATGAAGTAGCCTCGCCCGCAGTTGACCGTCTTCCTTAGACCCCATCACCAGATCCAGCCAAGTGTCTCGTCACGTCGTACTGTGTCATGAAGTGGTGAACTTGACCATAACATCTTGAGAAACCTAACTTGATTAAGTATTTGTTCGTTGCATGAATCTGCTAGAGCATACAATAAAAGCTGGCAACTGTTCCAAAAATTAAAATCACCCTCGGGGTCACGTGACGTTAGTTGGTTGTGCAAGAGGCTAGAGCCCTATCATACTTACAGTCTTACACACTTTTCTTTGCCTTTTGAATGTTCTCCGTCTGGATCTCAACGTTAATTCCTAGTGGCTCGTCAAAGAGACATTTGTCCAGTCTATATGGTACTCACGCACAACTGTTTTCTTCATCGATACCCAATCAGGAGCGATCATAGATGCTAGACTGTACACGCTACTGAAAACAAGGGTCGGTTTATTTGCTCGAGAAGTACGCCTACTACCCCTTGGGAGGTGTTATTAGGATCTTTTAATCAAAATGATACCCTTGAATGGAGAGTCCTTGATAAACCGACATTGTCTTCTATCATTATGAGTAGTAAGTACGTCCCATCCAAATGCTCCCCATCCCACTCACCAACTCGCTTCCAGTCAAAGAAACCCTAGATGACCTAACACTATCCATCATACACATCACCACCCGTACACCAACAGAAACACTACTCATCCAGTCCAAGAAAGCTTCTACGAGTGGTGGTTCCAAACCAGTGTGCGTCACTATCCCGCATGGAGGACCCCATACGACCTCGACTACTGCGTTTGTTCCGGCTGTCGTCGCATTAGCGCTTGAAGGACCCACACCCACACCAATGCCTTGCATGCCCGCACCTTCCCAAACAATGTTCCTGCCCACACCACCACCTCCACTAATTACATCCAAAACTTACAACGCCCTCTTCGCCGCATCCCCAATCGTGCACGTCGACAATATAACAACGCCAGTGCTGATATTGATAGGCGAGGATGATTTGAGGGTCGCTCCGGGGCAGGGGGTTGGGTTTTATCGTGCGATTAAGGGGAGAGGTGGTGAGGGTGGGACCGCGACTGGGGCTGGTTCTGAAGATAAAACTGGGAATGCGACCAAAGATGCGACCAGGACCGAGGAGACGGGACCGAGAAAGAAAGGGATAGTAGAAATGTTATCCTTCCCCGAGAATCGCATGCGATCGATGGAGTTGGAGCTGCTAGGGTTTCGTTCGAGGCTATGAGGGATTGGTTCAAGCCATTTGCAGAGGGCTGTTAGTCGTGTTTTTCGTTCCCTCGTTGCTAATATGACAGCCAGGCCGGGCCGTGCACATCACTAACATTTAATATTATTATTGTTGCTGTCCAAGAGCTGTCCGAATCCTGAAGGTTGAAGGTTGAACTCCCGAACCGTAAGACTGTACCCTGACTTGAATGTTTTCAAGGGTCTGGCAACGCTGTAGTCGGCATAGGGGCAACGTGGGATAGTGGTAATAACACGTCAAAAACCAGGCAACAATTTACGATTGGTATATGGGGAGGCAATTGTGCCTCAATAGCTCAAGAACGAATGACGAGAAAGTAACCAAGAAGATAATGTGGAACGCGGAGGAAAAACATATGAGACGGGCGACAAGGTTGAGAACGTAATATAGTCGTAATCTGTCAAGAAACGAGTCATTCAATATGGGTCACACCAACAAGTACAGGTCCAATCTCTTCACAACCTTTCAAGTAGTCTTTCGGCATCGGCAAAATCCACTTTTTCTGTTGAACTTCCATACCATTGGTGCCAAAGTACCTCTCGCTCTCGAAGCTCCAATCACAGCCGGCGCGCACCCAGTTTCCCAAGCCATCACAATACTCCCTAACCTGTGAGTCGATGGGCTCTCCCCATTTCGGAATGGCTGCCACGGCCTTGAAGTACTTCTTTTCGAGTTTTGTATGGTGATCCGCCACCCATAACATGGCGCCATTGACATCCGTATCAAACTCGTGCATGACAATTTTCACTATATTGTGATCGTCATCTCCACGTGCTTGCTCTAGATCGTAGGATAAGATGTCCTATAATATCATGCAAAATTTGATGAGTGTTGTTCGCGACATGTCCGTAGAAAGACATTGACATTACTGAGCGTCATCATGTCAAGAGATACCGCTACCACATCCTCAATTGTTGAGTGCGAAATTACTTCATCTGGGATATCGAGACCCAGCTCCAAGAGTACGAACGCAGGCTTTGCTCCAACTGCTTATACGGCGCAAGTCGAAGTAACTCTGGATGTCACGGATATGATGTCCGCTTCGATCAATGGCCTGCTGCACTACGCCCTCTAGATATTCATCGAATATTGCGATGAACCGCTTCTGTGACTGACTATTAGCACCGTCACGTATAATACGTTCCCAGAATCTGTCGGCGTAGTCATTCTCGATGTCGAATATCAGGTAGCAAATCACTCACTGGCGAGCAATTTCTCCACCGACCCATTCTCCTTTTGGACGTGGTTTATGAGGGTGACGTAGAGCATCCATGATGACGTCCTTTTGTTTGCGGACGTCTCCTTCTTCTGATACATCGGAATATTCATCTATGACAATTGCAAGATTCATGTAATCGCAAGCGCTGCGAACGTGTTCTGTATGGACTCCTCAGTAAGTCCACGCTGATATCCCTATAAGGCTTACCTTCACTCGCGATGGGGTAGGCTAAACAACCAAGAAGACCTAACGAAAGGCGTGAGCACATCAACAGGGTTATTATGAGCCATGTCTTACCGAGATTGCAACGGTTGAAGGCTTGTTGTGCTTTGGGGCTAAAGGCTTTAAAGCTTTCAAGCCAAGCACTTGATTCAGCACTGACTTGGAATAGTGCTGATTAAGACGGCGGGGAAATGGCCATCTTGCGAGCAAGTCAGGTATGAAGATTTTCTTCAGAGGTTGATCACATCCATCGCCAGCACTGGTGGTTACCAATCCCCCTGCAGTGGGGCGTTCAGAGGCAACCATGTCACGCTGGTCCATGGTCAACTGTACTCCTAGACCTGACACTAGATGTGCGATCCAGGCGGGGAGTGTGTTGAAGATAAAAGTCACCATGCTGAAAGCACTCTGGTTTGTATCCACACATGCACTGACTAGGTTTTATATCTGCGTTAGTGCTGCCGCCGTTGAGTCGGTCCTGGACCGGTTTCTGGTACCCTGTTATCAGTTGGACCATACTTGGCTCCTGCGGACAGCTTTTAAGAGTTCAGGGCACCCCGTTATCAGAGTTCATGGTACCCACACTAACTGTATCGAATCAGCTTTGCACAGCCTATAATGTATCACCCACCATCCAGACTGATGCATCCTTCAATACATCCGATGGTGAATCATAAAAGAACCTTCCCGAGGGCTTCTTCGCAATCGTAGCTTCTTCGCGACCGCCGGCTGTTTGGAACTTTGCGCGAGATCAATCTTGCTTCTTTTGATCCGGCAAGGACTGAATAGGCAGGACAATGAGTCATACCTTGGAACAAGTTAGCTTACTAAACCAGGATTGACTTTATCTTTTCTCATTGACGCCTGAGCTCTCCTGTCGTGGGACACGGGGGTTATGGCAGGGAGGATTGCTAAGCGCGTGTCCCGCGTGCGCTCGCTGTGTGTCGACGAGTGGAGGCTGATGGGTAGGGAGGAAGCCGGCGGGAAATGTTAGTGTCGATGATGGCATGTAGTGCAGGGCGCGGGGCAACATACTACCTGTGAGGCGCATGTTGTAAACACCTCGGGTAAGCAGAAAGTTGACTTCGGCTGCTGAAAAAGGCTGCATGCCCCATGAAGACGAAAAAAATTCAAGTCCGGCTCTGGGACATGCTGCCCACCTGAGCTCCTGCCAAAAAATGCGTGTCCCAGAGCGAGGTGAAATGAGGATTCTTGCCTGGGACATGTGGGTTTCGCTATGGAACCAACGCCAGATACGAGAAGTACAAAATTGTACTGCATTGTACCGTCATTACCTCTGCAGCAGCTCAGAAACTCGAATTTTGCGGCTGAAAAAATAATCTCTTACATGGCACAGTATACCACACATTCCTATGACGTACACAGAATTTTCCGCCACGAAAACTGTGCAGAAAACACGCTCCGCGTGTTTGAACGCGTCTCGCCCGTGTCGTCACTTTGGGATCTTCGATAGTCACATGACCGGGAAATTTCCAGCCCGTTGCCTATGCGTGTCCCATGTAAAGATTGCGTGCTGAGCGGTGAACGAGGTCTTCACCTGCTGTAACTGAGGTAATGCTCGTACCTTATTGTGGGAGCCGAACTTTCAATCACCATGCGGCACAAGCGATTCCCATTAGGCAAGACCAATGTTATACGAGAAGGAAGATTCAACGGATGCCCTGGCAGGGTCGTTGAATCCAAGGGCTGCTTGATACGTGTGACGGGAATTGTTCGTGATCCATATGGCAAATTTGCCAATCAAACAGGTGGACCAACCACTTTGTCTCTTCGTTTAAGGCTAGGTAGCATAGCCAGAATTTCCTCCTAGGCCGACGTTAGGCGAAGGAAGACAGTAGTTACAGCTCTATCCGCCGTCCACCTGTGAGCCCACATACAGGCACTGATGTCAGTTCTGTATGTCAAAATCCGTCAGAGAGCAATGGAACTCGTGAGGAGCCTCACAAGCAAGCTTAAGTGACCTTTTACCAGCTCAGCTCCGCACAAATTGAATCGGATTGGTTTCCGGTGTTACTCACATCCCGGCGGTTCAATCCGGAAAGTTGAGAATCTACAATCATTACGAAGGTGGCTCTCCCGGAATTCCACCCATATCAAGGAGAGCATAGTACCAGAATAGATTATCAGGATAGGTAGTACCTAGATGGTGCAGGTTGTTCTGTAGAAATTCTGATGTTTGTAAGGAGGCAAGGATCAAGTGTTCAGTTTTGTTGGCTCGTTATCTTGATATGTCAAGAACAACGGCAATGAAGGGAAAGATTAAGCGATGCGCGAGGTGAGTGAAGTCCGTAACACTTACCAAGCTAAAGGTCTCGGCAACCGAGGAATTTTGGGTGGTAGGTCACCCGCATGTAAAATCCCAGTGACTGATTTTTTGACAGGTAAAAGGGACGTCTGCTAGGCGAATACAGATTCCGAGTCAGCGAGCTGCAAGTTGCGATTAGATCAACTGTGCGATAAGTGCAGAATTGGAGCACAGACGGTAAGATTGTTTCAATGTACGACGGGAGTGATCCTCAGGTAGGGTATTCACGTCACCCGAATGCTAGCAAGGACGAGGAACGATACCCTGATTGATTGGTATGTGGTTATGAGCTGGAGGTTGGAAGAATGATACGGACGTATGCAGAGCCTTGACTGACGGTTCCAAGTGTGGTTTTTCGAAGAGGAAGATACCTGGAGTTCCGTCAGCTGCGGAACATTACCATGACCATGCCACCACTGAACATGCACTATTTTTCCTGACAGATGCATCTGGCAGCCTGAGCCAACTGACGCACCTCACGAGCCAGATCATGGCATATCCATTTCGCCGCATAGCTGGGACTTACTCGCCGACTACTCCCATCGTCCACGCCAGAAGGTTTCTCTTCAAGTTTAGAATGCCGCCCTGTAACGTTATTCTTAAATCTGGATTCTGCATCCCAGCCCTGAGTTGATGCTAATAAGTGCTAGTGAGTCTTCAGAACTTCAGTGACAGCAACCTTACTGACCTTCAATGTAATAATGGCGTTATAAAATCGCCGGTGAATCTGATTTTTTTTTGGTGGAATTATAGCTACATCACATGGAAGTCACTTAGTCAGCCCCCAATAAACTCAATCCCCGACGTTCTGTATCCTGGAAACGTCTTTTTCTCTACCAAATCTCCGATCAAGACGCGTTGGCCCATCGGCACTGTGACTCCCCCCTAAGCCCTATAATTAAAGGTACCTGTGGACCGGCGTGCGCAGGTGTGCGCCTGTAGTTAGAGGGGGATTGAGTAATATATAGGGGTTCGAACGTTCAATGTTCAAGATGTATGAATAATTGCTGGATAATGTCCCTCTGTGACATGGAGGCCCCGAACAGATACTTCGTTGCAGTTGGAGGTGTTATGCGTACCGTTGTTCACATTCTGCTGTGACAAAGTCAATTTCCAATTCTTCTTCGGTTACCTGAAATGCTACTCTTTGACCGTGCTACAAGATCCGTTATCCGAGTCAAGCGCTACTCCCGTTTATTGACATGTTTCGTACACCATTTCCAGAAGTATCGACTACTCACTCACGCGAGCGACATAATTATTGATTCCTGTGTTATCAACATGGATTACGTTTAATTCTGTATATGAGTATCCTAATGCTCGGTCCTTGAGTGACACACACAAGAACGGAGGCATCGTAAGTTTGCCATGGACGGTGCAAACTATATCCAACTTGATTCGGTTCTCAATCGCGTCCGACACCGGACCCGCCATTGGCCGAGGAAGAAGAACGCAGGTGCTCCGAATGCGGTCATGAGAGCGTGTCACGAAGTTCCGAGGTACCTGGGACGTTGGACCTTTACAGCCAGCTCAAGCTGATGACGAGTCTATGTGAGACGAGGAAAATGCTGACGGAGAAGTGGATTAGGATCTGTGATCTATAGTCTTTGGTCATGTCCTCTCGAATTCTTTGCATTTGGCTTTAGTCCCGTTTAGGGGAGCAATCATACATACAACCACACTGCGGCCTAGTAGGCGACGGACCGTTGTATAGCTGGACTGCACACGCCACTGACAACAAGAGTCGGTTTATTTACTCGAGGAGCAGGCCTACTACCTCTTGGGAAGTCATATTAGGATCTTTTTATCAAAATGATCTCCTTGAATGGAGTCCTTGATAAACCAACCTTGTCCTCTACAAGTACGCTCCATCCACCTCCCGCCCGTCCCACTCACCCACTTACCTCCAGTCAAAGAAGCCTTCGACTACTTGATACCATCCGTCATACCCATCATTACTGCCCCTACGCACCCACAGAAAACACTCCTCATCCAGCCCGAGACGCAATGCCAAGTTGGCATGACATCCAATGGAATCGGATCGAAGGGACTATCCGGAAACGGAATGTACAATGTACATGGTATGCTCAATATCAACCTATACAAGGTACGTGAACTCATGCATGCTACAAGTAAACATTCATACCTCGGTGTCTTGATCCAGAGCCTGACGAACACCTGAGGGGCGTCTCAAACTTTTTCCAATATGTTAAGGATGCGGGTGATGTTGACCGTAATAGATGAGCTTGATGCACTGGCCACAGCACGTTTGGATGTACAGTTGTGATAAATATAACAGATGAGTCGTGTGGGCAAAGCACAACGCGTGACGCTTATATAAACGAAAAATCCCTAATCGGCGAAACATGCAGTGACTCAGAAACAGCAAAACATGTACAGTATGTATCGTGCTGTAGAATACATTAACCAGACAAATTTAGGTGCATTATGATGTCTACGTTTAGAAGTGTTCACGCCAGCAGATGCTGTGTGTAAGGAACAGCTATCTTCGTTCGAGTGGGGTCTGGTAGCATAACTGGCACTTAACGGATGTGACATGCACCAGTTCCTAGCTAGGAGCTAATCATCAATGATCTTACAAGGTGAGTAATTAAATGTTACAGATTCAGACAATGCTACCGAGCTAACTACTACCTATTCAAAACTTCACTTCCCTAGTGAGTTCACCAGCACATGTGAATCCCATGTGAACTCGTAACATAGTGTTCGGATCAGTTGGATGGTGCTTTCCATGTTTGGATTGACCCGTCCACTCTTCATTCTGGCCCCACAGATCGAAGAATCTTTGAATCTTATCATGCTGTCCGGATGCAAGCAGGTATTCATACACTGCGCGCCATGCGCTGTCCAATGCACCAACGACCCACCTGCAGGTTGCATTGCCTCTAAGTTGTAATCATCAAAACAACCCAACCGCTTTTCACTCACGCATGACGGGTGCTGATGGCCTCTCCAGCAAAATGGAGCCTCTTGTTGGCATTTGGTACAGTGAGAGATGTGTATAAAGCCTGAAAATCTCCGGGCCCAAAGAACCCAAATGCACCTGTAGCGCAGAGAGTGAGAATCGATTTGCTCACATCAATGTTCAAAGGCTCACCCATGACGAGCGGGTTGTCGCTCCAGTCCCATGCATGCATGTCTACGTACTGATCCAACAAGAAATTATAATCCACATTGTGTACTTCCGCGAGATTGCGCAGCACGAGTTCCTTCAATTGCTCCTCATACTCTATCTTACCGGTGTTGATGAGCGCTCCCAAGCGTTCTGCATCATTTGTCAAACAGTAGCTCGCAATCAGTACTGTGGACGGCGTGCTAGACTCAGCCCCACAAGACGGGTAGATGATAGTTCGAATTGGAAGGTCAGTGGATGATTGGCCTCCTATTATATCGAAAAGTTCGGTCCACCACGCTGATTGAAAGCGCATCGCAACCTTGACTGAAGGAGCGTACTGCAGTTTACGCAATGCATTTTTCTGCATCACATTTAGACCAGCACCTCCGAGTTCAATCGTCCGTAGGCTCGGTAGAGGAATAGTCGATATAACATGTGAATATGTGCGCGGGCTAGATTCGCCCCTCACATAAACATTCATCGCCGTGTCTCCACTCTGAGAGATGCACGTGACCTTCTTATTGAACTGGATGAGAGGCTTGGTGCCGATAGTAGTACTAGTAATGTATGCCGTGATGTAGTCGGTAAGCACTTGAGAACCGCCTCTAGGTACGGTAATGGAATGTGTGAGACTGTGCATGAGTTCCAAGATAAAGGTGTGCTTACTCGAAACACTTCCATTCTACATCTCCCAAGGTCTGCGACTCGAAACTGACAAATGCCAGCGCATCAAGAACCGATTCAGTTAAAGCACGGTCAAACGAGCCTGTGCTGTCGTAGAATGTCTCGCACCAATTGATAACGTCGGCGGAAAGATGCGTGTGTGGAATTTGGAGGCTGGCGCTGGGGATGTACTTGAATGACATGAATGAGCGAACTGAGTATGCATCGTGCTTCTTCATGTTGTCCCAGCCCGAATGGACATTCTGCTCCAAGTCTTTAATGAGCTTATAAGCAAATGGCTGAATGACATCCTCGAAAATATTATCAACTCCCACGGCGATGTACTGAGAATCAACACCCATTTCTCGGGCATGGAAGTCAGGAGGGCGCGATGTCTGAGAGACTTGATAACGCTGATTGTTGAAGTAGAGGAAACACCCTCGTCTCTTTGACGTAATGTGATAATCGATAAGTTTGGAGCTCAGAGGTGCCTCGGAAGAACCCTCGTTGAGCTTCGGATAGTTGATTAACTCGCCCAAGCGCCTCATGATGCCAATCTTGTAATTGCCTTGAGCATCCTTCTTTGGCAGGGGAAACCTCATGGCGCCAACATCCTGGTTAGCGGGAAGGCCAAGAGTTAAGTTTACATAGTCAGCATCTTTGGCATAGCAGCATCGAATGAACAACATACGTAGTAGTCATATTTACCACCATTCGGGAAGTTGTAGGTGAGGATGCGTCCGCCGGTGCGGTCCGACGCCTCCAAGATCTCGTAGTCGATGTTCAGCGAATCTAGGATGAGGGCGGTGTATAGACCACCAACTCCTGCGCCTAGAATCCCAACTGTACCCAGCGGGCCATAACCATGCTTAGGGAGCACAGGTAACTGCGAGGTCTCCTCGAGATGAGTCGTGGTGAGTGAGGGAATGTTTTTGAGGAGAGCATCGTCATAATCTTCGATGATTTTCCGACCCCAGTAACCAAACACATCTCCTTGGATATCCATGGTAAGCGCAACTGGGATTGAGGTTCCTGTCTATATATCAATACATCAAACAGGGCAACTGTAGCACACCAGTGATGCATTCATATTACGGTGCTAGGCCTGCTAAAGTATGGTGCATTAGCAGTGAAGCATCATCACTACCTGCAGCTGAGTACTTTCAACTTTGGTGCATCACTTGTACATCACCCAATGCATCTTTGATGCATCCCACCACATTTTTAGACTGTGGGAAATTTCTCCCCAGCCCACCACACAAGTGGTTGAGAAACAGCGCTCGCAAGTCTGGAAAGCGCTTGCACTGGAGCTTTCTCTTCTTCCCTAGGACATCTGATTTTGAGATTGGCTTGTTTGTATACGAGACAACATATGATACGATGCCAAATTCTAGGGATACTGTTCATGTAGAGGTGTTGTCAAGGCTGTATAAAATGAGAATGTCCCGTTCTTCGCAGCTACAATATCTCTAGCGTCCTGACGTCGTTCAGGTATCCATAAGAAGTCGTGTCCCCCTTGACTTGTGCGATGATATTTTTATCCGAAGCAATTCTCTTATACTCCCCACCACGCTGTTGCGCTAGTAAAAGTGCGCCAAAAGGACAACGAAGGCGAACGGACAACCTCAACATTTCAGTGACCAGCTCATCATCTCCAGGTTCATCAGGCCAATTGTCCACGTTCTGCGGCTCGTCTGCAAAGTTGACCACCTCGAATTCATACCGATTCCACGGACGGATGAGGAAGAATGTCTGCCGAGTACGCCTTGCAGGCGAGAATTGGACTAGCTTGTCTCGCGTTGTGACCAGTAGGTCCTGTAGCCCGTCTGCCTTGACGTCATAAGTAAAACTTCTGGCCCCGTCTTGACCAGGCCTCAGTCTAACTTCGGTAAGAGGAAATGTGATGCAAGGCAATTGCAGCCTAGCGTTGGAAAAACGAGGAGCGCTGATATTCTGCAAGAGGGTGTGCACTCTTGAAGCCGGCTCCACAAGAGCAGCCCCAGGCTGATTTCGCAGCGCGGAGACCAACATCTGCATGTCGTGTTCAGGTAGAGGTGGTGTACATGACGGAGCCTTGTATGAAGAAATGTCGGCTGGCAGACAACTGTTGAAGTTGGATGATCGTCCCACCCAATCAAGGGCTGTGATGTCGCCCGAATGGGCTATAATCTCCTGCAACAGTCGTCCAAGCGCTTTCTGTCTTTTTTTCTCCGTAAATAACAGGAAGGTTCACATCAAAGATACCAAACAAAGAGTAGGCGATGTCTTCCTCCCTCGTGGTTTCACGGTTTGACGCCCATCGGAGTTTCTCTCTGGCATCTCTTGTCCCCGGATGGAAGGAGACGAGCGCGCGCGCATTTATGCCAGTTGAATACTCCAATTCCCTCATGATACTGACAGACTGTTTGTGGTTGCAGGAGCGGTCGTCGAGATATAGGGTCCAATTTGCTTGGTAGAATAGAACAATTTTAGGAGCAAGGAACTCCTGAACGGTCCATCCTCGGGTGTTCCAAACACTGTTTGCGAGTGCGCCCGACTTTGACAAAGGCGGGACATCCGATAGGTAGACGATGGTAAGAGCTGAGTAGTGATACCAGACGAACATGGAGTTGACTGATTCTTGGAGTTCGAGGTTGTTGTTCTGTTCGATGCAGCACGTATCGCTCCACGCCCAGTGATACCCCGCTTTGCGAGCGACTTTGCAGAACTCCTGCAACTTCACAATGGTTCCGACTGGATCCAAGTCGTATATGTCCCTGCCCTGAATGTCGTGCAGTAGGGGCTCCTTCCTTTCCCACCTATGGGACAACATGACCCAACTGAAGTACTTCGCAACCGCTTCTTTGATGGGTTTCGTTTGGAGGGGCCCACGCATTACTGACGGAGACAAAAGTTTTTTGTACTTTCTACTCTCCGAGAATGCATTGATTTGCGCGTCTCGATTGCACAAACATCCAGTAGAGGTGTTGATTAGACGAAATGGAGCGTTTTCCAGTTGGGCATGAATGGCCCGTTGAATGGCATCTTCTTTAGATGGACTGATGTACAGCTGGTGTAGCTCTGCAAAAATGTAAGTAGTCTTCAAGTCGGTGCTTGAGTTGTTTGGGGCTTACGTCGTAACCGTGGGTTTGGGTCATCATAGCGCTGTGAGCTACGAAGTGCTGCAGGCTGCAATTCATATCCAAGATGAGACGAACGGTTGAGCTCAATGACCTGCAAATATCATCACATTTGTCAAATCAATGATGGATATGGTCCGCACCTTTTTCGCGTCTGTCAGGGCTTCCGCATTGAGGTTTTGTCCCGATTTCACCTCACTGCGATGCGCAAAGTGCGAGGAACCCGTCCTGAATGCTGCAGCAGGTGTGTTCTTGATGGACCAGGACTGAAGAAACCCATCAAAGTCTCCACCCACGAGCAGTTCTCCACTGAGAGAAATTGCGACAGAGTAAACCGATGTCATGTATTCGAGTGCCCGCCCTATCTGCTGGTGTGACTTTGTGTTCCACAGGCACAAAGTGTTATCGCGCGAGGCGGTTGCAATGAAGGAGCCATCAGAAGAGATGGCAAGTGAGTTGATTTCGCCGGTATGACCCGTGAAAGGTTGACCGATCTGGGTCCCATTCGACGAATTCCAAAACATGATTGTTTTGTCGTATGATGCAGAGACAACTTGCTGGCCGTCGGGAGTCCACACAACGGTTGAAACGAAATTTTGGTGAGCGCGGATGTTGAGAAGAAGCTCGGCGTTATTAGTGCGCCAAACCCGAACGATACCATGTGATCCACAAGATGCTAATTTTAGCCCATCTGGACTGAAGGCGACACACAACACCGGACCCAGTTTATCCTGGAGTGTTGAGAGGACAGCGCCAACCTCCGCATCCCATATAATGATTTTTCCATCATGTGACCCGCTTGCGAGTCTCTTTCCATCGGGTGAGAAACACACCGACCGAACCCATCTTGTACGCTTCAATTTGAATACCATCTGTTTGCTATCGACGTCCCAGATGATGATGGCTCCATCTCCTCCACCACTCGCAATTCGTCTATCATCTGGCGATACAGTGACTGAATCCACACGGTCACGGTGTCCCTCAAATGGCCTTCCCACCAACTTGAAACCTCTCTCCTTCCACGTTCCAGATTTGCAAGGTTTTATCATCTGAAGCAGTGACGATCCGTTGACCGTCTTTGAAGAACGCGACTGCCAACACTGTCGTCATGTGCATTAGTCCCATCGAGCGCCATTCCACAGTAGAATCTCCTATATTGCGTAATCCTGACATATCGCTAACCAGGGAGATAGACTGTCAGTAGCGATTGAAGTCGACGAGGAGCGACTCTGTGGTTAAGTCGTCGATTTTATGTGTCATGAGAGGTCGTGAGTAGAATTGGATATCTGGACTCTGCCCATAACCCAAATCATGTAGGCTTTTTATATATCATTTGTACCATACCACAGCATACCACAGCATGAATCTCATTTTGGTCCAGAGGGGGGATTAATGGTTGATGAACTTTTCGACATCGGATACGAAGGCTCGGCCTCTTTAGACCAAGTTTTGCATAGGTTTTCATTTGAATAAGCGTCGAGGGGTGCACAAATATCGGCAGCTGTATGGTACGGGTGAGCTACTCTTCAATTCGTACCTTTCTGATCACGTACCAGCAACAGCCTTCGGTCCTTATACAATCAAGAGCCCTAGGATGGACGATGCTGTGGCTCGCCAATCAACGCTTACAAAATCAGCGTGTACAGTTTGAAGAACAACAACTTCAAGTACTAGGCTTTATGCATTGCGGTCATAACAGCGTGCCTGAGTCTTCTGTTTCCATGTCCTCTCTAAGCGCTATCTTAATCTAGGGAAATATTATGTTGTATCTTCACCAGATATCAATATTCACGAATTCTCATCTAGGATGTCTCTACCTGTGCGAACTGTCAGATGCCTGTCACCACCACATTGCAAATGGAAGATTCTGCACTCACTATTTTTGGCATTCTTATGATACAAAAGTCCGATGATTGAGGCAGAGAGCGAGAAGGTGCGCATGAAGCGACGGATTGCCCGAAGAAGAAGAGCAGGTATAGTGAGTGACTTCCTGTGATCCGGATTCTCATATGAAAACAAATTTGAAAATGAATCTGTAAGAGAATCTGTGCAAAATACTACCGCACGCCAATAGATTATAATGCGGAATATTGACCGTCTTCACGTCCACTACTATGGATGATCTGACAATTCAATTTCTAAAGAACGAAGCAGAATTGCGACAGGAAGAAGACGACGACGAAGAAGCTGCGCTAGCTAGCCGTTGCTACCACTGTCCTAGTTGGTGTTGACCACTACAGTCTGCTACACTTAATTTCACGACTGCAAATGCAAAGGACTCACTTGTGCGATACTGGAGTGTGGTTGCCAATCACCGGGGTGGTCTGGACCTGCAACAGTCAGTGCAATCCCAGGCACAAGAACGCGAGGATCCTGTGCAGAAGTTCCAGATTGGGTGCTGGCCTTAGTGCCACACTCGGGTCCGCACCAAAGCACCACGACCAGGCCGGTCAATGAGCTATATTAATGGAGACTGATCAGATGCCTGACTGCAGTGCTCATAATTACAGGGTTGAGAGTGGAGAATTATTTGCGGGTCGTTGCGTCTAATTTTGAATCATGAGGGATTTGCTGAAAGGCCCCATATAAAAATAATATTGGTCTTGTGGTACAGCAATTTCAAGTCGTGGTGAGACGAGAGCAGCCACGGTCAACGGCAGCAAAATCAGGCACGTGCGAATGAAGAAGGAATGTAGATAATTCCCCGAACCTGAATATCCAAAATCAGATCTCCGATGGTGCTCCTGCGGTATAGGAACCAGTGACTGAAGATTGGACAGATAGGAGATGCCGATTGACCTCGTGCCACCAGTATAGTTTGGAAAACTCTGAATATAGAACTCTACTGAGGTAAGGGAGCCTGGAAAAGACGATGCGAGCAACAGCTTCACCATCCGCTAAATCAGATCGTGTCAAAATCAACTGTTGTAGGGCGGTATGCTGAAATGACTCGGTTTCAGGATCGATATCGATATTCACGGTGTCCATTGATATCTGCAGGCAATACAAGTGGGGTCATTAACGGAGCGCTGCAAATAACCCGCGGAATGTAACGGGTGTCATCTGCTGGTCCTCTAATTCCAACGAGCATATGTACGGCAACTTTGACATGGCTTCGAAAAGAAGGTCGTTGTCGATGAAAATGGAGCGCTGAAGACTGAGGCGCAGGTGTCGGAGCTGCGTGAAACAAAGGAGATGTATAACTGCCGTCAAAGAGTTGCCTGAGGGCTCCTGCACTTCTGGACCTGAATAGATGATGGTGGTTTCGAGTGTCTGGCACGCTTTGCACTGGGATAGTGCAAGAAAAAGCTGGTCAGCCTCCATCCACGGCAATGCATCGACATCCATGTGAAACTTTTTCAGTGAGGGGAATTCTGAGTGTTGTATGAGCGTTATGACGTATGCAGCTGTATCTGAGCGGAACTGAAGAGTCGCGAGGTTGAGGAAAGGCGTGAAATTGAGATTATGATTGTTAAGATCCAACTGGGGGGACGGAAATATTCTCCCCCCCCTTGCTAATTACGATTTCGAGAAGGGTATGGAGGTTGGACAGGTGCTCCCATGCAGCCAGGTCGAGGGGAAGACATGTCAGAGTAACAAGTTGCTTGCACGAACGGACACTTTGAGACAGAGAGGACAGCTTATCTGCAATGTCCTCCATGGATACCCAATCCAAGGACTCTATGAATAAGTGCTCCAAAGCAGCACGAGTCATCATTAATATGAAATCTGGATCAATGTACTGTTGGTGACAACTACGCAGCGTGGGGGACAGAAAGAGATGCGAGTAGTTAGTCGGACGTAGAAGCGCGAAGAATATTGACATCAGTCTGGGAAACAAACATGTCTCGCTGGGAAAGACTGGAAGAAGATGAAAATGGGTGTCGGATTTTATACGTATCGAGCGCACACGGATGGCGTGACGCAAAAATTGATGGGTCTCGAGCTCAGACAACGGTTCGAGGCCCCGAGAGGACCAGTCGCGGAAGTAAGTAGACTGTGTTTAGATGCTCGGTGAACCTATGAATAAAAAGGGTACGACTACTTCACACCGACCTTTTGATATATTATTTGATGTAGCCTCGTTACACAGCCTAGTAGTGGATCCAAGTTCTCTATGTCAGTCCAATGCTAGCGCTCATTCATTGCATGTTCGTGAAAGGCTTTGCATGTCGTTGCAAGCGCTGCAAAGCATCTCAAAGGTACTCAGCGATCAGGGAATCGGAAGAATCGGAGGAATCCAAGTATCTCTAGAAGAACATCGGGTACAAGGAGAGCTCGATGCATCATCGATGTCGTCGCTGCAGACTTCATGGCAAGCTTACTTGCAAGGTCATTCAAATGCATCGAAAAGCCTGCGGCTTATCTACACGAACAAACAACGGAAAAATCCGAACAAGTTTCTCTCCACTTGTTTTCGAGTTGAATTTCGCTCGCCTCAAATGACGAATGTTAATGATTAATGATTCCTGGTCTGATTTCGCTGATGAGTTCACATTTCTCTTCTCGCTCGTGATGTTGCTCGCCTCGTAATATTTCATTGCTATATTTTTGTGCGTTTCAGGAGATTACAATGAAAGTTTGGACAATTCTGAACTACTCGCCTCGAGGCTCTCGCGATGTTCAAAGCTAACGATAGACATCTTTGTTGCGGTTGGAGGTGCCCTATCAGTTATACGTCCCGTTGTTCACATTCCTGCCATGACAAAGTGAGTCCTGCTTTTTAAAATGACGGTCGTCGATTTTCAATTCACTCGTCAGTTTTAGGAGAACGAGGACTTCTTAATGTGGTTCTTCAGCCCCTGAACTGCTATTTTTTTGACCGGGCTACAAGATCCGCTGTCCAAGTCAAGACGACGTAGCGCTACTCCCGTTTATTGACACGTTTCACACACCATCTCCAGAAGTTCAATCAACTACTCACTCACTAGCGGTATGATTATTGGTTCCTGCGCTATTAACATAGTATGTGAGTATCCTAACACTCGGTCCTTCAGCACACAGGAACGGAGGCGTCGTAAGTTTGCTATGGACAATGCAAATTACATCCAGCTTGATTCGGTTCTCAATCGCGTCCGACGTCGGACGCGCCAAGAGGAAGACCAGCGCATGTGGTCTGAATGCGGTTATGACGGCGTGTCGCGAAGTTCCGAGGTACCTGAGACGTTAGAGTTTTCACAGCCAGCTCAAGATGATGACCAGTCTGATCTGGATTTGTGATCAGCAGTGGGTCGATGGTCTTTGGTCATGTCCAATGTTTTCTCGAATTCTTTGCATTTGGCTTTACTTCATTGATTCGTCTCACCGCACACAGCACTTGTAGCATTATACTACTCCAGCATCTTCACTTGTCAATGAGACGAGCAAAGAATCAGGAAATCCAGGGAAAAGGTCATTTCTCAATCGATCGTAACGGTCAACAACTTAACAATACCATCTAGAGCGATGCCTGACAGTTGACTCTGATGTCAGATAAGCAACTACTTAACCGATCAAACTCACCATGGTTAATACCATTAGAGCCAGCTGCGAGGAGACCAGTGATGTTTTGGGCGGTGGTACTGTATTTGACCCCATGGAACCATGTTTCACCAACTGCTGCTGACACCAGTTGGTCGCTGAAACTGGATTGGTGATCCGTTCGTTACAGTCACGGAGTTACTTACCGGCCAATATTGTACCCATCTGGCACGATATCATGATGTTTTGATAAGGGCTAATGGTGGCGTTCAGCTGTGCAACACAACCCTGTCGAATTACGCACCTCCTCTCGAGACACGCTGGCATATCAAGTAAGATACTAGTAGAACAATAGACAATTTAAGGATGCTTACGCTAGGAAGAGAGCGCCACTGTCTGCCGCAGTGCCGTTCTGTACAAAAATACTGGGCGAATATTATCACCACCCTAGATCACTAGTCGATAAATTTACCGAAAATGATTTCCTCCGACAAGGCTCTCGAGACATGTTCCGCCTCCTGCGCTTCCATAGTCCTGGCGAAGTTCAATAGTTTGATTGACCCATCCATTTCCATCTCCCAAGTCGGCGGGCATAAGACCACCTAAGTGGAGGCCGAAACATTCTTCAGAACTATCACAAGCAAATAAATAAGACGCAGTCCACAATTATTTCCACGCTTACAATCCAATAGCACGGGCAAAATTGAGAGCTCCGTCAAATGTCAGTACAGCGGGAGAGCTAAGCCCAGAGATGATGACCTAAATTTTTGGAGTCGGTCAGGCCATACATTAGGTGAGGGTGTCGTGATAATGAAAGAGAAATACATTCATAGGTTCACCGGCTCCATCGCCAGCATTGATGAGCATCGATCCGCCTCCGGCAGTCGGGTTATAATAAGCAACACCACCCCACTTGTCCATCCAAGGTGATGACACTGGAATGAATTGTAGATATGGCATCACAAAACCAAGTAAAGCATTTATAAGATGCATCTTGTTGATGAATGATGAATAACGTCGAGTCTTATACGTAGATCAAGAGGAAGGGGATATAACATAGCATGACACACCTCAACGATTTTATACGCATTAGCTCGGTGGGAATGACGTGCGGAAGTAGCACGCACCAGGTTAGGAAGCGAATGAAGCCGGTTCTGCGATTATACAAACCAGTGTTGTCGGCACGGGTATAAGACAGCCGTTTCATTTGTACACACACGTTCATTGATTTCAATAGATCCAAAATCAAATCTAACTCCAGAGCGAAGTCTGACAGACACTGGATGGGCGGCGGTTTGGATGCGGCCAAAAAGCTCTTGGTGAGAAGATCATGAGGCCCTGGGCCAACTCTGGGCCGAAGTTCAGGCACCTGTGTTAAAGAAGGTTATTTAAAATTTGAACCTATCGAGTATTTCATGATAGGATTTCGAAGAATCCACGAGTGAAGATCTCTCTAATGAGCACAGAATCAGTTTATGTCGATCAGCGAATGATGATTCGACATGTTGCCAACTCAACATCAATTAAGGCATTTATGCAGTTAACTTGAAGACAATCGGACCATCGACACCAAGCTAGGTAAGAGACCAAAGCGCTCTATGATATGCGTACGGAAAGTGAAAGGACTTTCAAGAAGGAGTCTGCGTCACAAAGGAATGAATGTTTCAACTTGGCTTGTTTTCGGAATTTCCTACTTCTGAACTTCACAGAATCCATATATGGAAATGTGTTATCGCAGTCCTCGAAACTCAAGTTATTCTGGGACTGAGCTAGAATCTACAAGACATGTCGTCATTGAGGAAAATACGTAGCTAGTGCAGGTACCGCTGTACGACCCATTTGCACTGGACACTTGTTCATGGCCAAATCTGCGCTGCCTCCGTTATTCAGTTACTGATCTGCTGGGGACCTCGAGCTCCATACCGCCACCGCAGTAACTTCAGACGGATATACTTTACGTGATGCTGCAAGATTCGTGACAGGGCCGGGCCCTAAATACCTATCAGTTGGACATCAATACTACATGCACAATCGAAGTAGTGCGGTAGAAACGTTGTACGACACAGACACAAACGACCTTTCGGCTAGTTGCTGAAGCGCTGGCCAGTCGACTAGTCAACGCTCGTAAGCTCGCGATCCACTTGAAACGGCCAATCGTTTGCGTCTGTGCAGTGTGATCTGAAGTTTGAACTGTGGAATACGTATAGGTCACTTACAGTAGAGATGTTCATCTTTTGCCCATATTTCAAAGATTGATAGCGACTCCTGGCAGAAAAAGTTCTGAATATCTTGTCAATCAAGGACCTGAAATGATCGAGGTGATTCCGAACCTCGCGCCCCGTGTTCGCATGGTTGGAATCCATGGGGCTGTGGTAGATCGTGTTGACGCAAGGGAGTGGCATAGAGAAGATGACATGAACGATATCTTCTATATCCACTACCTCAGCTCGATCAAGCATTGGACTGCATTATGGTGTCGTTCTATATTGGACATCCTGTCAGCTCCTATGATTTCACTGGATCGAGTATGTCGTGACACGATATCATGGGAGCTAACAACCTGTCAGTGCAACGCTCCCCCACCTGGAGCACCCGGTGAACTGGCCATATAGAGGACATCGTAAAAAAAAAATTCAGAAAAAATCTAGAGATCGATGACTCAAAGTATTCATCTCTGACTGCGAATCCAGAATGCTAATGTTCACCCCTCAGACCCAGACCCCACCAAGCTCCCCTGATCTCATCGACCAACACCAACAAACTGGTTTGCACGATGCCGGTAGATGAAATCACGGGAGCTCCCAGTGCCAACTTCAAGCTCGACCTCCACGTGGAGCACCTTGAAGCGCTTAGCGGGAAGACTCGGACTCGCCATAAAAAATACAAGCCTTCTCGCTGTCCGCGATATCAGCGAGCTCTGTGATATGAAGAGAAGATTTACCACCGAGGATGTAGAACTGGCGCTTGGTGCGATAGATACTGGGTGCTAAATAAATGATGGGTGAACTTTCGCAATGGCATCGAGGTACGCGCAATGCCAAGTTGTGCATGGGATCGGATCGAAGGGAGGGACCTGCTATTGCAATGTATGACGTGTCGAATATCCGGAAACGGAATGTACATGGCATGCACCATATTGTCCTTAGTATCGATGGTGCGTGAACTCATGCATACTATGAGTAAACATCCATACCTCGGCGTCTCGATCCAGAGCCCGGCTAACACTTCCCTGTATCTGAGGTGCGTCTCGAATTCCGCGATGATCAGCACAGTAAACGAGTTTTTCGTCCATGTGAAATACTAGATGCAGATCATCCGTCAGGAAGCAGCAGAACGTGGGGTCTGACTCCTGCCTAATGGAATCTCCAGCACCAGTGGTGCGGTGGGCTTCATATGAAATTCATCGGGTGCCTCCGAGGTGATGGTGATGAGCTGCTCATCGATGGCACAGTTATAACTGTCAGGATGTGCGTCGCTCAGAGTGAAGTCAGGTGAGAGGAGGGAGGAGGAATGGTCGGTCAGTGTCTTGAGAGACTCACCTTTAAGTAGTTCGCATGGTTTAAGGGACAAATCCCATCGTAGTAGATCTTATTGTTGTATAAGACAGTCGTTCGTCGTGTTTGGCTTCGTTCGACTCGGAATTCTGTTGGTAGCCAGGAAGCTGACTGTTGTGGCTATGGAATTGTCACTTAAATCTTCGATTCACTTACAAGTATACAATGATGGAATCACTCACATATAGGACAACGGTTTGTCCGAGGGTTTGGGCGTTCGTGGTTGGCTGGTTCGGGATTCTGTGACGGTTTGGGCAACTGCTTGTTTTTTAGCTGTTGAATTGACATTTCAAGGCACTGATTACTCACAAGAACGCGATCGAGGATCCTGCACAGAAGTTCTAGATTTTGTGGAATTCGGTGCTGGTTGTAGACTTTTAGTGCTACACTCGGGTCGCCGCACCGGAACGCCACTTTCAGGCTGGTCGATGAGCTACAACGGAGACAAATCAGATGCTTGACTGCAGTGCTCGCAATTACAGTTATAGAGAGCTCTTCCGTCACCGTAATATTACAGGGCTGAAAGTGGAGAATCATTTGCGGATCGTTTTGAATCACGAGGGATTTGCTGGAAGGCCCGATATAAAAAATGGTATTGATCCTTATTGATCTTGGGGTACAGCAATTTCAAGTTACGGTCAGACGAGAGAAATAATTGCAGCCACAGTCAACGGCAGCACGTGCGAACGAAGAAAGAATATAGATAATTGCCCGAACATTAGTACTTGAGTATCCAAATCAGATCTCTGATGGTGCTCCTGCAATACAGGGACCGGTGACCAGAGAAGATTGGAAGGATTGGAGATGCCGATTGACCTCATCCCACAAGTACGATCGGAGGAACTCTGAGTATAGAACGCTGTTGACGTAAGGGAGCATGGAGAAGACGATGCGAGCAACAGCTTCACCATCCGCTAAATCAGATCGTGTCAAAACCAACTGTTGTAGGGTGGTATGCTGAAATGACTCGGCGTCAGGATCGATATCGATATTCACTGTGTCCATTGATATCTGCAGGTTTTGCAAGTGGGGACATTGACGGAGCGCTGCAAGTAACCCGCGGAATGTAATGGGTGTTATCTGCCGATCAACTAATTCCAACGAACGTATGTGCGGCCACTTTGACATGGCTTCGAAAAGAAGGTCGTTGTCGATGACAATGGAGCAATGAAGACTGAGGCATAGGTATCGGAGCTGCGTGAAACATAGGAGGTGTGTAACTGCTGTCAAAGAGTTGCCTGAGGGTTCGTGAACTTCTGGACCCGAACAGGCTATGAAAATGGTTTCGAGGGTCTGGCATGCTTTGCACTGGGATAGTGCACGAAAAAGCCGCTCAGCCTCCATCCATGCTAAACTCTTTCAGTGAGGGGAATTCTGAGTGTTGCATGAGCGTTGTGATGTATACGGCTGTGTCTGAGCGGAAATAAAGAGTCGCCAGGTTGAGGAAAGGTGCGAAATTGAGATTATGATTATTGAGATCCAACTTGGGGGACGAAATTCTTCTCCCCGTCTTGCCAATTACGACTCCGACAAGGGTATGAAGGTTGGACAAGTGTTCCCATGCAGCCAAGTCGAGGGGTGGACCAGTCAAAGTTACAAGTCGCTTGCACGAACGGACACTGTCAGACAGCGAGGACAGCTCATCCGCTATGTCCTGATCAAAGGACTCTATGAGTAAGTGCTCCAAAACAGCACAACGAGATATGAAGTCTGTGTGAATGGACTCTTGGTAACAACAACGCAGCATGGGGGACAGGAAGAGATGCCAGTAGTTAGTTGGATGTTGAAGCATGAAGGATACCGACATCAGTCTAGGGAACAAGCATGTCTCGTTTGGAAAGATTGAGAGAAGGTGGAAATGGGTGTCGGATTCTATACGTATCGAGCACACACGGGTGGCGTGACGCAAGAATTGATGGGCCTCGAGCTCAGATAATGGTTCAAGGCCTTGAGAGGACCAGCCGTGAAAGTAAGTAGACTGTTTAGATGCTCCGTGAACCCACGAATAAAAAGAGTAAGACTACTTCACACCGACCTTTTGGTATATTATTGGATGCAGCCTCGTCACACAGCCTAGTAGTGCATCCAAGTCCTCTATGTCAGCCCAAAGCCCATTCATTGCGGGTTCATGAAAGGCTTTGCATGTCGTTGCAAGTGCTGCAAAGCATCTCCAAGATAATCGGCGATCAGGGAATCGGAGGGATCCAAATATCTCTAGAAGAACATCAGGTAGAAGTAGAGCTCGATGCATTATCGCTGCAGACTTTCGAAATTTCAAGTTGCAATTACTACATGCATGCGTGCTTGTTTGGCAGCTTGTCGCGCACAACAGACATAAACAACCGGGTAGCTATTTTGACGCGGTCCTGCCGCGCCAGTACTAGCGCAAGTGTTGCTACATACGACTCCCAGAATCCAGATCAAGTTACACGGATTCATGGTCATTCCTTCGTTATTTTATTCATAATAGAGACACATACTACTAGCTACATCAGCCAATAGCTATTTTCTTTTCAGGCTCTCTCAGTGGACCCTCTGTGAAGCACGTCGGGCGCACATTCTTCAGCCGGCAGCGAAGGGCAACGTTTCATGGGCACAATTTCTTCTTCAACTGTCAGCAAAGGAGCTACAACTTGGGATAACTCGTCTGAAGACGTGGTATTAGAGTTATCGCTAAAGAAGGGGCCACGCTGTCAATTTAGAGACCTAGTATTGAATAGAGCAAGTTATATTTTCTTATTGCCCGGAATAGACCCGTCTTCATTTTCTGAAACGGTGGAAACAGCATCTGGTATCACGAAGCCACCACTCGAGTCACGGCTTTATCTTGGGATAGTCTCGTAAAGTGAATGCGACCTTTTGCTTGAAAGTGTCCATATCCGAGACCGACAACAGGGCAAGGCAGCTCTGAAAGTTGTCTGTACTCGCCTTGCCTTGTGACCATGTCAGATCTATGTTTTAGTGTCAGAGGCAAGCAAAGACTCATGGAAGCTTAAAGCATGTGACGGCCGAGTAGTCTGTACAGAGGTCGGGAGATAAGCTATTATATAACCCTGTTCTACTTGCCAAATTTGAGTTCGCAAAGAGCATCAGTCGAACGGCGCACCTGAGCAGTTCAAGTTATAGCCGGGGATGAGGTCAACAACACCCAGCGGTTGATCTGGATGATTTCGATCCCCTCTCTCGCTGGGATAGAAAAAGTTGAATATGTATTTGATTAAGTCCTAGAAGATGGTTTAAAACGAGTGCACTCCGTATCTCAAAGCACTCACGAAAGTCATGGTATATATGGATTTCCAGAAGCGTGATACCGGTTCTTCTCTAGGCCATAGGAGACAAAATAAAAGGAGTTCAGCTGGAGAGATGATTTCTCGGAGACTCGGAGTACTCGTAGAATGATTTTATTACTGTCTACTTTGTACGACGAGTGTTGACTCGGACGTGCACTGACGCGGCGTGTAAGTGGGCCTCGACTCGCGCGTGACGCGTCTAAACGCCATGTTTGTATCTGTTTTGAGTGAATTTGGACTTGGAGTACTCGCTCCTCAAAATCTGAGAAGATCATTATGGCGCCACGGATTTGCTTTTGCCAGCTCAGTTGACTGGGATACCATAATCACTGCTAGCTAGGGCTGTGTATCAGGAACTCCAATCATCAGCAGTCAGTGCAGACTACTAGTCACAAGGCCAAATATCCTTCTCTTCCGAGTCCGTTCCTTTTCTTCGTACACTGTTTCCTCACCGAGCTGCAGAATTTTTGCTCTCAAGATATCGAATCATTACCCGAGCACGAGGCCTTTCAGCTCTTTCGTCATGCCGCCTGTGCACACTCATTGAATATTCCAACCATCGACATTTTCATCTTCTAGAGCCCGTCATATTATATATCGAGACATGCGTATTCTTGCTGTCGTTAAGCCGGACGGCTCAAAATGCGATAGTTACACATCCTATCCCTTATGCTGTTGGCCCTTCATTCAGATCAATTGGAATCTGTTGTGCCACGTGGATAGCTCAACGATCCTGGCCATGGAAGACGCACTGGCAGTACATTCGCTGCCCGGCTTGAACATCTGCATTGTACGCAGCCTGACTCGACAGCATGGAAGCACCTCTCCAATCTCCCCACTCTGCATACAGTAGCGATCTGTATCGGATTTTTTTTATCCGTTGAACTGGCATAATCTCAATTTTCATCTCTCTTTGATTTCACAGATATTCTTTTTTTGATGTGGAGACGGCTGCAAACACGTTCCCGTCGCTACAAGATTTCCTGGGGCATGTCCACGTTTTGCACCGGGCAGAAACCGACCAGCTCGTTCTTTCGTTCACTGGCACAGTGAAAAGCATGCCGTTCTCCTTAATTGCGTTGGAAGGATATCAGGGATTCTCAGGCAGCTTGACGGTGATCACGCAGTTCCCTTTCCTCATTTACCTTTATAACAACCTTCTCATGGAAGCTTTTTTCAAGTTGGATGCACATCCGCGCGTTGTAATTGCCGGCCCGCATCTTGGTCCCCACACTGTTATATTCCAAGGGTCACTTACCGCACTCTGTCTATGTCTATGCTTCCACTTGCATATCCTGCCAATGCAGTGGATGCTGAGACTATCGATATCACTCCCGAAGGCGATTCATTCCAGCACAACTCCCTACACATGATGGGTGCTAAAGCTGCCGCTCGTATCATTTTCTCGATGCTTCTCTGTTCCCACGTAATTACCTAAGAGCATGACAATGCCACTGGAAGCTGCCTCCCGACGGCCTGGTGCCGTGATCTTCTGCGATTATTGGTCGCCAGATTACAGGAGCAGCCCCTGGGCTCAGATTTATATACTGATGCCCTTCGGTGGTTATCCCTGAGTACCCATCAAATCTTGCCACGCGTAGATGGGACGAGCGAGGGAGGTCATGTCCAGGCCTGTGGCCTGTACCTGCGCTTGTGCAGAATGTTTTTTGTATCACCGTCACAAACTTACGCAGGCCATCCAACATATGCAGGTTTCGTTGTTTGAATCTGCGGATCATCAACCAAATTTTCAAACGACTTAACATTGACGAGGTAGATTCCAGTTTTTATTTGTTGCTTGAACGACCATTGGTTTTGGCAGTCACACATTTCATGTTTGGACTTTGAGCCTCGCCATTTTTACAGGTCAGTTGGTTCGGTTTAGAAAGGTGACAAGGAAATGATGTGGTGCCCACTGCACTGCACTGCCGGCACGAATTTACAATTGTTGTTCCGCTGCCGTAGCGTTGCTGATGCCGGCGCGGCTGGCCTGTCCTCTTCTCTAATCCCCTTCTACGTTTATTTTTGTACGCACCACAGTGGTCTCGAACGTTGACCTCGAGTATACATAGGTCAGAACCATAGAACAAAGCTATACCATAGAAGGAATTCATCTAGCGGCAATCAGCATTCAACGTTCCATATTGATCCTCGGCCTATACTCGTTGAACTTACTAAGCCAGGTCCGGCCCAGGGGTGATGTATATGCGCTATTACAGCAACGTTCCATTCTGCTCCACCCGAGGTCATTTGCGCGCTGTATCTCGGCTGACTCGGACAGGTTGGTGTCAAGTATTGGATCCTGGGCGTATCATTATTTTATGCCTCAACTTGAAGGCTCCATCACTGGTTGTATTACCGAAAAACGCTCAACCCACGCAGTCAACGCTATGCTCCGATGGACGATTGCCCCTCCACAGTGCCTAATACACAGCTATTTGGTACAATATTTGCTGTTTGGCCTCTTGCATGTGGTGATTCACCATATGTAAATATTGTTGATGAGGCTATTACTGTGATAGTGCCTCGTTACTCGGGTCAGTGGGACTCGGGGGTCAACACGGATCCGTGTTTAGATCTCGAAGTTTTTCAATTATAAATTCCCTGTCCGGGCGTACAGCTATAGGTCGGAACTTGGGGATAGGGATGTAAGTACCAAAAAAAATATCGGACGGTCTCCAATTCAAATAAGTACTCTCGTACCTGACGAGTACATTTACAGTCTGCGCTCATTTGTGGGGATCACAGTTCCGTTCCATCAAGTAGCTCACATGCACTCTACACTGCAGATACGTTTCGCCGTAGTGACCAAGCAACTCTCATATCATTCATCAAGCCCACACACGTTGGACATGGCTGCTCATTCAACATGTAATATCTTTTTGAACATTTCCAACTGTTGGACACACTTCTCCCATGACGTTCAATCGGGTCCCGAGCGATTGCATTACCCGGCCCTATGATAAGAAATAGGGGACCCTGGATCGCCGATCATTCGAAAAATGCGGCAGAACGTCTTGTAAATGCAAACAACCTACACATGCTATCCAGCCATGGGCGTCAAGCGTGAAAGTACGTTCGAGAAAAAAACTCAAACGGGCGTGCCTGTCGTCCTGAAATATGCCAACTATGTAGCTTCTTCTCTTATCGCGCAGTCTCAGTGGCTGGGTAGCGTGCTCACGCGCGACGCTGTCAATGATGGCCTCGTTGCCATTCGAATTCAAGGTGCATCAACTTGCTCATTTGCGCTCCTTGCACGATGCAAAGAACGTTGACAAGCGCTCTTCACCGGCACCCGTCATATTTTTCCATTAGTGGCAGCCGTGGTCACAGACCATTATTTTGGATGGGGCTTTATGAGCGCCCTCTGGTATTTCCAGTACTCCATGGCCCTCCGGCAGATTGGGCAGTCAGATTAATTCTTGAGTACCCAGAACCTTGACTTTGGTAGTTTCTCTGATCTCTCTCGTATCGTCCGCGATCACGGCGAGGTCAGTTGAATATTGCGCAAGACCACACCGATATGTTTTGACTTCATGTTTTCTAGCCCGCTCACATTCTCGATGAAGGAGGCTCTGAGGCATAACCTAGCCAAGAGCATCTCGCTGTTCTGGCTGCGCATTGCCAACTTGGGCTACGTGCAGAGATAAGAGGCACCATCTTCGGGGTGATTACTTTTCTGAATTCCTGGTCTTTCTTTCAAGTAATCATTTGAACTTTCCCTGCAGTTGGAGCACACTGCTCTTGCCAACGCTGATCGAGTGGTCAGTCACTATATCAGTAACTGAACTGGACATGAGTAGTAGTGCCTTTAACAATGTACTGAGCGCACTTCTGTCGAATAGTTCGGCTCAATATGGTGCGTACGATTTGTGTTGTCATTTTGGATCTCACTATTATTGTTTTACAAAGAACTTGAATATACTAAGGAATTTGAAATATTAGATTCTTCAGTAGGGCTTCCGCCGCAAGTAATGATGTGGGGGTGCGCACAAGTAGTGTCTTTAATTTAAATAATGGAGTCTCATACAGGAGTCGACGATGCGTGAGACTTTTTTCCATGTATTGTCGAAAGCTCATGGCAGTACTAGTGTATTCGACAAAGATGGTCTCATCCTTGTGGTGGGCTAGAAGGGCAGCTGTATGATCTTGAGCGCCATGATGGCTTGAAGAGGAATGAAGAGATTAAGATTCGGTACGTGAAAGAGGGAATTCTAAGAAACAGCTAGAGGTTGTATGCGGACGTTGTTGAACTGCAACCTAGTAATACCATGGTGCCGGAACCGCACCACACTATACAGATGCCAGTACCGGAAAAGCACCCTAATACCCTGCAGATGCTAGCGCAGGTGTCGATGGCACAGCAACTTCATATAGCAAGGACGCATTATGTATTCCAAGTGCCTGGAATGTAAACGGAGACAATTATAACGTCTGCGCCGATTCATTGACCTGTTATACCAGATCTATAGTCTCGTAGTCGCATAGGATGGTTTCTATCGGCCCTGGTGTTCAGTTGGTGAGACCTTCGTGTTCCAACCTGAGCGGTAATGTTGAAGTGTATACTGCAAGCCGCTTAGCGCTCAAGCGCTCAAAGCTTAACCGGTAACCACTTAAGCCTCTCGTACTGTGGGAAAGTGGCCTATAATTAACTTATATCAAACTGCAGTCACATCAGAGCTTGACATGCGGCGGCGGCCCTCCAACGCATTCAACTCGCATGCCTTCTCATTCCCATCGAAGCTCGGAGGATGCTCTAGAGTCACCGCGCGCTGAAGGTGTGATCTGTTGCAGGTACTGGAAATTAAGCGTATTTCTCCCGGTGCCACAGTGAACTTCTTCGAAGTATCTATAGCGCTGAAATTTAATTTCTTAGCAAAAGCAAACTGGGCAGGCAAGTCATTGCATATATATGTTGCCACCATCTATGAATCTAAACCTTTAACAGAGTCACAGGGAAATGTTGGATCTCATACATTTTTAGTATGTCCTTGACACCAAGTTCGCCTTCAAATTCCCGAGGACTTGTCTAGGGCGAATAAAAAAGTTAAACGACGTGCGATGTGCCTGTATCTATTCCCCATGTCAATACAGAGAGTAGCTGTATTGCTGATCATCTTCATTGCGTACACCTCGCGCATTCAATTCGGATCACGGATTCCGCTCAAATACTTATTTAGTCCAGGCTGCGTCAGTGGCGTGCATGCTGAAAGGTTCGTGTTCCACCAAATATATAACATTTTTATCCGAGCAACAGCATGGATTCTGCATCTACTCCTGCAATGTTTCAGGTTCCCGCCAACTTTGTGCGCTTCACAGTTATCATCAGTATCCAGATGGTTATCCTGGCATTTGGATACGGATTCCTTGGTGCAGTTGCCTACTTTCAGTACCTTGCTCCACCCGATCCAGTCTGCGAGTTAATGATGAGCTATCCTGGAGAATTAACAATGATTATCACGTTGATAGCGACTATGCTATCAGTCACCGCTGCTACGTATGTCTACCTTTTGCTCTCTCCGACTGATCATTCAGCGAGACGTGATTTTTTCCACCAGTCTTTTCACACTTTCGGTCAAAGAGGCACTAAGGCATCGAATGTGGAAGCCCATTTCTCTAATTCACCTGAGCACTGGTGTCGCCTTAGCACAGGGCTCTCATATTCTGAAACATCGATATATGGGTTTGACCATCTCGACACTGTTCATCATTGGGATGCTGAGGCTCTTAACGGCCGGGTGCGTCTTCTCTGGAAGCATTGTCGAGATTCTCTCATTCAAGTCATAGGTGGATAACTCTCTTGACACCGACCTACTTCATGTGGCCAGTACAGTTGAATGGAACCGAACTTGACATAACTGGAAGCGCGTTTGCCACCTTGCTCCGCCAAGAATTCCTAGCAAATGGTCTCACTGACAGTGTGTATCATCTCTACTCAAGTTGACGAGTGGCTTGTAAAATGGGACAACTAAGTCCAGGACAATGCTTTTGAAATTCTCGACATTGGCGGAATGCTCAGTGGAGTTACTGCTGCAGGGTTTACCTTTGGTCTTCCCGGGACATTCAATTTCAATGGTGCAAAATATAACGTATCCACTCGTACGTCCAGCCCCGCAGTTCACTCTAGACTGTTTTACGATACTGTGCAACTAGAGGGGGGTCGTTCCTACCATTGAATCATTTTCCGGCTCGGATGGAGTTCCGAATGCTAATGGTACTCGTCTTGGGTTTTCCGGTGGAAATGTCACGGTCAACACAGGAGTCGTACCCGGATCGCACCCCAGCGTGCCTATTCCTCAAGGCTTCAGCACGAACTATTCCATGTCGCAACAAGGGTTAACAGCCAATGTCAGCTGCTGGGCCATTGACTCGAGTCAAACGCAGTACCTTTGGGACGCGAACAACTCTTACGTCATCTATGCCAATGCAGCTGCTTCGAACAATTCCATCACCGCTCTCCGCTTGTGGAATATCAGCGCAAACTGTGGTACCAGTAAGTTTGGATCTTGAATATCTTTTCTCAAGTTCACTGGCAGCTTCTAGATACGCTGACAACGTACGAATATGTGACCATGGTGGATGCGAATGGAAATACGAGCTCATCAGGGACTGGCTTTCTTCCATCTGTTGTGTGCCAAGGACCAACGAATATGAACCAAACTTATACAAACTTCAGTGAGCCTCTGAAATATGCATGTGTGGAGTCAATGACCGAATCTGTTCTTTTAGCCATTTTTACACAAGGGTTTTACAAGTATGGGTTCCTTCAAGCAAGCGTGTGCGAAGTGGTTCCCCTGCTGACCACAGTCCGCGCCGATTATTCCAATGAACAAATTTCTTCCGAGGTCACCTCATCCACTCCATTCCAGCCAGAGAATGCCGAGCTACTGTCATTTATTGCTTCAGTTGCCAGGTTTCAGTCGATCAACTCGCAGGGGCTTACGAGCAGCACAATTGGGGATACTTTGTACTCCATCTATTCATCGACCACTATCGGATCCATCAATAACAATCTCAATGACACACAGGTTTACCTTGAGCTAGTCAGTTCATCTCATACAATCTTGATCTACCTCTTATGACATTCTTAGGAGGATTACTGGCGTGGTGTTGTTGAATTTTCCGCCACAGTGAGGTTGCCGGTCCGTTCAATATGGTCCAAATTGACCCAACATCATTTCACAGTTCCTTCGATCCGGGTTTATGGCCACAGGTAGCTTCCCCAATAACGAGATCCCGGACAATCTTTCTTCCCAAGTCACTGGGACAATGTTCATATCGACGATTGGCTGGACTCGCTGGGCTAAGAACTCACCAACATATCTGCTCGCTACACTCCCGCTCACCATTATCACCATCCTCACGTTAGCCTGCGCGTTGTACAGTATTCTGGAGGCTTGGAAAGAGCGACATGGATGGGCTGGTCACCACAGGGCCCATGACTTCGATGTGTCAAACACTCTTCATCTCATTATGGTATGCGCTGCTGGGAGTCTCGCACTCAAAGATTTCGGCGAGCAAGGGATTATCAATAACGAGCGCGTGATGGTGCAGCTGAAGGAGGATGGTGAGAAGAAGAAGTTTGTGGTAGCTGATCCACCGTATTTGGTAGCGTCCAAGGAGTTCGTATGATTTTAGGCACCATCGCGCTATGGCAGTTGGTACCTGAGACAAGGTCAGAAAAGTTGGACAGATGCGATACATATCCCGAGACATCTATGAATGTATTGATTTCGAATATCTATCTATCTATTATATTAAAGCACAACATGTTTTTTCTCGTAGGGGATATCTTTGGGGACATGTACAGTAGAGACATTCATCGCAAATCTCCCTCGCTCATTTCCACTTCCCATATTCTAAAGATCGGTAGCAACTCCTGGCAGAAAAAGTCCTGAATACGAATTCAGGTTTCTGCAGCTGCATCTTGGCTATCAAGGACTGCGGAAGATCTGAAATGTTTGAGATGGTTCCGGACCTCGCGCCACGTGTTCGCATGGTTTGAATTCATGGGGCTGTGGTAGATCTTGTCGACGGAAGGGAGCATAGAGAAGATGATATGAGCGACAGCTTTTGTATCCACTACCTCAGAGGAGCGCACGTGCAATAGTTGTAGGGATGTATGCCGGAGTGACTCCGCTGTAGAGTCAACGTCGATATTCACAGCGTCTATCAACATTCTGAGCTCATCCAAATGGGGACATTGACGGAGCGCTGCGAGTAGTCCACGGAATGTAACGGTGGCTTGAGGATAATTTTTGTCTTCTAGCTCCAGAGAGCGGATGTATGGCCAACATGACATGGCTTCCAAAAGATGGTCGTTGTCAAGGTGGGTGCAGCAACCAGGAAATTCGAGTTCTAAGGTTCGGAGCTGCGGACAACAACGGAGTTGTGTGATTGCTGTCCAAGAGCTGTCCGGATCCTGAACTTCCGAACTGTAGGACTTTATCCTAATGCGTTCAAGGGTCTGGCATGCTTTACACTGGGACAGGGCATGAAGAAGCCGCTCAGCGTCTGCACAAGGCAATCTATGGAAAAAAAGGTCTATTTTTTTCAGCGAAGGGAATTCTGAGTGTTGCACGAGTGTCGTGATATATGCAGCCGTGTCTGCTAGGAAAGAAAGAGCTGTGAGGTTGAGGAAGGGCCCGAATGTGATATTATCGAGGTCCGATGGGGAAGGGACTATATTATTCATACGAATCGTGACTGTGAGAAGGGTAGGGAGATTGGAGAGGTGCTCCCATGCTGCCCAGTCGAGGGGTGGACAAGACAGAGTCACAAGCCGCTTGCACAAACGGACACTGTCAGATAGTATGGGTAGCTTATCTGCTATGGTGCCGTCGGTGTGCTTCACGGATAAATGTTCGAGAGCAGCACACCGAGTCACAATCAATTTTAGATTCGAATCAATGACCCATAGGGCACAGAGACGCAACGTGGGAGACAGAAAGAGATGCAGGTATCTAGTCGGACATGGGAGTGAAGCCGTGAATAACGTCTGCAGTCTCGGGAACATGCATGTCTCTTCGGGGAGGACTGAGAGAAGGCGAAAATCCCGGTTGGTTGCTAGTTCAATATGTATTGAGCGTACACGGGCAGCGTGATGCAAGAATTGACGAGCTTCATTTGCCGATAATGGTTCGACGTCGCCAAAGTAAGGAGGGTTACACCAGGTGCGCTGTGTTTAGGTGCTCGGTGAGATACTACTAATGAATGAAAGGGGATGAACAGAGCACAATACTGTGCACTCACCTCTGCACAGTATATTATTGGACGCAACCTTGTCACACAGCCTAGCAGTGGATTTAATCCAGAAATTTTAGCCCAAAGCTCATTCATTGCGGGTTCGTAGAATGTTTTACACGTCCTTGCAAGTGCTGCAAGGGATGTCCGCACCAATGACACCTCGTGATATGATATCATGATTGGGTTCTGCCAGTCGATATCATTGACATGCTTGAATATCTCTAGGAGGATTTCGCAAACGAGTAGAGCTTGATGCATTAATTGGGTGTCGATGGGGCACGTAGCACTGCAGTGTAGTACACAGCACGGACACGAACAAGTGTCCAGTGAAAAATCTCTGACTCCGAACGTCGGCCATGAAATTACAATCTCAGGTTGACATGCATCGGGGCCACATGCGCTCACGCGGCCGAATTTCTGGTCCTCAGGCCTGAAATCTGGAGCAACTTGTGCTTTGCAAACGATTCTGAAACGAATGATCAATTCTTTTTATTCCCGAAAGTTAGCGGATTGCATATCGTGCCATATAAATCTCTGACCATGGTTTGAACCGCGACGTAGTACTTGTAATCAAGTTGCATCCTAGATTCTCAGAATAAAAAAATTGGAGCGGCAAAGTTGAGAGACGCCCGCTGGAACTTGAACGTTGATTGATAAGAATGGCATGGCTCGGTCACGGTGACAAAATACTAACACTAACACCCGATCGAGTCCTTTAAGATCGGAATAGACGCGCCGCCACTCTTCTCTTCCATTAATCTAGAAACCATCTGCTAGTGAAGTCTATCACATAGGCAGCCGTATAGGCTGCTACCAGCTTCTTCACTTGAAATATATACGCGTTTCATATGCAATGTCGTCCGGAAACTTCCTCCCAGATTTGTCTCCTCCTGACGTGCAACAAGCAGCTCAAGTACGTACTTCAGGTTTGCACTTCTTTGGGGAGTTTTCTTATAACACTTCCACAGTTGATACAACAAGCATATTCGAGCACACATGCCCAGGTGGATCAACGACGGATCCAGCAAGAGCTAGTCGAGATTCAGAGACGACCTGAGGCATGGGGGTTGATTGTACCTTTCATCGAACATCCAGACCCAAATGTACAATTCTTTGGCGCACATACCGCGCAGGTTAAGATCATGCGTGATTGGTAAGTGCTCTACCTTTTCCTCCTTACAATGGTACTGATCAGCTGCTATTGCTGCAGGGATTCATTTCCTGAGGAAAACGCCGAACATCTACGAGACCTACTACTCAAGCTCACCTCACACTCGATATTGACTGGCAAGGGCAAGGTAGTATACCGTAAACTGTTTGTTGCAGTAAGTGCAAGTTCTAGATTGAAGTCCGTCTAGTGATCGTTTGCAGATCACATCACTCGCACTCCGCATTGCGCCGGGTTCACCCTCAAGGTGGCCAGACTGGATAGTGTCGGCAGTCAATTCTCTCTCTTCCTCTGGCATGCCTCCAGAACAACTCCTTTCTTTCCTTACCATAGTCGCTGAAGAGGTCGAAACGGCCGACCTTCTAGGGTCCAGTAAGTGAGTGCGACGATTCGAATCATTCTGCATCATCACCAATTTCGTTCCAGGATGCAAATGCATCAGTCTCTTTTGGACGCTTCTCAGATGGTCGTCCAAGCTGTGATAACATCTATCACTCGACCGACTCTTATACTGCCTGAACTACAATCCGCACTTAAGTGCTTTCAAGCATGGATATACACATTACGAGCCAAGTAACGTCCTTTTATACACTCTGCTCAAATTCTAACTTAACGCGTTACTACACAAGTGACATCACACCCATTATTCCACTGTTAATCACGATAATGATACCCTCACCAGACTCCGGATTTGACGAGTCGACCTTCTCAGCGGCTTCTGATGTTTTACAGGAGATCATGACGAGGTCTTCGTTGGCTGGAGGTGCGGGTACAAGCACGTTGTCAGAGCCGCTTCTTATTTGGCTTGATGGCTATGGAGATCGTGGTGAGCCTCGGTTGTTGCACATGTTCACTCGATACGATTGCTCACTGTTATCCGATACCCAGCCGGTTCAGTCGATGGTGTATCTCATTCACTTTGTAAACTACTGGTTGCTCTGGGAGACCACTCCACCATGTATTTCGCCTCCAACATCACATCATTAAAACCTATACCTGGAACACCCTACCGGCGCGCCTACTTTGTGCAGAAGTTCTTGCATCTCCTTTTGAAATATACTGGACTACCGGGTTATTACGGTGTCGACGAAGAGGAGAGCGAGATGACTCTTGGCTTTTGGTACCTCTTTCAGGAGTCGTTGTGGAGCGTGGAGTACGAAGACCAAGCTGAGGGTCAGGATGACATACCTTCACTTCTTGATGTCAAAGAAAAGGAACAATGGGCCGTCGTGAATGCGGTATACGTTCAACTTGTGGAGATACTGAGAAGGAAAGTAATGTGGCCAGACCAGCGTACTCTCAGTTACTGGGCAAAAGGTGATAGATTTACATCACCTTTGCTTGTCTTGTGCTGAAACGAATTGTTTTGTAGATGAAGTCGACAGGTTTCAAGTGTGAGTGAGAGCAATATTCACCAATTCGCATGGCGTTGACGGTTTACAGATATCGGAGGGACGTCGGTGATACCCTGATCAATGCGTGAATAAGATTATCGACATGTCTGTATTTTATGTTGATTCATCCCCAGATATTACATCCTGCGAAATGACATGCTGGGGTACTTCCTTGAGGACATGCAAAAGCGCTTTGCGCAACCGAATGGGTCGCAAGGATGGGAGGTGGGCGCTTCTTTCGGTCTATATGATGCTCATTTAATACATACTACCAGGAAATTGAAGCTACGTTGCACTGTATCATGTCAATTCAAGAAGCGGTACCGCTAGAAGACAACCCCTTCCTCGCTCGGCTGTTCGGACCTGATATACTTGGTCGTTTGCCAACTTCAGGTCAGGATCGAATACGTAGGACCATGCTTGGCTTGATTGGTAGGAGCATTGCACAACTTTGATCCTCTTCTTAACCTTCGGTGTTCAGCGGCGTACTCGACATGGTTCACTAAAGCACCAACACCCACCTCAACTCCGTCTCTTCTGATGAACGCCATTTCTTATGTCGTTGCTGCTCTACCAGAGCCTGCGTTATGCCTGCCGGCTGCAAATGCCCTTCGTGATCTGTGCGATGCTAATCGTGCTGCGCTTGCGCCTCATATTGGAGCGTTCGCGGAGCTCCATGCTGGATTGAGTGGTATCCCGGTCCGTGAGATCCATGCATTGTCTGTATCTTCACTAACATTGTCATGCGAACATGCCCAGGATACGGAAAAGAGCAAGGTTCTCCAATCAATCGCGAGTGTAATACAAGCATTGCCGCCTGATGAGGAGATTCCGCCTATCCAGGCGATTGTTTGCCCGGTAGTTGAAAAACTTGCACAAGCCCTGCACGTTTCCTCCCAGGTTCGTATTGAGTCAGACGCGGGTTCCTTCAGGCTGAGTTGTTTTACCTTGCGCAGCTTGTGGACGAAACTCGAATCATCATCATTTCCCAACTTCAAACATTGTCAGGGGTAGCCAAGGGTCTCACACGCACGCAAGACTCATTGCTTATCCTTGACGAATCGCCCGAAGAGAGAGCCGAGGCTGAGCGCCTACAACAAGCACGTGAAAATTACACGATGGTGAAAGTTCGTGAAGATCTGTTCAATACGATAAGAAATGTAGCAACATTCTGGTCCATGGATGCTGGTGTCTCAGATGTATGTTCCAGTGTATTTCTACACATTATTCGACTGACACTGAACAAGGCATTGAGTGACTTTTTCCGTTCGATAACTTCTTTGCCTTCGGATGTCACCTTGCTTTCGCTTCCTGCAGCTCCGATTTTTGAGATCATATGTCTTGCATGCCAGAGGCAACTCACGGCTGTATGGCTGTCTTTAGCAACCATGCTCGTCATACAGCTTGATCCGCCGGCGTTGTTTTCAACCTCGACGCTTAAATCTACACCAAGTCCTGAGGCGCTGGGGGTGATCTCGACTCTACTGCCAGTATTGCTTGAAGCATCGCTAGGAGTACTGGGACAGCCTGGGGCGATGGAAGCTGTGGGTGTACCTTGTGCTATTTTTGAACGACAGCTCTGATGATTTCTTATTGTAGAATCCTGACATCGTGCAGGCATTTTTCGGATGCATGGATACCGTGAGTACCGGGTGCGGAATTAGAGACCCAATGCAAGCTAATTGAAATCAATCAGATTGCAAAGCATTTCCTCGTGGGATTTTACCGACTACCACCCGGCGCCCTCGATGCATTGATGCAATGCGCTGTGACTTCATTGTCGCTGCAAGAGCGATATTCGCTTGTTGCAACATGCACTTTTCTGGTACTTGTGGTTTTGTACTGATGTTACCGCTTCTCACTTGTTGATGCCAGGAAACGCTCATAAGGCGAACAGCCAGTAGTGATGATCTGGGAGATGCAAGTCCGATGCTAATCCAAGGGCATGGTCGGCCGATCCTACGAGCCATTTTGTGTGGCTTCGCGGGTGTGGCGCCAAGATCCGCGACGCAGAACCTAATCGAGCTGTTATCCATAGTAGCATCCAAGTTCCCTGCAGAAACGAGAACGTGGATGACTGATATCTTGTTTGCGGTATGCATTGGTTGTTGCTCTGTGAGGAAGTCTGACATGGGTGCAGGATGACTTTGTGCAGTCAAAGGCAGGCCCGGAGGCGAAGCGAACTTTCGTAAAAGCTATCATTGGGTTTGTTAATGCCGTTCATACGAGCTTCCTGTACTGATTACGAATAGGTCTCGATCGCCGAAGAAAACGAGAGAAGCAGCACAGCAGTTTACACTTGTCGCCCGAGGCCTGGAAGGTACTAGCTTTGGATATGCCTCTGTTAATATTTGATGTGGGGAGTTTTGCTACTGGTCCGCTAATTCGACATTACGTTGAACGCGCTTGACTCAAGAACTGGCACTCGTCGGAGATGTCGGTCAGCATGCTATCAATGTCAATGTGTACCTAGTACCACGGTAATGGGCGTGGAAGTGCTGAGGTGAGTGCGGCACCCACAACTGCCAGCACACTACAGGACCTCGTGGTTAGTATGACGAAGCTCCCACAGCTTGCAGCTCATGGGGGGGCACTCCCATACCATCGTGCGACGGCCTCCGACCGATTAAGGTGAAGGAAGATGAATCGTCGGCGTGTCGGCGATGTTGAATGCTGTTGAAGGACTTATATGTGTCTGAAACCTGTGACATCGGATAGTCAGGATTGGTCCGGTGAGCATATCTGGGGCAAGACCCTGGCCGTCCTGTGCAATCGGCGGCAGAGCGGCTTGATGAGGGAAGAATGACGGCTAATACTATCAAAAGCGGTAAGTTGTTCGGCCGTAGCGGGCATAGTCTTATAAATAGATGACTGTGATTGGCTGTCAAGCTCCCATGAATCACAAGCATAAATTGGCAACTATCGGAACGCGAATTGCCGAGCTCACGCTTTTCTTCAAACCTTGCTTGTCGTAGCACACAGCTGCTCGTCGGTCTTTTCGACGATGCCTATCCTCTCTTCCTCAACGCGCGATGCGATGCGTTCGCTGCAGCGGCTGGCCGCAGGGATGGCCACCGCTGCCCCAAGAATTGGTGACACCAAAGTTCCCATGTCGCTTCTGGAGAAGGGTGCATACATAAACTACCAGCGTATTGAGGATAACCTCGCCATCGTCCGTGACAGGTGATAACAAGCATTTACTTGATTCATAGTCTTGTTTCTAATACACTATCTGATCCGCAGGCTCCAGCGCCCGCTCACTTTGTCGGAGAAGATTGTGTATGGACACTTGGATGATCCTCATAACCAAGACATTGTCCGAGGCACAAGTTACCTTAAGCTTCGCCCTGACGTATGTCTGATGCTTCCCTTCTCTGCGAGTAACTGCTGAATTATTCCTTATCAACAGCGGGTGGCCTGCCAGGATGCTACTGCCCAGGTCCGCGCATAACGTCACTACTACATCTCCCCGCTGACGTAACCATAGATGGCTCTGTTGCAATTCATGTCTGCCGGCATGGACACAGCAGCTGTTCCAACTACAGTTCACTGTGACCACTTGATTGAAGCTCAAGTTGGTGGTGTTAAGGATTTGGCACGTGCCGTTGATCTCAACAAGGAGGTGTACGATTTCTTGGCTACCGCAACTGCAAAAGTCGGTTGTTTGCTACTTTGGGTCTTTGTATTTGCTCATTGGTTCGCAGTATGGTCTTGGATTTTGGAAGCCAGGTTCTGGTATCATTCACCAAATTATCTTGGAAAACTACGCATTCCCTGGTGGACTCATGATCGGTACTGACTCTCACACACCTAATGCGGGAGGTTTGGGTATGGTTGCTTGTGGTGTTGGGGGTGCTGATGCCGTTGACGTCATGGCTGATATTCCTTGGGAGCTGAAGTGCCCTAATGTTATCGGTGTAAACCTTACTGGCAAAATTGGAGGCTGGACTACGCCAAAGGGTGCGCGCGTTCTCGAATTTATTCTTCTCGCATGGTTAACTGCTCGTAGACGTCATCCTGAAGGTCGCTGGTATTCTCACTGTCAAGGGTGGGACTGGTGCCATCGTTGAATACCGTGGTCCTGGTGTCGAGTCATTGTCTTGCACGGGTATGGCCACTATCTGTAACATGGGTGCCGAAATCGGCGCAACTACCTCGCTCTTCCCCTTCAACCGCCGTATGGTTGACTACCTCAACGCTACCAAGCGTTCCGAGATTGCTCAATACGCACAGCGCTTTGCACACAACCTTAAGGCTGATGAAGGCTCTGAGTACGACCAGGTTATCGAGATTGTTTGTAATGTCGTTGATGTTTTCGTCGCCCGGACTGATGTTTTATGCCCAGAACCTCTCGGAACTCGAGCCCCACATCAACGGTCCCTTCACTCCTGATCTTGCTACCCCGCTCTCGAAGTTTGCTGAGGAGGTCAAGAAGAACAACTGGCCCCAAGAACTCAAGGTCGCTCTCATCGGTTCTTGCACTAACTCTTCATACGAGGACATGTCACGTTCTGCTTCCATTGCACGTGAAGCTGCCGAGCATGGTCTCGATGTGAAGAGCAAGTTCACAATCACTCCTGGTTCTGAGCAAGTCCGTGCCACCATTGAACGTGACGGTCAAATTGGTGCTTTCGAAGCCGTCGGCGGACTCGTTCTGGCTAACGCATGCGGTCCTTGCATCGGTCAATGGGACAGGAAAGACGTTAAGAAGGGCGAGGTCAACTCGAGTGCGTTTTTTGTGTCATTGTATTACATTTTTCAACAAATGTTCTTTAGTTATCACCTCCTACAACCGTAACTTCACCGGCCGTAACGATGCTAACCCTGCCACCCACGCTTTCGTCGCCTCCCCGGATGTTGTAACTGCAATGGCTTTCGCTGGTGACCTCACCTTCAACCCGGTTTCGGACACCCTCATTGGTTCTGATGGCAAGCCCTTCAAGTTCTCGGACCCTACTGGCAATGAGCTTCCTCCTCGTGGTTATGACCCCGGCCAAAACACTTTCCAGCCTCCTCCTGCAGACCGTGCTAGCGTTACGGTTGCAGTTGACGCTAAGAGCGACCGTCTTCAACTCCTCCATCCTTTCAAGTCTTGGGACGGTAAGACCCCGACTGACCTCCCCGTTCTGATCAAGGTGAAGGGCAAGTGCAGTAAGTGAAGCTCATTTCTGAGTCCTCGCACTGCGCCTCATTGACGTTTCTAGCGACTGACCACATATCTGCTGGTGGTCCCTGGCTTAAGTACCGCGGTCACCTCGAGAACATCTCGCGTAAGTCACCTTACCCATAGTTCTCTAGACTTTCATCTCACCCTGGGATAGAAAACTGTCTAATCGGTGCAATCAACTCTGAGAACGGCGAGGCAAACAAAGTCAAGAACCAGATCACCGGCGAATATGGGCCAGTTCCCCAGACTGCTGCTTACTACCGCGACAAGGGCATCAAGTGGGTCGTTGTCGGTGACTCCAACTACGGTGAAGGTTCATCTCGCGAGCACGCTGCCCTTGAGCCTCGCTACCTTGGTGGTCTTGCCATTATTACCCGGTCATTTGCTCGTATCCACGAGACGAACTTGAAGAAGCAGGGCATGCTTGCTCTCACTTTCGCCAACCCTGAGGACTACGACAAAATTCAACCCAGCGACAAGGTCGACATCGTGGGCTTGGACTCCTTTGCCCCCGGAAAGAACTTGACTCTTGTTGCCAAGCATGCGGATGGTAGCAAGGATGTGAGTTCCTGAATCCTGTAATGGCTTCTTGTGACGCTGACGGGATGATATTGCAGGAAATTTCTCTTGCTCACTCCTTCAATGAGGGTCAAATTGAGTGGTTCAAAGCAGGCTCCGCTCTTAACTTGGTGCGTTCAATTCGTATGTGACAGGTTCGTCTTCTGACCTTGTCGATATAGATGGCTGCCAAGGCCAAGCAGTAAACAGTGATATAGACTGAAGGAACATGTGCCATGTCCAGACACAGTAGACCTCATGTTCAATTATCGCTTCTCTCATACTTATTTCCTTCGTTATCTATATCATGGTCTTGATAACTTGTTTATACATCTCTTGTAATAACACTGGACGACAAATAAAGCATTTCGATCCTGGAGGATACCTTGGTTAGAGGATAAAGGTATCGGGCTATTCATCCAAAGGTTCGTGCATCGTCATCTTCCGCCTTCTTTCCAGCAGCGCTTTTCTTGCCATACTTTCTCTCCCGGATAGGTGACCATGCTGGGGTGGACGTAACAAGTCTGATCCAAAGGATATCATCGAAGACGCTGACGATGATTCATGCCGAACTGGTTTAGGTCTTGAACGTCTCCGCTGCCCACCCCTCTTCCGCGACGACACTTTGGATTGTTCAGAATGCATTGTGTTCGTGCGCAATTTCGGAACGTTATTGGAAGGAAGCGCCAGGTGCGACTGTGTAAACCCATACCCGTAGTTCTTCAGGTTCGCTGAGGCCGCAGCAACAGACTCAGAGGTGTAAACGCTGCTGGAGCTGGCGTGCGAGGCACGACTCTCATTCTTTGCTACACCGATAAGAGCTGCGTTGTGTTTCAGCGGTACGTGGGACTCTTGCGTCCACACGGGTGTCATACCTGGGCGAAGTGTTACCTGGCTATCGCTGGGAGCCAGATTCGACTGCGATACGTCGGGGTAGGAAACTCGGTCTCGAGGATAGCCACTCAGTCCACGAATGTGCAGTCCGTTTACGTCGTCGTTCAGCTGGGGCTCTGTAGAGTATGACGGCGGATCGTGAGCAGCGAGAGGTACGTCGTATTCGGGATCTGGAAATTGTTGTGGCCAATGGTTTTTTGCAGACCCCGGCGGAATGTCGCTTTCTTTATATGTGGATGGGCGTGGCGTGCGGTTGCCAGTAACAGTGCCGAAGGCGGTCATGAAGTTGGACTTGAGGGCGGAGGCCCAACCCTCCGGGGGCGGGTGTTCGTTGACTATTGGATCGCGAGGTTCAACCTCATCAGGGAGTGGTATGTTGTGCCAGTCTCCAGGGCCGATGCCTGGTGTGTTCTCCATCACTGCTCGTAACCTCTCTCTAGGCGTGCGCTGGGTATAGCCTGGCGAGGGGAGAAATTGCGGTAGACCATCTCCTTCCGGCGGCAGGAAACCTTGCGTGGGATACTGAACAGCGTTCCTCGGTGGACCCAACTCGGCTACCCTTGTGCTGTAACATGTTGGGCCACCGTGGCTTGACTCGTCACCAGACGTCAGGTCGCCAGGGGCAATATTTGCTACCTGCAGCCGACCTAGCGTGCGCGGGCTTTCCTGTACGCTGAACGCGCTTGCATGATTCGCGAGTGCAGGTCGTCGCTGTTCCATGGGCGGGTAGACGTCACCAACCACCGTTTTTGAGGGACTGTACCCTGGCGCCCGATCATAGGCTTTGTAGAAATTCGCAGCCATCGGTGTGTTTATGGGGTTGGAAAAATGATCGCCAGTATTTCTCCGGACTAGAGATGCAGGGAGGTAAAATTCAGATTCCTCGTGTGGGGTGTGCACCTGCAAGCTGGGCTCGGGGCCGTCCTCGAGTACGTCTCTCGCTGTCCAAAGTTCGTCGTCGTCTCGCGTTTTCCGCGCTGATGGGCGCGAACGCATCCACCATGCCAAAAATGCCAGGCAACAAGCGAGGACACAGACGGTGCCCAGGATGATCGCAACGTAGAACGGGGCGGAGAGCTCGGTTTTGGACGTATGCATGGAAGCGGGAGAGACGAGTGCTGTCGGACGAGCGGATGTGCTGGTGCTGCTTGAGGAATTGGAGGGAGTGCTAGTGGTGGCGAGTGTCTGTGATGAAAACGAGGAACTTGATGTCGCGCTGCTGAGCAATGAGGATATTGTGCCAGTTGCCGAAGCTGATGTTGTTGCCAGGGACAGGAACAGTAGTCGTCAATGCCTGGGACTGTGTCAACTGGCCTCCTGTCTCCATTCCGGTTGCACTGATAGAGTCAGGACTGATCTGAGTGCTCGGCTGTGGCACATATTCCGGCCAGCGGCTGCCTTCGGGGTAGTATGAAACATCTCCAGGTCCTGCTGGAGAGTCCTGAAATCACGATTGACGGTTGTCCATTTTTTCCCAGAATCAAGTTAGAATCCGCTCTGCGATTACGGTCATGTGGAGAAATATTGGCAAAGAACGGCATGCGTGAAATCAAAGACATGGGCATGGTAACGTCGGGTGTATATGCGCGCCTGGCGCTGAGCTACCAGAGCCCTGGAGAAGATGAGGTGACTTGTCAAAATTAAGAGTACTAGGTCTTATTTCTTAAATCGTGAAACGCGACGTGGCTTGAAATTTTAATCCTAACGGCCAGTCTGACATGTACTACAGATCACATAAACTTCAGTCCAAGCCTATGTTGTTTGTGTCTATTTGAATTTTGGGCGTGACACTGCACCCGATCATCTTGATATATTGTCGATATCCATCGCCAACTGATCAATGCATCGAGCTCTGTTCGTTTGTGAAATCCTCCTGAGCATATTCACGCATGTCGATAAATTCTTACCATGGTCATGTCACCCGAGGTCATCGGCTTGGAAATCTCTCGCAGCACTTGCAAGGACATGCAAACCCTTTCACGAGCCCGCGATGGATTTTCTTTGGGCTGACATATATGAGATAACACCACTGCTAGGCTGCGTAACGAGGCTAAATCAAATCATATATCGGAACTCACAAGTGCGGACTCGTCGTGCCTTGTTTATTCCTTTCTCGCTGACTCACCGATCATCTCAACGCAGTACCACTGGTCCTCTCAAGACATTGAACCTTTATCTGAGCATGAGGCCCGTCAATTTTTGCGGCACGCTACCCATGTGCGCTCACTGCGCGTAGAAAGCAGCGAGCATTTTCACCTCTTGGCAAATCTTCCCATCGAAACATGCATTTTCCCGAGTCTGTCTTCATTATCCTTTATCGTCGATCATCCTCACGCTAAATACCTGCATCTCTTTCTATCCCCTACTCTGCGCAAGTGCAGCCTATCTGTCATCCATCCGGATTTCAAATATATCGCGACTCGTTTTGCTGCTTTGGAGGACTTGTCCATCAAGCCCGGGTCCTTTGATGACAGCATAGCAGATGATTTGCCTCTGCTGTCTAATACTGTCCGTTTGTGCAAGCAGCTTACAAATCTGTATTGCCCACCTCTCAACTGGGCAGCTTGGAGGCACATTTCCAACCTCCCAACCCTCCTCACAGTGGAGATTAGCGATCTGCCCAGGGATCATCGCTGGCCTTTGGGTCGGGACACCCACAACTTCGCACATTTCCGCAACCTCACAAGTCTTTTTTTCTTTGTAGACACGGCCACGTACACTATCGCAGTCATTCAACACTCAGAATTCCCCTCGCTACAAGAGTTTGTAATAACAGTCAGGGATTTGCCTTATGCGGAGGCCAAGCAACTTTGTCGCGCGCTGTCCCAGTGCAAGGCAAATCAGAACCTTGAACGCATTGAGATAATCTCCCCTTATCACACAGTTAGGGGGCCCCCGAGCAGTGTGATCACACAATTCTTTTGTTTCACCCAGCTCCGAACCTTGGAACTCGACTTTCCTCATTGCTGCTTCAATCTTGATAACAACCTTCTTTTGGAAGCCATGGCAAGTTGGCCACACATATCCTCGCTGATATTGGTGGACGAGAAAACGGTACCCACTGTCACATTCCGCGGACTATTCACAGCGCTCCTTCAATGTCCCCACTTGCTTAACTTGGACATGTCAATAGACGCTGTGAGAATCGATATCGATCCTACAGCCGAGTCATTTCGACATACCACCCTAGAATTATTGAACTTGACCCGGTGTCGTGTAGCGGATGCTGAAGCTGTTGCTCGCATCCTCTTCTCCATGCTCCCTCGTATCAACGAAGTCGCCGACAACCGAGACCCATTTGACTCATGGGACATGAACATTGACTTTCTGAAGCAGTGGGAGGAGGTTAACAGGCATCTCGATCTTTTAAATGGCCGCGAGCCACGAAGCTCCGAGTTTGATTCGGACTGATGTCGGTGAATTTTCTGGAGTTGTACATGGCAATATGCTCGCGTCATTTTTGCACCATGCTGGCTATGGTACAGTTCTCATCATCGTACTTTTCTTTTTCTGGCCTCATGCATCCTACGCTACCGAACAACGTCGCTCTCGGAAAATGAGATCCATACTCTACTAGTACTTATTCTATGTGCCTTCCAATGCATGTGCGCTGTTGAATAATGTAATTGATGAGAGCATATGCCTACCCAAATGTCGTGTTAACTGCTAGCTACACGGCTCCACCTACCATCATCAACACTGAAGCATATATACATCATAATCCAAGTTCAGTCCGTTCACAATGTGGGCAGCCCGATTCCGTCCCAAGTTGACGAAGTCATGAACTCGGCGTCACACTGCAATCGATCAACAGTGTCGCACGATGACTTTCTGAAACAGAGGTAACGTCGAGGTCAATACATTGTTTGAACCACCCCACGATGCCCAGTGCGGGTATGACCCGGGTCGACCCATGTCACGCCCTAGCTTGAAATCGGACCATAGATACTTGAAAGGCACATCAGGTGTAGTAGCTCTCGCCACTGTCTCGACTGAGGGTGACTGAAATTCTCCATACACACATACACCATATAACCAGACAAAGTGCATATTGCGTGATCATACAACCATTTCGTACAGTTCCACATCCCGAATCTACCTCGACAGACCTTTCAAGCAACCTGCATTCACAGCCGAGACACCTTAGCACCACTCCGAACCGGAACATCGTTGCATTAAGGTCTTGCTGAAGACAGGGGGATCAGCAGGATTGCTGCCACAACATAATAGCTAAACATACGCAGACGATGCTCTAAAGTGATTTCAAGAATTGTTTTGAGAAACTCCGTCTTTTGAGAGTCACCAACAGATTGTTTTCCCTTCTTCTGGAAGCGTTCAAACGGTAGCTTGGCTTTCCAAGTAGACGAATTTTTTTGACATGTGTGGACGGCAACCCTCACAGCTTTCTTGACAGCAGCTGTATGTGGAGACGCCAAATAGTGCTCGAGAGCGACATAAAAAGAGGGAACAGACTCTTGCTGGTCCTGAAGATAGCGCCGCTTGTCAAAAATGTAGAAAGAGTGTTCGAATATAATGACAGCAGCTAAGTGATCAATAATAAGTAAGATCATTGCAACATAGCCTCAAAATTTACCTGAACTGAGCTGAACAATGTTCTCCAAGGGTGACGAGCTAGAGGCCTGGCACATTCGCAACATGAGAAATGTGTACAATTTGTGACCAATTGGACATACCACAGAGAGTAACCTAGACCGCATCTCTGCACGATGACTCCGCTCAAGCTGGTCAGATCATGATGGAAAGTTGAAAATCATCCACCTCCTGGAGATCGATACACTTACATTCTGCCAATGTATAATATCTTCGGTCAGTATGACCCGAAATCAAAGAAGGATGAAGAAACTAACGTCCTATTGATGGATCAGCTATGTTAATCGCGAGGAAGGCTCTAGGATCGAAACGCTCACCGTCTGTCAAGGGATGCACGATTTCAGTCATAAGCAAAGCTCGACGGAAGATCAGCATACTGACTTGCTGTCAGTGGATGAGCAATGTCATTAGAGAGCAATGCTAAAGCTCGATTGGAGGGAGAGACTCGCCATCTGTCAATGGATCGACGATGTCATCGATCAGCAACGCTCGAGCTCAATAGTAGATGAACACACTCACGAACTGTCAATGGGGATCGGCAATTTCATTGGTCAGTGATGCTCCACTTCGATTGCAGATCGATGTGCTTACATCCTTTGAATGGATGGGAGATGTCTTCAGTCAGTATGGCTCGAGCTCAATGGCGGATCGACCAACTCACAATCTGTTAACAGAGCAGCAACGTGTTCGGTCAGTATGACGTGAGAATGACATAAAATCAATACACTTACATCCTGACAATGGATCAGTGATTGCATCGGTGAGGAAGGCAGGACGTCGACAAAGGATTATCACACTCACAAGCTGTCAATGGATCGACGATTACTTTGGTCAGTGGCACAAGGTCGGTAGAGGATCAATATACTGACCTCCTGAAGATAAATCATCAATTGCTTTGGTCAGGAATGCTTGAGCTCGACAAAGGATCGATGCGCTCACGTTCTATCAACAGATGGGAGACAGCTTGATTCAACAAGGCTTGAGCTTGGAGGATCAACACACTTACACGCTGCGAACAGTGAGCAATGACTTCGATTAGCATGGCTCGAGCCCGAAGGACAATCAACTCACAGCCTGCGAACAGTGGGCAACGACTTCGATCAGTATGGCTTGAGCTCGAAGGAGGATCAAACCACTCACATACTGCGAACAGTGGGCAACGACTTCGATCAGTATGGCTCGAGCTCCAAGGAGGATCAAACCACTCACGTCCTGCGAACGGTGGGCAATGACTCCGATTAGGATTGCTCGAGCTCGAAGGAGGATCAACGCACTCACAGCCTGCGAACAGTGGGAAATAACCTCAATCAGCATGGCTCGAGCTTGAAGGAGGGTCAACACACTCACATGCTGTGAACAATGGGCAATGACTTGGATCAGCATGGATTGAGCTCGAAGGAGGATCAACACACTCACGTCCTGTGAACAGTGGACAATGACTTCGATTAGCATAGCTCGAGCTCAGAGGATCAACACACTCGCATACTGCGGCGACTTCGATCAGCACGGCTCGAGCTCGAAGGAGGATCAACACACTCACATCCTACGAACAGTAGGCAATGACTTCAATCAGCATGGCCCAAGCTCGAGAAGGATCAACCCACTCACATCCTGGCAATGACTTGGATCAGCATGACTCAAGCTCGAAGGAGGATCAACCCACTCACATACTACGAACAATGGGCAACGACTTCGATCAGCATGGCTCGAGCTCGAAGGAAGATCAACACACCCACGCCCTGAAAACAGTGGGCGATGACTTCGATCAGCATGGCTCGAGCTCGAAGAAGGATCAACACACTCACAACCTGCAAACAGTGGGCAACGACTTCGATCAGTATGACTCGAGCTCAAAGGAGGATCCACACACTCACACCCTGCGAACGATGGGCAATGACTTCGATTAGCATGGCTTGAGCTCGAAGGAGGACCAACACACTTACAAGCTGTGACAATGGGCAATGACTTCGATCAGTATGGCTCAAGCTCGAAGGAGGATCAACACACTCACATACTGCGAGCAGTGGGCAATGACTTCGATCAGCATGACTTGAGCTTGAAGGAGGATCAACACACTCACACCCTGCGAACAGTAGGCAATGACTTCAATCAGCATGGGCCGAGCTCGAGGAAGGATCTACACACTCACAAGCTGCGAACAGTGGGCAATGACTTCAATCAGCATGGCTCGAGCTCGAAGGAGGATTAACAGACGTACTGCCTGCAAGTAAACGCACAACGTAAATGAGAGCAACCTTCAAACTTTCTGATAATCTTACATCAATATGTGGAAACCACACACCCAATTTCCCTATTATCTGCTCATGAGCCTCAGGTGCTATTGTCTCAGTAGAGTCAAAAAGTCCCAGGAGTGTCCTGGAAAATATCAGTCGGTAACACTCGCGGTAGGTAAATGAGACCATGTGTAGTTACCTCTCGATTGCATATTTCATGCAGAACTCCAAGTTGGTCTGCTGGGTCGAGATGAATAATTGCTTCAGCACTTCATTATCCAGAGTTCCAGCCGTCCGTTCGATGAGTGGCCCGCAATCTGCATCATCCTTGTCCATGTCCAATGGATCAACAGTCATCATATATCAGGTTCATATATCGACAATCAACAGCTTACTAGGGAGGCATACATGACATTTTGGTGGCCGTCGAATTTCCTTGGAGTGGTATAGATACTTTAATTGTGGTCCGTTCGCAAATGATTCTTCAGCGTGCCTCGGCGCCAGTTCTTCAGCCTCCTCCATTGATACTCCCTTCGATCTCAGCTTTGTGTATGTGACATCATAGAGGGCATCAAACTTTGTGAACAATACCATCACTAGAGCTAAAGATTGTGAATCTGTGCATCAGTCAAACATCAAAGATGGTCAGATGCGAAACCTTACTGCTTCCTGTGTCGCACTGAGAGAAAAATTTCTTCTTGCTTTTGGTGAATGACCTGCTTGCCTCATCCATTGGGATGCAGTACCTAAGTTTAAACTGTGAGATGGCGCATGTCGCGATTGATCAGTTGTGATTACCAAATAGCATGAAGTTGATCCTTTAATTTGGTTTCCTTAGAGCGGCTCGCGATAAATGCCTTTACCTTCTCAAATTCGAATTCGCCTCCTGCTTCAAACCCGCGTGAATCGTGAAAGACGAATCCTGGGTTGCTTCGAAACACCATTTCATTCTCAATATTGTGCTGTCCACGCTGAGAACGTGTCAGTTCATGTCACAAGCTATTGAAAGTACACGCCACCTCTGTTGAAGCCCTCAAAACTGTGGCATCGATCTGATATCCATCGCTCAGTCATCACTACAATCCTCCTGCTAGCATTGTGATGCCCACCTTTTTCCCGGCGCTGTTGTATATTTCAGGGTTCTCCCGTGTGTTACAAACCCTCCAGAGAATGGTAGTTTTTCCTGCATTCGCTCTTCCTATAACGAGAATTCGAAAGCGACCGATTCTCTTCCTTATCTCTGAAGGATCCATGGGGGAAGGTAAATGCGTGACGGAGAAGCGTTGGTGCCTTATAATGGTTGCAGTGTGTGAACTCGGTGAATGCCCAAGTTGAAGTCAGCCCATCTAGATTCAGTGGGCAAGGGGTATATCATGAGGCACACATGAGGAGTCAGAAGTCGAAGCGACTTTGATCATTCGGAAGTGACGGAATATCTGTGTTGGGTCGCAAGGATCCATAAGAGTGGGTCACAGCGGAGACCGCCTAAGCGCCTGAGTACTTACTGGGTGCTACATAGCCGTCGATGGAGGCAGTCAGTATCAGGTCACAGGGTCCGTGCCTAAATGGTAGTAGCAAGAGGCTAAAAGCTGGTCTACGGTGGCTTTTCAGAAGTTTGTACGATTACTAACAGCTAACTTGTGCTTCCTTCTTCCATCATTCAATTCAAATCAGTCACTGGTCGCTCTAATCCTCCATACATATGTTAGTACACCTCGGCCAATCCAAAGCCTTATGATCAACAGTTGGCACAGGCACACCGTTTGACCCACATGTTTCCATATCATAACGAGCTGGGCGTGCGCGTGAATAGCTAGTCTGGGTGTTACACGAGGATACCTCCAGGCTTCAACGTAGCTGACGCATGGCCTACACTTAGCCCCCAGATAAATCCAGCGTGACGAAGGGGAGTTCTCCCTAACTCAAATCAGGATTCAGTATGGCTAGTTTTCTTGATACTTCAAAGCCGGTTTACCATCTCTACATCTCTGGTACAAGTTACTTCATCAACGAAATCATCCATCACACTGAATATGTCGAATAGGTGTCATTGTCGATTTTAGCAAGTCGAAAAAGAATATAGAGTCAGCTGAAGTTAGAATCAGCGACCTCAATTCGCCCACGCCAATGAAAAGTGGGGCAGGAAAGGCTTTGCGACAGACGTTTTCTCAACCTGTGTAAGGACTTGACTCTGACGACTGTGCCCGCCTGAGTTGTTATTGTGTTTAATCATAGGAAACTTTCTCTTGGGGATATGTTTTCCTTACACGTACGATACAAGAGATGGTATGGAAACGAGCATGAAGACATTGGCTTCGAACTAGACGACATGTTCCGCCAGTGTAGTACAGGAGAAAGACAAGGTGAAAAAGTTCTCATCGCGCCCTCCCTTGATGGCTCACAGATTCAACCTCACATGCACAGAATACAACAAGGTTCATAAAAATATCGCCATAGTCGTCAAACTTTCCAGGGATCCGACAACCGAAGTAAGGTTCCATATCTCGCATCGGAAAATATCTAAGTCATAGATTAGGACGCCGAGCAACTTTTCTCTTCTTCTGACGAAACCCTGGAGCTCCGGCCTATCACTGATGAATTATTTCGGAAGTGTCCTCAGTGAGTTTGGATCACTGAAGTGCCATTTTTTAGGTTGACGCCAGGGGCTTCCAAGGTTCCGAATTCTGGTGATAGGAAAGGTATCAGTCTTTCACTGATCTCAGGCCAGTGTTGACACGGTACTTCCAATAGACTGGTGTTGGCAAGTCTTCGCTGATCAACCATGCATTCGGAGTGCAAAACGCGGTGGGTTGAGCACGACACTTCAACGAGCACGGCTACTCATAATGTCAGTAGACCACTTCGCACGATATGCCAGGCGAGGTCAGCATCGACCATGAGTTCATCTCACCGCAGAACAACAAGTTTGTTCTCCACGATAGCAAAGGTTTCGAGCCAGGGGAAAAGGACAACCTAAAAATAGTCCGAGATTTCATTGACCATCGGAGAAAAATGCCTTGTTTGAAAGATCAGCTGCACGCTGTTTGGTGGGGCCACCATCTCAGTGCGTTTGTACGGCGAGCTGACGTCATACAAGGCTTTGCTTTGAAATACCCCGCGCAGGCGGGCGTTTACTAGAGACCGGTGTGGAGCAATTTCTCACATCGAAGCGCGAAGGAGAGCTAGGAAACAGTACGTTAATGGATTGCTACCGTTCCGCATAGGTCACAACTAACACAAGTCAAAGTTCCCATTGTTGCTGTTTTCACTAAATACGACACCCTCCTCGGCCGCGTGGAGCGAACCCTGGATAAGTTCTCTATCAAGGGTTTGAGCAAGGCAGCCATCCAGGACATCATCAAGAAAAACGCAGAAGACAAGCTACAGGAAGTCTGCGTCGCACCCCTAGAGAAATTCGCAAAATCGGCCATCCCGCATGTTACGGTCTCTAGTGAGTGTCACTGCTGTGATTGTCATTTGCATTCTCAATAAAATTTTGGGCGCAGCAAATGGAAACCATGAGGAGACGCTAGCTCGTTTGATCCAAACTACTGAAGAACTCGTTCGTAACCATGTGGGGCGGACGCGTCGGTGATGACGTCCGTCGCCTCAGCGAGTGGATCCTGGACTCAAAATAAAGGCATCAATAGAGTGAGCCTTGCTTGCTTCATTATTCTTATCTTGTGATTTACGCAGCGTCAGGGTTGGCAAGAGAAGTCTGTTTCGATTTTGTATTTAAAATACCGAACATAAACTGAGCCCTTACGTCTGTCTTACAGAATACTGGAAGGCATTCACATCGAGCGTACCATTCAAGAACCGTTCGATGTGGGACTGTCTGCACGTGCTTCACACTGACATTGTCAATGTGTGGAACTTCCGAGACCCTAATGGTGTAATAGCTCTCTTCTTTATTCATTTTCACATATTCTGACGTGGCTTACATGCAGTACTTGTGCAGCCCTGAGTTTAGGGGATTGATGGCGAACATGGTCAATGAGCTGGACATTGGACCTACTGCTGATGCCAACCAGAACCTGTAGGGCAGCCTTTCATACGACGAATGAATTTCATCTCATCCAATATTCGCAGTAAATTTGGACTCTCCATCGTGGGTACTATTGCGGGCATCGCGTCTGCCCTGGCTGGACCTGCAGCCCCTATCATAGTGCCGATAGCAGTAAGTGTTGTGGTCGTGAAATGGGTTCACGAGGTGTATCAGCAGTCGTACGTCCTGCTACTTATCCTTTATCAAGAGAATAATGTCAGGTCTCTTCTCAGCTGTGCGGCGCTCCTGCGCTTCATGGAATACATCATCGACTTGACTCTTGTGTTGCAGACGCTGTATCTCTTGTCGGAAAACCAGGAATTGTCTCGTAGAGCCATCAAGCTTGCGGTCAAGTCCTATCACGACTCACCAATGAGCGGAGGAGTCCATAATCGGATTCAGGAGTACGACAGGCAATTGATCTTGCGGAAACGTGCAGACCGTGATTCGTTGGATCAATTGATTGAGCTGCTGCAATCATGTAGCATCAGTGCAAAAGAAGTGTCGGATCTTCGGGGAAGTTTGCCCACTGTGGATTTATTGTTGGATGAACCATGGGACACGGTCGAGAAGTCCTAGTACTCAATTCCTTCTTTTGTGTATGATTTTGTGTGTTTGTTGGTGTGTCTAACTTCTGGAGTACCTACAGGATTGTACTTGTACTATGTAATAGCCGGTCCGTGCTACTTGAATTTGCCTAGCATTCTGAGATACTGTAATCCTGAAAAGCCTTTGCTTGAAATGACCTGAGAAATCAGTTTATCCTCCCTGGACACACAAATTAATTACCCCCCCCCCCCGTGACCTGGACTCCGAGAAACGATAGTCTGCAATGAAGGCATCATCAAATTGACACAATTCAGGCAACCGTACGAAAGAATAATTCTTTCCCGCCAGGCCGCCACGCACATGAGAACATTGAACATGCCAGCCCCGTCAACGCGGAAAAGGTAATTAGTGTCATTTAATAGGGTCAGTCAGAGACGAGGCTAATTTGAATAGGTCACACGTCACAAGGTCTAGGGTCACACCCAAAAGGGTGCGAAGTTATGATCGTAACTCTGTAGTACTAATCGACATCCAACTGATCAATGCATCAAGCTCTGTTCGTTTGTGAGATCCTCCTGAACATATTCTCGCATGTTGATCAATCATTGTCATCGTCATGTTGCCCGAGGTCATTGGCTCGGAAATCTCTCGCAGCGCTTGCAATAACATGCAAACTCTTTCACGAGCCCGCAATGGATGTTCTTTGGGCTGACTTGGATGGGATAGTACCACTGCTAGGCTGCGTAACGAGGCTGAATCCGATTATATATCAGAACTCTGGAATGGTCAGTGCTAGTGAAGACTCGTTCATTCCTTTCGTTCGCTGACTCGCTGACTCACCGATCATCTCAACGCAGTATCTCTGGTCCTCTCAAGATATCGAACCTTTATCTGAGCATGAGGCCCGTCAATTTTTGCGTCACGCTGCCCGTGTGCGTTCATTGCATGTGGGAACCAGCAAGCTTTTTCGCCTCTTGGCAAATCTTTCCATCGAGATATGCGTTTTCCCGAGTCTATTTTCACTATTCTTTATGGTCGATCATCCTCACGCTAAATACTTGCGTCTCTTTCTATCCCCTACTCTGCGCCAGTGCCACCTATCGGTCATGCATCCGGATTTCAAATATATTGCGACCCATTTTACTGTTTTGGAGCACTTGTCCATCGAGCTCAGGCCCGTTGATGATAGCATAGCAGATGACCTGCTCCTGCTGTATAACAGTATCCGTTCATGCAAGAAGCTTGCAACTCTGTGTTGCCCACCTCTCGACTGGGCAGCTTGGAGGCACATTTCCAACCTCCCAACCCTCCTCACAGTGGAGATTAACGAGCCGTGCAGGGCTCCTCCGAGTCACTGGCCTTTGGGTCGGGACACCCACAACTTCGCACCTTTCTGCAACCTCACAGGTCTTTTTTTCTATGTAGATACAGCTGCGTACACCATCGCAATCATTCAACACTCAGAACTCCCCTCGCTACAAGATTTTGTAATGAACGTCAGTGTTTTGCCTTATACGGAGGCCGAGCAACTTTGTCGTGCGCTGTCCCAGTGCAAGGCAGATCAGAACCTTAAACACATTGATATAACTGCTCGTGGTGCAAAAGTTGGGGAGCTCTCGAGCAGCTCTTTGACAGTGATCACACAATTTTTTGGTTTCACCCAGCTCCGAACCCTGCAGCTCGAATTTCCTCATTGCTGCTTCAACCTTGATAACAACCTTCTTCTGGGAGCCATGACAAGTTGGCCACACATCTGCTCGCTGGAATTATTGGACATACAGACGTTACCCACCGTCACCTTTCGCGGACTATTCACAGCGCTCCTTCAATGTCCCCTACTTGCTTAACTTGGACATGTCAATAGACTGCTGTAAGAATCGATATCGATCCTACAGCCGAGTCATTTCAACATACCACCCTAGAATCATTGAAGTTGACCCGGTCTCCTGTAACGGATGCTGAAGCTGTTGCTCGCATCCTCTTCTCCATGCTCCCTCGTATCGACCAAGTCCTCGATCAGCGAGTCTCAGTTGACTCATGGAATATCGACCTTTACTTGCAACAGTGGGACGAGGTCAACAGGCATCTCGATCTTTTAAATGGGCGCGAGCCACGCAACTCCGAGTTTGAGTAGGACACGGACTGATGTTTGTGAATTTTTCTGGAGTTGTACATGGCAATGCGCTTGTGTCATTTTTTGCACCACCCTGGCTATAGTACAGTTCTCATCATCGTATCCTTTCTTTTGCTGGCCTCAGTGCATCCTACGCTACCGAATAACGTCACTCTCGGAAAATGAAATCCATGCTCTACTAGTACTTATATCTATCTCTTGCCTTCCAATGCATGTGCGCTGTTGAATAACTGTAATTGATGAGAGGGATACGCCTCACCCCATCCAAACATCATCGTGTTAACTGCTAGCTAGACGGCTCTACCTAGCATCATCATGACCTGAAACACTGATGGCAGTATATATCATAATCCAAGTTTGAGTCAGTCCGTTCATGACGTGGGCAGCCTAATTCCATCCCAAGTTGACCAAATCATGGACTCGGGCGTCACGCTACAAGCGTCGCATGATAACTTTCTGAAACGGAGGTAACGTCGACGTCAATACATAGTTTAAACTTTATACCAGCCCACGATACTTACACAAGCAAAGATGACTTGTTTTCGCTACGCACGGACTTGCTTGATTGAAACACCTCAACTTAAATACCATGAAAGGATCAGTTTTTAGGATTAAGAATCCTTCAGCGCATAACAGACACGGACAAGCTTGAGGGGGAGACGAACTGATGTTTGTGGATTTTTCTGGGGTGCAAAGATGCACTATGATGATATCAGCGGGTCCGAGGGACCGTGACAGTACTAGCCTACTAGGCAGCCTCTATCGGGATAATTAATGAAAAGGAATGATCAATCGATCATGATATATATATAGACTGGTAAAGAGGATAGATATAAGTTCAAGTGTCACTTAGAGTCGAGCTGGAGATTCGGAAGTGATCAAAACTTTGCATTCGATTCGGAGCTAAAAATTCAGTTGGTCGTTATTGGAATGATGAATCATCGAAAAGACACATGTGTGTCGGCACGTGGATACGGGACTTTCCAGACACGCGCCCATTGAACTCAGGTCAACGTGCACGGGCTGAATATTCCCTACATGATGATAGGCTGGGAAATTGACCAGAAATCAGGCGATCCGGCATGAGCGACGTGTCACTGAACCGATACATGGTGTTCTGTTCGCTTCTGTTCAGAGCCGTTGTCATTGGCGCTTGCGAGGATAACTTGAAAGCTTGTGTATCAGGGCTCTCTGTACTGGACTTGCTCCATTGCCGTACCACCGATGCATCACGCTCTAATTGTTTCTGAAATCCTTCTGGATATATTCGCCCATGTCAATACAATCCTGGACCCGTTATCATATGGCGAGATATCATTGACTCGGAAATCCCTTGCGACGCTTGCAACGACATGCAGGACCTTCCACGAGCCTGCAATGGATTTACTCTGGGCTGACATGCATGGGATAGTGCCACTGCTGGGCTGTGTGACGAGGCTACATCCCATGATATATCATCATGGCGGAAGGGTTAGTGCGGACTAGTCACGCTCTGTTCATGTTACTTCGTTCATTAGCTCACTGAGTGTTTAAACACAGTACACTTGGTACTCTGAAGGTATCAATCCATTATGTGAGCATGAAGTCCGTCAATTTTTGCGTCACGCCCACCGTGTGCGCTCATTGCAAATCCCATTCGACAACCATTTTCACCTTCTTTCAGCCCTTCCCGTCAAGACATTCATATTCCCCAAATTGCTGTCGTTATCAATGGTTCTACATCCAGCTGAATACTTACATCTCTTCCTGTCCCCCACGTTGCGTCGATGTTTCCTACCGCTCATCCATCCCGATCTGAAATCAATTGCGACCTGTTCCGCTACTTTGGAGGATCTAACCATCAAGGTCCCCTGCCAAAGCACGGCGGACGAGCTGTCCCTGTTGTCTGACAGTATCTGTCTATGCAAGCGGCTTGTAACTCTGTATTGCCCACCTCTCGACTGGGCAGCATGGAACCACCTATCGAACCTCCCTACCCTTCTCTCAGTGGCGATTTGTGGCGAGGTCCTTTGCCCGTTGGACACAGATAACTTCGTTTTCACACGATTCCTCAACATCACGACTCTTTCTTTCCATGTAACCACGGCTTCATACGTCATCGCAGTCCTGCGCAACTCAGCATTCCCTTCACTCAAGGAGTTCAAAATGATTGCCCGTGTCTTGCCCTGGGAAGATGCTGAGCAGCTTTTTCACGCACTGTCACAGTGCACCACATGCCAGACCCTTCAACATATTGATATTTTATCGCGTGATCAAAGAGTTCCCGAGCCCTCAGACAGCTCTTTAACACCAATCTCTCAATTTTTTGCTTTCACGCAACTCCGATCCCTGCAGCTCGATTTTCCCCATTGCTGCATTCGCCTCGACAATCACCTTCTGTTAAAAGCCATGTCAAGTTGGCCGCACATCCGCTCTCTGAAATTAGAAGACCCACATCTTCGCTCAGCTACCATTACATTCTGCGGGTTATTCACAGCGCTGCGTCAATCTCCTTACTTGCATACACTGCATATATTAATGGATGCCCTGAATATCGATATCGATCCCCGGACCGAGTCATTTCAGCATACATCTCTACAAACATTGGATGTGCGCTCCTCTCACATAGCGGATCGTGAAGCCGTCGCTCACATCCTTTTCTCTATGCTTCCTTCTGTCGAGAGCGTCATCTACGGCTCTAGTGGACACCACATCCGGTACGCATGGAAGGAGGTCAACAGGCGTCTTCAATCTCTCAAGTCTTCTGCGGTCCTTGGCCACTGTATCACAGGAGCAGCTGCAGGGTGCTGAGCTCACCATACGTACTTGTTCAGTAATTATCCTAGATTTGTGTCCAATATCTTCATACTTAGAATGTGGGAGTGGGAGGTCGGGACGAGCAAGATAGCTTATGCCTCGACATGTAATTGACTCGGAATTTATTATTCGCATGATACAATACTTATATCACTAGCTCTCATCCATCGTCGCAGCACACCTTGCAGAATGTCTGGGATCTTGAAAACCGGTCTCCGCCCTACTGTGTGGTCCATCTGTACCGAACCAAGTCGTACTTGAACATAAGTACTTGTAACGGTCAAACTGAATTACTGAAGTATACACGATTCATACATGACCTTTGTTCTATCCACACCGTCAATTATTCGCACTTGTTTTTACTAACCAGCGACGGGGCCAGTGCAACTTGTGTGTTACATGTACCCACATATCCCGATGCCGCATCAATAAGTACTTACTCCCGTCTCCGTCATCACACTGCGAAGTTGTTGTTTGTCGGCTTGGCAAGTTGCATATATTTCAATATGTTATCCGAGTTCGGTAGACTCACTTTGATTTCGGGAGAACTTCATCGATGAATTTCTGCTGCGGGGGCTCATTCTTTATCACTGCCAGTCGTCAGAGTCAGACACAACGTGTCAAGCGAACTGAAATACAACAAAACAATATGATCGAGACGTGTGCATGCATGAACTCCAAAGCTTGTTCCGTCACCAAAAATATTGAAGTCGGAGGACCCTAAAAAAGAAACACATCGGTGAGTATAGATGAGATTAATGACCACACTTGCTCATGTATCCCAATGATGAGTCGACTGCGAGCTATTCGACGCCATTCCGCGAATGCTGTTGACAACCACGTGCGATATGTTTGCAAAAGCAACCTTGGCTAACAACACTCGCGAAGTGCGAGGTATTTCTGTAGAGGTGAGGTCGTGTGGAGCATTCCCACAAGATTCCACGGACATGCTGTCGAAAGGACGTGGGACAGCACTGCAGCAGAGATTAGGCTGATGACAGAGGGTACAACAGCCCCAGGGTTGGAAGATTCAGAGTAGTGTGAGGAACTGAGCGGTTGGTTAGGACCAATATTGGTGCCAGATTATGTACACAAGAGTGTGAATTTCTACTGGAGGTGAAGTAGTAAGACTTCGGAAAGAGGGAGAAATATGAGTAGTAGTATGTTACGTGGCGCGCCTCACATATCTGAGTCGGACCTTGAGTGTGTCAAATAACAGGGTCATGTACCGTTGACCAAGACCAGCATTCGAAACAGAGTGTACGGGTCTGTACATGTGAGTCTGAGACAAAAAGGACTGGCGGGCTCAGCCTGAGGCTGTCGCGTCGGACTAGAAAAGTCACGCGTAAATCACGTGTGTCTTTACAATGAGACGCGGTGCTTCTGCTGTGTCTGGACTTCAATACTCAATTATAGTTACCTACCTGCAGGAACGAGATCTGAACATGGACGAAGATCTGGAAAGGTCAGTTGTATCCATCGCAATTTCCACGGTTTCTTACCAGATGAATCAGAGCGATTGCTTTGAGTCTCAAAGAGTCCCAGGCCAACGCATCATCTTCGAGGGCCATTTCAATCAGTGATTCAGAGGATGATGACGACGATCGTTTTCAGTCTGAGCTGCTACAGGCAATACAAGCTTCCAGGACTGAATCTCCGCGGGCTACAACGCAATCCATCCATAATCATGAGCCTCTGCCGACCGAGAGCGCTCGGAGTACCCCAGCAGCAAGCTTTTTGTCCGAACGAGCACAGATGGAGAGAGAACGCCTCGAGAGGCTAAAGAGGGTGCGTGGGCGGGATACAGACGATGGAAGTCGCATATCGCCCCCTGCAAAGAGGCAACACATCCCCTCCTCTGAAATACATGCTAATGGTCAGGCGAACATTGTTTCTGCTTCATCATCTAGTGTTCCTTCGAGCTCGTCAGCAAGTTCGCGAACAGCCAGTACTGCTATAAATAATATACCGACCTCTGAACAACTGTTCTGGAACGGCGAACTACGCCCAACAGCCAACAAGCATTCTCAACCCCGTCAAGATGGAAAGTCCACTTTCCGCCTCACAGAGGTGCTGGGTTTGGTACGCGTTGGTTCTCCTGTGTTTTGTATTCGTGATGCGTGATGCTGCAGCTCTTCAGAAATCTGATATATCTTTTGCTATCATAGCGTCGTACGCGACGTCTGTCTCTTGGATATATGAATTCTTCACGCCCTCTACTCCAGTGATTATCGTGGCACAGCCTGATCAGTCAGGTCAACCAACCATCAGGAATATTTTTCCAAACTGGGTTATGACTGTTCCTTTTCTCCGCAATGGGCGAGGTTGCCAGCATATGAAAGTAGGTTTGTTGGTACAGCAGATTCTAGAACGCTCCGCTAACTTCACTGTCCCTAGTTCATGCTCGTGAGTCCATTCGGTTCACTACACAACGCTGACTGAATCTCTCCGAAGATATTTTACAAGACTGGACGGCTTCGCGTAGTCATATCCACCGCCAACCTGATTGATCACGATTGGCGCGATATCGAGAATGTGAGTTCGTACTCAACGCAAAGGAGTTCTTGAACAGTTTGACAGGCCGTTTGGCTGCAAGATCTACCGCCGCGATCTGCTCCGATCCCACACGATCCCAAGGCTATCGATGACTTCCCTTCAATCATGCAAAACGTTTTGCGTGCTGTCAATGTTCGGCCGGCGCTTGCGAACATGCTGGCAAACGATGTCAGTCATGTTAGGAATGTCATTTTTTGCACTACTGATCTGTCTTCCAGCACCCAAATCTACCTCTTCAAACTATCAGTGACTTGCGATCGAAGTGGGATTGGTCAAAAGTGAAGGTTAAACTCGTTCCCTCCATTGCCGGTAAACATGAAGGATGGCCGAACATCGTCTTGACTGGTCACACCAGGTTGATGAAGGCCGTCCGTGACATGGGGCTTCGTACCGGAAAGGGAAAGGCTGCTAAGGACCTCGTTGTCGAGTCTCAGGTATGTCCAAATTCTTCAATTCTGCTGCGGAAAGATTCATACTGTGTAGGGCTCGAGTATAGGAAATTACTCGACCCAATGGATAAACGAGTTCTACTGGTCAGCACGTGGAGAATCAGCTGAAGACTGGCTGGACGAACCAAAATCCAGACGTACCAAGTTGTCGTGGCCGCCGGTGAAAATTGTCTTCCCCAGCCTGAAGACTGTGCATGATAGCGTCCTTGGTGAACAGGTCAGTCGTGTGTCTTCAGCGATCACTCTTGAATATCTCTCAAAATGATTGACAGGGAGGTGGTACCATGTTTTGCCGCACAAACCAGTGGGAAGCATCGAAATTTCCTCGAGAGCTGTTTCATGACTCAAATAGTACTGGCGGACGTGTGCTGATGCACACAAAGGTATAGCAGTGCACGCACACCTGTGGATCTCTGATTCATTTGGCTCTTCAGATGATTATTGCGACCTACCGCCCCAAAAAATCGATATTTGAAACGAGCAGTCAGTCAAAGGGAAAAGAAAAGGAATTGTCTGACAGTGAAACCGAGCCTGAATCCGATGACATCGAAATTCAAAACGACCCAATTGGCTGGGCTTATGTTGGCTCGCATAATTTCACACCCTCAGCATGGGGAACGCTTTCTGGCTCTGGGTTCAACCCAGTGCTCAATGTCAGTCAGTTCAGACTTTCTTTTACGAAGCTTTCCTGATGACCCGTCGTTCAACAGGTGGTCAACTATGAGCTGGGAATTATCTTCCCTCTTTACGATGCGAAGGACGTGGAGAGGGTGTCGTGCTTCAAGCGTCCGGCGAGGAAGTATGTGAGTGGACAGGATAGACCTTGGGTGAGTTCAATCGTTGCGTGCAGGGGCACGTAAACTTATGACGCGTTTGTCTCAAAGATACAGGAGGAGTCGCAGTTACTGCGGCAGAGCCAACAGACATGATCCTGTGTATGGCCGATATCATTGTTACCAGGAAACCTTTTGCTGTTGAATACCATTCTAATCCCAGATCAGTCTCTCACAGTCAGATCAAGGCGGTCTTTCCAAAGTATCCGACTTATGAAAGTGAATGATGGATTGGCCATCGTACATGATCCGACACCTGGAACATCACAGCAACGGATGACCCAGATACCACTTATTGGATAACCCAACCATACAGGACGCCTCGGAAATTTGGGCAGTTACATGCAGCCATGACATGCATGCTCTATACCGACGTTGTTTCAATTGCTGATTCTTGGAAAAGAGAATGGATCATTCCGCTGAGATGACAAGATGCACATAGTGTCTTTTGTGCATGTTCCTTATGAAATTTGAGACTCCCACAACCGAAGGAGGCAGTCATACAATACAGGGCTCGTCTCATGCCTAAGATTCAAGCGAAGTGGGTGGTCCATCTATTTCTGCAACCTAACAACTGGGCTTCGAGAGCTTGTATTAAAATATCAGATAGCAATACATGTGGTGATATCGGTGACAAAAACAGATATATACTAGTAGCGTGTGAGCAAATGCATAATTAGATGAAGATCAAGCAAAGCGTCGGCCAGTATCATACATCACAGCTCAACTCCTCATACATTTGCCTTCCCCAGATCGTCCTTCACCTCCCTCCTCGCCTCCTCCTCGCCTCCGGTGCTTGACACTTCGCTCTCAAACTCATAAAGCTGTTCAGGGACAGGGTTTTGGAACAACACGAATTTCTTGAAACCGTAGGGTACCTGCCGCAGGCCGTACGCAGCGTGCGCACGAAGGGGGACAGCAAAAACTTGGTCGAGCTCCTCCAGGGTCTTACCTTTCGTCTCGCGCACGAATAGCAAGATGAGCACCCAGATAATACAGCTCCATGCTGCGTACCAGGCGAAGGCACCTTGTGGTTTGAAGGCCAAGATGAGCGAAGGCCAAGTGATTGACAAAACGAAGTTCCAGAACCAAAGGGTCGCAGTGGCGAAGGACATGCCGATATCACGGATATAAAGAGGGAATGCCTCTGCGGAGTACGTGAACGGCACTGGACCTTCGCCTGGAGAATAGCAGATCGCGTAGAGGTCTGAAGCAGTGGGTATCAATGGCAGTATTTAGTATCAAAAGGGGGACGTACATATTCCGACACTAACGCCAGCTATACGCCCTGTTTCTGAAGTGCTCCAGAAGGAGAAGCCCGTGATTAAAAGACAGATGGCCATGCAGGGAAACGTGAACAAAAGCAAGTTCCTCCGTCCGAAAGTGTCGATCTAGTGTGTTTCAATATTTACGGAAACCTTAACTATGGAAGAAACCATTTACAGTGAAAACAGCAGGGGCGAAAACCCAGTTAAGTGCACCGAACCCAACGGATGAAGCCAATGCCGCAACCTGCGTGAAACCAGAATCCACGAAGATGGTGGACGAATAATAAGCTGCCACCGCGTTAATGATCATTTCAATCAAGGAAACGAATCTCATACCGATGACATTGACGCCGCAAAACTGCTGACCGAACATGACAATCCAACTAGCAAGGGCAGCATTCCTGTTACGCGGAATCGTGAACATCTCAACAACAAGGTTGCGACCCTTTATCATCTCGCTCTCCGCCTCGAGCAACACGTGAATGTAGTACAAATCACGAGCAGCCTGAACGCGCGAGAAACGAAGCCGACAAAGTTCATTGAAAGCATCCTCGTAGCGACCCTTGGAGATCAACCAACGAGGTGACTCGGGTGCAAATAAGACTTGCATACAGACAATAAGACCGGGGATACCAGCAGAAGCTAACATGAGGCGCCAGTTCAGACCAGTCACACCGGGGGTGTCCGGAATGAAGTAGAACGTTAAGTCGATAAGGTCTCCTAGAGCAATGCCGAAAGCAGTCCACATCTGCCACATCATGACGAGAGCACCACGTATTGGTGCAGGTGAACATTCGGCGGTATACACTGGGACAGTGGCAGATTTAGGACCAATTCCAAAACCAAGGAAGAACCGTGCGATGAAAAGGTGCCACCAGGTATTTGTCAGTCCAGACCAGATACATGTCAAGAACGAGATCATGCAAGTGATGAAAATGGTCTTTTTACGCCCAAGATAGTGGTTGAGCGGATGCGTCATCCAACAAGAAATGGTGGAACAGCATCTGTGAAGTAATGAGGAACGATGTTCTGCAATAAGAACAAAGCACACACAGGTAGGGTGCAGAGTTGATGAGACCGACCAACCATGAATCGCGTTCTATATACACAATTTATGAATGATGATGATTGCAATGATAGAAGAGCTTTTACGCACGACTGCTGGAACCAATGCCGAACTGCTTGGGATAAATGATTTGAGCGCCATTGATAACAGCCTCGTCCATTCCCTGAACAGCGGCTGCAAGTGATGACATCACGACCATCTATTTAACGGTGTGAGCTATGACAAACAGTCAAGAGGGTGACACCGACGTAATACAGCATGGGCGTTTGCCGCCACTTGTGGGTGACCTCTTCCGTTAAAACTCGTTTTTCTTCATCTGAAAATATGTCTAGACGACCATGACCTGCGCACAAGTCAGCTAGGGAAAACGATTCTGAAATTAACATACACGTGGAATCCTGGGCAACGAGCGCCCCTTTCTGAAGCTCAGGCAGCAGATGGGTCAGCCCTTTCTCCTGGGCAAAAATCTCCACATCCGCCATAAGACGATCATGAGGTATGCCGCGCAAGGGATTTGATAACTTGGCATTGGCGTTACTGGCATAAAAGCGTCAGGCTGCGCACTTGATTTTCAGGGGCGATCATATATGTATACGCACGCGATTGCTCTTGTCTCCGCGTCCATATGTGATGAGTGGTGGTGGGCATGATGTGGACGCTCTTCCCACGGCAGATTTTTCGTTCGAGGGCGGGGACGTTGACATATTAGTCGTAGGCGCACAATACGGAAAGCAGCTTTAATCCTATCGACTTATATACACACTTTGAATTATATAGTGGCGCGCTTAGTGGCCCAAAAAAAGCAAAGCTATACAAAAACATCATGCCGCAGTCAGTTGGCTAACACATCGGAGGTGGAGCGAATGCCCACCCCACTTTCTGGTGTATTTTTATCCGGCATGTGACGGCCGTACGCCTTGCCAACCGGTGGGTCGGAAGCATTGAAATTTCCTCCAGAGCTATTTCATGACTCAAATAGTACTGGCGGTGTGCATTAGCACACCAAGGTACATCAGTGCAAGTACCCCTGTAGATCTCTGATCCATTCAGTTCTTCAGATGATGATTATTGCGACCTACCGCCCCCAAAAATCGATATTTGAGATGAGCAGCCAGTCAAAGGGAAATGAAAAGCATGTCAGATTCCAAGCTAGTGTTCTAGCATCTACAATATTCAGTCGACACTGGACCCAGGCGAAAAAAAAAGGAAATCGCACCCAACCTCGAGTTTTACTGCACAGTATCTCAATGCAGGCAGCGATGGTGGTCTGTGCCCATGCTAACAATATTCTCCTGTGAGTATGAGGGTCCAGGACTTCATATTGTGATGACAACTTTTGCTAAAACTCACTGTATACAGTCATGATTCCACGCATAGCCTGCGGCCATTTCGGATATGTTTGCTCCAAGGTTTGAAACCATCCTTAGTTTAGCAGGTGGCTCGGAATTGGTCTCATTCAGATTTTGAGTTATGGGGTTTTAAAAACCTATTCTGCATTTGGCTTTTCTTCAAAGTAACTGATGGGCCGGCCATTCCGAGTCATTAGTCATCCCGTCTAAACTGGATAATATCAGTTCTCCGCTGTTTTTGTTGACCGCCACTGACACCGATACAGTGTTACCCGGCTCCGACTCAACTCCATTTCTCTTTTCCTCAGATTCCGAAACAGTTTGACCACTGGATCTCAAAACGAAAGAGGCACAACCTGGTACAACTCCATGGCAGAGGTCAAGACCTCAGGATCCGACTCTGACTTTGTTTTATAAATCCCACTATCGCCTACTCTGCCTCCAATTTGCAATCACTCGTTACATAACGCTATTTCCTTCAAGTTTCTTAACCAGTCCCCATCCATAAAGTTGCGCTGTATCGTATGGTTCAGCAACAAGATATGGTTCTGTCGTATGTGGTCTATGTTTCTGTCTAAAGAAGAATGGTCTTTGACAATATGGCCAAACTCGACCCCATGGCCAACCTCTATTCCATGGCCAACCTCTATTCCATGGCCAAAAACTCTATTCCATGGCCGCACTCGATCCCGTCGTATCCTATAATAATCTTAGATCAGTCTCTCATAGTCAGATCAAGGCAGTCTTTCCATAGTACACGACTTACAAAAGTAAATGATGGATTGGCCACCGAGCATGATTTGACACCTAGAACATCACTAGCAAATGGCCCAGTGGACAGATTCACTTAATGATCAATCCAGTATTGAAACCATACAGGACGCCCTGGAAATTTGGGCAGTTACATGCGGCCATGACATGCCGATGTTGTGTCAATCGCTGATTCTTGGAAGGGAGAATGATCATTCTGCTGATATGACAAAATGTCCATAGTATATTTCTGCGTATGACATTTGAGACTTCCACGACAAAAGGAGGTACTTACACGAGGTTAGAGTCTCATGCCTAGGATTCAAGAGAAGTCGGTAGTCGATAGTATTTCTGTAACCCGATAACTGAGCATCAAGAAGCTTATATTAAAATATCAGATAGCAATACATGTGCAAGTGATATCGGCAACGATAGATAGCATGTGAATAAATCCTTCAAATACATCCCTCTTAGATAAAGATCAAGCGAAGCGTCGGCCATAATCACATCACAGCTCAACTCATCAGACATTTGCCCTCTCCGGATCGTCCTTCACCTCCCTCCTTGCCTTCTCGTCGCCTGCGGTGCTCGACACTTCACTCTCGGTCTCGAACTCATAAAGTTGCTCAGGGACAGGGTTTTGGAACAATACGAATTTCTTGATGCCGTAGGGTATCTGCCTCAGGCCGTACGCAGCGTGCGCGCCAAGGGGGACAGCGAAAATTTGGTCGAGCTCCTCCAGGGTCTTGCCTTTCGTCTCGCGCACGAATAGCAAGATGAGCACCCAGAGAATACAGCACCATGCTGCGTACCAGCCGAAGGCACCTTGTGGTTTGAAGGCCAAGACGAGCGAAGGCCAAGTGATTGACAGAATGAAGTTCCAGAACCAAGTGGTCGCAGTGGCGAAGGACATGCCGAGATCACGGATATAAAGAGGGAATGCCTCTGCGGAGTACGTGAACGGCACTGGACCTTCGCCTGGAGAATAGAAGATCGCAAAGAGGTCTGAAGGAGTGCCACGGTGGATGTCAATGGCAGTATTTAGTATCAACAAGGGTGACGTACATATTCCGATACTAACGCCAGCTACACGCCCTGTTTCCGAAGTACTCCAGAAGGAGAAGCCCGTGATTAAAAGACAGATGGCCATACAGGGAAACGTGAACAAAAGCAAGTTCCTCCGGCCGTAAGTGTCGATCTAGTGTTTCGACTTTCAATATTTATGGAAACCCCAACTATGGAAGAAACCACTTACAGTGAAAACAGCAGGGAGGGCGAAAACCCAGTTAAGTGCACCAAACCCAAGGGAGGAAGCCAATGCCGCAACCTGTGAGAAACCAGAATCCAGGAAGATGGTGGACGAGTAGTAAGCTGCCACTGCGTTAATAATCATTTCAAATCATGAACACGAATCTCATACCGATGACATTGACGCCGCAAAACTGCTGACCGAACATGACAACCCAACTAGCAAGGGCAGCATTCCTGTTACGCGGAATCGTGAACATCTCAATAACACGGTTGCGACCCTTCTTCATCTCGTTCTCCGCCTCAAGCAACACGTGAATGTAGTACAAATCACGAGCAGCCTGAACGCGCGAGAAACGAAGCCGACAAAGCTCATTGAAAGCATCCTCGTAGCGACCCTTGGAGATCAACCAACGAGGTGACTCGGGTGCAAATAAGACTTGCATACAGACAATAAGACCGGGGATACCAGCAGAACCTAGCATGAGACGCCAGTTCAGACCAGTCACACCGGGGGTGTCCGGAATGAAGTAGAACGTTAAGTCGATAAGGTCTCCCAGAGCAATGCCGAAAGCAGTCCACATCTGCCACATCATGACGAGAGCACCACGTATTGGTGCAGGTGAACATTCGGCGGTATACACTGGGACAGTGGCAGATTTAGGACCAATTCCAAAACCAAGGAAGAACCGTGCGATGAAAAGGTGCCACCAGGTATTTGTCAGTCCAGACCAGATACATGTCAAGAACGAGATCATGCAAGTGATGAAAATGGTCTTTTTACGCCCAAGATAGTGGTTGAGCGGATGCGTCATCCAACAAGAAATGGTGGCACAGCATCTGTGAAGTGATGAAGAACGATGTTCTGCAATAAGAACAAAGCACATACAAGTAGGGCGCAGAGTTGACGAGACCGATCAACCATGAATCGCGTTCTGTATACACAATTTATGAATGATGATGATTGGAATGATAGAAGAGCTTTTACGCACTACTGCCGGAACCAATGCCGAACTGCTTGGGATAAATGATTTGAGCGCCATTGATAACAGCCTCGTCCATTCCCTGAACAGCGGCTGCAAGTGATGACATCACGACCATCTATTTAACGGTGTGAGCTATGACAAACAGTCAAGAGGGCTGACACCGACGTAATACAGCATGGGCGTTTGTCGCCACCTGTGGGTAACCTCTTCCGTTAAAATTCGTTTGTCTTCATCTGAAAATATGTCTAGACGATCATGACCTGCACATTAAAGATCTCAAGTCAGCTAGGGAAAACGATTCTGAAATGAACATACACGTGGAATCCTGAGCAACAAGCGCCCCTTTCTTAAGCTCAGGCAGCAGATGGGTCAGCCCTCTCTCCTGGGCAAAAATCTCGACATCCATCATAAGACGATCATGAGGTATGCCGCGCAAGGGGTTTGACAACTTGGCATCGGCGTTACTGGCGTAAAAGCGTCAGGCTGCGCACTTGACTGTCAGGGGCGATCATATATATATACGCACGCAATTGCTCTTGTCTCCGCGTCCATATGTGACGAATGGTGGGGAGCATGTTGTGGGCGCTCTTCCACGGGAGATTTTTCGTTCGAGGACGGGGATGTCGACATCTCAGTCGTAGGCGCGCAAGACGGGAAGAGGCGAAAAGCAGCCTTACTCCTATTGGCACACTTGGGATTATATAGCGCCGCGCTTAGTAGCCCAAAAGAGCAAAGCTATACAAAGATATCATGCGCCATGCCGTCAGTAGGCTAACACATCCGAGGTGGAGCGAATGTCAACCCCACTTTCTGGTGTATTTTTATCCGGCATGTCACGGCTGTATGCTTTGCCAACAATGCTGGCCCTTCCAATACTGGGAGGACCCCGGATCGGCTGCATAAACCTTCCACACATACAGGATTGCTGACTGAGAACAAAGAAATTGTTTGATAGGCGCTTTGATGAAGTCTCACGATCAAGACGCAACGTAACTTGTAACGAGACTGAACCTACTAATCATGGGTCCAATAGGGCCCAGGTTGGAGCCTAGTATATCATCTTCTGATGGATGCGAGATTTCGAATTGGACGTGGGTCATCGGAGATGACAATCTGGCCAGGCCATCTTGAGAGCGCTGGATTCCAATCAGATACAACATGCTTACAATGAGCGTTCCAAAATCCGGCGACGGAAATTTGAAATTTTGGCTAGGTCGCGGAGTTTCTCCCAGTCCGATTGGGATACCACCAGCTAGCACAGCCAGGCTGGAATAGGTCGGGAATACTAGTGGTATCGATGGAACTTTCCGAATTGATGCAAGTTCACTTCCAACCATGCCCATTGCCCACAGTAATCAACGTTTCTTCTTCAGAGGCTGATCCCATCACCAACATTGCTCACGTTCCGCTTCTTCAAGACATCATAGCATCCGATCCATCTTATTCAGTTGTTTCTAAAATGTTTGGCCGTGGTATCTGGGGTACGTCACGTTGCTCTATAAGTGTCTACAGCATATGCTGCTCCAAAATGAATTGCGGGTACATAGCAACATTCCGTTAGTATGTACAATACAAGCCGGTAATCTACGGTTCGGATCTCAACTTGCAACGATATTTGAATCATAGATAGTGCAACATGCCCGTTGATATCTTCTCACAGGCGGCTTGGCGGAATGGTCATATACACCGTAGCGGTTAGCGCTTTCACTGCCTCCTCCGAGTGAGGCGGATACCGAATTCCCAAGTATGGCTCAGCCCTGCCCAAATTCAGATCAGCCTGCAACGGGATAAAAAGGTAACCGAAGTCGAACTCACTCCTTCGGCATGTCAATAGAACTACGAAGCTGCGTGAACGTATCGTACGTATATTTCATAACTTGGTTGCCATCTGTCACGGGGTTCACTGTCAGTGACATTCTCCCAAGTGGAGTAAATTCTCACAGCCTGACTCGCCAACTCCCGCAAATGGTAGTTCATTCACTGACCGATAAAAGTGGGTGAGCGCCAATCCAAGCATGACGTCGATACTGCCAATAACGTACCGGCGAGGTGTTGGAAGGTGTCATTGAAAGCAATACCACCGCTCTGCGTTTCCGAGACAACTTTAAATATGTTTTAGTATGCACCGACGTCATCGGCCAAGTAAAACACACGCTGTTGCTTCACGCTCTCCTTGTCACTAAAAGCGTACAGAACTAGCGGATGAGATCTTTGTGCGATAAGTCAGCTGACGAGTTGGATTATGGGACAAGAGCTTACCGCGCATTAACGAAGTCGATCGCCTCATTGAGAGAATCCACAGGCACGATAGGTAGTATCGGACCAAAGAGTTCTCTATAAATACCATGCTATCAGAATCGCATTTCGAACATAAGACATTACTGACTCTTCTAGCAAGGAGTCGCCGTCCGCAACATCCTTGACAATAGTGGGCTCAAGTCTCCTCCTCGTGACGTCAGCGCGACCCTGAAGAACGACTTCACCCTTTGTGCGGGAAAGAAGTGAGGTAAGGCGTTTATGATGCACATCTGACACGATACTTCCAAACGATGGCGAATCCAGCGCACCCTTGGGGAAAAATGCGTTATAGTGCTTCCGGAATGCCTTGACTAGCTCGTCCTGCTTGTCCCGCTGTACGAGGACATAGTCAGGTGCCACGCAGATCTGCCAAAATTCCCGTTCAGTACGTTGTAGCTTGCCGTATCGGGGAGCAACCCCAAATTGGTCAGCATCAACTTGCCTGCCCTGCATTGTTGCACTTGCCCCATAAGATCCGCTTTGCCGCAAGATCGATGTCGTATGCTGAGTCAATGATAACAGGACTCTTTCCACCTAATTCCAGGGTCAGTGGCGTGAGGTGCTTAGCCGCAGCACTGGCGATGATCCTAGCAACCCTGCCATTCCCCGTGTAGAAAATGTGGTCCCATTGGAGCTCAAGGAGCTTTGAAGTTTCAGGCACAGCACCATTGACAACACGGTACATATTTGGGTCGAGGTACTTTGGCACAATTTCCTCCAAGAGTTGTGAGAAGGAGGGGACAAGCTCAGAGGGCTTTAGTACGGCAGTGCAGCCTGCTGCGATTGCTCCAATGAGAGGTTGGAAAGTGAGGACCATAGGGTAGTTCCATGGTCTGTTTAAGCGCAATGTCAGGAAGCGGAATTGAGACAGTATCTTCGGTCTCACGAGATTATCAACGCAGTGCCCCTCGGGGCCTTGTAGATCCTGGCACGTGTATAATTATCAACGACACTGATGGATCAAACGATCACTCACGTTGGCTTCCATGGCTTCTGCCAATCAGCCACGTCGGGGTATTCAGTCTTGGCCCACTCTGGGAGCTGCTCTGCACTCTTCACACTTCTTTCGATGATGCAGCCTACTTCAGCCATGAGGACCTCTGTTTTTGGCTTTCCGAGGTCCTTCTTTAGGGCATCACAAATGAGCTCCCGTTCATTCTGCGCCATCCGTGCAAGCTGGTATAGTTGATGCTGACGCCACGCAATGGGACGGGTTATTCCACTACGGAACGTCGCTCGAAGAGCATCTCTGATCTTCGCCACTGACTGAGATCATGTAACAGGTGCTGAACAGACCGTACTCACCTTTGGGATCGTACTGATTGGGGTCGCCATCTCTGATTCTCTCTGTACTCCGAGTCAGTCGTGGAATAATTTAAAAGCGACGTCAAGCTGGCAGCCTGAAATCGGACGTTTCGTTCACACAAAGGATTGCAAACAGCCGCCCGCCGCTGAATGACATTGTCACGGTCATGTGCGTATTTGTATCTCCCATGTGGCATAAATGGTTTTGCAATGCCCCGCCGGTCGGCCAATTTAAAATGCAAACCAAGACATGTCCGACAGTGACCCGATGGGCGGGAAGGGTGACATTTACCATGCGTACTTGATGAAATGGCAAGAAAACTAAGTACGTAAGCTAGTCCATAAGGTCACGTTGTCGAATAGAATCCATCACTAACACCGGCAGCTCTGTCACCACTCCCGAGGTCCGTGCACCATTCTATTACCCATCGATGGAGAAGTTTTACAGATATGGGCTAATCCGAGTCCTTATCGTAGACGGACGAGTCAATCCAATCCGGCATGGGACAAGCCACCTGGTACGCAAATATTGGGAGTCCTAGATGGCGTTGTCCCATCCCATCAGATACTATCAAGCATTGTACCCTGCCCTTCCGATATCTTACTGCCAGTGCTACTCAGTAGAAGCATTAACGCAATGGATTTCACATCTTTGTTCTCCCTCCTTCTAACCAGTGGTATGATATGGATAGTTACCAAGTTACTAAGCATCGGAAGGCGCGAGCAGCACCTACCTCCTGGTCCTCCGACCGTCCCCCTACTCGGAAATGCCCTTATGGTCCCGCCAAAGTTCGCCCAACTTAAGTAGGGTGTCACATTTAATGCCTTATAACGCTACAGACCTCATTCGTTCTAGATTTACCGAATGGGCTCGACAATATGGTGGCATTTTTTCGGTAAGAAACATGAGCTACAGAAACATTTCTGCCGTTGCCTCTGACAGTGGTTCTAGTTGAAGATTGGTCACGGCACAGTTATTGTGGTATCGGATGCTACAGTTCTGAAAGAATTCATGGATATGCGAAGCAATGAAACCTCTGGTCGTCCGTCATTTTACACTGGAAGTCTCATAACGGACGGGTATTTTATCGCGGAAGCAGATTCGAGTACGTTATTTTTCCTTCAGCATCCTTTCAATGTTTACCAGTCGTCAGCGACGGATATCTGGCGTATGGGTCGAAAGGCATTACAGACCCTGTTTGCCCCACAAAGTGTGAATAAACAACTGCCAGTCGCGGTAGCAGAGAGTTCGCAACTTCTATTTGATTTACTCTGTTCGCCTCAAGTGTGGTTCCTTTCTTTCCATAATCTATTAAGCATTCTCATCCCCTCATAGGGCTTCGAAAAGCACATTGATCGTTACACATTTTCAATATTGTTGTCTATAGCTTTTGGGAAACGCTGCCCGCGCCCTGACACGGAGGAAAAAAGACTTTTTTATGAAGGGGTGAGACTCACCGTGCAGGTGGTGTCTACTGAGGGGCCTCCCGTCGATCTCCTCCCTATTCTTAAATATGTCCCGGAACGGTGGGCGCCATGGAAAGGAATATGCAGGGAGGCGAGGACGCTGCAACGTCGATTATATTTTGGGTTGTTGGAAGAGGCAGAAACAAGGCTCGCCAGAGGAGAAAGTACTAGTTGTTTATGGAAGAAGTCATTCAGCGTCAAGAAGAGCTCGGGATGTCAAAGGACGCTGCTGCGTGAGTGCGGACTCTGAATCAGATCTTCAGGAACTCCCATCTCGCGCTGTAGCTGGTTAGGTGCGATCGTGCTCGAAGCATCCCCGGGCCATTCTTCGGGATCCTTCATTTCTTTACTCATTCTATGTTTTGTTGCCTTCCCCCATTGCGAAAGGCCCAAAATGTGATCAACTCTGTTCTACCGGACGGGCGACCACCCACAATGGATGACATTGCATCGCTTCCGTATGTCCGTGCCATCCTAAGAGAGGTGAATTCTTGTCTAAGTTAGCAATGATAAATCAGGCTGACGGTCTGTTAGGTACATAGATTGAAACCTATGGCACCGCTTGGAATGCCTCACGCGTTGCTAGAGACTCAAGAAGTAAGTCGCGATCTACCAGTCACAGTTTTCGCTTACGTTGACCAATGTATTATTATGCCAGTATCGAAGCCATGTTGCCCCTAAAGGTACAACCGTTTTCATAAATGCTTGTATGTGTAACATTCGCATTTTCCAACCTGTCAAGCTGACCATCGAATAGGGGGCATCTTGCATGATCCTGGTGAATTTGTCGTAATTCTCATGTAATGGAGGCCTGCTCAAATATTATCAGAGGTCTTTGACGAACCTGAGGTCTTTCGACCAGAGAGATTCCTCCTCTCTGAACACGGGACAAAACCTGGTGTGGATAGCAAAGACTGGCGTGCAAGTATACCCTTTGGGAGCGGAAGAGTAAGTCTTTTGGGCCGGAGGGACACGATATGTATCTCATGACGTCCTGCAGAGACTCTGCCCTGAGATGAATTTAGTCAACACAAACCTGGTATGTGACGCTCTAACGCCCGATTTCTGGGCTGAACAGTCAAGCAGGCGTTCACTATTGCCACGTTGGTCTGGGCGTTTGATTTCGCTCCTGCCATTGATCCAGCTACGAAGGCACCGATCCCTGTCGATATCGATTCGTATGAGGAGGTGAGTGCCATGGCTGCATCGACGTTGTTAAGGATCGGCCCAAACAAACTCTTCAGGGTCTTGTCTTCAGACCTCGTTCGTTCACTTGTTCTATTCTACCAAGAAACGAAGCAAAGGCCAGACTGATCAGACAAAAATTTGCTGATGCGACTCCTGCTTTCTCAAAATACGAGTTGTTCCTGACAAAGGAGGAGAAGTGACTGCTTGGCTAGTGTCACCCAGTCGCACTTCAACTAAATAATCTCGCGTACACTAAATGTGATTCACGCAGGCCATCGACTCCCCGGTCAAGTACACCATGTCTTCACACATACTTATGGCTAATCAATTGTTGATTATCAAATCTAAGTTCACGTCTCACTACCCATATATACCTCGACAATTTCGTATATTCCAACTCCAATTGTCCCAGGCCTCCACACAGTGATTGGTCTACGTGGTGAATCACTTTGTCGGACCGTAGCCTTGTTTAGGGAAACCAAACGTCGGTTGGAGGCTTGTCCCAGGCTGTCTGGCACCCTCTCCAATCCGGGATCCAGGGCCTCTTGGGGCGCTACCGGTGGACATGCAGATACTATAGGGAGCAGCCGGGTCCTGACCCAATCGATGACTTGGTCCTGGTCATAACGGGTAATGGTCCGATATCTTAAAAGCAAAATTCTGTGGAGATGCTCGGTAAGGGAACAGTGTACGAAGAAAAGGAATGGACTCGGAAGAGAAGGATAATTAGCCTAGTGACTAGTAGTTCCTGTTACACAACCCTAGCTAGCAGTGGTTATAGTATCCCAGTCAACTGAGCCAAAAGCAAATCCATGGCGCCATAATGATCTTCGACTCGGAGGACCTCGACTCGGAGCGAGTACTCCGAATTCACACAAAACAAACACAAACAAGTTATAACAACTGGCGTCAACGGCGGACGCTGGCATCAAGGTCCACTATACCGCGCGTCCGTGCACGTCCGAGTCAACGGGCGTAGCTATTTTGACGCGGTCCTGTCGCGGTCGTGACGGGCAAGTGACGTGACGCGCTACTAGGTGACTCCCACATGCGTTAACATTCTTTCGTTGATTTTATTCACCATAGGCACACATACTACTAGCTACATCAGCTAATGACTATTTTCTTGGCACTGACGAGCCTCGACGCGGACGCGCCAGTGTTCTACATTCGGGACATATGCTACTAGTCACATCAGTCAATGACGATTTTCTTTTCCTGCCTCTCTGGACCCTCTTTGAAGCATGTCGACGCTTAACTGGTGCGCATTCTTCAGCTGGCAGTGAAGAGCGACGTTTCACGGGCGCAATCTCTTCTTCAGCCGGCAGCGAAGGAGCTACAACGTCGGACAACTCGTCTGCAGACGTACCATCAGAGTTATCGCTGAATAAGAGGCCGCACTGTCAATCACAACCGGTTAGAGACCTATTGAACAGTGCACCGGGGGTTGCCGGTGGGACGGGAGTCCCAGTGAGAAACGGTCCTAGCCGTATCGACGGAAAACGACCGAAATATCGCGACAATATTTGCGTCGATTTGCGGAGACGGATGAGACTTATATGATATTTTCAGCGACTCGCATCGAGCGAGATATTGCAGAATCGAGCGTGTTTGCGTAGCGTAGATTCTAGTATATTGTAGTAGCTCCCAATTGACCTTTTGCATATTCGCACATCAACCCAAATCGACCAAAAACAATTGTATTGCGAAAAAATTACAAATGCAATGAAAGTGTACTCTATATACCACTGGCACCCCCACCCATGCGTCAGGATGACGTAGCCCATCAGCTTCTGGTACATGGGAGTCCTTAACTGAAACAAATCATTGTTAGATGTGCTTGCCAGGCAAGCAGACAGTACTTACAATGACAACTGCCTCGTTCTCGTGTTTCTACGGCAATAGATATCAGTTGAAGTATATTGGGTAGCTTTTAATGGAACTTACCAATCGACTGTCTTGTAACGGTGTATCTGTTGAAGCCGCTGGACGTGTCGATAATAGGGACAATGGTAGTGAGCTAGCGATGATGTAAAACAGTCAGTGAATGAACCTGACAATGTCAGATAACTCACAATGTTCGAAATGTGTGCATATATGCGCCGTAAATAGCACTTACTTGGATGACTACGGTCGATTGGGTGGGATCAGCAGATGGATTGGGCCGTGAAAAGGTCTAGTACTTATCTTGTTAGTGCAGTGGCTAAGCGAGAAAATCATGCATCAGACGGTACCAGGATGGTTGAGGTCAACAGCGAGATTTTGCTGAGAGGAGGACGAGATGATGGAAGGGAAGAAGAAGGCTGAGGTGAACCGAGTATGGATGGAATGTCCCAATATATATCATAAGTGGTCCACTGCATATCGACGTCATCGCATGAAGTGATGGTGCGTGCGCAGCTGATGCGCAAGAATGTTCAAACATTCAAATATTGAGCAAAGTCAAGTCAAAGTTGAAAAAATTTCAGCATGTTCAGCCAATGTTCAACGGATCTTTGCTCAATGGATCAACCGCACTTTTTAATTTATCGATTTGCGTAGTTATCGCAATATTATTGGTATATAACTAATATTTTCGTCGTTTGCCGTAGATATGGCTAGGACCGTTTTTCACTGGGCGGGAGTAGCGGACAGGAGGAGTAGGCAGAGGGGTGCCAGGGGTCTTGCGGGTCTCAGAGGTCCAGCGCACATAGACATGTAGAGGACACGTTGTACACACCACCATCATCGATAGCAGCAGCAGCAGCTCCCTTCATCTCCTGAGCGCCAGGTGTGACCAGGTCAACAGAGCAGGTGATATTTTTCTTACTTCCAGTTCACTCTCACTGTGATCTCTGCCCAGAACCCACTCAGTAGGAATGTTGAGATACACGTTGTACTTCCTGTGAAGTTGACCGGCATCCAAACCCCACTGCCGGTTGCCTGCCGGTCCTGCTTCGGAATCTTCGAACATCATTGCTTCTAGTGTGATCAGACACTCAAGGTCTACGTCAGCCACAAAGCTGTCGGCAGGATAGCTTATCATGAGATCAGCCCAAGCCATCTTCAAACAAGAGGCGTGCGATCAGTAAGTTCCAGACACCAACCGTTTTAGTTCAGTGACGCACCACCACCACTGTTACAGTGACCTCACGTGGTGTCACACTGCCAAATCGAGTAATTCTGTCGCGCTGAAAAATTTCACCGTTGAATGTGAGACGCGTCTCGATGATCACGCGTCATTGACGCGTCGTATGCAATATAACGAGCCAGAAACATGCGTGTGTCGATTCCTGAGTAATGACATACAATCGGAAGCTGTGAAATCCACGAGAACATGAAGTAGCAAGTGTAAGAAAGCAGAATGATGATAGCGAGCGAGAGTTGTGCACGTGCGATTGTGAAAGAATGCAAAGGAAAGGAAAGGAAACAAAAAACTAACTAAGCAGAAGTACGAGCTTTCTTCGCATTTGCGATGCCGGAACTATTGGTTTTTCGCTTGCGAGAACTGGACCCAACTGGAACATTTTCCTTCTCGCCCTCGAAAAGAGGCATAAGCCATCGCGCCATCGGAATATTCGCGTCTTCTTGTTCGAGAGCAGTCAGCATGAATGAGTTCAGGATCTGCACAGGAAGAGGATAGCCAGTGAGATTCTCTGGATGCGCATACTGTGGGTGGACCTCTTCAAGGTGTTGGATCATGTTGTAACGCCAAACAGCGTCGATGAATGGAGCGGCAGTGCGACTTTTCTTGCCCGTGATGGGCGTTAAAGACGGGTGACACAACTCGCACTTGAGTGGGACATTGCGACAGGGTCTGTTGTTTGAGCCAATGTCGGCATTTGGATACCGGAATGTGTGGGCATAAGGGCAGGATGATTCGACCTTCGAAACAGCCCCACTGTTTGCAATTTTGATTTGAATCTTGCATTCCTCGTGGCCCGATCGCCCGCAGAATCCGCATGGCTGATGAAGACCGACCTAGAAAATCAAAGTCAATAATTGAGGCTATACAATTATGACATGAACTTACCTGTTCCTTCAGATTATCTTCAACGCTCGTTACACCACGAGATGATCGTAATATGTGAATGCCAACATGTGCACGCATTGAATCTGTCTTGTTCCCACATAGCGGACATTCTGATAACGGGCTAGATTCACTGGCAGCAAGTCGTTCGCTCGCCTCAGTACAGATGATACCCGCCGAACCTATGTAATTATATTAGTAGTGTATCAAAATATGAAAAATTGAAGCTCACCGTCTGGAAGTGCATAAGGAAAAGTTGAAGGATCCGAGGCACTTGGGACGTGAATGATAGTCTTGAGCGTGATTGAATTCTCGCGGGCTTTGCTCCATAGTGCATCACAGGCGAATGAGAGCACAGATTCTTCAACTACCCAGGTGTTCCCAATGTTGTTCAATGCATGAAAGTAGTCGGAATTGATGTCGTCACGCAAACGTACACATGTTGTCTCGGGGTTGATGAGTTCAACCAGAAGTCCAGGTACCGAAATTTCAACGACCTTTTCAGTTGAACGACTGATGCCTTGAATATCTGATGGTTGTCACGTGAAAACACGACGCACGTGCAGCAGAAAAAAACAAAAAGATTCACTTTGCAGGGGAAATCAACTAAAACATAATGAATTTATTAATCTATGTACCTAGAACTACCCTAAGGTACCCAGAACCACCACCCCCCACGGGTTGTGGAAAGATTTCGTCAAGATTTGACGACGCTGTCGAGAAGTTCAAACGACAAGACGATATAACGCCAAAGTGGCTGAAAATAAGGTTTTTGCTTACCGTAAGCAAGTGGATGGTGTTTCGGCTTTCTCCATTGCACGCCTCTTGTCTTCAAAAGCTCGCTATTGTTCCATTCCGCGTTCTGAGCTTCAACGCATTTTTTTTTCAAATCACCACCCTTTCGATGAGCAACAACGAGAGTAAAAAGTGCACCAAAGGCATGCCACCGAGCCATTTTTCGACTTGACTGGAGGCACCGGGAATGTTCTCAGCGAACTAACGTGCGATTTTTGCATACTTGTGAGATGAGATGTCGCCACAAAATGGTATGCTGTATGCACCCAGGTGACCATCTAGGTTCTTTTTCGACCGCAAGATGTAATCTATCACAGGATATGCCTCCGCATCACACTGGCTCAAGTCAGGACTGTCAAGGAACTTCTGAAGCGAAGCAATATGAGGTCGTAGAATGTCGTTCAATTCTTTCGATGGTTGTACTGACATAAAGTTTTGAATCAAGTCTTCTTCGCGAGGGGTATCCCAAGAGTGACCCATTCTCCGAGCTACGCGATACTTTAAGAGAACTGAGTACATAACCAGTCAATGTCGCTCACGCGAATCTCACGCTTCTTAACTCGGTCCTGCTAGAGTTCGTCCACGAGATCTCCTTGCTCGACATCACTAGGAGGCAATCCGAGACTGGATGGGAATTTGCAACCGCGCCACCAAACCACCTGCCAGGGTACTCGGTTGCGTGCAGTAGCAGGGAAACTAGCAGTGCCATAGGACTGAATCAGCCGCACAGGATACCAATACCTTCCAAGCAGGTGGACATACATATGATTGGCGAGGATTTAAAGTGTTTGGAATTCATTTCGAGCGACAGACGGGGCCGCGTCAGTGCCATGTCACAGGCGCGTCACGACCGCGGCAGGCCCACCTATCGATTATCGGCCGGATCATCATCGAGATATTGTAGCCGCACGAATAGCCGCCGGCATGTTGTTGGACCACGAAGACGCTGTAAGCTTATCGCAACTGATCAATCACTAGTAAGTAAAGTGGAGCAGGGGCCCAGGGCTCCTCCATGCTCCAGTGACGGTATTCATGCAACTCCGCGGCCCGGGTACGTATACCTCACTTAGCTTCATCAGTGTATTGTATTCAATATATCGATACTTGAAGCTTAAAGCAGACAAATCGAAATAATGCACGAAACGGGTGAGTGAGTTTGATAATTGAGTTTTTAACGATATAAAAGCAGCATTCCTTGAATCGAAGTACACTCAGCACCTCCAACAACCACTTCGCCGTGAGATCTACTAGCAATCATGAAAGGATTTTTGTCACTTGTTCTCGTCTCCATCGCTCTCCTGCAGACAGCAGCAGCAGCACCCATTGTGTTAGAGCGCTCCCAAGGTATTTCTCTTGTAACACCGACATTGTTTTCACATGTTTTACTGACCTTGTCGATGAAGTAGCCGTTGAGGGCGAGCAGAGTATGTCTCTACTTGTCTGTAGTATCCGCACCCGTCTCACAAGAATGTTGACGACATAGATATCGGGAAGCGCGGTTCCTTTACCTTCGGGTGTACGTTTCGATTCCACTGTATTCTCGTATTTTGTCTAACGGGAGGTGCCGCATAGACCTTGCGTGTGACGAGCTTGACTTGGAGGTCGAAGGTAATTATCCTTGTACTGACCCTTTTTTCAAGAGTTATACTAATCTGTTGATGACACAGATGTCGAGAAGCGCAGCACCAACTCGTGAAACTGTACGTTTCGATTCCTCTGCATTCTCGTGTCCTGTCTAACGAGACATGCATAGACCCTGAGCCTGATCTTGACTTAGAGGAAGGTACTAGATTGTCTAGTACTGGTCTTGTTTTTGAGTGTCTTACTTACTCTGTCAAACACGCAGTTCTTGACAACCCCGGTATATCTTGAGTATTGAGCTTCGACCCTTTCTAAAATCATTCTAGCCTAAGATTACAGAAGCGCTAGGACGTCTCCGAGACCGCTGGCAGTCGTCTGGGTCGTCCCCCTGAAGTCAAATTCTTGCAGATCATTAAATCTGTCATGGTTCAATAACTCCCAAAGTTGGAAGATGTTTTGATCTATGTATTACCACTAGTGGACCAGTGATCTCCAAATATGAATAGCGTTGTTGTATTCATATTGTATTCATACATATTCGTATCTAATCATATTTAATGAATAGAAACACCATCGAGGTACTGAATTCTGTCGCCGAGGCCAAGCTTCAACTGACAACAACTCCTTCATGATGACACGGAGGAGACACTGTCAGAGAACCATTTATTATGACGGGTTGAAAATATACCTAAGTGACACTGACAGGTTAAGAAGTCCTGACGTGGCACTGAGGTTTGGCGTGGCAATGACGTGGCATGTATAGGTGTGACGCAGCATGCAAGTGGGCCTTGACGCAGCATAGGTAAGTGTGGAGGTTTACATCAGTACGGAGGCTGCAAAGATGTTGGGGAGAACCTGTCATGGTATGAGTAGTGCTTGACCCAGCCTGACTGAAGCATGACATGGCATGATTGGGGCTTGACGTGGTAGTACAGGGTATTACAGAGGCTGCACCAGACTTGACAAGGTGGGGTCAAGGCTTGATACAATGATACAATACTTCACACTGCTGTCTGAAAACAAAAGGCTCGTACCTGAGAATACCAATACTCTTGAATACAATTTATATACATAGCATGACAAATGCCTAAACATATTTCACTCCTTTCACAAGTATCCCAACCCTCGAAGCGCTTGGGAAATAGATAATCACCATTATATCTGTGTCCTTCACCTTGATTCAACTCAATAATTTGCGGCAAACCGCTTCATTACATACTCCTTCACCTACACCAATCTCAGTATCCAAGCACTCCGACTTTGGCGAGCCAACGTACCGAAACAGGCTCATACTTTTTAGGCTGGTCTGCCGACCACGTGCCTGGTATGGCGTCGATAATCATAGACATGTCCTGTAGCCACCCATGAATAGACGTAGGTACAACGGAAAAGCGGAAAGACATACGGGAGCACAGAACTGTAGACATTGTATCAGATCAATCCAGTCACAATGTCTAGAACTTACGTAAGGCATAGAATACCGGGACGGAAGCAGGCCATCCTTTGCCACCACACCCGGCGGTGCTACAACGCGGTGCATTGTACTCCGTATCGTGTCATTCGACCCTACAATCCACAAGTCAACACAATGGTACCAGTCCACCAGTTGCAGAGAAAAAGGGCCTCACATCGCCGCAAAAAGTCACCCGCGTTGAGAACGACCGAGTTGGGAATGGGAGTCACTGCCTAGAAATGATTTACACATCTATATTAGTTATGACGTTGGTGTGGAAGTGGGATCGAACAAGAGTACGAACCACGTACTTCCCAGGCTCATTCGGGTCCTCGACTTCGAGTCCTCCTATCTCACCTTGAAAGAGGAACTGCCTCGGGTTAGCTTCGCTTCTTTGAACAGACAATACGGTGGGGGAAACTGACTGTAAGTGTGTCGAAATCCGTATGAGCCGATATCCTTGTCAGCTTGTTCGTCTCGAGCAATTCAGAGGATATGCTGCGTTATACAGCATTATTCAATCTCGTACCGGTCGTGAGTGAGTGAAAACCCTACCTAGGATAGTGATGTAGCCTCAGCTGATTATTTACCGTCTCGTGATACCTCAAGAACCACTCCTCCTCCAAGCCAAAACCCAGTGCAAGGGCGCGGAGGATATTCTGTTCGACTTCGTGACATTTCTGTATACTCCATCAGAATTCACGTATATGGAATCTAACCACGAGGGAACACACTCACCCAAAAGAAGGACAAACACGCTTCATTGAACCCGGGGAGGACGCCCTCAGGCAGCCAGATGTTTGGCATAGAGTCGTTATGCTCGCTCCCGCAATCGAAGGACTCCTTCATGTTTGGCAGTGCGATGGTGAATTCGTCCCCAGAATCCGAGTATTGGGTCACTTTTTCCTGGCAAGGGTAGGAGTATCCTGCGAGACGACATATGTGAAGGCGAGTGAACTTGCAGTCAATAATGAAAATTCTAACCTCGATGATGCATTCCAGAATCCGGATGAGGCGCAAGCATTTTGGTTTCGTGAGGAAGAGCAAAAAAGCGTTTCAGCTTTCGTGGTGTAAGTTGGGAATTCTAAGTGAAGAGGGGGCTGACCCACCCAGTCAAACATCTTTGCGACCTCTCCCTCCGGGATACCAAAATTCGTGAGATAGACAAATCCAGCCGATTTGAACGACCCGATGAGCTGATCTGCAGCCTGCTGTTTCGCAGAACCGTCTAAGAACGGAGTGAAATCAACAATGGGGATTGGATGATTTGACATGGCAGTGTTAGATGGTCAAGTGATGATCTATGAAACCAAGTGGATCAGTCTCATAGCTTTAAATTATATCCTTGGTTGCACCCCGCCGTTTTAATCAATTAGGTCATATGATGAATCAGCTTTGTCATTTGGATCTGGCTCGAGAGTTGCTTGAAATGATCATAATGACGATGGAATTGGCCAGGACCCGGCAAGTCGAAGTTCGAGAAGCATGGTGTGAGAACAATGACAGGAAAGGCAAACCAGGGGGAAAAGTCTAGATGGGATTAATGCTTCCTTTGGCGAAATCTAGCCTCCGTTAGTATTTCTGATGAGGCTTTTCTACGATTTGCCCAATAAGTTACAGATTAAAGGTTATCTGTATAAGCTTGAGCCCGTTCAGTGTGCCCAGAGTGCATACCTAGATATGCTGATCCCCATGCCGTCAAATTGTGCTTTCAGAACAGCCGTTATGGTCGCACTTTCAGAATCCTCCGGAGACCATAACCGGAAGCTTTGGGTGTCAGCCCGACCGCAGTCGGGTTTCGAGACTAGCGCTTTGGGTGAAGGGCTGACCTGGAATTTGGAGCCAGATCTACTCATACTTAAATGTTGATTGATTCGAAAAGTCAATTCGAAAGGTTGAAATTTGAAATTAAAATTGAATGGAGTATGGCACGTGATTATGTAATTATATGCGACCTTCAAGTTACTACAAATCGCTCGCGCATATCTTAGAGCCCGTTCAGTGTGCCCATAGTGACTAGATCGATCTAACTTTCTGTAAATGCTGATCCCCATGCTGTCAGATTGTGCTTTGGGGTATATGGTATCATCGAGCCTGGTAAAATGCCTGAGGAGCTGGAATTTGGAACCAGATCTACTTATGAGTTGAATCAAAAGGTTGTAATCGACACGTAATCCTACTGTTACAAACTTCACTCAGTTGTACTGTACATACAGATACTACATACATACTTAGTACATACAAGATCAACTCAACCAATTTCGAGTTTAAAATTACAATTCCTCGTCGACAGTGACCCAGCTATTTCTCTTCGAAGATCTGTACTTTACATGTTAGCCTCGCCAAACTCGGTCGATATGGAACAGAGCTCACGTCATAGACGAGATGCCTGAAATGTCAGACTTCTTGGTTTCCAGCACCAACTTCACGGTTTTCACTTCGAAACTTCTGAATTCGAGCTTAAGCGTGCTATGCGCCCCCGTCGTGGAAACTAGACCAAGTTCTCCTTTAGTGTCCTCCAGGATGTTCGTGACATACGCGCGCTTCACAGGCACGTTTTTTCCAATGTATAACTTGACAGAACCATGTCCACCAAACGCTTCGTACATACGCAAGATGATGGTTGTGCCGGAAGCATTCGGTTCGAAGTCGTCTTCTCCTCTCTTGATGGTCTCCAAAAAGATGTTTGGTGAGCCCTCAAGCCAGAATGGGAGAGATGGGGCAACGTGGCCCGCGTCCTGTCCAGGAACAGTTCTCACTGGGGATATCATTAGACTTATCCGTGCAGGCATGTCAGAGAAGCCTAACTGACCGTGCAAGGGCGAATTATAAATAAAGGCAGCTATCGGAACATCGGATTCGAGGAAAGAGCCTACGTGAGGCATGACTGCCCATGAGAACTCGTGCCTCCCTAAAACAACATGTGAGAATGGATCAACCACGAAAAGTCTGACGCCAGAGGCAAACCTTGGTCCTGCTCTGCATCAGGGGCCGTGGCCGCTCTGAGCAGGGAGATACGAAGGACGTTGCCTTCGCATGAAAAGCCATACTTGGATTCCGAGAGTAAAGCAACACCGTATCCATATTCACTAAGATCTGCGAACTGGTAGGTCGTTGATAAGTCTTGAAGGAAAACTAACTGATGAAAAAGCATATACGTACCTTGTGCCCGCAGACCTCAAACTTGGCAGCATCCACCGTCGTGTTCTTATGTGTCGGCCGCTGAACGAAACCAAACTGTGACTCATAAGTCGCATACGTATTGTTGATGTTAAGTGGTAGTTCAACTGCAGTCATGCATTAGAACAAGGCAGTAAGAGGTGTTATGATCACGCACATTTGAGGAACTTGTGTCTCTCACGCCAGTCGACCACGGCATCGAAATTGAAAAAGGAGCGGGAATTTCCTTTCATCGTCGCTACGCTTCCGTTATAAGTACTCGTTTCTGCGTTTGCGGAGTTTCTTACCAGTGATGGCATCAAGGGAGATCTGTGAACAGTGATGTATTCTGTCAGCATCGGAATAGATAGACAAATCACTCGCAAGGCAGCGCGATAGAATGAATGAAAGCGTAGCAAATACTAGATACGCACCGTGACATCAATTGTACTTCCCCCGTACTTAATCTGTGTCTGAACAGCGGCCCTAAGGGGCCCTTCAGCGATAACCCGAACTTGAGAGAACGAAAGCGGAGTAGAAGTTTCGAGGTGGTGGATTTCCACATCTGCAACGCCCAAGGTAAAGTCACATCCGGTCCGCAATCAACAATTTAATGAAAGAACGGACCCCAGGCATCCCAGTAATTAGGACGATCTTCGAAAATAACCAATCCACCGGAGTTTCCTTTGGGAATAAGCTCACGACTTAAGAGTAGAGTTAGCGGGTTACGACGGCGAAGGACGCAACTGACCCAAGCTTCACGTCAATCAGGCTGCTGATTCGTCCCTCTGAGATGGTGAGCTGGACATTGGCGTTCCTGAGGACGAAGTGATCCGTTCCATTGGTAAACACTATAACGGACGTTCAGTACCGATGCTAAGGTCCTGACAACATCAGACACACCAGATGCAGGCATACAAACCGAATACATGCCCACAGGTTGTGACATGACCTTGTTTCCCACCGAGTGCATTAGAGCATATCCGTGCTTGCCATCCGCGGATGTTTGAATAACTTGCGCTTTCATGCGAGCGGCATCTCTGGACAAAGGAACCTTGATGACATCGTGGCGCGCAAATGACGTAGCGTTAAACGCAACTAGTGTTTCCGTTGTCGATTTTGACAGGAGGGGGTGACGATTGCGGGAGAAGAACACTGAATGCGTCCTCGAGAAGGCCAGTGCATGCTTCGCGAACTTCGGCGTATAACTTATCTGCGTCATCATAGACCATACCACTACAGAACCAAATCAAACTCCAGCTAGGCAAGGAGAACTGCGACTCACATTGCAGATCCAGGCAAGACTGAATTGCACGTTTAGACATCATAGAAGTGCCAAAAACCTAAAAGCTTACCATCATGGACTGTCAAAAGATGAGTACAGATGCTGATTAGTGCAGTATAGATACAGAGCACTTACACTGATTGAGTAACACTTTCTCCCAGCACTCATCAATAGCCCGCTTCGGATATACGTATGAATGTCCCTTGGGCTTGAGGAGCGAAGTCAGGGTAGCTACGCGCTGGGATAGTTTAGGATGAGTGTAACCGTGGATTAGGCAAAACCAACCTCCACGTCCCTCAAAAGTATCTCGCACTTCCTATTACCTTTCTTGATGGAACCTAACAAGCACGATATCGGTATTGATGGCGAGTGCGGCAAGTAATGATAACCGCTTACCATGCGAGGTATATGTCCCCCTATGGAACTGTTTTGGTATTCAGAACTGGAGTCTGCCCGAGTAGCTGAACATACTCACTTCAAGGTACAACTCCCCTTTCCTTCATACCATGGCATGTCAGAAAAAAGTAATGAGAATAGGAGGCTCGACAGACCAAACTGGCAGTGTTTTCCCCTCCTTAGAATCTTCCTCGATGTCCTCGAAGAACTCCTCCACAGTACTTCCCATACTAACAGATGGAAGTTCTCTGTGTTCATTGGTAGTCGCGCGAATGCGACGCAGCTGTTAAGTGTCATTAGGCTGGTCTCAAAGACCTGAAACCAATGCTCGTACGTTCTCTAGCATCTTGGGTAATGCTCCTCCCCCTCCGTCTCCGTTTCCAAAGACCAGAAGGGCACTAGCGTTTGACTCTAGGTTCTAAATGGCAGTGAGCGGAAAAGAACACATGATGGCCGATTGTGTCGCCAATACCTTATGATTTGTGATCCCCTTGTTAACGTCCCCGACTGTTGCCTGTGCAGTATAAGTATCTGCGCGGGTGAACCAGTTAGGATTGGTAGGACTACTAACTGAACATGACATTACCGACGGGCGTCATATGACAAAGTACTTGCGAGCCATCGATGCCAACCCAATTGAAGGTGGAATGTGGGAACACGTTTCTTTCCTTATCATCAGTAAACTGAGACAACAGCCTCGAAGCTTCACCAACATATTATTCCTGCCGCGAGCCGTAAGATGACTGCAGACCAGGCTCATATATTCACATACCAGCTCAACTTCTGTGTGAAGAAGTACTTCATGCCTGCATCCCTGATCAGCTGCGGGTAGGCCGCAGTGAGCCCGAAAGAGTCCGGGAGCCAAGCGGTCTCACACCGCTTTCCAAAACGTGATTCAAAGTAGCGTTGACCGTATAGGAATTGCCGGACGAGGGCTTCGCCTGAAGGCATATTTCCGTCGTTCTCAACCCACGAACCACCGATGAGATGGAATTGGCCAGACGCCACTTTCTTTTTGATACGTTCAAAAAGCGTAGGATATTGCTATGAAGAAGGGATATATGAGTAAGTGGACTAAGAGGAGGCAATCAAGCGCACCTCCTCAAGCCATTTGAATTGTTGGGCTTGAGAACAGGCAAATCTATGTTCTGGGTAGCGCTCCATCAAATCGATCTGAGTGGACCAGGACCTCGCTGTCTTCTGCTGAGTGACCGAATAAGGCCACAACCATGCTGTATCCTGTTGAAGCATAACATATTAGACGCGACTTACGACCGTAAATAATAGCTGACGATATGGCAGTATGAAATCCCGACAACCTGGGCCTTTGGGGGGCCTTCGTTGTATATCTTGTCGCCTTTTGCGTGCCAACCTTTTCCGAATACATCCTCAGCAATTCCACGCATAAGCTTTACGTTCTCGGGATCTCCAGATTTAAATGCATTCATGATTTTATTAGCTGTAACGAGTGCCTTGTTTTGAAGGGCAGTGTTGCCAGCGACAGTGTCCACGATCTCGCGAAGAGTCGTGAAGTCCCACATTAGATGCCCTGCAGCAAGTTTCAGCAGAGTGCGCGGTGGAATGTGCAACAACATACAAGCATCTTGGTTTGGGACAACTAAGTCTGCCATTGCAAGCTGAAAATACCTGTTCATCTACATAGAAATGAGTATCTGCGTTGCGCTGAAAAGATAACAAGTTTACATCTGGAGGTGCGATGGTGTCGCCATTCCATGGCACGCCAAACATGCCGTTGCAGCTGGACTCGACGACCACAGAATAGTGGCCGTCACGAACAGCCTGAGGCGGAATGATATGTTCAACTCTGCGATCTCCGCCGCCGCCGCCAGTAATTCCTGGATAGCAGAATTCATTTTGGGTTACCAATAAGGTTGTAGGATATACCTTGGAGCGGGACACCATCCGTGGAGAAGATCATAGCTTCGCAGCCAGGATCAAACTCAACTGAGGCAGACATAGTTGAGTATTTATTTACTGGTTCAAAACCCTTGCCTTACATTGTACACGCTCATACTGTTGCCAATAGGAAGGAATCTTGAGAGTGACCTTCCACCAGTGGTTTGTCTGCAAACAAATATATGCATGTGAGAAGTAGAAACGATTGCATAGTATTGTCATACCCCTACAAAGAGAAAGTGTGTCAGAAATAATGCTGAATATGAAAGCGACTTACAAGATGGCCCAAATGAATCACCCTTCTTTGCTGGTTTGAACTCTTGTTTCATTGCCTCTCGAAATAAGGGCTTTGTAAGACCTGGTGCGCTCCAAACTTGGAGATCTACGTGATTCGAGTCATCGACGTGATGAATGTAGAGAACCGAAGACAGGTTGACATTTTCGAAGTGACCCCCAAGGAAAGTGGACAGTCGGTTTTGGGTCAAACTCTTGATCCATTTCGCTCCAGATCCATAGTTAAGTTCGGGGTAGTGCTTCTGGTTTTGACTGTGTGAGCACATCGTTGACTGCAGCTGTTCGGACTAGTATGTAGTCCCTCAAATACCCCACGTCTGGGACTGAATGAACGTGGGATCTATATGCGCAGGCCGGGGGTATAAATGATACTATAAATAACATCGTCACACGACTCGTGGACACTGTGAAATTTGACGGTCGAACCAACGTTATCCCGTTGGCCATTTCCATCAACAAAAATACTGAGCTCAGTCACTGACTGCAAGACACGTGCATAGACTGGCTGAAAGCTTTGAGGCTTTGATGACGCAGTCTCATAACAGAGTCATTGCAGCAAAAGTTTTTGAAACCGCCCGAACGGACGTCGAATCGTCTATCCAGATTCCAGGTGAAGTCTTCGCTGACAGATATTATTACACTTAAAAAAGATGTCACAGCTCGCTTGGCAAGCTGGAGTATTGGAAGTTATAAAGGAGATGCTGTTATAACCAGTCGACCGATGTAACACCGACTATGACGTCGGGTTGATGTCGGGCATGGCAAATCCCGAGACCACACTGACCACAGCTGCAGCTGCGCACGGGATGTAACACGATCAAATTAAATTTGCGTCTTCACTCTTGACCTGAACTATATTAACAGATATTCGCTATTATTCAGTATCAACCGTTTGTATCTCGTCCCCTTTCAACCTGTATCACCTCCTTAAATGACCCCTTTATCTGACCTCCTACTTTCGATAGTGCCGGCGGACTCTATCCCCGCTCATCTCAAATCATACATTCCAGGCGTCTCGCCCTTCTCTACCTGGCCAGTGGTATCAACTGTCATTGTCTCCTATCTCGTTTTCATCTTTGCGGCACGCGAGTTCATGAAAGATCTGCCTTCGTTCAAACTACAGACGCTCTTCAGATTTCATAATGCATTGCTCAGCACCGGCAGTCTTGTTCTTCTGTTATTGATAATGGAAGAGGTGGCTTCGGTACGGATGAACGTTGGAACTTACGATTCGATGTGCGCACCATCGTCCTGGACTGATGTAAGTGACCTACTAGTAAACAGTTTCGGCTACACTCACAATACACATGCGGCGATAGAGACTAGAGCTCTACTACATTGTCAATTACTACTTCAAGTACTATGAGCTCCTCGACACGTTATTTTTAGTCTTGAAGAAGAAGCCTCTCAGTACGTCGTCTAATATCCTTTGCAAACAACTGTAAATCATACCAGCAGCCTTTTTGCACGTCTTTCATCATGCCTCAACTGCATTACTGTGTTTTGTTCAGTTGAACGGCAATTGAGCCCAGTGAGTTGGATTCTGTACTTCGATATTGTCACCTACTCATGTCTCATAATTGAGTCTTGGACCGTTATCTCCATCAACCTTCTGGTCCACGTTGTGATGTGTAAGTGATATGGGGCTTTCAGAAACGATACTGAAATTTCCGCAGACTATTACTACTACGCAACTGCAGGAGGTGCTAAATTCTGGGTAATTACAGAACACTCTGACAAACTTTCGCTTACTGTCACAATACAGTGGAAGAAATACCTCACAATCATGCAAATCATGCAAATTATCATCGACCTCTTCTTATTTTATTTCGGTCGTACGTGCCCCTATTTCTCATACGCTCTTTCTGCTCAGTTTGTGCTCAGTGTACCAGCATTACGTCTATAAGTATTTCCCTGCACTTCCGCACTTCGGTGATTGCTCTGGCAGCGAGTCAGCAGCGCTCTTTGGTTGCGCTCTTCTCACAGGTTATTTGTTGCTCTTCCTCGATTTTTATATGGGCACATACCTTAAAACATCTTCCTCTAAGGCGAAAGCAAACGGAGTTAGCCAGACCGTAGTCTCAAATGGAAATAGCCACACGTATGCGCTCCGTTTCCTCTGCCTCGTGGTATACCGCCAGAGTGATACTGATGAATTGATAACAGAACAAAGTAGCCTTCGTGGTCAAATAGAACGTTACATTTAACATTGTAGCATATAATCGTCTCCGCAGAGCACTATTCCCTGCAGTATGATACAAGAAGCAAGGAGTATGAACAGAGCGCTCAGTAAGTATATCATCAATAAATTCCAGGAATCAATCGGTATTTCACCCTCTTCGCCCAATTCATCCATTCGTCTCCCATAACGCGCTGGAGCATCTTGTCCTCTACAGCAGGCCGGTGAATGACAGTCCCAACAAATACTGTGAGCAAAAAGAAGCAGGAACCTGCTACCACTTTCACGACAGGCACCTGTAGAACTCCAGACTCTCTCATCCACGACCCTTTGCTTACATACATGGCAATGATCCCGACGTATTGGAGAAGGTAACCTGTGTAACTTGGGTGGCGGACGATCGAATACGGCCCACTTGTGACAAGCCGGTGTTCTTTCTTGATACTGAGTGGAAAGCTCCATTGCTTTCCCAATGTTGATGAACAATAAAGTCTGAAAAAGCCGCCAACTGTGACAGCAAGACTACCGGCAAGGAATACCGGTGTTATAGGCGTGGGGTGAAGAGCGCGCAAAAGTTGCACAACTCTAGCTCCATACTCTGGAACTTGCGAGGGATCCACATGGGTGACGAGGATGTTTGCCACTTCAGCAGACGATGCTGCCCATGTGCAGCCCTGTCAAATTATTCACCAATTTGAAAACAGACGGCCACTGTTGGAGTAACACACCTTTATGAAATCTAAACCGTGAAGTTCGAAAACCCTTCTGGTGAAGAATTCCAACGAGGTGGAAGGTACCACTTTCTCTTCCTTTGATGGTGGCTGAGAAGGAGAACTGGCCGAGTAATGTATGCCAATGGCCGGAGCTATGACGAAAGGGATCTTCACTAGACTCATGATGTATTACTCACATCCGTTTGGAGTGCCATGAATCGCATTAAATACCTGAACATCCAACATATCACAAGCTTGAAGCTAGTCTCCCGAGTCCCGGGCCCCTTGAGACAGCCCTTTACTAGTATAGACGATGGAAGTCCGAAGATAGACATTCCTTGATCTTTTCAAGTAGGCGGAAACCCCCTCCGAGTTCTGCAAGTTGACACCCAGGTATTGACAACGTTGAACGTTGAACGTTCGAACGTTGACGGACAGACACATGCTATCTTGAGGTCTCGGAAGATCACCCTCCGAGCTTCTTTTCCTTTTCCGTGTCCTTATCAACCACATGTTGTCTACCAGTATCGTTGTCACCGGTAACCAGTGCCTAAGCCTTCTTGTACGTCTTCATGCACATGTTTGGTACATACCAACAAAGTCGTCGTCGTCGTTCTGCCTCAACATTCGCTCAGGTCACGGTATGCATTGTTATGTTGTTCGTACTTGGTCTCGCTAGCATGTATGCTAGACTTTATTCTAGCCTTCACAGCGGGGTCTGTGAAACCTACCTCAAGCGCGTTCCTAGCGTCCAAAATAGCCGGTACCAATGACAGGTGTCTTGAACAGCTGATTTACATAAGTTTAGCGAAGCACTGGCAAAAATATTAGTGATGGTCAAGCGACAGACTACAGTTTCCACCGGGTCTGGATCCAAGTACTTCCGGTTACCCATTGATACCATGTAAGTAGGAAACCATAAAAAGCACCCTCGCAGGCTCTGCATCTGGTGAGAGGTCGGCGCTTAGCGGCCGCCCTACCCGCGATGCAACCAAGATAAGAATGCATATACGCTTCTTGGAACGTTATGCATTCATTATTGACAGTGGCTTTGCCTCGTGGGCTCAAGGAACTTGCAGTGAGGCCAAATTAACAATCGGCAAGGTTTGAGAGCCGCGAGCTGACGTTGCACAGAGTGGCTGAGAGATGGATCGATCAGTTGGTGAGCATGCAGCCCGCCAGTATGCGGGGACTCACTGTGTCACTCCGCATACTACTTATGCCAGCCATTTGCGCATGATGTGTTCCATCATTACATATTTGCATTCCTCAAATTCGCTTCCACTGGTAAAAGTGCACGAAAGCTAACGTTTCTGATCCGGGAGTTGCAAAGTGATGCAAGATCTGGAAGTTTTGCCTGGTATGGTGGATCTTTGGTGACGGTTCGATTTGCCGTGCTGCCGTGTATATTTTCAAAGTCCGTTGTATTACTGTTTTACCCAGAACACATCCCAAATGTCAATAGTTCGACATCGTGCACTACAAATGTCAAATAAGACCAAGCAAAAACCGGATATACCCAAAAACTGGAGATACCACTGCTGGTTCGGACACAAACCTCTTTCTGGAGGGTTTTATACCTGGTTCGGACTCATACAAGCTCACCATCGCAGCCTCATTTTCCTTGATCCCATGCCTGCTGAAGTCTTCGAGTACGAGATCCCCAGCAGCGCATACCATAATGAGATGAAGAGTGTTTGACACGTCGAAGTGGGCCCTGCGGTGAGTCCTGCGGTGCCCGGCAAATGCTTGAAGCTTGGCACGTTCTTGGTCCTCTTTCAGACGATCTTGATGCTCTTTCCAAGCCTCCAGAATACTGTACAACGCGCAGAATAAAGTGAGGATGGTGATAATAGTGAGCGGGATTGTAGCGAGCAGATATGTCGGTGAATTCTTAGGCCAGCGAGTCCAGCCTATCGTCGATATGAACATGGTCCCAGTGACTTGGGAAGAGAGGTTGTTCGGAATTTCATTATTCGGGAAGCTACCTGTGGCCATAAACCCGGAGCGAAGGAACTGTGAAATGATGCTAGCTCAATTTGGACTGTATTAAACGGACCAGCGACCTCACCGTGGCGGAAAATTCAACAACACCACGCCAGTAATCCTCCTAAGAAAGTCATAAGAGGTGGATCAAGATTATATGACATGAAACTGACGAGCTCAAGGTAAACCCGTGTGTCATTAAGATTGTTATTGATGGATCCGATAGCGGTTGAGGAATAGATGGAGTACAAGGTATCCCCAATTGTACTGCTCGTAAGTCCCTGCGAGTTGATCGACTGAAACCTGGCAACTGAAGCGATAAATGACAGTAGCTCGGTATTCTCTGGCTGGAAAGGAGTGGATGATGTGACCTCGGCAGAAATTTGTTCGTTGGAATAATCAGCGCGGACTGTGGTCAACAGGGGAACCACTTCGCACACGCTTGCTTGAAGGAACCCATATTTGTAAAACCCTTGTGTAAAAATGGCTACAAGAACAGATTCAGTCAATGACTCCAAACGTATATTTCAAAGGCTCACTGAAGTTTGTATAAGTTTGGTTCATATTCATTGGTTCTGGGCACACAACAGATGGAAGAAAGCCACTTCCTGATGAACTCGTATTTCCATTCGCATCCACCATGGTCACATATTCGTACGTTGTGGACGTATCTAGAAGCTGTCAGTGAACTTGAGAAAAGGTATCCAAGATCCAAACTTACTACTACCACAGTTTGCACTGATATTCCACAAGCGGAGACCAGTGATGGAGTTCGAACTTGAAGCAGCTGCGTTGGTATAGATGACGTAAGAGTTATTCGTGTCCCAAAGGTACTGCGTTTCATTCGAGTCAATGGCCCGGCAGCTGACATTGGCTGTTAACCCTTGTTGCGACATGGAGTAGTTAGTACTGAAGCCTTGAGGAATAGGCGCGTTGGAGTATGATCCGGGTACGACTCCTGTGTTGACCGTGACATTTCCACCGGAAAACCCAAACGAATACCATTAGCATTCGGAACTCCATCCGAGCCGGAAAATGCTTCAATGGTAGGTACGACCCCCTCTAGTTGCACAGTATCGTAAAATAGTTTAGAGTGAACTGAGTGGCTGGACGTACGAGTGGATACGTTATATTTTGCGCCATTGAAATTGAATGTCCCGGGAAGACCAAAGGAAAACCCTGCAGCAACAACTCCACTGAGCAATCCACCAATGTCAAGAATTTCGAAAGCATTGTCCTGGACTTAGTTATTCCATTTGTCAAGCCACTCGTCAACTCGAGTAGAGATACACACTGTCAGTGAGACCATTTGCTAGGAATTCTTCGCGGAGCAAGGCGGCAAACGCGCTTCCAGTTATGTCAAGTTCGGTTCCATTTAACTCTACTGGCCACATGAAGAAGGTAGGTGTCAAGAGCGTTGTCCACCTATGACCCCATTCAAATGAGAGGGACCTCGACAATGCTTCTAGGGAAGACGCACCCGGCCGTTAAGAGCCTCAGCATTCCGAAGATGAACAGCGTCAAGATAGTTAAACCTATATATCGATGTTTCAGAATATGAGAGCCCTGTGCCAAAGCGACACCGGTGCTCAGGTGAATTAGAGAAATGGGCTTCCACATTCGATGTCTTAGTGCCTCTTTGACCGAAAGCGTGAACAGACTAGTGGAAAAAATCACGTCTTACTGAATGATCAGTCGGAGAGAGCAAAAAGTAGACAGACGTAGCAGCGGTGACTGATAGCACAGTTGCTATCAATGTGACAACCATTGTCAACTCTCCAGGATAGCTCCTCATTAACTCGCAGACTGAATCGGATGGAGCAAGGTACTCAAAGTAGGCAACCGCACCAAGGAATCCGTATCCAAATGCCAGGATAACGATCTGGATACTGATGATAACTGTGAAGCGTACAAAGTTGGGGGGAACGTGAAACATCGCAGGAGGCGTAGATGCAGAATCTATGCTGCCACTCGGATAGAAATATTATATACTTGACTTATATACTTGACGGAACACGAACCTTGCTGCATGCACACAACTGATGCAGCCTAGACGGCAGGAGCATTCGAGCGGAATCTGTGACCTGAATTGGTACTGCGTATGCGCGAGACGCACAAAATGAAGATGATCAACGACGCAGGTATTCTCTATATCAAAGTAGTAAGTAGATACAGATACATCACGTCATTAAAATTTTTGATTCGCCCTAGACAAGTCCTCGGGAAGCTGAAGGCGAACTTGGGCCGCCGGCCTTGGTGTCAAGGACATACTGGAAACGTATGAGATCCGACTTTTCCCTGCGACTCTGTTAAAGGTTCAGATTCGGAGATGGTAGCAGCATATGTATACATTGACTTGCCTGCCAGTTTGCTTTTGCTAAGAAATGAAATTTTAACGCAATAGATACTTCGAAGAGGCTCACTGGGTCACGGAGAGAAACGCGCTTAGTAATTTCCAGTACTTGCATCCTCAGCACGCAGTAACTCTAGAGCTCCCTTCGAGCTTTGAAGAGGAAGGAGAGGGCATGCGAGTTTAATGTATTGGAGGGCCGCCGCCGCATGTCCATCATGCATGTCATGCTCTGACTGTGACTGGCAGTGCGGTTTGATGTAAGTTAGGCCACTTTCCCACAGTATGTGTTTATGGAAGTTTAACCGGTTAAGCTTCAGGAGTATATACTTCATTACCGTTCAGGTTGGTTGTTCCGAACATGAAGATCGCATTAACTGAAAATTAGAGCCACATGGAAACCACCCTATATAACTGCGAGACTAGATCTGAGTAGTATAAATGGTATAACAGTTCCATAAGTCGGCGCAGACGCTTATTCTCCCAGACTTGGCAGTCACTACGCTCCGGGCACTTGGAATCCATTATGCATTCTTGCTGTATGAAGTTGCTTGTGCCATCGACGTAATTCCTGCGCTAGTATCTGCAAGGTATTAGGGTGTAGTTCCGGCGTTGGAGTCCAAGCGATCCGAGATGTCGAAAGCCGAAGTATCCGAGATAGGTACGAGGGGAGACCGAGCTCGAGAGTTAGTAGAATACATCTTAAAATGTCTCACGGCTCATACTTATGTAATGTAAGTACTCGTCCTTATAGACTCGAGGCTCGTCCCTCTCACTCGTCATATCGCCGCATCTGGCACCATGGTAGGCTACAGTCGGGATACCACCTCCAGCCGTTTCTTACAACTCCCTCTTAAGCTTTGATCATGTATCCGGATCTCAATTTCTTCATTCCTCTTCAAGCCATGGTGCTCAGGAGCCTATCAGTAAAATACCTCATTCCTTGAATTAACTTAACATGACTTATTTTACTTGGCTTGGCGCCCAAGTTCATCAACAGTGGTTATATACATATCTCATTGCAATCACTTTCGTTCTCTATAGTCTATGCTCCCCATGTACTATCCATGCTCAATCAATTAATCATTCTTATTTGTTTGTTGATTTCTTACCCTCTTTATGTCTTACAAACTTGGAGCTTAATGTACAGAATTCAAGTCACTCGTCACTCTAAGACGAAAGACTTGTATTAAGTGCTCTATGTGACATAGATAAGAGTAAGAATGAGTGTACGAGTAAGAAAAGACACCTAAGACAACCAAATAAGAGTCCGCTGCTCAAATTGGGGGACGTATTCGAAATAAAACATTCATAAATGTATCGGGATATGTATCGCATCTGTCCATAGACCTTTTTCTGACCGTGTCTCAGGTGACGACTACCATGGCGCAATGGTACCTAAAATCACACGAGCTCCTCCTTCGACACTAACGAAAACGGTTGATCGGGTATCACAAACATCTTCTTCTCACCATCCTCCTTCAGCTGCACCTTCACACCCTCATTGTTGATGATTCCTTTCCTGCCGAAATCTTTGAGTGCGAGACTCCCAGCAGCGCATGCCATAATGAGATGAAGAGTGTTTGACACGTCGAAGTGGGCCCTGTGGTGACCGCGATATCCATGACGCTCTTTCCAAACCTCCAGAATACTGTACAATGCAGAGAATAAAGTGAGGGTGGTGACAATGGTGAGCGGAAGTGTAGCGAGCAGATATGTCGGTGAATTCTTAGGCCAGCGAGTCCAGCCTATCGTCGATATGAACATGGTCCCAGTGACTTGGGAAGAGAGGTTGTTCGGGAACTCGTTATTCGGGAAGCTACCTGTGGCCATAAACCCGGAGCGAAGGAACTGTGAAATGATGCTAGCTCAATTTGGGCTATATTGAACGGACCAGCGACCTCACCGTGGCGGAAAATTCAACAACACCACGCCAGTAATCCTCCTAAGAAAATCATAGTAAGAGATGGATAAGATTGTATGACATGAAACTGACGAGTTCAAGGTAAACCTGCGTGTTATTGAGATTGTTATTGATGTATCCGATAGTGGTCGAGGAATAGATAGAGTACAGGGTATCCCCAATTGTACTGCTCGTAAGTCCCTGCGAGTTGATCGACTGAAACCTGGCAACTCCAGCGATAAACGACAGTAGCTCGACATTCTCTGGCTGGAAAGTAGTGTATGAAGTCACCTCGGAAGAAATTTGTTCATTGGAATAATCAACGCGAACTCTCGTCAACAGGGGAACCACTTCGCACACGCTTGCTTGAAGGAACCCATACTTGTAAAACCCTTGCGTAAGAATGGCTACAGGAACAGATTCAGTCAATGACTCCAAACGCACAAACTTCAAAGGCTTACCGAAGCTTGTATAAGTTTGGTTACTATTCATTGGTCCTTGGCACACAATAGATGGAAGAAAGCCACTCCCTGATGAGCTCGTGTTTCCATTTGCACCCACCATGGTCACATATTCGTACGTTGTCAGCGCATCTAGAAGCTGTCAGCGAACGTGAGAAAAGATATCTAACATCCAAACTTACTGGTACCACAGTTTGCACTGATATTCCACAAGCGGAGACCGGTGATGGAGTTCGAACTTGAAGCAGCTGCGTCGGCACTAGCATAGATGACATAAGAGTTGTTCGTGTCCCAAAGGTACTGTGTTTGACTCGTGTCAATGGCCCGGCAGCTGACATTGGCTGTTAAACCTTGTTGCGACATGGAATAGTTACTGCTAAAGCCTTGAGGAATAGGCACGCTGGGGTGTGGTCCGGGTACGACTCCTGTGTTGACCGTGACATTTCCACCAGAAAACCCAAGACGAGTACCATTGGCACCCGGCACTCCATCCGAGCCGGAAAAAGACTCGATGGTGGGCACAATCCCCTCTAGGTGCACAACACATCATCGTAAAACAGCTTCAAGTGACCTGAGAATCTGAACCTACGAGTAGATACATTATACTCTGCGCCATTGAAATTGAATGTCCCGGGAAGGCCAAAGGTAAACCCTGCAGCAGTAACTCCACTAAGCATTCCACCAACGTCGAGGATTTCGAAAGCACTGTCCTGGACTTGGTTATCCCAATTTACAAGCCACTCGTTAACTCGAGTAGAGATACGCACTAAGACCATTTGCTAAAAATTCTTCGCGGAGCAAGGCGGCAAACGCGCTTCCAGTTATGTCAAGTTCGGACCCATTCAACTGTACTGGCCACATGAAGTAGTTCGGCGTCAAGAGAGTTGTCCACCTATGATCCCATTCAAATGAGATGATCTCGACAATGCTTCCAGAGAAGACGCACCCGGCCGTTAAGAGCTTCAGCATCCCGAAGATGAACATCGTCGAGATGGTCAAGCCTATATATCGGTGTTTCAGAATATGAGAGCCCTGTGCCAAAGCGACACCGGTGCTCAGATGAACTAGAGAAATGGGTTTCCACATTCTATGTCTTAGTGCCTCTTTGACCGAAAGTGTGAAAAGACTGGTGGAAAAATCACGTCTCACTGAATGATCAGTCAGAGAGAGCAAAAGATAGACAGACGTAGCAGCGGTGACTGATAGCGCAGTTGCTATCAATGTGACAATCATTGTTAACTCTCCAGGATGGCTCCTCATTAACTCGCAGACTGAATCGGATGGAGCAAGGTACTCAAAGTAGGCAACCGCACCAAGGAATCCGTATCCAAATGTCAGGATAACGATCTGGATACTGATGATAACTATGAAGCGCACGAAGTTGGGAGGAACGTGAAACATCGCAGGAGGAGGCGTAGACAATCTATGTTGTCACTGCGATAGAAATATAATATACTTGACTTATATACTTGCCAGAACACGAACCTTGCTGTATGCACGCCACTGAGACAGCCTGGACTACAGAAGCATTCGAGCGGAACCCATGACCGAATTTGATACTGCGTATACGCGAAATGCGCGCAATGAAGATGATCAGCAACGCAACTATACCAACATGACGAGTAGATACAGATACATCGCGTAGTTTAAATTTTTTGATTCGCTCTGGAGAAGTCCTCGGGAACTTGGTGTCAATGACATACTGGAAATGTATGAGATCCAACCCTTCCCTGTGACTCTGTTAAAAACTCAGATTCAGAGATGGTAGAAACATATGTATACAACGGCTTGCCTACCTGGTTTGCTTTGCTAAGACATTTAATTTCAGCGCGATAGATACTTCGAAGAAGCTCACTGGGTACCAGGAGAAATACACTTAATTTCTAATACCCGTAACAAATCTCACCCTCAGCAAACGGTGACTCTAGAACATCCTTCGAACTTTGAGAGGGCGTGCGAGTTGAAAGGACTTCGATGTACTGGAGGGCCGCCGCCGCACGACACGCTCTCATCGGATGACTGTCGTTTGGTGTGGTGTAAGTTAGGCCACTTTCCCACGGTATGTTTGCTGAAGTTTAGGTTAGACTCTGAACGTTGAACGCTAAGTTCATTACCGTTCAAGTTGGAACACGAAGATCGCATTAACTGAAAGCTAGGGTCCAATGAAAACCACCCTATGTGACTACGAGACTATAGATCCGAGTATAAATGGTATAACGACTCAATGAATCGGCGCAGACGCTATTATCCCCGGTTACGTTCCAGGCGCTTGGAATCCATTATGCATCCTTGATATATGAAGTTGTTGTGCCATCGTTGTAATTCCTGCATTAGTATCTGCAACGTATCAGGGTGCGGAAAGTTCTGATAATATGGTAGGCTGCAATTCAGGACCGTCGGCATACCACCTCTAGCCGTTTTACAGAATTCCCTCTTTCACGTACCGAATCTCAATCTTTTCATTCCTCTTCAAGCCATCAGGACAGTACAACTGCCCTTCTAGCCTACCATCCCCAGCGGCCGTGATAAAGTGAATGGAGTAGCAGTAGCCAAACACAACATTGTCTCCCCGTGGATGTTGCAGTTCATTCTTCGAACTGAATCCGGCGGCAATGTCAGTAACCAGCCAAATCACCGTATTGATGACAAACAGAAACAGGTAGATGGGACGCCGTTCTTCCCAGCCATACGTGCTGATGAACATGGTGCCATCCGTGGCAATGTTGGAAGGTATATCTGTCCAGGGAAGACCGCCGGTGGCAGGGGAACCGGGTCTCGGAAACTACCAAAGATAAAGCCATTGGCGTCTTCACCAGAAGAGGCGATCACAAGGTACTGTGCCACTAAACTCTACCACCCCACGCCAATAGCCTTCTACAGTTAACAAATCATTTACGTCTAAGCACACAGTGGCAAACTTCCTACCAGTTGACAGGAAATGACATCCGTTGAATTGCTATCAACATAAGCCATTAGGCACTCCCAAATAATGTTGGTCTGGAAGCCTTAATTGTTCCCCGCTTGATAATTGATCGCATTCGCGATGAACTCTGTAAGGGCCGTGTTCGAGTCTTCGAAAGGACGACGATCAGTTACTGCTGCCGAAGCTATTCCTTGATTATATGGGTCCAACGTTGTCACGTACAGCACGACCTCACAGACAGTTGTAGGCAGGAACGCAAATTTAGCACTGCCTGCCATCAGGATATCTTTCAAGAAAGCTGAATTGGTGAGCACATAGTAAATGGGCGGTCTCGTTCGCTTACCGGACCTGTACGGGCTGAAACCTGGGGAGCCTGGCTGCGAACATACAACTGTCGGAAGAAAGCCCTCAGTATCTGAGGTTCATTTCGAGAGTGATCGCATTTGTAAAGGTGGTGTATAACATAGAGTTATTTCCTATGATACAAGACGTGATGCTCTGCTTAGAATTACAGGAATGATTTGCTTGCCATTTGAATAATCTGCTACCACTTCCCACATCGGCAAGCCGACGCTGTCCCCAGTGGGAAATGAAACTGTGCTTGAAGTTATTGGAATAGGCACTATAAAAGTAGATAGAAACGTTCTGTTCTTGGCAGTTAACCTCTGCGGTGAGGTCTTGCTGGGTCATGGTATAGTTGTTACCAAGACCCCGGGGAGGGGAACCAAAAAGGTCACGAACTATGTCGATTGTCACATTGAGAGGCACATCCAACTGCAATATCGGCAACAGGAGAGTCGCTATATTCAGAATCGTTCACGGCAGGGAGGAGACCATCTTGTCGAATACGCTGCCATGAGCTTTCAACAATACATGGAAAAGAAGTCTTACACTCCATTATAATCAAAGATACTGTTTGTGCGCACCCCAATGTCATAACTTGCGGCAGAAGCGCCACTCAACAGGGCTGTAACATCCAACGTTTCGAATGCCTTGGTATATGCTGTGTAAAATAAAAGTAGTGAGATCAAAAAAATGACAACACAAATCGCACGCACTACATTGAGCCAAACTATCTGACAAAAGTGCGCTCAGTACATCGTTAAAGGCACTATTGCTAATGTCCAGTTCAGTTCCTGATAGAGTGACCGGTCACTCGATCAGCGTTGGCAAAAGCAGCGCGTTCCAGCTGCAGAGAAAGCTCAAATGAGTATTTGAGAGGAAAAATATGGATGCGCATATTTACCAGGAATTCAGAAAAGTGATCATCCCGAAGATGGTGCCTGTGAGAAACGTACTTTCAATGCCTCTTATCTCTGCATATAACCCAAGTTGGCATTGTCATGCCTCAGGCCTCAGAGCCTCCAAGTTCATCGATAATGTGAGCAGGCTGGAAAACATGAAGTCAGAACATATCGGTGTGATCTTGCGCAAGATTCAACTGACCTCGTCGTGATCACGGACAATACGGTGGAGATCACAGAAACGTCAAGGTTGTTTGGGTACTCGAGAAGTAATCTGACTGCCCAATCTGGAAGATGTACTGGAAACACTAGAGGGCACCGTAAAGCCCATCCAAAACAAGGAAGTAATAGTCTATGACCATGACTGCCACTAATGGAAAACTATGACGGGTGCTGATGAAGAGCGCCTGTCGGTATTCTTAGCATCGTGCAAGGAGCGCAAATAAGCAAGTGGACAAACCTTGAATTTGAAAAGCAACGAGACCATCGTGGACAACATTGCGACCGAGCACGCTATCCAGCCACCGAGACTGTGCGATCAGAGAAGAAGCTATGTAGTTGGCATATTTCCGAATAACAGGCGCGCCCATTTGAGTTTGTATTGCTTGAACGTACTTCCACACTTGACGCACATGGCTGGGTAGCATATGTTTGCATTTACAAAACATTCATTCTGCCATATTCCTTTTACAAACTTGAATGATCGGCGATCCAGCCTGAGAGTCCCCTATTTCTTATCACAGGGCCGGGTAATGCAATAACACGAACGCCATCGGAGAAGTGTGTCGAACAGTTGAAAAATGTTCGAAACGATATTCCGCGGGAATGAACAGCCATTTAGAACGTGTGCGCGCTTAACGTATGAGAGTTGCTTGCATCTGCAGTGCAGAGTGCATGTGAGCTACTTAATGGAATGGAATCGTGATCCCCACGAATGAGCGCCGACTCTGTACATGTGCTCGTTAAGCGCGAGAGTACTTATTGGAATTGGAGACCCACCACCCGAATAAAACTGTCCGACAGTTTCATGGTACATCCCTTTCCAAAAGTGCTGACCTACAGCTGTACCGGCCGGATAGGGAATTTGGAGTTGAAAACTTCGAGATCTAGACACGGATCCGGGTTGACTAACGAGTCCCACTGACCTGAGTAACGAGGCACTGTCACAGTGATATCATCAACAACATTTACACATGGTGAATCACCACATGCAAGAGGCCAAACAGCAAATATTGAGCCAAATAGCTGTGCACCAGGCACTGTGGAGAAGCAGTCGTCCATCAGCCTGATGCCAACCTGTCCGAGTCAGCCAAGGTACAACATGCAAATAAACCACGGGTGGAGCAGGGTGGAGCAGAATGGAACGCTGCTGCAAATGTATTAGCGCATATGCGTCACCCCGGAGCCGGATCTGGCTTGGTAAGTTCAAAGAGCCTGAGTACAGGCCGGGGATCAATATCAATATTAAAATATGGAACGTTGAAGTTTGATTGCGCCATACGGCTAGATGAATTCCTTCTATGGTATAATGGTTCTGACCTATTATACACTCGAGGTCAACGTCCGAGATCACTGTGGTGCGTACAAAAATAAACGTGGAAGGGGATCAGAAAAGAGGACAGGCCAGCGTCAGCAACACCACGGCAGAGCGGAGCATCAATTGCAATTCATGTCGGCAGTGGGCACCACCTCATTTCCTTTTCACCAAACCAACTGACCTATAAAACTGGCGAGGCCCAAAGTCCAAACATGAATGTGTGACTGCCAAAACCAATGGTCGTTCAAGTAACAAATCAAAATTGGAATGTACCTTGCCAATCTTAAGTCGTTTGCAATTCTAGTTGACGATCCACACATTCAAACAACGAAACTTACATATGTTGGATGACCTGCGCAAGTTTGTGACGGTGATATAGAAAACATTCTGTAAGTACAAGCACAGGTACAGGCCATAGGCCTAGACGTAACCTCCCTTGCTCGTTCCGTCTACGCATGGCGAGATTTAATGGGACTCCGGGATAATCCCGAACATCAGCATATAAATCTGAGCCAGGGGCTGCTCCTGTGATCTGGCAACCAAGAATTGCAGAAGATCCGAATCGCACCAGGCCTTGAGGAGGCAGCTTGAGCCTTGCAGTGGCATTGTCGTGCCCTTAGGTAACTACGTGGGAACAGGGAAGCATTGAGAAAATGATGCGAGCGGCTGGCAGCTATAGCACCCAGCATGTGCAGGGAGTTATGTTGGAATGAATCGCATTCGGGAGCGATATCGATACATAACCTCAGCATCCATTACCATTGGCAGGATATGCAGGTGGGAGCATAGACGAAGTGCGGTAAATGACCCTTGGAATACTAATAACAGTGGGGGAACCAAGCTGCGGGCCCGTCAAATACAGCGCGCCGATGTCCATTCAACCGGGTAAAGGAATCTGAGGGTGGGGAGATTGCAGAGGTGCTTCCATGCTGTCGAGTGAGGCTGCGAAAAATGCAGATGTTCAAGCCGGGTAGCGAATGTACCGTGTCTTCCGTGGTCAGGATCGTTAAGTTCTCCGATGCGGCACAACAGATTCCAATTGATCGGAATGAAGGGCCAACAGCATAAGGGACAGGATGTGTAACTGAGCCGTCCGGCTTAACGACAGCAAGAATACGCATGCCTCGATATATGGAAAGGGCTGTGAGAAGATGAAAATGGTCGACGGTTGGAACATCCAATGAGTGTGGACAGGCGGCATTATGCAAGAACTGAAGAGCCTCATGGCCGGGTAATATTAATGATTGGATATCTTGAAAGTAAAAATTCTGTCGAGGTGCTCGGTGAGGGAATGTGACAGTGTACGAAGAAAAGGAATGGAAGAGAAGAATAGCTGGGTTACCTTGTGACTAGTAGTCCGCACTGACCGCTTATGATCGGAGTCCCTCTTACACAACCGGTTCTGTCTCAGTCCGCTCAGCCGAAAGCAAATCCGTGACGCCCATAATGATTTTGATGCAAATGGAAGCGAGTACTCCGGAGTCCGGAGGATAAACGAATTTACACAAAACAGACACAAACAAGTTGAAACAGAGCGTAGCTATTTTGACCTGCGCGGCTGCGAAGCGGCATTGACGCGAGCCACTGACGCGCGTTCCTATGTTCTACAATCGAATCCCAGATCAAGTTGCACGGGTTCATGCGACCATTCCTTTCATCATAGGAACATATTCTACTAGCTATATCAGCCGATAACTATTTTCTTTTCCTCCCTCTAGATCTGGGTCCTCTGCGATGTTTCACGGACGCAATATCTTCTTCGCCCGGCAAAGGAGCTACAGTCTAAAGACGTGGCGTCAGAGTCATCGCTGAATAGTAAGGGGTCATGCTGTCGATGAAACAAGTTAGAAATATTGAACAGAGCAAGCAATATTTTCCTCACTTCAAGTTCACTCTTCCTGTAATCTCTTCCCAGAACCTATTCATCGGGAATGTTCGTAGATACACAGTCTACCGCTGTGATGTTAACCAACATACAAACTCCACTGTTGTTACCGTCCTGCTGTCAAGGTCTGGTCACCGGCGCCAGATTTGGGACCTAGAGAGTCGGATGGTCGATCTGAACCGTGGCATTGATTTGCTCGGGTTGTAGAACGACTAGCACTTCGGGTACGCCGGCGTGGCACTGATTTTATGCCTGTGCGGAGACCACTACCAAGTACTATAGGACGAAAAGACATGATCATCGAGGATCTGGCCGTAGCTGGAAGACCTTTGCGATAATCAAATCTTTTTAACAATAAGTTCGCGAGTTTTGATCATGTCGTCAGTTGACGAGTCTGAACACCAGTGACGACTTCACGTCGCTAGCTTGTCCTGCGTCAAACTCGAGGATGGCAATTTACACGTCCCTGGCACTGTCCACCGTCATTTTACACATTTCTGAGAGATGTTTGCAGTGGGCAGACGACGGGTAAGCCTGCATCACCACCAAGGCAGTCGTAGTAAGAACTATTTGGCATTTGTCGCTTTCCGTGAGACGATGCACCTTGTCTTTGCATTCAGACCAAGACCCTGGAATTAACTTCAGCGCATCAAGTCACCCCGAGGAGACGAGCAAAGGCAACAGCCCCTCGGGTGGTTTAGGACGATGACAGAAGGCGTGTGGACAGACACATGTGGCCAAGTAAGTATATGTCAAGGTAAGCATGGTCGCTGCTTCTCGGCGTCTGTTTTGAAGTTGAGATGGTGTCGAGATTGGGGCACTATTGCTCTCGGATCCCTTGATATTTCTGTTCGAGATGTTGCTTGCTCCCTCAGCAATCTCACCTTGAGGGGAATGTATCCCTCGTCGCGCGCTTGGCATAGCATACAGCTTATATGTATTCTAGACGCGTGATAGTTGTTCTCAATTCGAACAAAGAAGTATCACTTTGGGCGGCTGCTAAAAATCTCTTGAAGGGAGAACTAATGTGAGAGCTATGTCATATGTTGCTCCGAACCTTGAATATTGTGGAGATTCAAGACGTTACAGGTCTGCTACTCAACACTTTATTTGAGGATATCGTTAATAACACTCTTCGAGCGCAAGTGATTAGTCTGTGCTCTGTGGTGTGGAATAACATTCTCTGACATCCTGATGAAAGTCTTGCCTGGTCACAACAACCAGACTATGGGATCACGCCCACGCCAAATCTTCGATTCGTCAATTAATGGTATGAACGACTTGAAGGGGGGTCGTTCAGGTGGGAGGAGAGAGGTATGGATACCCGTGATACATGAAAATACTTCGTGTTTCGTGTATAGACAGCGGACATGCATAACAGAAAACTACATCATATAGCAATTTGACGATCAGAGGAGAACACAACTGGAACCATAGTAGATTGCAATGACTATGACAACGACAACAAGGCACGAAGGTACAGCAGCAAATGCGGGACATGTCAATGTGTCCAAACAAATGTATCGAATTGAGGTTTTCAGGGCAGATCCTATGATATGGCGGCCAAGAACCACAGAAGTTCCAAAATATGTAAACAGCGGGCATGCGCGACAGAATCTCAGGTCATACGGGAATTTGACAATCAGAGGAGATAGTGATAAACAGCAACAATAACGGCAACGACAGGGCGAAAAGGTACGGTAGTAACCGCAGGACGTGTGTCCCAAGAAGAACGTCGAACTCAGGTCTTCGAGGCAGCTCCTGTGATATGGCAGCCAAGAACCGCAGATGCCCTAAAAGATTCAAGATGCGTCTGGACTTCAAGGCAGACACCAGAGGAGCGCTTGTGTAGCGGGACAACTCGATCGACAGAAGGGAGCACCGAGAAAATAATGCGGGCCACGGCTTTAGCATCCGATATATCAGAGGAGGTCAAGTTCAAATGCTGTAGGGAGGTATGTTGGAACGACTCGGCTGTAGGATCGATATCGACGGCATCCAATGGTATGTCCAGCATGTGCAAGCGGGGACATCGACGGAGCGCTGCGAATAATCCGCGGAATGTAACGGTGGGTATCGTCTGTGAATCAATGAATTCCAGTATTCCTATGTGCGGCCAACTTGACATAGCTTCCAAAAGCAGGTCGTTGTCAAGGTTTATGCAACAAGAAGGAAAACTGAAGCGCAGGGTTCGCAATCGCGTGAAACAAAGGGATTGTCTGATTGGCGTCAAGGAGCTGCCCAAGAGATCCTGAGCGTTTCGGCTACTGCGCCTAGAGGAGATGGCAATGTGTGAAAGGGTTTTGTACCGCGACAGTGCATGAAAGAGCGGCTCAGCCTCGGTCCAAGGCAAATCAAAGACTTCCATCTCGAATTGATTTAGCGAAGGGAATTCTAAGTGTTGCATGACTGCGACGGTGTATGCGACTGTCCTTGTATAGAAATACAGTCTCGTGACGTTAAGGAAAGGTCTGAAATTGAGATTACGCCAGCCTAACGAACAACGGTCGTCCCAGATTTTCAGAGTAACAAGGGTGGGGAGGTTGGAAAGGTGTTCCCATGTTGTCCAATCGAGTGGTGGGCAAGCTAGAGTCACAAGTCCCTTGCACAAACGGATACTGTCATACAGCACCTGCCCATCTGCCGCTATGTTTCCGAAGGAGGACCTGATGGACAATTCCTCCAAGGCAGCACAGCGGATCGGAACAGATTTCAAATCCGGATGAACAAGCGGTAGGGCACAACGACGCAGCATGGGTGACAGGAAGAGATGCAAGTATCTATTCAGATCTTGATCCGTTGATAGCGACAACAATCTCGGGAACATGCATGTCTCGACCGGGAGGACTGAGAGAAGGTGAAAATAGTAGTCGTACAATATTATCAATGAGCGAACACGACGGGCGTGATGCAGGAATTGATGGGCTTCATGCTCAGATAATGGTTCGATAACTTTAAAGTGGAAGCACTGCATTTGAGTGCCCGATGAGCGAATGAAAGAGATAAAATGAACATGATCTACACTGACCCTTGAACCGCTGCTACGATAAATGATTGGATGTAGCCTCGTTACGCAGCCTAGCAGTGGTTCTATCCCATCCAACTCAGCCCAAAGCAAATCCATCGCAGGCTCGTAAAAAGGTTTGCATGTTCTAGCAAGCGCTGCAAAGGATTTCCGCGCCAATGTCATATCACGATATGACAATATTAATGCATATGGGTCCAGGATTTTATTCACATGCATGAATACCTCCAGGAGAATTTCGGGAACGAGTAGAGCACGATGCATCAGTTCTATGTCGATGGAATGGTGCTTTGACGGCCTAATCATTGACACAAAATAGACACAAACAACCTTTAAATAAATTGGCAACGCATCATGCATGATGTTCGTTTCGTTAATCACTGCTCCCAGTAAAAAATGATGTAATTGAAGACTCAAGTAACTAAAGTACTAACTTATTGCACCTGACAGAATGCAGCTTGACCGAGGCAAAAGAGGATGGTGCAACCATTGATATTGACAGTCAGAAGGTTCAACACTGGGCATTCCTGGAGCAAGGCCCCAAAGCAGCTCGCTGCTGTTCAGCATGTTAATACTTTCGTGGATATTCCTCTGCAGACTCGGATAGGTGTCACCGCTAACGAGGCGACCGCAGGCATGTTTTTGTATGTTTCAGCCTGTATCTCAGTACCTTAGTTAACTGATGGTCTATTCAGCCTTGCCTCACCGCTTGCGCCGTGCGTGACTGGCCATCATGATACACTGGAGGTAACGGGCGGACGAGGAATCTAATGTCGCATTCTAATTCATGGCAACTATCTGCTGTGCAGTTGTATGATTTTCCGATATTTCTTCATTGCGACAACGAGACTTCAAATAATTCGCGAGCGGAACAAACATTTTTACTTCTCGCACTGATGAGCACATCGAGGGAAATGACAGGCTCATCGGCGATATCACCTGGTAAAGCAGGGTCCTCTAGAAATTGCAAGTAAAAGGCAGGTGGCACTTCTGTTCCATTTTGCAAGTATCGTACAGGTACTTTTCTTCCTCTTCACAGGTCGGGCCATCGGCCCTCCCTTTGTGACATAACGAGTATTCTAGAGTCAGGATCCATCCCATCTAAATTCGACGTCGTACTCAAGACTGAAATCTAGTTCAGTCACGAGGTCTCAAAAATGCAGCATCCATGCCCATCTGCGCGATTCTAGCTACATCATCTCTGCTCAAGCCAAGGCCTAGCGGAGGCTGCGCTAGAAGCATAGAGTACTCTCCAAGGCAAGACGTTCTGAATGGGAGTGCGTCGTCGGTCTATTGATAACGAAAAACGTCAGACAAAAGAGCCTATGACACGGAACATAGCGTGCTTACACAGATGACGATGGGATGGTCATTCTTCAGATAATAGCGAATATGATGCGCGTCGAGGGATACGACAGTTTTGCATCTAAAAGAAAGATTGGATTCAATAGCTCGCAGAGTCAATGCATGGTCCTACAGAAGATTGGAGCTCAAGCATATCTCCATGCATGGCTTGTACTGTCCGTTAACGCGTGCGTTATTGGGCGACTCCGCTTGTTTTATCATCTCTTCAATATCCTTGATTGCAGCTCGCTCGGAAAAATTCTCTGCATCGGCCCGGAAAGACATCCGCACTTTCGCTTCCTCGGACTCAGTGCTATCTGAAACGAAGCGCAGTAAATAACCCTCTTTGAGATTTTGAAACCTGGCGTGGAGAGGGTGAGAGGGATCTCTGAGTCCGGCTGGTGTGTAAGAGTTTGTTGTGCCCGTTGCACATTCAGACAATGAGCTGCATTCCGTCCCAGGCTGCGGGATATCCGCGAAGAACAAAGCCTTGAGTTCATCTGAAAGGAATGTCGCATGTCCGAGTCGATCCGGACGACAACTAAGGAGTGCCAGAGAATCTTCAGTTGTATTCCGTGTGGACTACAGATCCGGACATCATTGTTGATGAGTCGCATACACTAGAATGAACATCACAAACCTCCGCAATGTGCACGGTCAACCCAAGACCGGCATCCTTGGCTCTTAATAGGTGCCGAGTGAAAGATCGCATGTCACCACTGCGTGGATCCCCACATACATCAATGCCTACAACTCTTCTGCCTCTGTTCTTCATCTCGATGGCAAGACTAATACATTCTTCAACATCCAAGTCACTCATGCGGCGATCGATGGACACGATCAGTGCGGCTTGAGTAGCAGGATACGTCTCTATTTCATCAAGCACAGTTGTGAGGTACCCTCTCTCGCGTCATGTGTGTCGTCGTGCGAGGTGTAGTCCGTAACTCAAGGTATGCGCACTGAGGGCTTTCCGTGCCATCACCTGTGGGGTTCAGGAACGACTGGAGGACTGCACGAGTAACGGTCACGACTGCTTCCAGAGTCGATGTCAGAGCATAGATAGCGGGCATCAGAGAGAAAAAGTCGAATATTTCAGTCAAGATGACTCCAGACTTGAGTTTCTCGATAGTGTCTGCGACCTCAGTTGTCTGTGCACTAGAAGGCGAGTATTGCTGCGCCAGTTCCAGTATTGTTTTGATAGGTATAGATCCGTTAAGATGAGCATGAAGTTCTGCCTTAGGGAGTGACTGAAGAAAGATTACGTCGTCAGGGCATAGCGATGACAGAGCAGCAGCTGCAGGGCCCGCGATCTCTGACATTTTCAAGAGACGACTGATCAAGGGGGGAGCGATGCCCAATAGCGAGACCAGAATCCGAATGGGGCAACGTATTAATGGAGAAGAATGTTAATGGAGAGACGTGCGGATGGGGTAATACTATCCCAGCCGTTCCACTCAGAGGACAAGAAGGTGTACCCGACGTGCCTTGAAATTGACTTTACACCTGTTTTCTAGTTGGTATTCCATCATCTCGCATAGCCGCGCGATGCAGAGTCGTTCGAATTAGACATTGCCGGACAGCTGATCAACACCCGTACTACTACCCCTAATTCCACCTGCTTGTGAAGACGTTTTGATCCATAGTGACATCAGTCACACCACCTCTCTTTATCGTCTGCAGCTGTCCTTCACATCTACTGTCCTTGGCGTCTGTTGCGACCTGTAATGATCAAGTGTATGTTGAGCGTATTTCCTCAGTCCTAGTAGCGTAGGTGCATGCAGTGCTGATTTTTTGTTGGAAATCAGCCGTATTGATGTCTACTAACACCAGACTTTGAGCTAAAATACTCTCCGGCGAGAATGAGTGAGAATTCGTAAAATCGGACGAAATTCGCCCAAGGAATCACTATCATATGCCATCTATTCGATTGGTTTACCTACCGCAGACGGGGAATCGACAAAGGTATCGGAAGCCATAAAACCGTATGTAGTGTGACACGTAAAGAAAATCACTGCGAAGGTTTGCTGAGCGCAGCCCAGCTCGTGGTGTTTTTGAATGCCTGTAGAAAACCATCAATATCTGATTCGGATTCCTCGGGGTTGGGCTGCTCGTCTCCATCTGAGAGCCATTGAAGGCCAAGATAGTATCGAGCGTCGGCTTCCTTTTTAAGCACCACAAAACACTCCACAAGGAACTTCCACATAAGTGATTCTATGTGAGGGGATCGGTATTCTTTGAGATTATTCAGAAAGTATAGCTTGAGCATGCCACATGTCACTGCGCCAGAAGTGGCCCAATCATCCAACCGGCGCGATTTCATTGGTAGAAGGGCTCCGGCCTCGTAACGCAAGGAAATCCAGGCGAAGCACCACATAAACGACTCCAGATCATGACGATATAGGTGTTTGACTTCACCTCGTTGACCCTGTGTGGAGAGAAGCTCGAGCGCCATGAACGGTATTGTGCCCGTGCGCTCGTTGCCTCGAGGACCCTGGTCATCCGCCAACGAGGATAGATCGTAGTCATTTAAGACACCTATCAGCTTGCCGAGGCTCCTGTACCACATCAGGTTGCCAGGGCTGACGTCTCGATGAAATACTCCTTCCTTCCACAAAGTAACGTGGCCTGCATGCTATGTCAATGAAGAGCCTCATAAATGCGGTAAAAATACGTACATTGGATACATTGATACCACACATCGAAAAGCTCTTTGCCGTAAAGCTTCGTGATGGGGTGGAGCTTGCGGAATACAAGGACATAGAGCACGCGACTACCGGTAGTGGGTTCCGGAACGCCGAGTGCTTCTCGGATGGCGGACGTGGGATTCGTAAACGTGTGATGCCAGAGTAGCTCAGGAATATGGTCTTTTACGGTACTGTGCACCTTAGCGATCTCGTTGACCTTGTCCAAGATTTTCGGCTCGCTAGTGCGATTCACCTCGCCCCAAAAAATCTTGGCCACCATCCCATCCTGGATGTTTATGCATTTCTTCGCGAGCGCTTCGCTAGTGACAGGGACCACATTGGTGGCGCGTCCTTGCAGTCCGTAGTGCGTCACGCGTTCGTCGTGGTTGGTATGAAGCAGCAGATCCACGTCTCCAAGTTCCTCATCCTTGATTTTGAATTGATGGCAGCGTTTCCCTTCAACTTGAACTGGCAGGAAGTCCTTGTTTCGGCCCCAATCATTAAGCTCGAATCGTTGTAAAGCATACAACAACACCATGAATCGTGGGAGATCTTGAATGAAGTTGATTGCCCGAGCTTTGAATGGTGCCCTGCCGATCATAATACCAGATCCAGATCACATCGTCTAAAAAAGTGGTAGTAAGAGCGTGACCAATGTCGACAGGCGAACGAACCCACCGATGACGATAAGATTAATCAGATAATTGACAGCAAGATTGGCCGCAAACATTTCAGCGGCGTACAGACCCGTCTGAACGGTCACATCTGGCTCGTCGGTGTCGATCCTGGATTTTTTCGCGGCGGATTCCAAAGTGTCCGTGGCCTTGCGCTTGGAGCTGGACCCGCCCTGGGAAGGCTGGGCAGTAGTAAGGCCGGAAGATAGGACTGTAGCTCGGTCGTTTTAGTTTGATCTTAGAACAAAAAATACAATCACTTACGTGCAGTGTCGGACGCAGGTTGTGTTGTTGGGGCCTGTGAAGGGCCTGCGGCCGAATCTCCAGCCTTAAGACGATCCACAGGCAGATATTCTGGCTTTGTAGGAACATAATCGTTCACTTTATTTGAAGAGTGCGGCGGTTTGATCAATTTCTTCCTGTCTGTCTTCCTCTTGAACTCGATGCAAGCTAGAACATCTGTCCAGGGGAGTGGCGCTGCTGGCTTTGCCATTGCATTCTTGACCATGTGAGCCTTGCGCTTCTCGTCGTCTTTCTGTTTACCCTTCTTGCTGCCCTTCTCATCCTCGAAGGAAGCGCATGCGCTGTTCAAAGGAATAATCACGCAGTCGGGCTTCCGAGTTGATTTTACGGTCTGGTGATTTTGGTACATGGGCATATCGTTCTGCTGACAGATCATGTCCACGGCGGGGACAGGAGCACGCATCCCGTCAACCTTGATCTCTTCGAGGCAAACGAGCGCGATGTTGGTGGCCTCTATAAAAGGGCCGTAGAAGCTGTTTTCTGCTCCTGGACGTACGCTTGCAATCAGTGTAAGCATGAAAACGACCGGTCAGCGATGGAGCACCCACTATTTTTTCAGGGCTGTCTCGACGCCCGAAGCGTCTATACCTCCAGCGGAGACCTGTCCATTGCAAACCGGCAGAACTGCCTTTAGGCACTTTTGCAGAAGCTCGGACTGTTTAGTCTCCGGAGCGCAAGAAGCGCGCTGCAGGAGGGCTTGTAACATGGCATCTACTTTGCACTGCTTAGCCTGCTCGATGTCCCGCTGAATCCATGGACGGACTTCCTTAACCCTTGATAGAACGTTAGGTGCTACTCAATAAAACAAGAAAGGTGCGCACCTGACACCGACCAAGCTGATATTCTCGCTGACGACGGCAGCCCCACGGCTGTTTGGGGTGGATTCTAATTGACTAGCACTGTGAGCTGGAGCTGGTGCATTGGCGCGTGGCGGAGTAGACGATGTGCCTGTCTCGCCGGTAGGGGACATGACGCTAGGTGTTGTCGTTACGCTCAGTATTGTGAGCAGAACTGGTGAAGTGGAGAAAACCAAGAGGACAAGAAATAACGACTGCTTCCTCCTTGCCTTATATTTGGTCGACCATTGATGTGGCGCGAATGTGGTGGACCATCGATCAATCTGATGTGGATTGATGTGGCGGTTGTGGACCCATAGTATCAAGCAGTTCAACTCCGACGACGCGTTCCCATCAACACGCGCACGTGATCCTGACTTGTCCGCCCTGAGCATGTAGATGCTCATGCCAGTGGCGGTAATATTCGTATTCTGTCATATCCCTAGTACTATTAGTACACAATCAACTGATTCAACTCCATAGATCCATCTACATTCACCCTGTCGGTTCGCAAAAATCAAGATCGATCGCAGTGCGCCAAGTAATTCATGATTATCATGGTAAGAAGGACTACCGCGTACGTTATCCTAACACATAAATCTCGTTCTGTAATACGCAATTAATCATGATGCTTACTACGAGTCCCTAGGAAGTTCATCTGATATCATTCAGAATCAAACAAAGGTTCTAAGAATCTTGATTTCGGGAATTATGTTCTCAGAGTGGAACTGAGTCCGACGCTCGCGCCATGGTCCACACAAATTTAAGACAAATGCACGACTCAGTCGTGGTTCTCTGGGCAACTTAGTATTACAGTGTCTTTTTGTAGTACAATACATACTGATCATTGCCCCTTTAGATCTCTGTGCTGTACAATCAGTATGGCACTTAAATCAATACATTTGATGGATTTGAAAACCAAAATCGAACTACAGTCTAGTCTACTGCAGCCATTGGCTGAGCGGTGTCTGTAATACAAACCAATCTCAAATCCCTCGAGCACTCCTAATCTCTTGCAGGAAATCCCTCTTGACTCCAGGACGTCGTGACCTCGCTCATATACTCCTCAGTCAATCTCGCGGCCTTAAGGGAGAGCCATTCATCTAGCGCTTCTGCGCCCTGCAGTTCCGTATCCTTGAAATAGCCCTTGGGCCGTGCGCTATAAACTAAAGAGAAATACGCAAAGCCGTACTGAATCTTCGACATACGATCGTTTGGGTGCGTTGTTGCAGACTGAACAATGTCGAGGAATGGGTTTGGGACCCTGGCCTCCGACGAAAGATGCGAAGTGTGGTTGAGGAAGCCTTGGATGTCCAGTCCAGGGACGCCGTATGTAATCGACCATTCAATAGTCGATGCAAAGTATCCGCGAAGTAAAATAACTTGCGAGTTTTGCGACAGGTAAGGCAACATGGGTGAAAGGAAGAGACTTGAGGTGATAAGATGCATGCTGGAGCGTCCCAAAAACCAGTATGTTTTTCGCGGATGCGGGAGGCTCGACGGCTGGGCGCTAGTGTGTTTGCAGAACCGTTCGATCAGAGATCTACTCGCGCCCGTGACGTGAAGTCCCCGTGCTTCATTGATGATCGGATCTGCAACATGAGACACGGTAAGTTAATATGTACACGCACTTATGGAACCGCTGGTGGTTGAAGAAAATGTGGAACTTCGTATGGTTATCCTTCAATATATAGTTCAAAGCTGCAACCACTTCTGGGAAAAGCTGCAACCACTTCTGGGGAAGTACGCTCGACGGGGAAGATGGGGAGGGGACCAAGGTATCAAGTTCACTGCCGAGGTAAGTCTGTTGAACTACAGCAATCTTTAAGCGAGGCTCAATGCATCCTCACGAACATATATTTACATCCCTGTCCTATAGTCACGAGGTGCCGAGCGCTGAGCTGTGATGCTCGTACACTTTGGGAATCTCGTCTGTACCCAAGCACACATTATGATGCCAGATGAGTCAACAGCTGACGGAAGCCTTCACTACCGGTGCAATGGAATCCGGATCACGCACCAACGCCAAAATACTATGTTAGGCACCCAGGTCTTCCCAATGCGTGTGGTGGCCTAATGAACACGTCTGCCAAATGCCCCGCCACTGTGGGTCTGGCAAACATTCATAACTCACTGATATCTGACCTTGCCCCACCCGGACCACTCCAGCCCATTGCGCAGTACTGGCGTGCGAGCCGATCATGACAAAACTGCAATGCTCCTTAGGGCTGAAGTCGAGCGGACGCATCGCTTCAAAAGTTAGCAGCCCGTCCATCACGAGTATTGACCGTAGTGTTGCGCCTAATGTCCTAGACCAAGCTTTCAACTTCCAAGTGCACTATGGATATAGCATATCGCTTCTCTCCTTCCTTGACATGCAATGCTAGACGTGAGCAAGTTGAGATCTCTTGTTGAAAAAAATCACAGAGACGCCGTACGCGACATTGCATGAGTTCTAATGGAAGGTCTTTAGGTCTTTCAAACGGCTGAAGACATGTTTACTCTAGATACGTACGTTAAACGCTCCGGTTTCATACCCAAACAGCCGACATGCACGATATAACGACCAGATGAGGATGTCGCAACCAAGACCCGCAGATGGCCTAAAAGATTCAAGATGCCTCCGGACTTCAAAGGAGACATCAGAGGGGCGCTTATATCCATAGTTGGCTGACGGGAAAATTCGATCGACAAAAGGGAGCACCGACAAAATGATGCGAGCTACGGTTTCAGCATCCAATATGTCAGAGGAGGTCAAGTTCCAAATGTTGTAGGGAGGTATGTTGGAATGACTCAGCTGTAGGATCGATATCGATATTGACGGCGTCCAATGGTATGTCCAGCGTATGCAAGCGGGAACATCTATGGAGCGCTGCGAACAATCCTCGGAATGCAACGGTAGGTATCACCTGTCGGTCCAGTAGTTCTAGCGTACGGATGTGCGGCCAGTACGACATGGCTTCCAAAAGCAGGTCTTTGACAAGTTTCATGCAGCAAGAAGGAAATTTCAACCACAGGGATCGCAACTGCGTGAAGCAAAGGGGTTATCTGATTGGCGTCAAGGAGCTGCCTAAGAGGTCCTGAACATCTCGCTCACCGCGTCCAGAGGAAATGACAATGTGTGAAAGGGTTTTGTACAGTGCATGAAAGAGCGGCTCAGCCTCTGCCCAAGGCAAACCAGAGACGTCCATCTCGAATCGATTTAGCGAAGAGAACTCTAAGTGTTGCATGACTGCGACGGTGTATGTGGCTGTCCTTGCATAGAAATACAGTCTCGTGACGTTGAGGGAATGTGCCAAATTAAGATTACGCCAGCCTAATGAACAACGGTAGCCCCAGATCTCCAGGGTAAGAATGGTAGGGAGGTTGGAAAGGTATTCCCAAGTTGTCCAATCGAGTGATAGGCAAGCCGGAGTCACGAGGCCCTTGCACAAACGGATACTGTCATCCAGCGCCTGCCCGTCTGCTGCTATGCTTTTGAAGGAGGACTTGATGGAAGAGATGCAGGAATTGACGGGCTTCATGCTCGGATAATGGCTCGACAACATTAAAGTGGAAGCGCTGCACTTGGGCACTCGGTGAGCAAATGAAGGAGAATATAATCCGCACTGGCCATTACACCACTGCTACAACACATGATTAGATGTAGCCTTGTTACGCAGCCTAAGCAGTGATTCTTTCCCGTCCAACTCAGCCCAAAGTAAATCCATCACAGGCTCGTGAAAAGGTTTGCATATCCTAGCAAGCGCTGCAAAGGATTTCCGCGCCAACGATATGGAAACATCGATGCATATGGGTCCAGAATTTTTTTGTTCATATGCATGAATACCTCCAGGAGAATGAAACGAGTAGAGCACGATGCATCAGTTCTAGCGATAGAATGGTGCCTTACTGCGGCAAGCTGCTTAGCGTTCGAGCGCTCAAAGCCTACCGAACTTCACATAGAGAAAGTGGGGCATAACTAGGGCAGCTGTATCATAGGTCCTAAGCACTGCATGATCGTTTGAAGAGGAATGGAGAGATTCGGTACGTGAAAGAGGGAATTCCGATATGAAACGACTAGAGGTGGCATCCCGACGGTCCCGAACTGCAGCCGTCGGAACCGCACCCTAATACCTTACTAGCGCAGGAATTACGTTGATAGCACAGCAACTTCACATAAGAAGGGTGCACAATGGACTCCAAGCGCCTGGAACATATCCGGAGATAATAGCGTCTGCGCCGATTCATTGAGCTGTAAATTATACCATTTATACAGATCTAGTCTCGTAGTCACATAGGGTGGTTTATATGGGGCAGTCAATGCGATCTTCGTGTTCCAACCTGACCGGTAATGAAGTATATGTAACTGCAAGCCGCTTATAGCGCCCGAAGCTTAACTTAAGCTTCCCATACTGTGGGAAATTTGTGGCTTGACTTACATCAGACTGCAGCCGCATCAGAGCAATGAGAGCATGACATGCGGCAGCGGCCCTTCAATACATTGAACTCCCCTCAACTCGCATGCCCTCTTCTTCCTCTCGAAGCTCGAAGGATGTTCTAGAGTCACCGCGCGCTGAGGGTGCGATTTGTTACAGGTATTGGAAATTAAGCGTATCTCTCCCGGTGCGCTTCTTCGAAGTATCTATGATAGCGCTGAAATGTAATTTCTTAGTAAAAGCAAACCGGGTGGCAGGCAAGTCATCGTACAGGCGGCCTACGTATGTTGCTACCATCTATGAATCCAAACCTTTCACAGAATCACAGGGAAAGGTTACATTTCCAGCATGTCCTTGATACCAAGTTCGCCTTCGAGTTCTCGAAAAATTCAAAGGACACGATGTGATGTGTCTGTATCTACTCGCCACGATGCCATAGAGAGTAGCTGCATTGCTGATCATATTCATTGCGTGCCATCTCGAGCATACGCAGCATCAATTCAGGCCACAGGTTCCGCGCTGTGTCAGTGGCGTGCACGCAGCAAGGTTCGTCTTCCGTCAAGTATATAAGTCAAGAATGTCATATTTCTATCCGGGTGACAGCATGGTTTCTGCATCTACGCCTCCTCTTGCTATGTTTCAGGTTCCCCACAACTTTGTGCGCTTCACAGTTATCATCAGTATTCAGATGGTTATCCTGGCATTTGGATACGGATTCCTTGGTGCAGTTGCCTACCTTGAGTACCTTGCTCCATCTGATCCAGTCTGCGAGTTGATGAGGAGCTATCCTGGAGAATTAACAATGGTTGTCACATTGATAGCAACTGTGCTATCGGTCACCGCTGCTACGTCTGTCTACCTTTTACTCTCTCCGACTGATCATTCAGTGAGACGTGATTTTTTCCATCAGTCTCTTCACGCTTTCGGTCAAAGAGGCACTGAGACATCGAATGTGGAAGCCCATTTCGCTAATCCACCTGAGCACTGGTGTCGCTCTAGCACAGGGTTCTCACATTCTGAAACACCGATATATGGGATTGACCATCTTGACACTGTTCATCTTTGGGATGCTGAGGCTCTTGACGGCCGGGTGCGTCTCCTCTGGAAGCATTGTTGATACCCTCTCATCTGAATGGGGTCATAGGTGGACAACTCTCTTAACACCGAACTACTTCATGTGGCCAGTACAGTTGAATGGATCCGAACTTGACATAACTGGAAGCGCGTTTGCCGCCTTGCTCCGCGAAGAGTTCCTAGCAAGTGGTCTCACAGACAGTGTGTATCTCTACTCGAGTTGACGAGTGGCTTGACAAGTGGGATAACTAAGTCCAGGACAATGCTTTCGAAATTCTCGACATCGGTGCAATGATCAGTGGAGTTGCTGCTGCAGGATATACCTTTGGTATTCCCAGGACATTCAATTTCAATGGCGTAAAATATAACGTATCTACTCGTAGGTTCAGATTCTCAAGTCACTTGAAGCTGTTTTACGATGATGTGTTGTGTACCTAGAGGGGATTGTGCCCACCATCGAGTCTTTTTCCGGCTCGGATGGAGTTCCGGGTGCCAATGGTACTCGTCTTGGGTTTGCTGGTGGAAATGTCACGGTCAACACAGGCGTCATACCCGGATCACACCCCAGCGTGCCTATTCCTCAAGGCTTCAGCAGGAACTATTCCATGTCACAACAAGGGTTGACAGCCGACGTCAGCTGCCGGCCCATTGACTCAAATCAAACGCAGTACCTTTGGGACACGAACAACTCTTACGTCATCTATTCCAACGCAGCTGCTTCGAGTTCGAACAACTCCATCACCGGTCTCCGCTTGTGGAATATCGCTGCAAACTGTGGTACCAGTAAGCTTGGATCTTGGATATCATTTCTCAATTTCACCGACATCTTCTAGATACGCTGATAACGTACGAATATGTGACCATGGTGGATGCAAATGGAAATACGAGCTCGTCAGGGAGTGGTTTTCTTCCATCTATTGTGTGTCCGGGACCAGTGGATATGAACCAAACTTATACAAGCTTCGGTGAGCCTTTGAAATTTGTACGTTTGGAGTCATTGACCGAATCTGTTCCTGTAGCCATTCTTACGCAAGGGTTTTACAAGTATGGGTTCCTTCAAGCCAGCGTGTGCGAAGTGGTTCCCCTGTTGACCACAGTCCTCGCCGATTATTCTGATGAAGAAATTTCTGTCGAGGTCATATCATCCACTCCTTTCCAGCCAGAGAATGCCGCGCTACTGTCATTTATCGCTTCAGTTGTCAAGTTTCAGTCCATCAACTCGCAGGGACTTACGAGCAGCACAATTGGGGATACATTGTACTCCGTCTATTCCTCGACCACTAATGAATCCATCGACAACGGCCTCAACGACACACAGCTTTACTTTGAGCTCGTCAGTCTCATATCATGTAATCTTGATCCACCTCTTATGACTTTCTTAGGAGGATTACTGGCGTGGTGTTGTTGAATTTTCCGCCACCGTGAGGTTGTTGATCCGTTCAACATGGCCAAAATTGACCTGGCGTCACTTCACAGTTCCTTCGCTCTGGGTTTATGGCGACAGGTAGCTTCCCGAATAATGAAATCCCGAACAACCTCTCTTCCCAAGTCACTGGGACCATGTTCGTATCGACGATAGGCTGGATTCGCTGGCCTAAGAATTCGCCGACATATCTGCTCGCTACAATCCCGCTCACTATTATCACCACCCTCACTTTTTTCTCCGCGTTGTACAGTATTTTGGAGGCTTGGAAAGAGCATCAAGATCGTCTGGTAGTTCAGAAAGAAGGTCAAGAACATGCCATGTATCAAGAACACCTTAGACACCGCAGGGCCCACTTCGACGTGTCAAACACTCTTCATCTCATTATGGCATGCGCTGCCGGGAGTCTCGCACTCGAAGATTTCGGCAGGGGAGGGATTATCAATAATGAGGTCGTGAAGGTGCAGCTGGAGGAGAATGGTGATAAGAAGATGTTTGCGATGGCTGATCGACTGTTGAAGGAGGAGCATGCATGATTTTGGGTACCATTGTTATGGCAGTTGTACATGTCTTTTCTTACTGGTACACACATTCTTATCCTGTCTGTGTCACATAGGGCACTTAAGTGAGGGAGGTAAGTGCAAGGCTGACAATGAGTTCGACAGTGAATGATAGATCGATATAGAAATCTGACGACGAGACGTTAATAGCGAGACTTGATCTAAGACGACGAGTTTCTGAAAGGTTGGGGAGTGTCGGAAATTTCTAATTTTGGTTGGCATCATGGCCTTAAAATGGATTGGAGTCAATGTCGACTTGACCTCTCGTAAGTCTCCGCTGGACTCAACATGTCCATTTTGAAAGAAAAAACTAGCGGACCTTGTGCTTTCGATGTCAGACTATCCATCCCTCAAAAAATTATATTTTTATGTGGATGTGTTGTAGAGTTATAGGCGTTTTCCCAAAAATGCGCGAACTCTAGAGACTCGTGGTCATCTGGTATGATGCCAGATGTCAACAGCTGACGGAAGCCTTCACTAGCGGAGCAATGGAATCCGGATCACATACCAACGCCAAAATACTGTGTTAGGCACTCAGGTCTTTCCAATGCGTGTGGTGGGTCTAATGAACACGTCTGCCAAATGCCCCGCCACTGTGGGTCTGGCAAACATCTGACCTTGCCCCACCCGGACCAGTCCAGACCATTGCACAGTATTCACGTGCGGTCCGGTCATATCGGAAAGTGACAAAACTGTAATGCTCCTTAGAGCTGAAGTCGAGCGGACGCGTCGCTTCAAAAGTTAGCAGCCCGTCCATCACGAGTATTGACTGTAGTGTTGCGCTTAGTGTCCTAGACCAAGCTTTCAACTTCCAAGTGCACTATGTGTATAGCGGATCGCTTTTCTCCCTCCTTGGCATGCGATGCTAGACGTGAGCAAGTTAAGATCTCTGTGGAAGAAAATTACAGAGACGCCGTACGCGACATTGCATGAGTTCTAATGGAAGGTCTTTGGGTCTTTCAAACGGGTAAAGACATGGTTACTCTAGATACGTACGTGAAATGCTGCGGCTTCATACCCAAACAGCCGACATGCATCATACAACGATCACATGAGGATATGACGACCAAGACCCGCAGATAGCCTAAAATATTCCAGATGCCTCTGGACCTCAAGGCAGACACCAAAGGGGCGTTTGTATCCATAGTTGGCTGGCATGAAAACTCGATCGACACCGAGAAAATAATGCAGGCTTCAACATCCGACATGTCAGAGGAAGTCAGGTTCAAATGTTGTAGGGAGGTGTGTAGGAACGACTCGGCTGTATGATAGATATCGATATCGACGGCGTCCAGTGGTATGTCCCGCGTGTGCAAGCGGGAACATCTGCGGAGTGCTGCGAACAACCTGCGGAATATAACGGTAGGTATCACCTGTTGGTCCATTAATTCTAGTGTACGAATGTGCGGCCAGTACGACATGGTTCCAGAAGCAGGTTGTTGTCATGGTTTATGCAGCAAGAAAGAAATTTGAACCGCAGGGCTCGCAACTGCGTGAAACTAAGGGATTGTCTGATTGGCATCAATGAGCTGCATAAGAGGTCCTGAACTTCTCGCTCACCACGTTCAGAGGAGATGGCAATGTGTGAAAGTACCGTGACAGTGCATGAAAGAGCAGCTCAGCCTCTGCCCAAGGCAAACGAGAGACGTCCATCTCGAATTGATTGAGCGAAGAGAATTCTAAGTGTTGCGTGACTGCGACGATATATGCGGCTGTCCTTGTATGAAAATACAATCTCGTGACATCGAGGAAAGGTGCGATATTGAGATTACACCAGACCAACGGACAAAGGTCGTCCCAGATCTCCAGGGTACGAAGTGTAGGGAGGTTAGAAAGGTGTTCCCATGTCGTCCAATCGAGTGGTGGACAAACCAGAGCCACAAGTCCCTTGCACAAACGGATGCTGTCGAACAGCACCTGCCCATCTGCCGCTATGTTTCTGAAAGAGGACTTGATGGACAATTCCTCCAAGGCAGCACAGCGGGCCGAAACAGATATCAAATCCGTATGAGTGACGGGTAGGACACCACGACACAGCGTGTGGGACAGGAAGAGATGCAGGTATCTATTCAAATCTTGATCCGTTGATAATGACAGCAATCTTGGGAATATGCATGTCTCATTCGGGAGGACTGAGAGAAGGTGGAAATGATTGCTGTACACTATTCTCAAAGAGCGAACATGAAGGGCGTGATGCAGAAATTGACGGGCTTCATACTCAGGTAATGGTTCGACGCCTCCGAATTGGAAGTACTGCGTTTAGGTACTTGGTGAGCGAATGAACGAAATAAAATGAACATAATCCGCACTGGCCATTGTACCACTGTTACGATACATGATTGGATATAACCTTGTGACGTAGCCTAGCAGTGGTTCTATTCAACTCAGCCCAAAGCAAATTCGCAGGCTCGTGAAAAGGTTTGCATGTCCTAGCTAGCACTGAGCGCTGCAAAGGATTTCCGCGCCAACGATATGACAACATCGACGCATATGGGAACAGAATTTTTTTGTTGATAAGTATGCATGAATATCTCCAGGAGAATTTCGGAAACGAGTAGAGCACAATGCGGCCCATCAATGCATCAGTAGTACAGTACTACTAGGTGCCTTACTGCAAGCCGCTTAAAAGTAGTAGGCGCTCAAAGCTAACTAACCTTCAAATACTGTGGGAAAGTACTTGCCCAACTTACATCAAACTGCAGTCAGCATCAGAGCATGGCAATGATGGCATGCGGCTGCGGCCCTCCGATACATTGCAAAAGTCCCTTCAATTCGCTTGCCCTCTCCTTCCATTTGAAGCTCGAAGGATATTCTAGAGTCACCGCGCCCTGAGGGTGCGATTTGTTACAGGCATTGGAAATTAAGCGTATTTCTCCCGGTGCCCAGCTGTGACCTCCTTAGATATATTTATAGCGCTGAAATCTAATTTCTTACTACAAGCAAACTGGGCAGGCAAGTCATTGTATACGTATGTCGCTACCATCTATGAATTCGAACCTTTAACAGAGTCGCAGGGAAAGATTAGACCTCATGCATTTCCAACATGTCCTTGATACCCAGTTCGCCTTTAAGTTAAACGACGCGATGTGTCTGTATCTACTCGCCAGGATGTTATAGAGAATAGCTGCGTTGCTGATCATATTCATTTCATGCATTTCGGGCATACACAGCATCAATTCGGGTCACGGGTTCCGCGTTGTATCAGTGGCGTCCATGCAGCAAGGTTCGTGTTCCGTCAAGTATATCCGAGTGACAGCATGATTTCTGCGTCTAGCCCTCTTCCTGCGATGTTTCACGTTCCCGCCAACTTTGTGCGCTTCACGGTTATCATCAGTGTCCAGATGGTTATCCTGGTATTTGGATACGGATTCCTTGGTGCAGTTGCCTATCTTCAGTACCTTGCTCCACCCGATCCAATCTGCGAGTTAATGAGGAGCTATCCTGGAGAATTGACGATGATCGTTACATTGATAGCAACTGTGCTATCAGTCACCGCTGCCACGTCTGTCTACCTGTTGCTCTCTCCGACTGATCATTCAGTGAGACGTGATTTTTTCCATCAGTCTTTTCACGGTTTCGGTCAAAGAGGCACTAAGACATCGAATGTGGAAGCCCATTTCTCTAATTCACCTGAGCACTGGTGTCGCTTTAGCACAGGGCTCTCACATTCTGAAACATCAATACATGGGATTGACCAGCTTGACACTGTTCATCTTTGGGATGCTGAGGCTCTTGACGGCCGGGTGCGTCTTCTCTGGAAGCATTGTTGATACCCTCTCATCTGAATGGGGTCATAGGTGGACAACTCTCTTGACGCCGACCTACTTCATGTGGCCAGTACAGTTGAATGGATCCGAACTTGACATAACTGGAAGCGCGTTTGCCGCCTTGCTCCGCGAAGAATTCCTAGCAAATGGTCTCACTGACAGTGTGTATCTCTACTCGAGTTGACGAGTGGCTTGACAAATGGAATAACTAAGTCCAGGACAATGCTTTCGAAATTCTCGACATCGGTGCAATGCTCAGTGGAGCTGCTGCCGCAGGGTATACCTTTGGGATTCCCAGGACATTCAATTTCAATGGGGCAAAATATAACGTATCTACTCGTAGGTTCAGATTCTCAAGCCACTTGAAGTTGTTTTGCGATGATGTTTTGTGTACCTAGAGGGGATTGTGCCCACCATCGAGGATTATTCCGGCTCGGATGGAGTTCCAGGTGCCAACGGTACTCGTCTTGGATTTGCTGGTGGAAATGTCACGGTCAACACAGGACTCGCACCCAGATCACACCCCAGCGTCCCTATTCCTCAAGGCTTCAGCAGGAACTATTCCATGTCGCAACAAGGGTTAACGGCCAACGTCAGCTGCCGGCCCATTGACTCAAATCAAACGCAGTACCTTTGGGACACGAACAACTCTTACGTCATCTATGCCAACGCAGCTGCTTCGAGTTCGAACAACTCCATCACCAGTCTCCGCTTGTGGAATATCGCTGCAAATTGTGGTACCAGTAAGTTTGGATCTTGGATATCATTTTTCAATCTCACTGACGCGTCTAGATACGCTGACAACGTACGAATATGTGACCATGGTGGATGCAAGTGGACATACGAGCTCATCAGGGAGTGGCTTTCTTCCATCTGTTGTGTGCCCAGGACCAACGAATATGAACCAAACTTATACAAGCTTTTGTGAGCCTTTGAAATTTGTACGTTTGGAGTCATTGACCGAATCTGTTCCTGTAGCCATTCTTACGCAAGGGTTTTACAAGTATGGGTTCCTTCAAGCCAGCGTGTGCGAAGTGGTTCCCCTGTTGACCACAGTCCGCGCCGATTATTCTGATGAAGAAATTTCTGTCGAGGTCATATCATCCACTCCTTTCCAGCCAGAGAATGCCGCGCTACTGTCGTTTATCGCTTCAGTTGCCAAGTTTCAGTCGGTCTACTCGCAGGGACTTACGAGCAGCACGATTGGGGACACCTTGTACACCATCTATTCCTCGACCACTAACGGGTCCATCGATGACAATCTCAACGACACACAGCTTTACTTTGAGCTCGTCAGTCTCATGTCATATAATCTCGATCCACCTCTTATGACTTTCTTAGGAGGATTACTGGCGTGGTGTTGTTGAATTTTCCGCCACTGTGAGGTTGTTGATCCGTTCAACATGGCCAAAATTGACCTGGCGTCACTTCACAGTTCCTTCGCTCTGGGTTTATGGCCACGGGTAGCTTCCCGAATAATGAAATCCCGAACAACCTCTCTTCCCAAGTCACTGGGATCATGTTCGTATCGACGATAGGCTGGATTCGCTGGGCTAAGAATTCGCCGACATATCTGCTCGCTACACTTCCGCTTACCATTATCACCAGCCTCACTTTTTTCTCCGCGTTGTACAGTATTCTGGAGGCTTGGAAAGAGCATCATGGATATCGCGGTCACCACAGGGCCCACTTCGACGTGTCAAACACTCTTCATCTCATTATGGCATGCGCTGCTGGGAGTCTCGCGCTCGAAGATTTCGGCAAGGGAGGGATCGTCAACAACGAGAGCGTGAAGGTGCAGCTGGAGGAGAATGGTGACAAGAAGATGTTTGTGATACCCGGTCAACCGCATTCACCAGTGTCGAAGGAGTCCGCATGATTTTGGGTACCATTGCGCCATGGCAGTTGACGTCTTTTCTTACTCGTACATTCATTTTTACTCATACACTCATTCTTACTCCTGTCTACGTCACATAGGGCACTTAACTGAGGGAGGTAAATGCAAGGCTGACAATGAGTTCAGCGGGGAACGATAGATCGAGATAGAAGTAAGACAGCGACTCGGAGACGTTAAGAGCGAGAGACGATAGGTTCCTGAAACGTTAGGAAGAATACCAGCTTGATTCGTGAGAGGAAGAAAGGGAACATTGGGGACAGGGGTAGGCGACGACGACGTTGTTTGGTAAGAAGTTTGTACTCGTGGCATGCACAGTGTGACTGTCAAAAGACTCGGATATGAGAAAAACGAGGCGTTCAAAGTACAAGAGTATGTAAAAGGAAATCAAAAGGATGGCATCCGCATGTTTCGGATGCGAAGAGCGAAGCTTTTCGCATTGATGAAACGAAGAAGCTTGCCGAATATGAATATGAATATGAATTTACATCACACCCACATAAGTACTAATAGCACGGTCGATATTGTGACCACAGCACCGCGTCGTCATAAAACAAGCGCCGTGCGGCCCCATCGCAAACCTCCCTAATATGATCTGTAGTTTTGTCCTCGAGGAGCGAGGAGGTCTCGTCACAGAGTTGCACGCTATACGCACGATGGACAGCCAAGAATGCTGGGCAGAGAGTAAAGATGTGGTGCGTGCTCTCAAACGTATCACAACCAAAATGACACCAAGGCGGAGTATCGCGAAAATGACGATGGCGCACCTGCGCGGTTTCAAGTTGTGACGATCCGGCATACAGTTGTACAAGGGCAGATAATGAACTAGACGCCCGTGTGTACGGGAAGTCGGGTAAGAGATGGCGGTCGTACAGTGCGAGAGTCAAAGCTTGGGCCGGGTGGAAAGAGTCGTTTGGCGCATAAACATAGCCTTGAGCCGGGAAACACGAAAGAAGACAAATTACACTCGATGGACCCACAACTAGGCGCAAAGATGGTATGATCATCCATAGCAAATGTTACGAGCGGTGAAGAGGCAAGAACCCCGCCGCTATGTTGCGCCGAAGAGGCTATGTGATCTACATAATCGTTGGCTAGATATTCAGGTATGAAACTGTGTGAGCAGCAGTCCAGAATAGCGAGGGAGAAGGAGACGGGGAATGTTAGTAATGAAGGAGGGGAAATAACCATCGGGATTTGGTACAACGAACGCGCTGGTCTGTGGGCCGTTGACCATCCCAGATGTGGCACTGGAACAGTTAGTAACGTTGTCGATTTTTGTATGTAATCACATGTAGCCAAGTTCACGCAATAATCGGGAAATCAAATACGTCTCACAGATGGGCTCTCGATATCCAAGTGTCTTGCGAATTCAACATTTGACCGTCAATAACCCTAAGCTCGGCAATACCCTGGGACACCATGGTTCGCACCCGATCGAGGATCGACATAATCACTTCCTGCAAGTTCATTAACGTCTTGCATTGCATGGCAGCCGTCGATCCGCATGTGAGAACAAGTATGACAATACTCCTGGTTCTGTTAATCGTTCTGAGTACTGGCTTACGATGGCTCAGTTGAACTACTTGATTAGATCATACAGACGTCGAAAATATTACAAATGTTGATATATTTCATTCCAAGCCCCTCGAAAATCAAAGATATGAGTACAGCAGATCGATGAGTCCAGATGACATGCCTTGGAAGTCTACCTTGTTCTTGACTTCCTCATTCTGACCATGGAAATATCTGACGCTGACAATTCCTGAACATGAGCGTACCTAAATCATGTCTAGTGCTGCTCCTGTGAGATAGCGGCTAGGCGCCGAAGACGGTCTGTTTCTAAGGAGTTCGAGATGCCTGTTAACGTCCTTCCACACTCGCGGGACATTGCGGCTTGCACATATAACTCGGTCGACAGCAGGAAGCATGGAGAAAATGATGCGAGCAATGGCTTTAACATTCACGTCCTGGGGCTCATACGAGCCCACGGTCAAATTTTTCAAAGAGGTATGTTGAAACGACTCGGCTTCAGGCTCGATGTCAATATTCCGAGCGTCGATCGATACTTGCAGGTCTTCCAAGCGCGGACATAAACGAAGCGCTGCGAACAACCCGCGGAATGTAACGGTAGGTGGACAAAGATGCCAGTCCACCAATGATAGGGAGCGAATGTGCGGCCAACTTGTCATGGCCCTCGAAAAGAAGGTCGTTGTCGAGGAATATGGAGTGATGGGCAGATACCTCAGCGTTCGCAGTTGCCTAAAGCAAAGAAACTGTCTAACTGCCGTCAAAGAGTCGCTTGTGTGCTCCTGAATTCTATCGTGGGAAGAAATGTTGATGTGTTCCAGGGTCTGGGACGCTTTGCACTGTGACAATGCACGAAAAAGCTGCTCAGCCTCTGCCCAAAGTAAAACACGGATATGCATCTCGAATTCCTTTAGCGAGGGGAATTTGAAATGTTGTATGATTGTGACAACGGCTTCCACTTCTATTCCACGGAAGGCAAGAGTCGTGAGGTTGAGGAAAGTTGCAAAATTGAGATGGTTCAAGGGGTAATGAATAATGCGCTGCGATGTGAGAATCTTCACCTCGAGAAGGGTGGGGATGGTGGAGAGGTGCATCCATGCTGCCGAGTCGAGCGGCGCCGAACATTGCAAACGTCTGAGCCTCGTGCATGAACGAACAGTTTCCCACAGCTGCGTCATGTTACTATCCTCCTGGACGGTAAACTGCTCCAGAGCAGCACAGCGTGTCCCAATACATCTCAAATCTGGATGGAGTTCCGATACATAGCAACGACGCAGCGTTGGGGACAGGAAAAAGCGGAAGTCTCCTGTATTCGTGCGTTGAACCGTCCAGAATAACGACAGCAGTCCTGGGAACACGCATGGCTCGATGGGGAGAGCGGTAAGCAGGTGGAAATAAGTGTTGGCTGATATGGTTATAATGCGCACGCGGGCGGAATGACGCAAAAATTCATGGAACTCATGCTCAGCTAATGGGTCAACGTCCTGGGACCAGGAATACTGTGTTTAGATGCTCGATCAGCGAACAGACGAATGAACAAAACAGACGCAGGACGATGAGCTTGCTTGCAACACTCTGTACTGACCTTGGTAGTGGGATCATATATCACTGGATGTAGCCTTGTCACACAGCCAAACAGTGGTCTTAAACCAGGCATGGTAGCCCAAAGCAAATCCATCGCAAGCTCGTGGAAGGTTGTGCATGTCCGGGCGAGCGACGCAAGGGATTTTTGTGTCAGTGAATGAGTCCAGCCTACTCCTGAAGAGCTCGGGAGCTGATCCAAATTGATGAATATCTCCACAAGGATTTCTGAGACAGACAAAGCACGATGCATTATAGGTGCTACGTCGATGGAGGTGTATGACAGTTGTAAGTTGCAATATGTTGCTATGCAGTTGATCGCATCCTGGAAATTAATACTTAAATATTGTTTGCCGTAAGGCTAGCGGAGATTTGAATCCGAAGACCGCGACCCTGTAACCTCCTATATTTCGATACTAAGCTTCAACTGCTCAGAGCTCTGTTCTGTGCACCTCGAGCGAAAATGGCACTTCCATCCGTCAATCGCATGTTCATAGTCGCAGCTTGGTTAGAGTCTATACTTTATGGTATGCATCCTTTTGCTCGGCAGCGTCACGGAGATTTAGTGCTGATAATACTACGCCTGACAGGAGTCAAGTGAGTTCGGGGTTGGAGAAAGGGAAAGGCCACTATGCTTATTTTCATCAACAGCTGCGTGCTTTTTGGCGTATGCATGTATGCCCTATTTAGTCGGCACAAACCGTTGTATTGGTTCGTATGATTACTTGTTACATCATTCGCCGACATTCATTTTTGGATCAGGATCAGTGCACTTTCATGCATTTTCCACATTTCAATCGCGACAGCACACAACATCCTCTCCCTTTTTTACTCTCTGCAGGCCTTCACAAATCCTGCTATAATATCCGTCCCCGACGGCAGTATCATGTACTTGCTCAGCAGCACAGCCTTGACGAAGACGATGGAGGATTGTTTCTTCTAAACGTAGATATCATATTTTTGTCATGAATTGCTCACATTTTAATTTTTTTCAGTCGCTCGCTCTAAATTTACTGCTAGTGAGTAACTACTGCATTGTGGAGGTGTCGAACCTAATACCCACAACAACAGATCTGGAGACTTTATGTGGTTTGGGATCATAGGTGGATCCTTGCTGTTATCATGGTAAGAGATCTGATTTCATTACTCGTTGCGCTTTTTACGAGCTGCGATACCGCTAGCTAATTCTGGAAGCTGGATGGTTTGGTAGGCTTGTTAGCTATCAAATCAAGCACTCACATTAATCGTCTCCCCTATTAGCAACTGGTGTTTCAAACTGGATCATGGTGACAACCGGTCGCACCTACACGAATGCCGCTTTAGCTTTAGGGCAAGCTGCTTGTGCATTGGATCTTGTTCTTACCATCAGTGTCACGTCCGGAATCGCATATCGTCTTTGGCGGGCGGGCCGAGATGTATCCGCTTTAACCGGTCACCATTCCTACAAAGCTGCCATATATACTGTCATCGAGTCTGGTGCGATCTATACCAGTAGCATCGTGGTATTGTGCGCTCTGTACCAGTCCGGCAGCCCAGCTTTTGGCGTGGCAATTAATGTTGCTACCCAGATTTCTGTGGGCACTTTTCGCTGCCTTTTCTTTTTAGTCTTACATTCTTCTAGACCTTGACTCCTCTTTTCCTCATCGCCAGTGTTAGCCTTGGACTGATGCACAGAGAAAGTGCATATTACGAGTCAACATCTGCGGGGCCCGCTTTCACTCGACCAATCCAGGTCACGATCACCCAGGAGACCCGAACTCACCCTGGGAAGAGTCAGAGTATACACGATCATGATGTATAGTGACATTGGCTAGGAGCATCGCACGGATTCAATTCCTTTTATCGAGGGAGGGAGGGTAAACGTGCCAAAAAGCAGGGATTTTACAGTGATTAATGCTGCTACTGCGTTGGGAACTCGAGGAATTCAGGTGAAGATCATCCAATGGCTCCAGGAAGAACTGACAACCCTTGAACACACACGCGACGACGTTTAGCCATACGAGTGCTGCCTTCCGATTTTTACTGTCATGCTACGCAGATTTTCCTAGGCCGGGAATTACTGCACTGACCCCACGCTCTTTGCGTGAGTTCCGGAGGTTTGGGCCGTTGGCGGTGTGCGGAGCCATGGATCTACGGTGGCACGCTAACCGGCTTTCTGATGGGGCTGAAGATGTGTTGCGGTGCTGCCTCCAGAGTTTCTGCTACTCTCCATGCTGAGATGGGCATTAGCTAGTTGGTTATACTCTGGCGTTCGAGACCAGGCACCGTAATTGGAGTAGACACGAATATGAATGGTTGTCACGTGATGTTATACGAAATATTTGTGATCAGCACCAGTGTGATGCAGAATCTAAATCCTACTCCTTCTGAAGTCCCGAAGCATTTAACATGCCTGAGATTACGATTCTCAAGCGACCGAGGGAGGAAGCTGTCATAACTCAGCGGATGTTCTTCAAAAAGACTGCCCGAGGAAAAGTCATTAAAGGTACCTTTCATCTCATCACGATGCTTCATCTGTTCAGGGCTGTTTCTCCTCAGTTCTACGCGAACGGTACCTTCGAGACGATATATCTTGTGGTGTTGACGGCTGTAGGGCATGCAATTCGACAGCGCAGACTGTCCTTTCGCGTTCTGGGGACACCACCCATAAAGATTTCCCCACTGGGCACTATATCCTACCTGATACCAATGTATTTCTCGCACAGGTATGCATACGAATACAAGGTCATGTACGGCGCTGATCCCTTACAGATGGACTTGATCGAATCCAATTATTTCACGCCCCCCATCATCATCCTACAAACCGTCATGGAGGAAGTTCGTCATCGGTCATTACCCTTGTATAGTCGCCTCAAGGCCCTCACAACAACTGACGAGCGGAAAGTATGGGTGTTTTACAACGAGTTCAGGTCGTGAGTCATCTTCACAAATGCACCCATGTCGTCGCGTTTCGCTCTGTCGCGGTTAACAATATGTTACTTCACCACCTCCTATTCCGAATCAAGCCCAGTCTTTGATCTTGAAGTCGTGTTCCACACTATCTTTAAATCTTGGTGTTCTCGTGGAGTGTTACAGATTTTCTCATTGCTGATATATGTGTCATAGAGAGACTGCCATCGTACGAGAAGACGCCGAGACGCCGAACGACCGGAATGATCGAGGTCAGTGATACTCAGGCTTGTATCTTTTAGTATACCAATAACATTACATAGGTATCAGGAAAGCTGCAGAGTGGTACAACGCGCATCTAGCACTGGCACACCCTCCTATCCGAGGTCAACCAAAGTTAGCGTTGCCCAAGGTTGTACTGATCACAGATGACTTTGCAAATCGCCAAAAAGCAGACAAGGAGAAAATCCCATGTATTTCAGGTATGTATTGTCTGATATATACTTTGCCTCGCTTTCTCAAAGATGCCCTGAAGTGCGCAATTATGTGGACGGCATGAAGAACTCGGATCAACTTCTCGATCTACTTTCGGCGACTGGCTCAGACGAAGTGGAACCTACCAGAGCTGTTGCAGGGCGTACTGCGCTCTATGCTGATGTGCGGCGAATGTGGCTTTGCGATTTCTTGACACTTATACCGCGCTTTGCAGTATCTTCCTATGTCCACCCTCGTGGCAGGAGTCAAAGCCGGTCAACTTCATCAAGGTCACTTCAATGCAAATCAATATAACTACCTCGAGGTTTGCGATGAATACCTCCGCTCTTGCCAGCAGTGCTAATTTCTTTCAGGGTACCGTTCCTGTCCCTGCGTTCACGAAACCTGTCCTTCTAGTGGGCAGGGAAAATATGAACCGAGCGGTTCAAGGGGACGTCGTCGTGGTCGAAGTATTCGACGAAAGAGAATGGAAAGCACCGGCTGACGAGGTCATCGACCAGGAAGGCAAGCCAGCTCAGTTAGACTGACCAACTGAATGCTAATCTTTCTTCTCAGCGACACTCAAAAACGACGATGCAGAGGACTCAGAGGAAGAGGGCGACGACCTGATGGTGCACGAGCATGAATCCAAGGCTCTTCGCGCTGAACATGCAAAAAAGGCTCCTGCAGAGAAGCAACCGACCGGTCGAGTGGTCGGCATCATTAAGCGAAACTGGAGAGCGTATGTTCCTCTCCTACTTTTATATTCAGTAGGTTCATACGTGCTTTTGACACAGATATGTTTGTCACATCGATTCTACAAGTCTCACCTCAAGTAATGCTACATCACTCGGGCTCCAAACAGTGTTTGCTACTCCAGTCTCGAGACTTCTCCCTCGCATCCGGCTACGTACGCGCCAAGCACCGTCACTCATTGGAAACAAGATATTGGTAACAATCGACCGGTGGGAAATTACTTCTCGTTATCCGGAGGGTCATTTTGTTCGTACGCTTGGAAAGGCAGAAAGCAAAGAGGCCGAGCAAGAGAGTCTCTTGTTGGAGTTTGAGGTGCCATATAGGCCCTTCGGAAAGGCTATTCTTGACTGTCTGCCGCCAGAAGGCGAGCAATGGGTTGGTCCCGCCTAAGAGTGCAGCATTCCCGGAATGGAGAGATCGTGCGGACTTGAGAGATCTCATTATCTGCAGTATAGATCCCCCAGGTAATGCTTGTTGGACAACTGCGTAAAACAGGTATACTGACTTCTTGAATCAGGCTGTCAGGATATCGATGATGCCTTGCATGCGCGTCGTCTGACGAATGGTAACATCGAAGCTGGCGTTCGTAAGTTTTACGTTTTTCTCTTCCTTAAGTTAACTCCTATTTTGGTCAATAGATATCGCGGATGTGTCCCACTTTGTCCACCCGGAGACTGCGATGGATAACGAGGCTGCTGCACGTGGATCTACGGTCTACCTTGTTGACAAGCGCATCGACATGTTACCCGCGCTTCTTGGCACGAACCTGTGCTCCCTGAGACCACATGTGGAGCGATTAGCATTCTCAGTCATCTGGGTTAGACAAATTCCTATGATGTGCTTACTGCGGTATTTGACTGAACTTGTTATAGGAAATGACTGTAGATGCTGAAATAGTAGACGTCCGTTTCACAAAATCTGTTATTGCATCCAAAGCTGCATTCGAGTATGGAGAGGCGCAACTTCGAAAAGATGACCCGTAAGCGAGACATCTCTCGACCTATTTTCCTATAAAGCTGACAATTCGACTGTAGAAAACTAAATGACAACCTTACGCAAAGCATCCGACTATTGAACTCCCTTGCGCAGAAACTGAAAGCCAAGCGGATGGCGGCTGGCGCGCTCAATCTCGCATCGCCTGAGGTCAAAATTCACCTTGACAGTTCTGAGTCATCCGATCCGGTAGATGTGGAACAAAAAGCGTTACATGAGACGAACTCTCTGGTTGAAGAATTCATGTTGCTAGCCAATACCAGTGTAGCGAGAAAGACTCAAGAATCTTTCCCGCAAACATCGGTACTGAGGTATGTTTCTCCTGTCTGCTACATGCACTTTCTCAACCTGTCACAGACGGCATCTGCCGCCACCACCTACAAACTTTGAGAAATTGCAAGATATCTTGCAAAAGCGAAAGGAGCTCAAACTCGACGTTTCCAGCTCGGCTGCATTAGCAGATTCCCTTGACAAATGCTTAGTGCGTTGTTCTCAGTTGTTTGTACAACTCTGTTGATTGTTCACTGCCATAGGATCCAAAAGAACCTGCTTTCAACACATTAGTGCGCATCATGGCGACAAGGTGTATGCTGTCTGCGGAATATTTCAGTTCCGGCAGTGTCTCTCGAGATACGTTCGGGCATTACGGTCTTGCAAGCCCGATTTATACACATTTTACCAGTCCTATTCGTCGCTATGCAGGTATGTGGCCCGTGTAGCACTCCACTTTTCTTGTATTTACGTTTGCATTTCTCAGATATCCTTGTGCACCGACAGCTCGCTGCCGCTATTGGCTATACACCACTGCATCCATCTCTTCACTCCAAAATGCACGTTGAGCGCATCATGGAAGTTGTTAACAGGCGCCACCGGATGGCACAGATGGCGGGTCGCGCTAGTGTCGAATTCTACGTTGGACTGGCGCTGAAAAGGTCGAAATGAGAGGGAGAAAGAGGTGACCGAAGATGCCTTTGTCATTAGGACATTCCGGAATGGTCTTGGGGTGTTCGTGTCCAAGTAAGTCCCATTCATGCCCAGTTATTGAAGGAACTGACTTACTGTTCCTTAGACTTGGACTCGAGGGACTGGTGATGTTCAAGCGGGATACTCAGTTTGACGCGGAGAACTACACCATCAGTGTCCCTTCGTCTGATATTGGGCGACCGGATGTGACGATATCTGTTTTCGACAAGGTGACTGTGAGGATTGAGGTTGAGAAAGATAAGAATACTCAGAGAGGGCGGGTGAAGATGACGCTTGTCAGTCCTGTGGATTCGAGGGCGTTGTAATTGAGAGTCTGGGTCTGACGTGATGCCAAGTACCATTTTCATTCGTACATGCCTATTCTGGAAGTAATCCTTATGTCATGACGTAATTAATTGATCAGGGTTCAAAACTCTGGATATGAGCGTAACTTCGAGTAACCTTTCGACATCGGCGTTGCAGCCTACCATCGGTGTAAGTCTTCAACGTTATCAACACGGAGTTAACATATAAGACGCGGATTGGCACGAGCCTGCGAATCATTTGACAGGGCCAAAGTAAGCGTGCATGTGGAGATCATCTTCCCCGTGCTTCTATGTTAGAGGAGCGAGTTCATAACCCGCCTTATAAGGGCGCGACTTCCAAGATCCGCCTCTTGCCTTCTTCCCACCCGCATCACCCCTTTTGCCAGCGGCGCTCTCAGACTTTTTCTAGTCGCCCACCTCCCATTCTCTTTATTTCTCTGGTGTGTTTTGGTCTGGTTGCACTTCTCCTTCAAGCCCGTGGTCTGCAGGCATTTCTGACCCTGAAGGTCTGTCGTTTTGATCCCTTCCTCTTCTTCTCGTCTCGTCATATTACCCGCTGCCTGCTCGCACCCGGTCTGGCAGAGCCAGACCTTCCTACACACCTAACGAGTAAGCTTGATCTCCCCGATCTTTCATATTCGTCTAGATATCTTAGTTTCACACTCTTTCTCCGATATCAATTCGTCCTCACTTCGATTCGTCCTGACGTTCTTGAATCTCTCTCGCTAGAAAACGAATTAGATCTGTCCTCCCATCATTCTCCACTTGCACCCTACCAAACTTGCAAAAACTGGAGGTAATTTTTCCGAGTGAGATTTCGTATGAACTCGATTGCTAATTACTCTCGCAGCCCCTCCATGATGACGCTTTCCACTTCCCTAGATGTTCCAAGAAGCAAGACCGCCCTCATTGAACATGCCCACCGTGACATTGACAAAGAGATCATTGCATTAGTCGAGTCCATTCGCGTCCTTCGCTCTCACAAAAATGCCCTCACCTATACATGTTTGCTTCCACCCGAGATTCTCGCGGCTATCTTCATATATATCGCAGAAGAGCAAAGTTATTCGGGCACACCCTCCCGTTGTGGTGCTCCTCTTTTTCTGGCGGCCACACACGTCTGCCAACATTGGCGCAAAGTCGCCCTCGAGTGTGCGACTCTTTGGACATCAATCAATTGTGCCTCCGTTCATTGGGTAGCCATCATGCTCGAGAGGTCAAAGAAAGCTGCATTGGTCGTCACATACAGTGCACCGGCCTCACTAGAACAATGTTTCGAGCAAGTTCTTTCACAGTTATCTCGAATTAAAGTCCTCCAGCTGTGCTCATTCTCATCCGATGCCAATCGCATTATGGACTACTTATCATCCCAGCCCGCACCATTGCTTCAAATTTTCAAATTTTCGGTTCAGGGGTTCCTTCACCCAAGGATCGACGCCATTTTTCAAGGATGTGCGCCCCAACTTCGGAGCGTTGAGCTTATGCAATGCAACTTCAGCTGGACATTGGGTATTTTCAGCGGGCTTCGAACTCTAAACGTGAGACAAATAGCACCTTCCTCTTCTCCTACGTTGTCACAGCTCCTGTCTGCTCTGAGACATATGTCTGGCTTGGAGCAGCTTATGCTTGACCTGCTGCCCGCGTCTTCCGAGAACGACGAGGTCTGCGACAAAGTCTCACTCGCTCGCTTGAAAAGCATGACACTGACTGGGTTCACCGCCAAAATTGCTATATCTCTCTTCTCACATCTACTCCTTCCTGTTGATCTCAATATCGCTCTAACCCTCGCACAAAATGTCGGCCCTCTAGAACGTTATGACCTATGTTCGGCCCTAGACAAGCATGTTGACGAAGTCGTTCGGGTCCATGCGCGTCGAACTTTGGTCTAATATACTCGGGGTTCAATTCAGCACCTCAACGACGTTCGCATCCAAGCACATTTGGAACCCTCCTGACGGTGATATACGACTCTCGATTCAATTCAAATGCGACGATAGAGACTTTGACACCGCGTTCGACATGTGTTATATGTTCCAGCATTGCAAAATTCAGAGCTTCTTCTTCGCATCATTCTCCCACGATCCTCAAAAAACTCACTGGCGCACAGCATCTGCAGATCTTCCAGCACTCGAACGTATCCATGTGAGCGAGACCCCAGTTAGGGGCTTAATCGCTGCACTCAAGACTAGAGACTTGGAGAGCTCAAATATTGCGTACCCTTTGCTCTGTGCTCTAGAGCTAGAGGATATCGACTTCAGTTGTGATGAACCTGGGTACCTTCAGTGCATCCTCATGATGCGAGCCAAATGTGATGTTGGTCTACACAAACTTCGGCTAGCGAAGTGCAGGAATTTGGCTTACGATCAGGTGCAGCTCCTTCAGGAAGTGGTTACAGACGTTGATTGGGATGGATATCGAACCGCCATGGGGTACTGCAGTAGACATCGACTCGCTATGGGGTACTGCAAATATTGAGTCAGCGATAATCACATTGGTGATCGTGATAGTTTTGTGAAACGAATTACTCAACAATAACTTTGGAGCCAATCATTTCCGCGTACCATGATACACAACATGTAAAGCATGCTACCGGTGGTTACGATCGAGGTCCGGATTTGCCGGCAGTCGTGGAACGGCTCATATGCAGCCCGAGTAAACTGCCAATGCTTTTGGGTCAGGCGGCAGACAGTACGCGCCGTATAGTCAATGCCCACATTCGAAAACTGCCAAGATAGCGTACACCACTGCAACATTTCTTGACGACTTGAAGACGCATCCCGATATAGGCGCCCTTGATACCCGTATTGATACAACATGTATTGTAAAGACGAACGAACGCTCCAGGAATCAACTGGTGATTTGGGCTGAAGTTCACAGCAACAGTGACGATTATTGTCACCTATTGTAAAGTTGAGAGCCTATGTCATCACTCCAGCCCTGCAGAACACGCACCGCACTATAAGTTAATAATCCAAACAGGACTTCTTTACTCATTTTCCAGAACGCCCAGGTCTTAATAATACAAATTGTAAGTCGAAATTGGGTACATATCGTGGAGGTATACAGTCTCAACGTCTGGAATATCGAAGTCCTTGGCAACGGTTGCGCATGGCCATGGCTGGGTGCTATATGCGAAGGCGTCAGATTGTCTCAAGATTGCTTTAATCAACAATGTGGGAGGACGCACGGAATTGATCATATGCCAATATGCACGAACACTATGCGCTGGTCCAAGGGCATGTCCTCGTCGCAAGCCAACGACTGAACCGCTCGGCGAAGCACTCGGGCAGCTTGTTTCGAATTCATTGTCCCATCCCCACAAAAGTTTTTGTAGAATGCTTCGACTAAGCGCTGCACGGTACTATCGTTGACTTTCCATAATGTCCCAATAACGCTCTTCACCCCAGCAAATTGTAGGGCAGCCACTAGGTGTACCACTTCGTCTGGAGTAGTCGAGTCACCGACTGCAGTTTCACAGGCAGAAAGAAATGCAAATTCATGCCGAGACAGATCTGCTTGTGTGATATCGAGAAGTGAAAGCGGTTGGTCTCGCATGAGAAAGGCCGAATTGAAGGGGTCCTTGTATTTGTGTGTCCCGTGACACGAAAAATGGAGCCAAGTATTATCTTGCAGCGTGCGTAGTGCCCTCAATTTCATTGCATCAACGCTCGTTATCTTGGTGAAGGAAACAGCTGGGGGTAAAAGACTTTGCACTAATTCCAATTTAGGCTCCACACAATCCAAAGTGAATGAAGCACCGGCTGGGCGATTCTGACCAATGGCAGCGAAGGACACTGACAGGGACCTGTCATGTCTGCGAGTATTTATCAGTGCAGTAAGCGATGGCGTGTATGAAGAGATATAGAACTGCGATAGCAATCGTCCACCTCGCCTGTACGCGCCAGCAGCGTGCAATGGCAAGAAATTGAACACAGACGTCGGGCACCACCATATTCTGGAACCTGGTCGTGCAAATTTGTGCAGATTTTCGACCACCAGGCCGACGACGATGTCCCACAACTCCATCAAGACCTTTTTCAGGGCTTTCTCCGCTTTCCTGTTTGAGTTTGACCACCAATGTCTGGAGTTTCTCAAGATTGGTTGGGAGTTGAATGCTGGTCAGAGGTTGCTTGTGCGGGACAATAATGGCATGGCAAGACAACTTGCTTGCAATGAGCACAATGATAGGCCCATCACAAGCTGCATCTTGAAGATCATCGGAGAATAAGGGGGGAAGGAGGGAAGCGAGAGAGAAGCCCTCGATCTTCTGGATTTCTTCTACAGCCCTATTCCAGTCCTTCACTAAACGTCTGTATTGGGCTTCTTCTGCTTCTACATCGACTCTTGGGGTTGCTTCTAGATCGTTCGCAGGAGGCTTATCGAGGAGGGAGCTGAGGTCTCTGAATTTCTTCACCAGGGCCGCTGCGTGATCGCCGCATGTCTGGAGGCTGTCAAGAGGTGTGCGGAGTCGTGTCATCTGGGTCCAGATGATAGTCCTGCCTTGTTCCAACAACTCAACAGCGCGACACACGTCACCACTATGAAGAGCACACGATGCAGCATCCATGGCAAGCGTTCTTGGGAGATACTTCATGATATTGTGACGAGACGATACTGAAGCTGTCGTGGACATGTAAGCGTCCAGAAGTTGCATGGAAGTTGCACAGGCCTCCAGCTCAGTGGCATGCGAATGTTGGCTAGCATGATGAACCCAGCGTAAACTTGCTCACAGGTGAGATAGCGAGCCTCTGGAGACAACATTTGCTGTTGCCTTGAGATGATGCATTGCAGAATTCAGACTGTTAGTATCTTCACCCACTCCGATGCCGTCAAGCCCCGAATGATGGAATGATAGATAGACCTCAGCTAGCGAGTTACATATGGACTACTAATTGACGAGGATCATGTTGCATCAACAGAGTCAATGCACAGCGTAGGTTCTCTCGTGACTCGTCGAGGTCTTCTCTATTGCCTCGGAGCTCAAAGCGGGAGGAGAGCTGAGTGGCAAGGTTAGGTAATGACTTGTACCGACCTGCGTGGCCGACCGGGTGCAAAGCCAGCGCTTCCCTGTGAAGTGCGATAGCCTGATTCAAATCTTCGTCGTTGCCTCGGTGCTTAAAGCGGGAGGAGAGTTGAGTGGCAAGGTTATGTAATGACGAGGACCGATCTGCGTGACCGACTGGGCGCAAAGCCAGCACTTCCATCTGAAGTGCGATGGCCTGATCTAAGTCTTCGACATTGCCTCGGTGCTCAAAGCGGGAGGAGAGTTCAATGGCAAGGTTATTTAATGACGAGGACCGATCTGTATGACCAACAGGGCGTAAAGTCAGCACTTCCCTGTGAAGTGCGATAGCCTGATCTAAGTCTTCATCATTGCCTCGGTGCTCAAAGCAGGAGGAGAGTCGATTCGCAAGGTTATTTAATGACTTGGACCGATCTGGGTGACCAACCGGGCGCAAATCCAGCACTTCCCTCTGAAGTGCGATAGCCTGATCCAAGTCTTCGTCATTGCCTCGGTGCTCAAAGCGGGAGGAAAGTTCAGTGGCAAGGTTATTTAATGACGAGGACCGATCTGGGTGACCGACCGGGCGCAAAGCCAGCGCTTCCCTGTGAAGTGCGATAGCCTGATCCAAGTCTTCATTATTGCTTCGGTGCTCAAAGTGGTGTAGAGACTCGCGTTTCTCCAAACTCATATGGACCAAATTCACGCTTTTTCACGACGCCCTCGATATCCATGCAACGCACCTTCTAAATCCGAAACGCGCCTCGAATGCGACAAACGCGCTTTCGCGCTAGCGCGTTTCTACCCATACACACTTTCGCATATCAAGTATCCACATTCCTGCAGTTGCGCATCCGTAATAATGCGCTTTGTCGTGTTTCGCGTATCGTCGTGTTTCGTCTTAGTCGTGTATTGTCGCGTTTCGTCTTAGTCGCGTTTAGTCGTGTTTCGTGTTTCGTCGTGTTTCGTCTTAGTCGCATTTAGTCGCGTTTCGTCGTGTTCTGTCACGTTTCGCCTTTGTCGCATTTCACGCTGTCGCGTTTTTTGTGTTGCGTCTCGCCTTCTCTCATCCTCGCATTGACGAACCCTCACTACTGCCTGCTCGCACCTTCCTGGTTACGCACATATGCGCTTTGGCGCGTACCAGCGCATTTGAGCGCATTACATCAGACTTCATCGCACTTCCCTAGGATCCGTCGCCCGTCCTCCGCATGTCCTGTCCTAGTCCTCCAAGGTCCATCGGTGCGTGCTCTTTTCACTAGAACTCATATGGCGTCACACAGGCACTTGTACTTATCACTATGTTACATTATGGACCCTGACTTACCTCATCACCTACCTTAGTGCTCCCTACTCAGTTCCGAGGCCTGGGAACTCGCTTAGCATACTTACACGTCATCATGTTCATTTTTACTGTTACTTACTTCCGCTCCACTACCATCGAAGTGTATAGCTCGAGTTTCTATCAGAATACACTGGTTTTCCTTCCTATTGGCGCTTTGACACCTTTAAGTGTCTATTTCTACATCTATCAAAGTCCTGATTCCCCATTTGATTGTCATCTCTACTCGAAGCACTCCATTGTGATCGCACGAAGTGCGCTTTGACATTGAAGTGCGCTTTTCCGCACTTTCCACCTTATTAGCGCGTTTAGGCACCTTTAGCTAGCGCACTTTGCTTTGGGTGCATTATTTGCCTCAGAGTCCCATTCAGACTTCAAGACCAAACCGCTGTAGAGACTCGCATTTCTCCAGGCTCATATGGCCCAAATTCACGCTTTTTCACGACGCACTCGATATCCATGCAACGCGCCTTCTAAATCCGAAACGCGCTCCGAACGCGACAAACGCGCTTTCGCGCTAGTGCATTTCTACCCATACACACTTTCGCATATCAAGTATCCACATTCCTGCAGTCGCGCATCCGTAATAACGCGCCGTGTCGCGTTTCGTCTTTATCGTGTGTCGCGTTTCGTCTTTATCGTGTGTCGCGTTTCGTCTTTATCGTGTGTCGCGTTTCGTCTTTATCGTGTGTCGCGTTTCGTCTTTATCGTGTGTCGCGTTTCGTCTTTATCGCGTTTCGTGTTTCGTCTTTATCGCGTTTCGCGTTTCGTCGCGTTTCGCCTCTGTCGTGTTTCGCCTTTGTCGCATTTCACGCTGCCGCGTTTTTCGCGTTGCGCCTCGCCTTCTCTCATCCTCGCATTGACGAACCCTCGCTACTGCCTGCTCGCACCTTCCCAGTTACGCACATATGCGCCTTGGCGCGTACCAGCGCGTTTGAGCGCGTTACATCAGACTTCATCGCACTTCCCTAGGATCCGTCGCCCGTCCTCCGCATGTCCTGTCCTAGTCCTCCAAGGTCCATCGGTGCGTGCTCTTTTCACTAGAACTCATATGGCGTCACACAGGCACTTGTACTTATCACTATGTTACATTATGGACCCTGACTTACCTCATCACCTACCTTAGTGCTCCCTACTCGGTTCCGAGGCCTGGGAACTCGCTTAGCATACTTACACGTCAGCATGTTCATTTTCTGGGACTCACTCCCGCTCGACTACCATCAGAAAGTGGATAGTTGAAGTTTCTAGCAGAAGACACTAGTTTCCATCTAATTGGCGCTTTGACACCTTTAAGTATCTATTTCTACATCTATCAAAGCCCTGATTCTCCCATTTTGATTGTCGCCTCTACTCGAAGCACTCCGCTGTGATCGCACGAAGAGCGCCTTGGTATTGAAGCGCGCTTTTCCGTACTTTCCGCCTTATCAGCGCGTTTAGGCGCTTTTAGCTAGCGCTCTTCGCTTTTGGGTATATTACTTGCCTTAGTGTCCCCTCCAGGCTTAGAGGCCGAACTGCTGGTTAAAGATCCCCCTCACCTTTCTATAGAGGAATCTTTCTCAGTCGCAATCCCCTTGGGACGATTTTCCACTCGTATCCAGAGGAGCACTTGAGAGCCCACTTCCCACTCTTCCCCCTAGCACGCAGCTATCATTCCTCGCCCTCAACTGGAGCCCACCGCGAGGGGATCATCTGAGAAAACTAGCAGGTCGCTCAGGCCTACTAAGGGACGCAAAGAAAGAGAAGAAGCCATCGAAGAATTCAATATCGCATTTTCAGACCCGCGAGTCGCAGAAGCAGAAGAGATTTTTGTTCCAGTTCCGCGAACCCGTGCAAGACACGTCTCAGAACCCATACGCCCAGACCTCTCACTCTTCGCACCAAACCCGCGCACTCCCACTTCGCCTGTCACGCCTTCACCCAAGGATTCCGCGAAAGGCGAATCGTCCGACGAGTTTGAAGCGCAAGATAACCCAAGGAACCTACCCCCTGGTGCTTTCATTAGCACGCCCAAGCGCATAACCCCCTCAAGCGCTAGTACCCTCTCCTCATTAACCGCGCTATCCGCTTTTAGTGAGATCTCTCATAGACCGTCAGATGCGCTGTCCAGCGCAATCCCTACGAAAGAAGCACAGCCAATCAAGCAGGAAGACATCGACGCTCCCCCTGCGCACAAACTGGTCAAATCAAGGAAAGCAATGATCGCCCAAACCGGTCAAGCTCTGCCACTGCAGCCGCAAGCGCCTGTTTTATTCATTCCTTCATCTCAACCCGTTTTACCCACCCATCCACCACTAGCAAACATGGCAGCAGTACCCTTCAGAATGCCCGGCCGCGGCACCGATAAAGCGCCCAAGTTCGATGGCAGAGACGAAAGCCTATTGATCTTCATAGACGATTATGAAGATTTAGCCGATCAGGCAGGTTTGGCGGGCGCAGATCGCATCAAAGGCCTCATAAAATATGTGCCTACTAAGGATAGGAACCTTTGGGCCGGCATACCCGAGGCTAGCCAGGGCAACTATGACGCCTTTATTGTTGTGGTCAAGGATATGTATCCAGGATGCGAAAGCGATAAGCGCTTCACAGTAACTGACCTGCAGACGGTCACGCGCAATCAGAGCCGCGCGCCAATGACGAGCATAGAAGCGGAAGGAGAGTATTACCGGGAGTTCACTAAGGTCGCGCAGCCGCTCGTAGCGAAAGATCGCGTTGGCAAGGCAGAGATGAATCGGCTCTTCTTAGAAGGGTTCCCCAAGGATGTACAACAACAGATCCACACCCGCATGATGATCAAGTTTCCAGACCACCACCCAGACGATCCTTACCCTATCAAGGACGTGCGCTTGGCAGCGCGCTTCTTGCTCCCAGGTATCGCGTCAGTGGCCGCGCTACCAGCGGGCACGCAAACTTCGTCGCCCTCACCTCGGACTGGAAATGTGCAGGCGCCGGCATACCAAAAACCTACGGCTGGAGCGGTCGTCAAACAAGAATATCAGGCCACCCGTAGCGGCAGCTACGCGGCTCAAGGATGCATGTTTTGCGGGAGCGGCGAACACTTCCTTAGCCGCTGTCGCGAAAAGACGGCGTATATCGATGCGGGGAAGTGTAAGGTAAGCGAGGAGAGCAATAAATTAGTATTGCCAAACGGTAGATGGATTCCGGGGAAACCACATGAAGGGACCCTGAAGGAGCGACTTGATCGTCATATTGCCACTCAGCAGGCAGACCAGGCGCTTCCAAGCGCAAGCGTAACCGCTGGCATCTTTGTCCGCGCTGATCCTGATGTCGACGCAGTGATAGAGGTTGACTCGTCCGCATTCGTGCACACTATCACAGACGCAGATTCGGAGGTGGACGATGAAGATCTCGAAGTGCAGCGCGCTACACAGGCGTTAGCGCTAGCAACCGCAAAGCGCGATCAGAAGAAGGGCAACGGACCTTACGCCCCCAAAGGAAAAGCGGTGCGATTTGACGGAGTGGAAGTTTCCGGTGAGCCTCGCGCACGCCCTGGGCCTGCGTCTAGGCAAGCCTCGGACGCGGTAGAGATAGTCTCTCCTGCCGTACAAGCTTCGTCAGACAAAGGCAAGATGCCAGAACGCGCGAAAACCGCTGCGACGCCCTCTACGTCAGTTGCCAAGCCAAAAGAGACACCCAAAGTATCTGAGGATGCATCATCGTCATCTGTTAACACGCCCATTGCGTCATCGTCGTCTACCCACTACAGGAACTTATGCGCACTTGAGGACAAGGAGGCCGATAAGCGCATAATAGAGCGCCTTCTTGAAAGCAGCATCAATATCCCCGTGCGCGAATTACTCGCTGTTTCACCAGATGTCCGCAAGCAATTCCGAGACCTCACAACCAACAAGCGCGTCACCGTAGGCACGGTATCTGTCAACGAATTATCCAGCCAGGAAACGACAGAGGAGTTCATGCAGGCATTTGACCAAGATCGGTTGCGAAGCGACGATGGCAAAGTTGTCGCAGATCACTTCGCACCGTTGCGCTGCATTCGCGCTGCTACGATTGGAGGGCGGGTGCTCACCTGTGTCCTCGATCAAGGTGCCGAGGTAGTGGTGATGCCGAAGGAAGTCTGGAGGTCGCTAGGTGTAGGCCTGCGCGCAGACCATCGCCTTAATATGGAATCTGTTAACACATCGAAGGACTCAACCCTGGGAGTTGTAGAGAATGTACCACTCGACTTTGGCGCCGGGCCAATGTACTTCCAAGTGCAAGTCACCGAACGCGCAAATTTTGAGATTCTACTAGGGCGACCATTCTTCAAGCTCACTGCATGCCGCACATTTGACCTCCCCAACGGTGATCAAGACATCCTGTTAACTGACCCCAACACGCGCAAGGAGCTGCGCCTTCCCACACAGCAATGGGTGAAGCGCTGTGGACGTTGTGTCAGTGGACTTTCATGTCCGCAACACGCGCCGAAGCCGTGCAAGGAGGAGGAGAAGGGTTTTTAGATATCGATGATCTGCAGAATTCGCGGGGAGACACCTATCTGTCTTATATGACCCCGCCCTGGTATACATTTCCATCTCGCAAGGACGCTCAATCTTTCTTTCATTCCGAAGCGCAGCGCGAAGCGCGCGCGGAAGTTTTGCACTCACAGCTCCTAAGGAGCAACATCGCATCAGTTTCTGTATTCTCGCACAGCTCGTCTTCTTTATCCGCCCCGAATTATTCCGTCATCATCGCCATCGCATTATTCGGCGCAATACGCGCATCTGACTTCGACCCGCTCCATTTTAGACAAGGCATCTATAGAGGCTTTCTCATCCGTCTATTCTTATGATTGTTCGCGCCACGCATTGGTCTATAAGCCAGTGGCGAAGAAAGTGCGCACAGTGCCTACTACTATGCCACCAGAGTATAGAGTAGTGCGCCAGTTACCCGCAGATCCGTTGGCCAGCATGCCAGAACTGCCAACTCATCCTCCTGAATTTATTCCAGGTGTCCGCTTCACGCGCGAACGCGCTGACAAGCTCGATCTAGATCCCGCGAAATGGCTATGGCCAGAAGAGCTCAAGCTTATCCGCTGGCTCGTTCGCACTCATGAGCTCGCGTTTGCGTGGGGTGCCTCAGAACGAGGTCGCCTCAATGAGACATATTTACCGCCTTATAAGATTCCGACTGTACCACACACCCCCTGGTCTCAGCGGAATATCCCTATCCCTCCCTCAACGCTTGGCGAAGTTATACGCATTATCAAGGAGAAAATTACGTCAGGAGTATACGAGCCATCCACTGCTGCATATCGCTCGCACTGGTTTTGTGTCGTCAAGAAGGACGGAAAATCACTGCGCTTAGTTCACGACTTACAGCCGCTTAACGCGGTTACGATTCGCGACGCCTCGGTGCCACCCTTTGTCGAGCACTTAGCAGAGTCATTTGCAGGATACGCCGTGTACGGTATGATGGATTTATATTCAGGATACGATCAACGCGCTCTTCACGAGGAATCGCGCGATTTGACTACCTTTGGAATGCCACTAGGCCCTCATAGGCTGACGACGTTGCCACAAGGGCATGCCAACGCTGTACAAGTCTACCAAGGAGATACTGCCTTTATCCTTCAGCACGAGATCCCGGATTATATGTCGCCCTTTGTAGACGATGTGCCCATCAAATCGGTGAAAACGCGCTACCAGCACGCGGATGGCTCTTATGAGACTATACCTGCCAATTCAGGCATCCGTCACTTTATATGGGAGCACTGCATTGTGCTCAATCGCATTCTTCAGCGCCTAGAGAACGTAGGCGCCACCATATCCGCTGCTAAATTCGTTTTAGCCGCACCAAGTGCAATCATTGTTGGACACTTGTGCACGTTCGAGGGCCGAGTGCCTGAGGACTCCAAGGTCCAAAAGATTCGCAATTGGCCAGAACCCAAGAATGCGACACATGTGCGCGGGTTTCTGGGCACCTGTGGAGTCTTGCGCATTTTCATCCGTAACTTCTCACGCATTGCGCGCCCATTGATCAATCTTACCAAGAAAGACGTGCCCTTCGAGTTCGGACTTGAGCATCGGGAAGCGATGCAAACACTGAAGGACTCTGTATTAGAGTCCCCCGCATTGCGACGGCTGGATTATGAATGCGGACGCGAGGTCATTCTAGCAGTTGATACCTCGGTCGTTGCGGTGGGATTTATCCTACTGCAAATAGGCGAAGATGGAAAGCGCTATCCAAACCGTTTCGGATCGATCGCACTCACTGAAGTTGAGAGTCGCTACTCCCAGGCCAAGCTAGAGCTCTATGGGCTCTTTCGCGCCTTGCGCGCAGTGCGCGTATACATATTTGGCGTCACGAATCTTACGGTCGAAGTAGATGCGAAGTATATCAAAGGTATGATCAATAATCCTGATTTGCAACCCAACGCGACCATCAATCGATGGATCGCGGGTATTCTCTTGTTTCAATTTGTTCTGGTTCATGTTCCCGCCGCGAAACATGCAGGCGTTGATGGTCTCTCAAGGAGACCCCCAGTTGATGAAGATCCTGCGGAGGATGATGACCACGAGGATTGGATAGATCGCGCTTACTCGTTTGGGTTCGCGCTCCTGAATGAAAGGACGCACCAAGTCGACGCGGCGTGCGCGCGAATAACGCGCACAGTGCATAGCGCACCATACGTGCGACAGCCTACGCGGTTACCAGACATGCGCGTTTTTCTAGATATTGTCGAACCCGAGTCAGTAGAACCGGAGATTCCCCGCTCTTCAGCAGCACAAACTTTGGACAAGAAAATAGTTGCAGCCAAACGTTTTCTTCTCTCGCGCGAAAGACCCACTGACCTCGCAGATGATGAATTTCAAGCATTTGTCAATTTCGCAGCACGCTTCTTTATCCTAGAAGATAATCTCTGGTGTAGGGACCGTCAAGGGAAACACCAATTGGTGCTTGAGCCCCAGAAACGCTACCGCATTTTGAAAGAGGCGCATGACGATCTAGGACACAAGGGTATATATGCCGTGCACGCGCGGTTGCTCTTGCAGTTCTGGTGGCCATTCATCACCGACGACGTCAAGTGGTACGCACGCACATGCCACGAGTGCCAAGTGCGCCAGATGCGCAGACTCCATATCCCACCAACAGTACCCATCCCAGGAGGTCTATTTCGCAAAGTGCACATTGACACGATGAAGATGCCCAAAGCGGGCGGATTCGAGAATATTGTGCAAGCGCGTTGCGCGCTCACGTCATATCCAGAATGGCGCATGGTACGCAGAGAGAATACCAAAACGCTGCAAGCGTTCATATTCAAGGATCTCCTATGCAGATGGGGTCCCATTACCGAAGTGGTTACTGATAACGCACCCGCCTATAGACTCGCTGCAGATGCACTCGCGGAGAAATATGGAATCCACCCAATCCGCATTTCGCCTTATAATTCTCAGGCCAATGGTATAGTCGAACGCAGGCATCTTGATGTCCGGGAGGCCATCATGAAAACTTGCGAAGGGGATGATTCCCGCTGGTATCAGGTCGCACCCTTGGTATTTTGGGCGGAGCGCGTTACTGTGCAAAAGGCGACAGGCTTATCGCCTTATTTCATGGTCCATGGCGTTGAACCTATCTTTCCTTTCGATCTAGCAGAAGCAACATTCTTGGCGCCCTTGCCAGAGCGAGGCGCGTTTACCACCATCGACCTCATAGCATGGCGCGCGCGTCAACTGCAGAAGCGCATAGAGGATCTAGACGCTATCAAAGAAAAGGTGATGAAAGCGCGTTTCAAATCCGTCCGCGATTTCGAGAAGCGCTTTCGCGCCTCGATCAAAGACTACGATTTTAAGCCTGGCGCGTTAGTGCTAGTGCGTAACTCAAAGGTCGAGTACGAGCTTAGCAAGAAGACGAAACCGCGGTATCTGGGACCTATGATTGTCGTACGTCGCACGAAAGGAGGCTCATATCTGTTGGCAGAGTTGGATGGCGCAATCTCAAAGCTACGATACACCGCATTTCGCATCATTCCCTATTATCCGCGCAGCAAAGAGCGCGTTGCGGTAACTAGCATCACGGGGATGAATGACGAGAGCCTAGATCGCATCGCGCACGATGATGGCATAGAACCAGATGAAGAAGATCCCGAGAGCGCGTTCGACGAATAGCGCATAGTACCTTTTCCCGCACATCTCCCGACACTCTACCCGTAAATATCCTCGACCCCATACACGACTCCCTCCAGAAAACATATAACGACAAAAATAACAAAAACATCATATAACAACATAAACGACAAAAACAAAATGTCTCCGCACAATACCCTCCGTTTTACCCCGGGTTTCGTCCGGTGATCTTTCTCTACTCTCTAATTGTCCCATATAACGCGCATTGCCATGAACATATCACCAAACAAACTCTATCATATACCCATACAAACCACCAAATTATACATAGCTAAGTATTGATACTGTAAAAGCACGCTTCTAATCAACCATAGACATTCAATTTCGAATGCGCGCAGCCGTGCCGCGCACATTTTACTATAGACATTATGCGCACTTTCCACTAATCATCAAACGCGCAGGGCTTACGAGAGGAATAGATGAAGGAAGATGCACGAAGAAGACAAGGCGGGCGCGGACCCGCGCAATCATTTGTATCATTTCATTTCTCGTGACTTTCCCTTACGCGCGTACTTACATTCATGAGTTCCTCTTACAATATTTAGGCCCAGTGGACTTGGACTCAGGATGTGGACATGGACATGCGACGCGACACAAGGATGGCATGGACTATTTATTCTACAGGCGCATTGGCGCCAACAAGAGAAGAAGCTATTCTAAAGGCGCTTTGGCGCCAGGATCACAGGATAGGCTAATCAAGGAAGGCGAGTTCCTCATCCAAACGCACCAGTTCAGTAGACATGGAATAGGCCTGGTGGGACAACGCGATAAGGCGACTCTGTTGAGAGCGCCCGCTTTGGCGCATCGAGAGGATGATGCTCTTGAGGTGTTGATTCTCAGCCTTGAGGCGCTCTACCTCATCCTCAACCTCTTCAGCGCCTTCAGTAGGGACACTGGGCGCGTTTCCCTTGCCCTTATGTACCTTAAGGGCACGGGACGGCAAGGCCTTGACGGCGCAAATAGGCACCTCCTTCTCCTCAGCGTCGTTCTCAACCTCAGACTCCCCAGACCCAGACGTAGTGATGTCCATAGCGTCTTGGGCAACAGACAAGATGGTGCGACGAATAGAGCCAGAGGCCGACGCAGCAGGGAGAGACGCATCTGGCGCAGATCCTGCCTTACGAGGCGCAGCATTCTTCTTAGTCTTCTCTGTCAGCACAAAGTGCTATCAGCAAAGGCCCCGGCAACAGCATCAATCACACTCACTGCGCGAAAACGAACAAGGCTTCTTGGCAGACGCGCAACGAGGGCAACGCTTTCCAGGCTTGCCATCACAAAGGACAGTGAGAAGCGAGCAACGCGCGCAACTGATTGGTGGAGGAGCAGACTTGCGCGTGCTAGATCGCTATATAGGACTACATCGGTTGAGGCGCACAAGGCCAGACAAACCATCACCTACCACCACAGCTGGCTTCTTTCCACTATCCTTAGGCACAGGAAGGACCACCTCCGCTACCAACTTCTGCAAAGAGCGCGAATGGCGCGGAGGAGTCTTAGGGAGGGGGTCTGCGATGGCCTTATCCTTCATCTCGCGAATCTCCCTAGAAAAAGCCTTGTAAGCGCGTTTACCTTCCTCCAATATCTCCCTTCCGGCGTCGTCGAGTTCCAGCTCCACCTTTAAACCCGCCGCTGTGGTAGCAGCCTCCCCTAGCTGCGCCTATAAAAAGCGCGCTTAGCACCCAAAACGACCCAAGTAAGGTTACTCACCTGCAGCTTGCTCCATCCACGCGTCCATATCTCCCTATCCTCAAAGAGCTCAGGGCTATCATCAGGAATGATCTTCACCTGAGTATCCAGCGCCTGCAGAAGCGCGACCCAAGCACGGAGGAGTTTTTGTTCTTCAGTCTCAGGGACCTCTTGTACTGGCGCGCTGGCCCCCTTAGCTGAAGGACTAGGGCGCATCTCAGGCTCGGGAGAAGGAGAAAAAGAGAAGCAAAGCAGAATTGAAAGGCGCCATCTTGTTGAAAGGCAGGCTACTGATGAGATGGATAAGGCAGAAGAAGAGAAGCGCGACGTGTTTTTTCCATCGATCCAACCATTCTTCCAAAAATGGTAAATTCCCGCGATCATGTGATTTTTGCCCACCATCTCTCTAAGTCCAAATGCGCTACAACGGACTGACTGGGGACAGTCAGTAGCCAAGTCCCCGGGAGATGTAGAGACTCGCATTTCTCCAGGCTCATATGGCCCAAATTCACGCTTTTTCACAACGCACTCGATATCCATGCAACGTGCCTTCTAAATCCGAAACGCGCTCCGAACGCGACAAACGCGCTTTCGCGCTAGTGCATTTCTACCCATACACACTTTCGCATATCAAGTATCCACATTCCTGCAGTCGCGCATCCGTAATAACGCGCTGTGTCGCGTTTCGTCTTTATCGTGTGTCGCGTTTCGTCTTTATCGCGTTTCGCGTTTCGTTGCGTTTCGCCTCTGTCGTGTTTCGCCTTTGTCGCATTTCACGCTGCCGCGTTTTTCGCGTTGCGCCTCGCCTTCTCTCATCCTCGCATTGACGAACCCTCGCTACTGCCTGCTCGCACCTTCCCAGTTACGCACATATGCGCCTTGGCGCGTACCAGCGCGTTTGAGCGCGTTACATCAGACTTCATCGCACTTCCCTAGGATCCGTCGCCCGTCCTCCGCATGTCCTGTCCTAGTCCTCCAAGGTCCATCGGTGCGTGCTCTTTTCACTAGAACTCATATGGCGTCACACAGGCACTTGTACTTATCACTATGTTACATTATGGACCCTGACTTACCTCATCACCTACCTTAGTGCTCCCTACTCGGTTCCGAGGCCTGGGAACTCGCTTAGCATACTTACACGTCAGCATGTTCATTTTCTGGGACTCACTCCCGCTCGACTACCATCAGAAAGTGGATAGTTGAAGTTTCTAGCAGAAGACACTTGTTTCCATCTAATTGGCGCTTTGACACCTTTAAGTATCTATTTCTACATCTATCAAAGCCCTGATTCTCCCATTTTGATTGTCGCCTCTACTCGAAGCACTCCGCTGTGATCGCACGAAGAGCGCCTTGGTATTGAAGCGCGCTTTTCCGTACTTTCCGCCTTATCAGCGCGTTTAGGCGCTTTTAGCTAGCGCTCTTCGCTTTTGGGTATATTACTTGCCTTAGTGTCCCCTCCAGGCTTAGAGGCCGAACTGCTGGTTAAAGATCCCCCTCACCTTTCTATAGAGGAATCTTTCTCAGTCGCAATCCCCTTGGGACGATTTTCCACTCGTATCCAGAGGAGCACTTGAGAGCCCACTTCCCACTCTTCCCCCTAGCACGCAGCTATCATTCCTCGCCCTCACCGCTGGTTATAGATCCCCCTCACCTTTCAATAGAGGAATCTTTCTCAGTAGCAATCCCCTTGGGACGACTTTCCACTCGTATCCAGAGGAGCACTTGAGAGCCCACTTCCCACTCTTCCCCCTAGCACGCAGCTATCATTCCTTGCCCTCAGCAGGAGGAGAGTTGAGTGGCAAGGCTATTCAATGACGAGGACCGATCTGGGTGACCGACCGGGCGCAAAGCCAGCGCTTCCCTGTGAAGTGCGATAGCCTGATCCAAGTCTTCGTTATTGCCTCGGTGCTCAAAGCGGGACGAGAGTTGAATGGCAAGGTTATTTAATGACTTGGACCGACCTGTGTGACCAACCGGGCGCAAAGCCAACGCTTCCCTGTGAAGTGCGACAGCCTGATCCAAGTCTTTGACATTGCCTCGGTGCTCAAAGCGGGAGGAGAGTTGAGTGGCAAGGTTACTTAATGATGAGGACCGATCTGTGTGACCGACCGGGCGCAAAGCCAACGCTTCCCTGTGAAGTGCAATAGCCTGATCTAAGTCTTCGCCATTGCCTCGGTGCTCAAAGTGGGAGGAGAGTCCAATGGCAAGGTTGTTTAATGACGAGGACCGATCTGTGTGACCGACCAGGCGCAAAGCCAGCGCTTCCATCTGAAGTGCGATGGCCTGATCCAAGTCCTCCTCATTGCCTCGGTGTTCAAAGCGGAAGGAGAGTTGGGTGGCAAGGCTATTTAATGACGAGGACCGATCTGTGTGACCGACCGGGTGCAAAGCAAGCGCTTCCCTGTGAAGTGCGATAGCCTGATCTAAGTCTTCATCATTGCCTTGGTGCTCAAAGCAGGAGGAGAGTTGATTCGCAAGGTTAGTTAATGACGAGGACCGATCTGTGTGACCGACCGGGTGCAAAGCCAGCGCTTCCCTCTGAAGTGCGATAGCCCGATCCAAGTCTTCCTCATTGCCTCGGTGCTCAAAGCAGGAGGAGAGTTGAGTGGCAAGGTTATTTAATGACGAGGGCCGATCTGGGTGACCAACCGGGCACAAATCCAGCGCTTCCATGTGAAGTGCGATAGCTTGATCCAAGTCTTCGTCATTGCCTCGGTGCCCAAAGTGGGGAGGAGAGTTGATTCACAAGACCATTTAATAACTTGGACCGATCTGTGTGACTGACCAGGTACAAAGCCAGCGCTTCCATCTGAAGTGCTATAGCCTGGTCCAAGTCTTCCTCATTGCCTCGACGATTGAAGCGAGTTTGCAGCATTATACACAGATTACCCAGCAATGGCCCTCGGAAAGCATGCCCAGTGTTGTAGTATCCCAGCGCATCATAATGAAGGGATATCACTTCATCTAAGGCACGGGGATCATCTTTCTGCAAACACTGCTCTGCTCGATGACCAAGTTGATCCGGCGATAACGGAAGCATGGGTGCGGCGGGCCGCTCTTGCCCAAGATCATTTCCATCTATGCTTTCAGCAGAATACAGAGCAGGTGTTTCGATTGCAATCAAAGCTGCTCTGTAAATGTGACTGTTGGTGTGGCAGACATCGAGGACTTTACTCAGTAATTCTCTAGCTGCATCAGCATCTGTTTGAAATCCCCGTTTCGCGAAGCAAGATTGCAGAGCAATGGCAAGATGGAGCTGGGTGATGGTTCGGTCCAAATGATCAGTGGGACGCAAATCAAGGGCATCTTGAAACATATTGATAGGGATGTCGAGGTCGAGGTGTCTTCCGTCAGCTTGGCAACTGACAAACTTTGCGGTAGCTAGATTGAGCAGTGCTGCAGGGCGGTAGGGATGGTCCATGGGGCAGAGATCCGAGGCGCGTTCAAAGTGGTTAATGGATTGGTCAATATCCCTACTGTTCTGCGTCCTGCGGTATCGCACGAGAAGACGATGTCCGGCATCCGTCTTTAGTACTAACGCATCCATATCGCATGATGTAAGCTACACGTTACAAGCTCTCAGGATCAGAGTGCTAGACTTCATTGATCACTCACAGTAGTCATGGGGCAAAGAACTGCGGCGTCATTTTCATCGGAAAGTCACTGCTCCAGTGTCATGAACAGTGAAGTACATGGAGATACGACTTCCCCCTGCTTGGGCTGAAAGAGTATGGCTATAATACTCGTTAACATCTGTCAGATGTTATTTGCAAAAAACGTTACTAACGATGTGACCTTTCACTGCGATCCAGCAATTCTCGGACGGAGATCTCGAATGTGCGGAGGACTTCTCCGTGACCGAGCATCGGACCCAATTCAAATGAGGCATACACGCTGACCCGGACTTTAGAAGATGGATCGCACGGCCTAGAGTCATTCTCAATACGTGCAGGAAAGATGAGATTGGGGACAACATACAGAATTATGGGCTCGGTCCATTCGACGACAGCCTGGTCTACATGTACATGTTTGTTGCTCGTCTGGCATTCAGCACCGCCTGTCTTTATCACCACATGGAAGCCAGCGGGGATACGTCGGAGACCGAGAGTGAGATCAGTCGTGTGAATGGCTTGAGGGAAATCGTTAATACGAGCTGAGCGGAGGTAAATATCACATACCAGTAATAACGACGTGTTGCACTGCACTGAAGTGTATCTCCTTTGGATCCTGGGGTTGCTCTGGGAGGCTTGGCTCCACAACCAAGGCTTTGAGGGTATCATTGTGCGGGTCTGGCACGAAGTCTGTCGCGAAATGAAACAGCAGAGTAATGACAAAATAAAGTGTGGCCAGAATTGCTTTGAGAAATCATCGGTACGTGCTGATCAAAGATAGATGACACATACTATTGACAGCGACTTGTAGCATTTTGCTAATCACAAGGTTTGTCTGTCCTGGGTCCTTGGGGCATTCTGGGTGGCTCGGCTCCTCTCCCAAAGGTGGAGAGTATTCACCAAAATGACCAGGGACGAAGCTTGACATATGGCTGGGGGATGGACTCAAACTAACACTTAAGAGTAAGATTTGTGCTGGAGATCACGAAAAATGTAGTACCTGTGAGACCCTAATGGACTATAAAGCAGGAAATTACAGCATGCATGTGGTATCCACACCGTACAGCGCTGATGTCAGCAGGATGGAAGCGACTCACAGGATATCAAGCAATCCTGGCCATAGCCTCATTTACAATGGGCATCGGATTTGTATGGAAGGGGCATGTTGTGGGGTCACTGATATTAAGATCGAAATGAGGAGGCTGCGAGGCTCAAGAAAAGCAGGGCATTCCACACTTTCGCAAGAATATTTAAATTGCGAAGCACTGCCTGAATGTCATGACAGGCTATCCAATAGCTACTACCATCAAACAACATGTTGCGCGAGAAGGACAAGAATCTGTGAACTTACTTTCGATATCAAATTACATAAAGGTCGAAGCGGCCAGATCAACCCAGGGTAATATTACGTCATCGTTGCCCACAGCTGGAGCGCCAGCAACGTTTTCAACTAGCAGGCATATGCATTCGCTCTTCGTTGGTTTTTACGTCTCGATACCTCGAGCTCATTGCCACAGCCACCAATAAGAGCCCTGTCCAGCCTTCCCACTAATCCTCTTCAAGCTGTTCATTTCCGCAGATCTTGTCACATTCATCGACGACCCTGCTACCGGTGGTTAGTACTACTGTACGATCGAGGTCCAGATTTCCCGGCAGTCGTGGAACTGCCTATAGGCAGCCCGAGTAATTATCAGTATCACTGCCAATGCTTTTGGGTCAGGCGTCAGGCAGTACGCGCCGCATAGTCAATGACCACATTCGAAAACTGCCAAGATAGCGTACACCACTGCAACGTTTCTTGACGACTCGAAGATATAGGCGCCCTTGATACCCATATTGAAACAACATGTATTGTAAAGACGAACAAATGCTCCAGGAATCAACTGGTGATTTGGGCTGAAGTTTACAGCAATAGCGACGATTATTGTCACCTATTATGAAGTTGAGAGTCTGCAGAACACGCATCGCACTATAAGTTAATAATCCAAACAGGACTTCTTTACTCATTTTCCAGAACGCCCAGGTCTGACTCAGAATAACTAGCAAGCCTGTCAAAGAAGCGTGATCTACCCTGCTCTTGACAAGGACGGCGACGAGTGCAGCTCATACCTTCCGCAGCGACGATACTTATAATTCTATGAATAACTGAAGTGAAACGTAACTACTGGACGCGATGACTTGCTATTTTCCGCCAGACTAGGAGGGCACTTTGCGTCATGCAACCAGCTTATCATTAGTCTAGAAGCTAGTTATTCTGTATACTTACCAAACCGGGTTGACAGCTAAGATAGCCATTAATAATGCACAAAGATAAGGATCATCAAAGTGGCAGTCAATCCAGCGCCTACGAAATACAGATATCGAGATGTGATACGGGTTATGTAAGCCCCCCAGTGTACGTGATGACAATAACAGTCATAGACTCACCACCGTCGCCGAATCTAGTAGCGTCCGGCTCCTACTCACCCCTCTGCGCCAGGGTGGACTCTCCATGTCATCGCTGAATCTATCCACTCCCGGCTAAGCAATGACACCTACCAGTGCTCCATCCATTATATGGATACGCTCCTTTAGAATTTTCATTCGTACATGCTTATGGCTGTCATGACGTAATTACATAATTGATTAGGGTTCGAACTCCGAATACGAGCGTAACTTCGAGTACGCATCGAGTGCGAAGTCATCACTGCTGTGACCCGTCGCCGAATCTAGTAGCGCCTGGCTCCTACTCACCCTCCCGCGCTCGTCTGCGTCAGGGTGGACTGTCCATGTCATCGCTGAATCTATCCACGCCCGGCTAAGCAATTGCCAATGACACCTACCAGTGCTCCATTCCACCAAGCAGATTATTTGGATGGGCTCCTTCTAGAAGCCACTAACCTATCACAGGTATCATTCTTGAGCTAGCCTAATACTACCGAAAGCTGATCAAATGCAAGGCAGTGCTTTAGTTCTGAGCAAGAAGTCGCGGTATGTCATTTAGATCAAATCATTGGATAGCTGGCCTGATAATCACGTCAGGAATTCTGTAATGTTGATCCCAAAGATTATGAAACATCATTGAAGAGAGCCACAGCTTAGAACATTTACCAAGGTAGACCGACGTGCCAGTGGCTTCTGCCTTTGTATTTTGACTGATCGTCCGTTATAGATTGTGTTATGATTACATCAACTGCCTAGTACTCCTCGTCGAAATGTCAAGTCTCATCCATGAAGTTCCCTGCAACATCTTGACGACATGGTTGGACAGTTTTCTGGCGAGCCTCCATTTCGATCGCAAACTGCTAGACACCCTAGTATTCTTGAATGTAATATCATGACGGACGAAATCTCTAGCGTCCCAGATCTGACAATGACCTCCACCGTAGGCCCCCATCGCAGACCCTTCAAAGACAACGTCTCTATCATCGCAGAGACAGCTTGGTCTCAGAACAAAATATATGTTCCTTCCGAAACCGAGGAAACGAATTGAGGTTAAGCCCGATATTCTCATGGCTATCACGACCTTTATGCAAGAAGGCGAACAATATGAGTTGCCTGATGACTTATGAGGACTCTACGAAGTTCGACATGACCCCGCTGAATCCTGATAGATTCCAGGTACTCCTTTTCCTTTCAATTGGGACGACTTGTGGGCCTCCATAGAGATGATGTCGGGAGTTACGGCTTATCACCGTTACCTGACATGGTACCAGGCGTCCGCTAGGAGTACGAAACGCATGAAGCACCCAGATTCTTCCAACAATGAACTGTCGACGTCCAACACGCGTTCCCCGCACCCACCCTGACACCATTGCCAGCGATGGCTCTACACAACGCGCAAGTGGAAACATGTCCCGAGGCAAGGGTAAGGCCCGCTAATCTGTTTATGCGACCACCTCGCTCTCTGTTCACATTTGATAGATCTCTAAGCTACGTGTAACGTAGCCTCGATGGTCCTCTGATACACCATTGTAGTCACCTACTCGCTGTCCCCGAAGACAAACCCAAGCGTATCCTACATTACTAGCACTTTCTTACTTTCTTTCAGATAATCGGACCATTTACATAGACACTCCATCCCACATAATGGACAAAAGTTTGCAGCGTCGGCGAGACGGAAACGAATATTATTGATACAGCGAGATTCAACTGTATAGTCGGACAGAAAACCGAAAGGAGGAAAAACAATCACAACTGCAGTTAACAAGGCATGAACGAACGAACGGACGGAGTAAGAAGCATATGTATCACTAGCCAACTACAAAATATACAAAAACATTCGTCGCCCTCAGAATCTGAAGCATCAAACGCTAGGCACCATCTGAAATGATACTTCCGATACTCAATACATTTTTTTTCCCCTGCAGCCCTACCCGCGCATCATGCTCGAACGGCGCGCGCGATAGCTGGATCAGCGGGTATGACCCTCCCCCTCCACCTGGTGTGTTCGTATTCCCAGCCACTGGCGACGACGCGTCAGATGAGGACGACGACGAAGAAGACGCGTGTTGGCGGGCTGAAGATGATGGGTGTTGGCGGAGCGGTGCGAGTTGGATGAGCCCGTGCTCGCTCGCTGAGGATATGGAGTTAGGGTTGTTCCACGTGGATGCGGGGGAGGCTACGGGCCATTCGTGGTGAGAGCCTGCAGTTGGGTGCTGGGAGGGCGGTGGTGGTGGGAGGTTGTACCCTCCAGCGGATGTAGAGGCGTATGTGGACTGTTGGTGCCGTGGATAGGCTTGTTCGTTAGAGGAGCTGGCATACGATTGGTTTGCGTATCGAGAGGGGGCTGGGGAGGTAACGCGAGGGGGTTGAGCCTGAGAGTGAGTCGAATTGGATGGTTGGTAGTAGTCACTTGCGCTGGAGTTTGGGTAGGGCTGTTGATGGTTGAACTCGTATGATTGGGTATGAGATGGTGCGGATGATGAGTAGGGTTGTGGATTGGCGGGAGGGGTAGGTGTGTTCCATGATGGAGTATGACCGGAGGACTGACTGGAGGGATAGTAGGATGGTTGTCCGTGGTTGTGAGAGGGTCCAGATGAGGCAGCTGGAGATGACTCATAATACGAATCACCATTTGGGCTAGCATATTGCTGCGGCTGCTGGGGTGGATATTCATACCTAGCCTGTGATTGTGAGTACGGCGTGGTTGTAGGGTATGTGTTGGATGGAGGCGCTCCATATTGCGACTGAGGCCGTGATGATGAAGGGTATTGTGGGTGAGATGAGGAAGATGGATGCTGGTATTGGTTGGAGGTAGTTGGCTGACTGTTGTATTGTCCAGCGGGGGGATACGATTCCTGGAAAGTGTTGGATGCCGCGTTCTGACCGTCATAACCGGATGGATAAGCAGTGCGCTGCGACGGAGGATCATACGCTGTTCGTGAGCTTTCGTATCCCCGTTGATCTGGCTGTTCATATGCTCCTCTTGAAGTCTCGAACGGCGGTCGTTGATTGGGACCGCCTTCGTAAGCAGACCGTGGAGAATCAAATGTGGAAGTGCGGGGAGCCTCGTATGCTATCCTGCCTTGCGAGTTAAACACGGGGGCAGCTGATGAAAAGGGTGCAGTCTGCGCAGGAGGGTGCATAGTTTGCCGTTGAGGGACGGCGGAGGACGTAGATGGAATGGATGGCGGTGCGGTGCGGGAATTCTCAAACGCGGCTGCTGCAGGCGGGGCTATCAGTTGCGCCCCAGGTGGCGGGGGTATGGAGCCTCCCAGACGCGAGCTTTCATAGCTGGCGCCGCGAGGTGGTGGAATGGCCCCACCTGGAGGAGCAGATGCAGGGTGAGTTGGCGCAGGAAGTTCGACACCACCCGGTGCACTTGGAGCACCTAGCATAGGATCTAAGCTCGTTGATGATGGCCATGCGGGTAGTCCTACTAGTGACCCGGTAGGAGTCTGCAAGTCTGGTGCGCCATTGGAAGACACTGTGCCGTGCCGAGGACGTTTGGAATGACCGGTAGAAGCAACTGCAGAAACCGGGGTATCGTTTTCATCTTCTTCATTATTGTTGTTCTCGGTATCGATTGGAGCAGCGAGTGCAGCGATAGGACGCTTGCGAACACGGATATCTTTGCGGATCCGGATCTTGATGCCTTGGTCGGCTAGCGAACATGAAAGAGGTGTGGACTCTGATGAATGCAGGTCAGTTATGCAATGAACGATCAACCAAGAACGAGGCGTTGAGGAATTAATTTCCATAATTAAACCTTACGCTCACCTTCCATACCGGGGAATTTCTTTGCAGTGTAAACATAAAATGGTGCAGAGTATATTGATTTACAGTGGCGAACGGTGTTGCTGAGGAGAAGTTAAGGACGTGGGTAGGTGGTTAGTCAGCGAACTCACCCGACGACTTCGAAGAGGCTGAGCTTCAAACGATAAGAACCCTCAGTTCTAACGCTTAGGTCGGGGAAAACAAAAAAGCCAGCATCCTCGTTGCGATTTTCGGTATCTTTGAGGTGGTAGAGGGACGAGACAACTGAACCTGTCGTACACCGTGTTTTCCCATCCTGACAGCTGGCAATCAGAGAGAGATTACGGTAACCGTAACATACTGACCTTTAGCCAGTGTAGTTCTGTGTCGTCGTCAGGTTTTGCCAGGCTTGCAAACATGAAGTAATAAGGGTTTTGAAGGAAGCTGTGAGCATAGCTTGGGTCTGAATCATCGCCATCTAAACGAGCTGGAGAAGGAGGTTGACGAGTTTGTGGGTCGATGACACGAAGTTGAATGATGGGAGGTGGGTCGATTGGACGTCGGTCAGCTAAGCGAGGATTAGCTCGTGTGAGAAGGAATAAAGGCAGTTGACTTACCTCCTACACCACACATACGGGCCTGTTTTGGCTCCTGCCTGACGGTAAGTTCATATTCCCTGTACAGACGATTTAACATGTTAGTAAAAGAAAAAGATGATAGGCAAGGGAAATAGAAGTAATAAGTTATCTGATACGAAGCTGAACGCGGTGATGAACCTTTTACTTTGATACCCTTAGTAGTATACTGGGCGGAACCGTAGTATTGGAACGATCTTTTCCTGTGTGAAGTGGGAGCGCTGGAAGAGGACTTACAATCTGTCCCTCTCATGATATCCTCTATCACGGTCAGCGTAGCCATAGCCAGCTGTGATAGGTTGATAAGTCGCTGGGTCCATTATTGTAGAGCTCGTCGTCGTCGTCGATGATGACGATGAGTATCTTGATAGGACCTTTGTAAAATCGATGGTCTATTGTTTTTGCTGGCTGGGAACCACGTTCCAACCCAAACCTGGTTTATGACATGGCAACCCAACAACACGGGTCCCACACACGTGGCAATCAGTCCTAGATTCAGCTCCTTTCAGTTCTCACCTACTCCCACCAGCCCTGAACCCTGTCTACTTTCCGTTCCACTGGTCCTCATCGAGTCCTACAATGACAAGCGATCTAGTGGGGCTATTATAGCAGCTTTTTTTACCTTTAGTCGAGAAAACAAACTGTAACCTTATCATCATCTCCTTCTTGATGACATGTTACTACTAAACTTTATATCTTCAGGTCAATATTGGCTCGTTGATCTTCCCATCTAAGCTGTGTCAGACCACAGCTAAGCATGTGTTGCACCATCATCGGACCGCACACTTTCCCTGCAACGGATCACTTCTACCACGCGACACGAACCAAATCTCACCCCGACGATCAATTCGCATATTGGCGAACTCCGCTGATTCGTAGGTACCAGGATATACATTAAATCGACCTGGTTCCTGGTACTCTCATGGCTGACCTACTTTAGCCTACTTTGCCGTATGTGCCCCACAGTAGCCCACAAGTCCTCATTTGTTCTCAACAAGTCCATGGACTCCGCGCTTCATCGCGTGCTGGCGTCATATCGGCTCACATCCGGGTTTTCGATATTTTGGGTCCTACAGATATTCAATATGGCAGATACACTTCTAGACACGCCGCAGGCAAGGGTGTAGTCTAGAACACTTCGTCTCCAAGGCTTTTAAATTTCGATGGTAAGCAATCGTCTACAAGCCTCCTTGATACCTTGCTGTTGATAATTGATCGTTCCATCGTAGGCTCGTTCAGTGACTAATAATACTTTCACGACGGCTTACGCTGATCATAACCGTTTGTCCAGGATATCCAATCGAAGCTTTGTGAATCTCGCGACCATCAGTCCACAGCATCTGAATGGTACGCTTCCCTTGATCTCAGTGTTCTACTTGATGCTTATAGTAAAGATCACGCCCGGGCAAGATGACCGTTCCATTTCCATTGAGTAGGCAATGTTTGTCCGTCTACATTAACCCTTCTTCTTACTACGTATGTACTGTCCATCATAGGGCTTTGCCCCAACGGACAATAAGCAATTGATTTTTTTTTAAAAAAAACCCCTTCCTGACAAGCACATTTATTAGCCATGAAAAAGTTTGGGACCAGCAAACCGATCACGATTCCTTCATATCGTCGTTCAAGCTCAGCGTTAACGTTCACTAATCACGCTTCTTTTGCCACTGCTTCGAACATTGTGCAATAAACGAGGCAAAGCCAGTGAACCTCGGAGTGCATGATATCTAGGTTAAGAGAAGATTCCCTTGTCTATCAGGTTTGCTCAGGGGAGGCGATGTCATGTGTTAAGTCGAGTACGATATATGCGATACACCCGACAATGACAGCGGGATACTAGTTAACTTTACCTACCTCCGCCGCGTTGACTGGGCTCGCATATTCGATGTGTGGTGGCCTGGTGGGAAATAATTATTCCTTCGTAGGGTCGATTACAGACTATCGTTTTCTCCGAGTTCGGCTCATTGGGGGGTAGTAATTATATTGTATCCAGGGAGGATAAACTAATTTCTCAGGTCGTTTCAAGCTAAAGCTTTTCATGGTTACAGTACCTCAGAACGCTAGGCAAACTACAGTGGCACGGACCAGTAATAACTCCATACATAGTACGAGTGAGCACCCGTCACAATCTCGTAGGTACTGCAGAAGTCAGACACCAGCAAACACACGAATCATATACAAAAGAAAGAATCAAGTACTAAGACTTCTCAACCGTGTCCCATGGTTCATCCGACGATAAATCCACAGCGGGCAAACTTCCCCGAAGATCCGACACTTCTTTTGCACTGATGCTATATGATTGCAGTAGCTCAATCAATTGATCCAACGAATCCCGGTCTGCGCGTTTCCGCAAGGTCAATTGCCTGTCGTACTCCTGAATCCGATTATGGACTCCTCCGCTCATTGGTGAGTGGTGATAGGACTTGACCGCAAGCTTGATGGCTCTACGAGACAATTCCTGGTTTTCCGACAGGAGATACAGCGTCTGCAACACAAGAGTCAAGTCGATGATGTATTCCATGAAGCGCAGGAGCGCCGCGCAGCTGAGAAGAGACCCGTCATTATTTTCTTGATAAAGGATGAGGAGCGGGACGTACGACTGCTGATACACCTCATGAACCCATTTCACGACCACAACACTTACTGCTATCGGCACAATGATGGGGGCTGCAGGTCCGGCCAGGGCAGACGCGATGCCCGCAATAGTACCCACCATGGAAAGCCCAAATTTACTGTGAATATTGGATGAGATGAAATCCGTTCGTCATATGAAAGGCTGCCCTACAGGTTCTGGTTGGCATCAGCAGTAGGTCCAACGTCCAGCTCATTGACCATGTTCGTCATCAATCCCCTGAACTCAGGGCTGCACAAGTACTGCACGTAAGCCACGTCAGAATATGCGACAACTAATAAAGAAGAGAGAGCTATTACACCATTAGGGTCTTGAAAGTTCACACATTGACAATGTCAGTGTGAAGCACGTGCAGACAGTACCACATCGAACGGTTCTTGAATGGTACGCTCGATGTGAATGTCTTCCAGTATTCTGAAAGACAGACGGAAGGGCTCAGTTTATGTTCGGTAATTCTAAATACAGAATCGAGACAGACTTCTCTTGCCAACCCTGACGCTGCGTAAATCACAAGATAAGAAGATTGAAGCAAGCAAGGCTCACTCTATTGATGCCTTTATTTTGAGGCCAGGATCCACTCGCTGAGCGACGGACGTCATCACCGACGCGTCAGTCCCAACATGCTTACAGACGAGTTCTTCAGTAGTTTGGATCAAACGGGCCAACGTCTCCTCGTGGTTTCCATTTGCTGCGCTCAAAGTTTCATTGAGGACGGAAATGACAACCACAGCAGTACTGAGACCCACTGGAGACCGCAACATGCGGGATATCGGACCCTGCAAATTTCTCCAGGGGTGCGACGCAGACTTCCTGTAGCTTGCCTTTTGCGTTTTTCTTGGTGAGTTCCTGAATGTCCGCCTTGCTCAGACCCTTGAGAGAAGACTTGTCCAGAGTTCGCTCCACGCGGTCGAGGAGAGTGTCGTATTTAGTGAAAACGGCGACAATGGGAACTTTGACCTATGTTAGCTATGACCTGTCGGAGCGGTAGCAATCCATTAACGTACTGTTTCCCAGCTTCCCCTCGCGCTTCGATGTGAGAAATTGCTCCACACCGGTCTCAAGTAAACGCCCGCCTGCGCGGGGTATTTCAAAGCAAAGCCTTGCATGTCGTCAGCTTGCCGTACAAATGCATTAAGACGGAGGCCCCACCAAACAGCATGCAACTGATCTTTCAAATAAGGCATTTTTCTTCGATGGTCAATGAAATCTCGGACTATTTTGAGGTTGTCTTTTTCCCCTGGTTCAAAACCTTTGCTGTCGTGGAGAACAAACTTGTTGTTCTGCAATGAGATGAACTCGTGGTCGATACTGACCTCGCCTGGCTTATCGTGCGAAGCGGTCTATAGACAGTATGAGTAGCTGTGCTTGTTGAAATGTGGTGCTCAACTCACCGCGTTTTGTACTCCAAATGCGCGGTTGATCAGTGAAGACTTGCCAACGCCAGTCTATTGGAAGTACCGTGTCAACACTGGCCTGAGATCAGCGAAAGCCTGATACCTTTCCTATCACCAGAATTCGGAACCTTAGAGGCATCAGCTTCTAGAATGTCACTTTCACGGTGATCCAGACTCACTGAGGACACTTCCGGAATATTTCGTCGGTAGTAGGCTGTAGCTCCAGGGTTTCGTCGGAAGAAGAGACAAGTTACTCGGCCTGCTAATCTACGACTTAGATGTTTTCCAATACAAGACATGGAACTCTACTTCGGTTGTTGGATTCCTGGAAAGTTCGACGACGATGGTGATATTTTTATGAGCCTTATTGTACTCTGTGCATGTGAGGTTGAATCTGTGAGCGATCAAGGAGAGGGCGCGATGATTATTTTTTTCACCTTGTCTTTCTCTTGCACTACATACACGGACATGTCTTCCGGGTCGAAAACAATGTCTTCATGCTCTGTATTCATCCCAAACCATTTCTTGTACCGCATCTGCAAAGAAAATGTATCCCCAAGAGAAAGCCTCCAATGATAAAGTGTAATAGTACATCAGGTGGGTACATCTGTTGGGGTCGAGACCCTACATGGGTGGAGAAAACGTTTGTCGCAAAGCCTTTCCTGCCCCGCTTTCGATTGGCGTGGGCGACTTCCGCAATTCAAAAGACTCCACGTTTTTTTTCGAGTTGCTGAAGTCGACGATGACACCTATTGGATACACTTAGTGTGATTGATGATTTCGTCGATGAAGTAACTTGTACCAGAAATGTAGAGGGGGCAAGCCGGCGTTGAAGCGTCAAGGGAACTAGCCACTTTGAATCCTGATTCGAGTTAGGGAAGACTCTCCTTGGTCACGGTGAATTTATCTAGAGGATAGGCCATGCGTTAGCTACGATGAAGGGAGGTATCCTCATGTAGCACCCAGACCAAGCTATTCACGCACACGCCCAGCTCGTTATGAAATGGAAAACATGTGGGTCAAACGGTGTACCTGTGTCGGGCTTGGGATTGGTCGAGGGTGTACTACCAAAATATGTATGGAGGCTTGGAGCGACCATAAGTACTGTGACTGATTCGAATTGAACATGATGGTGAGAGAAGGAAGCACGGTTAGTTAGCGCTCGTACAAAGCCACCGTGCTTCTTCAGCCGGACCAGCTGACAGCTGTTAGCTACTAGTAGTACTACCACCCTTTAAACTTTAGGCACGGACCCTGTGACTTGAGATCAAGATGCCTGGATCAACGGCTAGTATTCAGGTGCTTAGATGGTCTCCGCGTTGCCCACTCTTACGGATCCTCGTGAACCAACACAGATAGTATTCCGTCACTCCGAATAATCAAAGCCACATTGACGCCAACTCCTCATGCACATGTATGCCTCATGCAGTATACAGCTCCACATACCCATTGCCCATCCGTTGCAAGGCCCAGGTAGAACTTTTTACGGACTGTTGCAATACCGTGGCATGTTAGAGGGCTCGAGTCAAATATAGTAGTCAGTACATGATATTAATAGAAGACGCTAACATACTACAGTGTGATAATCGGTCGTAAATCCAGTTACATCGTACAAGCGAGCACCGTCAACAACCGCGTCAGTACTCAGACACAGCCCACGCGCAAAACCATCCACAAAAGAAAGAATCGAGTGCTACGACTTCTTGGTGTCCCATGGTTCGTCTGATGACAAACCCGCAGGGGGAATCTTTTCCCGAAGTCTGGACATTTCTGCCGCATCCATGCTGTAAAATTGAATCACCTCAACAATTTTATCCAAGGTATCACTATCCGCGCGTTCCAGGATGGTCAATTGCCTGTCATACTCTTGAATCCGAGTATGGACCTCTTCGCACATTTGGGAGTCGAGGTAGGAAGCAACCGCGAGCTTGATGGCCCTACGAGTGAGTCCCTGGCTTTCCGATACGAGATAAAGTGTCTGCAATACAAGTGTTAAGTGGACGATGTACGACATGAAGCGCTGGAGCACCGCGTGACTAAGGAAGAAGTGTCAATACTCTTTCGCTCACGAAAAAATGGTGGTGCGTACGATATCTGGTATACATCGTGAACCCATACGGCGAGTACAGCACTTGCTGCGATTGGTACTACGATGGGGGCCGCAGGTCCTGCCAGAGCGGACACGATGCCCGCAATAGTGCCCACCATGGATAGCCCAATAGTACTGTAAACATTCAATGAGATGGAAATCCATCTGTCACGTAAAAGACCAGCCTACATGGTCTTAGTGGGATTGGGTGTAGGTCCAACTTCTAGCTTATCGACCATTTTCACCATTAATTCCCTGAACTCTTGGCTTTGCAAGTACTATCCACCAATCATGTTAGGATGGATGCGACGACGACAAATAAGATAGCCATTACAAGATGAGGGTCATAGAAGTTCCACACATTGACGATGTCAGTGTGAAGCACATGTAGACAATCCCACGTCTTGCGGTTCTTGAACGTCGTGCTTGATGCAAGCGCCTTCCAATATCCTGCAAGACATGAATATTTAGATTGTATTCAGCAATTATCAACGTGAAACTGGGACAGACTTGTCTTGCCAACCCCGAAGCTGCGTAAATAATGAGATAAGAACGAAGCAAGGAAGGCTCACTCAATTGATGCCTTGATTTTGAGTCCAGGATGCACTCGTTGAGCGATGGAGGTCATCACCGCTGCCTCGGGCGTAGAATGCAGACCGACACATTTTTCAGTGATTTGGATCAGGCGTGTGAGCGTCTCCTTGTGGTCTTTATGGGCTGCGATATTACATTCAGAGGCACGCATGAACTTGTCGGAGTATTGGTACTCACTAGAGATCTCAGCGTGGGGAATGTCAGGCCCTGAAAATTTCTCTAGGGGTCCGATGCAGATTTTCTGCAGCTCGGCGTCTGCTTTGTTCTTGGCGAGTTCCATGATAGCTTTGTCACTCAATCCATTGAGAGAGGTTTCGTCTAGAGTTCGTTCGATGCGGTCGACGAGCACATCATATTTAGTGAGAACGACAATAACAGGAACTTTGACAATGTGAGTTCCAATGTAGCAGAAAGATAGATATCGATTCACTTACTGTCTTCCAGCATCTCACTACTTTTTAATTTCAGGAATTCCTCTGTTCCCGTCTCTAGCAAAGCTCCGCCTGCACAGGGTATCTCAAGGCAAAGCCTTCCGTGTATTGGTCAAGTCCATCATAACGGAATGGTCGAGATAGAATCCCTACCAAACAGCATGCAACTGGTGTTCCGGAGCAGACATGTTCCTCCGACCCTCAATGAACTCTCGGACTATTTTGAGGTTGTGTTCGTCCCCTGGTTCAAATCCTTTGCTATCGTGGAGGACAAACCTGTCGTTCTGCGGTGAGATGAACTCATCGTCGATGGTGGCCTCGCCTGGCCTATCGTGCGAAGCGGTCTATTGACAGTATGAGTAGCTGTGCTCGTTGAAGTGTCATATAAAGCGCACCGTTTTGTCCACCCCGAACGCGTGGTTGATCAGCGATGACTTGCCGACACCAGTCTATCAAAAGTACGTCGTCAACACTGGCCTGAGATCAAAGAAAGCCAGATACCTTTCCTATTACCAGAATTCGGAACCTTGGGAGTGTCAACCTTAAGAATGACACTTTATGATCATCCTGACTCACCGAGGACACTTCCGAAAAATTTCGGAAGTGGTAGGCCGGAGCTCAGAGGTTTCACCGGAAGAGACAGACTGCTCAACCTGCTAATCTACGAGTTAGACGGGTTCGATGCTAGATGTGGATCCTTACTTCAGTTGTTGTATTGCTGGAAAGGTCGACGACGATCCTGATTTTGTTATGAAACTTATTGTATTCTACGCATGCGAGGTTGAGTTCGTGAGTGATTAAGGCGAGAATACGATGATTATTGTTTCACCTTGTCCGTCGCTTGCACTATACACGCGGAATATGTCTTCAGGGCTGAGAATAATGTCTTCGTAGTCGGTCTTCATCCCAAGCCATTTCCTGTACCGCATGTGTAAGGAAAATGCATCCCTATGAGAAAGCTCCCTACAGAAAAAACATCAGGTGAGAACATGCGTTGAGGTCGAGTATTTACATGGGTGTAGAAAACGTCTGTCGCCAAATTTTTCCTGCCTGGCGTTCAATTGGCAAATGCAACTTGCCAATCTGTACTTCAGCAGACTGTACATTCCTTTTCGACTTGCTGAAATCGACGGTAATACCTATTGGATGTAATCAGCGGGGTTGACGATACTGCGTAATGACAAGAATTGAATACCATAGATGTGGATTGAGGCGTGAGCCATGCTGATTTGGTTTAGGGAAGAGTCTACTCTGAGCTACTGTAAATTTATCTAGAGGTTGAGTGCAAGCCATGCGTCAGCTGCGAGGAAGGGAGGTACCCTCGTGTATGCCCCATGATGCACCCAGTGGATATTGATGTAGCGCGAACACCTGCCAGGCTGCCAACATGACCTTGCAGTTGTGATCAATTACAAAATAGAGCTGGTGACTCGCTGGGATCCATTGGGATAAATGAGGGAGCCAGCTGTCTTCCCGAATTCTAGTAGCTGCAAGCTGCCTGCCAGTGACTACTACTATGGAAGACTCGCAAATCCATGGCGGCACGAACTCGGAGGGCACGAAAGCTCACTATCAGTCTGGTCCAACGATTCTAGATGCAACATCCCTCAGCATGGCCAGATTCAAATATGTACATAGCAGCTGGTGTATGGCAGGCTGTACGCCACAGTCAACTAATTTCAAATATGGATCTTAATTTGCCATCGCAGCCACTTCTGAATCGATGCAAGGACTCGTCGTGTACGCCTCATGGTAGCTATATATACCATCATTGCCCTAAGCCCACTGAATCGGGGTCAGATATTTGCCGGGTGCAGTGATCGATTATAAGGCCACACCAACTATTCTCCGTCATATCTACCTTCCCCATGGATCCTTCAGAGATAAGGAAGAAAATCGGTCGCTTTCGAATCCTCGTTATAGGAAGACGGAATGCAGGGAAAACTACAATCCTCCAGAGAGTTTGCAACACACGGGACAACCCAGAAATCTATAATGGCGCTGGAAAAAAGGTGTGTCTCATGATGCGAGTAAGAGGCTGGTACTGAAGACTGACCCATCGACATCAGATCGATGCTGCAGTTTTAATTGCATCCAGAGAGGTAATGTTTGCGCTTAGTTGGTAGCATGAACTGACACGTTCTCAGCGTGGAGAGCACGATATCGAAAATGAAATGGTGTTTCAGAGCAACCCAGGATTCGTCTTTCACGATTCACGCGGGTTTGAGGCAGGCGGCGAATCCGAATTCAACAAAGTCAAGGCATTTATCGCGGATCGTTCTAAGAAAACCAAATTACAAGATCAACTCCATGTCATATGGTAATTGCAACTAATCAATCACGACATGCGCCATCTCACAGTTTCAACATAGGTACTGCATCCCAATGGATGGGGCAAGCAGATCATTCACAGAAGGCGAAAAGAAATTTTTCTCTCAGTGTGATACAGGAAGGAGTAAGGTTTCGCATCCGAGCATCGTTGATGTTCGACTGATGCGCAGAATTACAATCCTCAGTTCCAGTGATGGTATTGTTCACAAAGTTCGATGCCCTCTACGACGTTGCATATGCAGAGCTAAAGTCAAAGGGAGCATCGTTGAAAGGCGCTAAAGAACAGGCGCCAAAACACGCCGAGGAGTCATTTGCTAACGGTCCACAACTGAAGTTTATCAACGATGTCCGATGGCCTCCAAAATGTCATGTATGCCTTCCTAGTAAGCTGCTTGATGGTGGTGTTACGATACATGATGACCGTTGATCCATCAGACATGGACGAGGATGTTGCAGATTGCGGGCCACTCATCGAACGCACGGCTGCAACTCTGGATAGTGACGTACTGCAGCAATTATTCGTCTCGACCCAGCAGACCAACTTGGAACTCTGTATGAAATATGCAGTTGAGAGGTAACTACCCATGGCTTCATTTACCTGCCGCAAGCGTTCGCGACTGATATTTTCCAGAACACTCCCAGGACTTTTTGACTCTGCTAAGAAAACGGGTCGTGAGGAGATAATAGGAAAATTAGGCGTCTGGTTTCCACATCTCTTGGTAAGATTATCAGAAAGTTTGAAGGTTGCTCTCATTAACATTGGGTGTTTACTTGCAGGTAGTACGTCTGTTAATCCTCCTTCGAGCTCGAGCCATGCTGATCCAAGTCATTGCCCACTGTTCGCAGCTCGTGAGTGTCTTGATCCTCTTTCGAGCTCGAGCCATGCTGATCCAAGTCATTGCCCACTGCTCGCAGAATGTGAGTGTCTTGATCCTCCTTCGAGCTCGAGCCATGCTGATCCAAGTCATTGCCCACTGTTCGCAGGAAGTGAGTGTCTTGATCCTCCTTCGAGCTCGAGCCATGCTGATCCAAGTCATTGCCCACTGTTCGCAGGTCGTGAGTGTCTTGATCCTCCTTCGAGCTCGAGCCATGCTGATCCAAGTCATTGCCCACTGTTCGCAGTATGTGAGTGTCTTGATCCTCCTTCGAGCTCGAGCCATGCTGATCCAAGTCATTGCCCACTGCTCGCAGAATGTGAGTGTCTTGATCCTCCTTCGAGCTCGAGCCATGCTGATCCAAGTCATTGCCCCACTGTTCGCAGAGAGTGAGTGTCTTGATCCTCCTTCGAGCTCGAGCCATGCTGATCCAAGTCATTGCCCACTGTTCGCAGGATGTGAGTGTCTTGATCCTCCTTCGAGCTCGAGCCATGCTGATCCAAGTCATTGCCCACTGTTCGCAGTATGTGAGTGTCTTGATCCTCCTTCGAGCTCGAGCCATGCTGATCCAAGTCATTGCCCACTGTTCGCAGGTGTGAGTGTCTTGATCCTCCTTCGAGCTCGAGCCATGCTGATCCAAGTCATTGCCCACTGTTCGCAGGAGTGAGTGTCTTGATCCTCCTTCGAGCTCGAGCCATGCTGATCCAAGTCATTGCCCACTGTTCGCAGGAGTGAGTGTCTTGATCCTCCTTCGAGCTCGAGCCATGCTGATCCAAGTCATTGCCCACTGTTCGCAGATGTGAGTGTCTTGATCCTCCTTCGAGCTCGAGCCATGCTGATCCAAGTCATTGCCCACTGTTCGCAGTGTGAGTGTCTTGATCCTCCTTCGAGCTCGAGCCATGCTGATCCAAGTCATTGCCCAGTGTTCGCAGTGTGAGTGTCTTGATCCTCCTTCGAGCTCGAGCCATGCTGATCCAAGTCATTGCCCACTGTTCGCAGGAAGTGAGTGTCTTGATCCTCCTTCGAGCTCGAGCCATGCTGATCCAAGTCATTGCCCACTGTTCGCAGCTCGTGAGTGTCTTGATCCTCCTTCGAGCTCGAGCCACGCTGATCCAAGTCATTGCCCACTGTTCGCAGAGAGTGAGTGTCTTGATCCTCCTTCGAGCTCGAGCCATGCTGATCCAAGTCATTGCCCACTGTTCGCAGGATGTGAGTGTCTTGATCCTCCTTCGAGCTCGAGCCATGCTGATCCAAGTCATTGCCCACTGTTCGCAGTTCGTGAGTGTCTTGATCCTCCTTCGAGCTCGAGCCATGCTGATCCAAGTCATTGCCCACTGTTCGCAGTATGTGAGTGTCTTGATCTTCTATCAAGTTCGGGCATTCCTGATGAAAGCATTTGATAATATCTTCAGGAGGTCAGTACATTGATCCTCTACCGACCTTGAGCCACTAACCGACGACATCGTTGATCCATTGACAGCTTGTGAGTGCGATCATCCATTGTCGACCTCCTGCCTTGCTCACCGATGCAATCATTGATCCATTGTCAGGGTGTGGGTGTATTCATTCTCTGTCACCCTCGCGCAATGCTGAGAAAACATGTTGCTGCTCCGTTAACAGATTGTGAGTTGGTCGATCCATCATTTTGCTCGAGCCATTCTGACTGGAGACATTGCCCATCCGTTCACAGGATGTAAGCATATCGATCCTCAGTCGAATCGGAGCATCACTGACCAATGAAATTGCTGATCCCCATTGACAGTCTGTGAGTGTGTTCATCTGCCGTTGAGTGCGAGCGTTGCTGATCGATGACATCGTTGATCCATTGACAGACGGTGAGTCTCCCCACCCCCCAATCGAGCTTCAGCCCTGCTCACCACTGACAATACTCATGCACTGACAGAATGTCAGTGTGCTGATCTTCCGTCGAGTTCGAGCTTTGCTTACGACTGAAATCGCACATCCCTTAACAGGCTGTGAGTGTTTTAATCTTCCAGTGTTGCTCACCGACGACATCGCTCATCCATCAATAGGAAGTTAGTTTCTTCTTCGTCCTTTCTTGATTTCGGGCCATGCTGACCGAAGATTTTACATATTGGCAGATTGTGGGTGTATCGATCCTCAGCAGAGGTGGACGATATTCAACTTTCCACCATGATTTGACCAGATGTTTGCGAATCATCGTGAAGAGATGGGGTCTAGGTTACTCTCTGTGGTATGTCCAATTGGTCACAGATTGTACACACATTTCTGATGTTGCGAATGTGCCAGGCCTCTGGCTCATCACCCTTGGAGAATGATGTTCAGCTCATTTCTGGTGAATTTTGAGGTTATGTTACGATGAACCTGCTTATTATTAGTCATTTAGCTGCTGTCATTATCTTCGAACATTCTTTCTACGTTTTCGACAAGCGGCGCTATCTTCAGGACAAGCAGAAGTCTGATCCTTCTTTTGATGTCGCTTGCGAGCAGTACATTGCGTCTCCACGTGCAGCTGCTGTCAAGAAAGATGTGAGGGCTGCCGCCCGCGCATATAATGAAGCTGTGAGGAGCGCTGTCTACACGAATCAAGGAAACCTGCTTGCTTGGATGGCAAAGTTACCGTTTGAACCCTTCAAGAGGAAGGCGAAAAAAGCAATTGAACGACCTCAGGAGGAGCAAGAAATCTTGTGCTCTCAGGCGGAGGGGGAGTTAATCAAGACTATTCTTGAAATCACTTTCAATAATCGCTTGCGTATGTTTAACCGTCATGTTGTGGCAACATCCCCGCTGATCTACTTGTCTTCAGCAAGACCTTAATGCAACACAACGTAGATTGTGTTCCAGTGAGGTGTGTAGATGAGATGTCGTCAGGTTGTGGCAGAAATCCCGCTAATCTGCTTGTCTTCAGCAAGACCTTAATGTTGGGCGATACAATACAATGTGAATGATGTTCCGCTTCGGAGTGGAGCTGAGGTGTCTTGGCAGTAAATGCGGTTTTCTTGAATGGTCTGTCGCAGGACGTGGAACTGTATGAAATTATTGTATGATCACGCAAATATTAATATGGCATGTGTGTTTGAAGCATGTCGGTTACCCTTAGTTGAGACAGTGGCGAGATCTACTGGGCTTGATGTACCTCTCAAGTATCCGTGGCCCGATTCACGTGCATTGAGGTTGGGTATGTTCTACGTATCAGCTTGCTCCACATCCTATCTCGACTTATCTCAATTTTTTTAAATGTCATTTCAGAGTCTCATTCTATTTCAACACATGGAACGTCCCTGACAGCGTGAATGACACCAGCTAATGGCTAAGACTGCAGTTGGTGGATAATAGCTTTCAAAATCGATGGACCGGACGCACCTTGAAAGTGGTCGTTCTTTGAGGGTCGGTGTGCAGGTTATTATAGCTCTAGATTATGAAGTCAACGGTAGATATCTCAAATGCTCATACGTTGAGTATATGCGCTCCGTGGATCCAAGGGCCTACAGTTAGAACGCCATCATTCTCAATTTCACTAAACAAACAACTATCAGCAAGCGCGCATCATGCTCCAGAGTCTAGATGCATCTTTTCAGGGGACTGAGAGATGACGCCATCGTGGAACAAAGGAGAAGCCGACTTACAAGACGTCTGCATCAGGTCCAAGGATAAATGTGCGATGCTTGATGTCACCTATGTTATGGTCTTCAGTTGGACCTCATTATCACTGTGGCCTTTTCATGCGAGTCTTATAAACAAACGAAAGCGTTTAAAGAGGACCATAGTAAGAAAGCACTTGCCTGTCTGCTCAGTCTGGCGATTGAATATCATGTGCAAGAGCTTGCTGCGGCCGACGGCAATGACGTCCATCGCTAAGTGTCAGCATCCCAAGTGTGTAATTCAAGACATGAACGAAATTTGCGATCTTTCAACGGGGTCGAGTCGTGTTGACACAAGAAATTGAAGAGCTGTTGGCAGTCAGCGTATCGATTTGCAGTCGCGCCACGCTGAGATATCCTGTGACTGCCTTCATAAGTTGGATGTGGAGGGACGGTCAAGTCTACCTTACCAGATGAAGCATGGGAGCAGAGGATGAAAAAGGTGCATGGCAGGGAGACATACCAGCTGTTGGTACTATCTGAAATAATACTCCAATCCGCCCCACAATTTCTTCCCCCACTGTCCCTTCGGCGCACCATGCTATGACAGAGGAAGTGGCAGGTATAACCATCCCCCACCGCCTGGGTGTGCCCATATTCCCAGCCACAGACGCTGACAGCATCTGATGAGGAAGGCCAGCACGAAGATGCCTGTTGTCGAGCTGATGGCGAAGGGTGTTGGCTGAGCAGCACGAACTGGATATAAGGCCCCCTTTTTCTGACTTTTGCTTATGGCGTTGGGTGTGTTTCACTGGGAATATGGGCATTGGCGCGGGCCACTCGTGGTGAGAACCTGCAGGTAGATGCTGGGAGGGCAGATGTAGGGAGATTCGAGAACTTGTACCCTCCTGTTGATGCGGAGGCTATGGTGCCGTGAGTAGTTTTTCCTTGTTAGAAGAGCTGAGTACTATTTGTTCGCGTATCGTGGGCAGCAGCAAGGGAAGCCAGGGGGCAGTAAGGGAGGACTGTGATTCCGAGGAACGAGTGAATGCTACAGGTAGCCTGCGCAGGGAGAGTAACGGAGGGCGGTCACATGTATATGGCCAGGTGTGCAGGATGCGAGAGAATGGTGGTGGGTGGACATTTGAACTGTCGAGGGTACTGCAGGACGTGGGGAGGTGATGGAGGTAGGTGCCAAGAAGGCCTGCCTGGACCTGAAAAAAACAAGTAAAGGGACAAGGGACAAAAAGCTTCCGGTACGAACCACGTTCCAACACAACACGGGTCTACAAAGTATTCGTCGCGCTCAAAATCCGAAGGATCCAAACGCCAGGCACTATCTGAAACAATACTTCCCGATGCTCAATATATTGTTCTTCCCTACCCGCGCATCACGTTCGAACGGCAACGCACGACAGCCGGATCAGTAGGTACGCCCCTCCCCCTGGTGTGTTCGTATTCCCAGCCACTGGCGGCGACGCGTCAGATGAGGACGACGAGGAAGAAGACGCGTGTTGGCGGGCTGAAGACAATGAGTGTTGGCGGAGCGGTGCGAGTTGGATGAGCCCATGCTCGCTAGCTGAAGGATATGGAATTAGGATTGTTCCATGTGGATGCGGGGGAGGCGACGGGCCATTCGTGGTGAGAGCCTGCGGTCGGATGCTCGGAGGGCGCAAGTGGGGGGAGGTTGTACCCTGCAGCGGATGTAGAGGTGTATGTGGGGCTGTTAGTGCCGTGGATTAGGCCTTGTTCGTTAGAGGAGCTAATGTATGATTGGTTTAAATATGGAGAGGGGGCTGGAGAGGTAACGCGAGGGGAGAGCCTTGGAGTGAGTTGAATTGGATGGTTGGTAGTAGTCGCTTGCGCTGGAGTTTGGGTAGGGCTATTGATTGTTGAACTCGAATGATTGGGTATGAAATGGTGCGGATGACAAGTAGGGTTGTGAATTGGGCGGGAGGGGTAGGGGTGGGTCCATGATTGGAAGACTGACTGGAGGGATAGTTAGAATGGTTGTCCATGTTGTGAGAGAGGCAGTCTGGAGATGACTCATATTACCGATCATATTTGGGCATGGGTGGGTATTGTGATTGTGAGTATGGCGGGTAATGTGGTTGGAATGGGAGGTGCTTCCAAAAACATATTGCGAGGCACGTAACGTGATGAATGGCTATTAATTGTGATGAAGACTGATTGCTGGTATTGATTATAGTATGTATAAAGTAGTTTGGGTATTACAATTGTGATGAGATGAGGAGAGACGGTATGCTGAGGTAGTGGGCTGAACTGTTGTATTGTGCCAGCGCGTTCTGTAACCGTTCCGCTTGCACGTAGGATCGATCGATCGAATTCACAGTGGTGTCCGAACCCTAACCCGAAAAAGAGAAGCAAAGAAGTCCTAGATTCGGCTTCTTCCGTTCTCACCTGCTCTCAAACCAAACCCGGTGGCCTGAAAACACCTGTCTACTTCCGTTCCACTCATGGTCCTCATCGAGTCCTATATACAATGATAAGCGATCTATAGTGGGGCTATTATAGCAGCTTATTTCACCTTTAGTCGACTGTAACCTTATTCAAATCATATCCTTGATGACATGTTACTACTAAACTTTATATCTTCAGGTCAATATTGGCTCGCTGATCTTCCCATCTAAGCTGTGTCAGACCACAGCTAAGCATGTGTTGCATCATTATCAGACCGCACAGTTTCCCTGCAACGGATCACTTCTACCACGCGACACGAACCAAATCTCACCCCGACGATCAATTCGCATATTGGCGAACTCCGCTGATTCGTAGGTACCAGGATATACATTAAATCGACCTGGTTCCTGGTACTCTCATGGCTGACCTACTTTAGCCTACTTTGCCGTATGTGCCCCACAGTAGCCCACAAGTCCTCATTTGTTCTCAACAAGTCCATGGACTCCGCGCTTCATCGCGTGCTAGCGTCATATCGGCTCACATCCGGGGTTTCGATATTTCTGGCCCTGCAGATATTCAATATGGCAGTCTAGAGCTTGCCGGATACACCTATAAACATGCCACAGACGAGGGTGTAGTCTAGAACTCTTTGTCTACAAGCTTCTTGATACCTCGCTGTTGGTGATCGATGGTTCCATGGCAGGCCCATTCAGTAACTAATCATACTTTTACGATGGCTTACCACTATAACCGATTGTCCAGGATATCCAATCGAAGCTTTGTGATTCTCACGACCATCAGTCCACTGCATCTGAAGGTACGCTTCCCTTGATCTCAGTGTTCTACTTGATGCTTATAGTAAAGATCACGCCTGGCCAAGATGACCGTTCCATTTCCATGAGTAGGCAACGTTTGTCCGTCTACGTTGCCCTCTTCTTACTACGTATATACTGTCCATCATAGGGCTTTGCCCCAACGGACAATAAGCAATTGATTTTTTTTTTAAAAAAAACCCCTTCCTGACAAGCACATTTATCAGCCATAAAAAAGTTTGGGACCAGCAAACCGATCACGATTCCTTCATATCGTCGTTCAAGCTCAGCGTTAACGTTCACTAATCACGCTTCTTTTGCCACGCTTCGAACTTTTGCAATAAACGAGGAAAGCCAGTAAAACTCAAAGTGCGTGATATCTAGGTTAAGAGAAAATTCCTTGTCTATCAGGTTTGCTTTACCTTTGCCTACCTCCGCCGCGTTGACTGGGCTGCATGTTCGATGTGTAGTGGCCTGGTGGGAAATATATCCTTCGTAGGGTCGATTACAGACTATCATTTCTCCGAGTTCGACTCATTGGGAGGTAGTAATCATGTTGTATCCAGGGAGGATAAACTAATTTGTCAGGTCTGTCAAGCTAAGCTTTTCATGGTTCAACCTCAGAACGCTAGGCAAACTACAGTGGCACGGACTATAACCTACATAGTTACGAGTGAGCACCGTCACAATCTCGTAGGTACTGCAGAAGTCAGACACCAGCAAACACACGAATCAGATAACAAAAGAAAGAATTCAAGTACTAAGAGTCTCAACCGTGTCCCATGGTTCATCCGACGTAAATCCACAGCGGGCAAACTTCCCCGAAGATCCGACACTTCTTTTGCACTGATGCTATCTGAATTGCAGTAGCTCAATCAATTGATCCAACGAATCCCGGTCCTGCGCGTTTCCGCAAGTCAATTGCCTGTCGCTACTCCTGAATCCGATATGGAGACTCCTCCGCTCATTGGTGAGTGTGATAGGACTTTGACCCGGCCAAGCTTGATGGCTCTACGAGCAATTCCTGGTTTTCCGACAGAGATACAGCGTCGGCAACACAAGAGTCAAGTCGATGATGTATTCCATGAAGCGCAGGAGCGCCGCGCAGCTGAGAGAGGACCCGTCATTCTTTTCTTGATAAAGGAGGGAGGGAGCGGACGTACGACTGCTGATACACCTCGTGAACCCATTTCACGACCCACAACACTTACTGCTATCGGCACTATGATAGGGGCTGCAGGTGCCGGCCAGGGTAGAACGCGTGCCCGCCAATAGTACCCACGATGGAGAGCCCAAATTACTGTGCATATTGGATGAGAATGAAATTAGTTCGTCATATGAAAGGCTGCCCTACAGGTTCTGTTGGCATCAGCAGTAGGTCCAACGTCCAGCTCATTGACCATGTTCGTCATCAATCCCCTGAACTCAGGGCTTGCACAAGTACTGCACGTAAGCCACGTCAGAATATGCGACAACTAATAAAGAAGAGAGAGCTATTACACCATTAGGGTCTTGAAAGTTCCACAACATTGACAATGTCAGTGTGGAGCACGTGCAGACAGTCCCACATCGAAACGGTTCTTGAATGGTATGCTCGATGTGAATGCCTTCCAGTATTCTGAAAGGACAGACGGAAGGGCTCAGTTTATGTTCGGTAATTCTAAATACAAAATCGAAACAGACTTCTCTTGCCAACCCTGACGCTGCGTAAATCACAAGATAAGAAGATTGAAGCAAGCGAGGCTCACTCTATTGATGCCTTTATTTTAAGGCCAGGATCCACTCGCTGAGCGACGGACGTCATCACCGACGCGTCGGTCCCAACATGTTTACAAACGAGTTCTTCAGTGGTTTCGGATCAAACAGGCTAGCGTCTCCTCGTGGTTTCCATTTGCTGCGCTCAAAGTTTCATTGAGGACGGAATGACAACCACAGGGAGTAAGACCCACTGGAGACCGCAACATGCGGGATATCGGAACCCTGCAAAGTTCTCTAGGGGTGCGACGCAGACCTCCTGTAGCTTGTCTTTTGTGTTTTTCTTGGCGAGTTCCTGAATGTCCGCCTTGCTCAGACCCTTGAGAGAAGACTTGTCCAGGGTTCGCTCCACGCGGTCGAGAAGAGTGTCGTATTTAGTGAAGACGGCAACAATGGGAACTTTGACCTGTGTTAGCTGTGACCTGTCGGAGCGGTAGCAATCCATTAACGTACTGTTTCCCAGCTTCCCCTCGCGCTTCGATGTGAGAAATTGCTCCACACCGGTCTCAAGTAAACGCCCGCCTGCGCGGGGTATTTCAAAGCAAAGCCTTGCATGTCGTCAGCTTGCCGTACAAACGCATTAAGACGGAGGCCCTACCAAACAGCATGCAACTGATCTTTCAAATAAGGCATTTTTCTTCGACGGTCAATGAAATCTCGGACTATTTTGAGGTTGTCTTTTTCCCCTGGTTCGAAACCTTTGCTGTCGTGGAGAACAAACTTGTTGTTCTGCGATGAGATGAACTCGTGGTCTATACTGACCTCGCCTGGCTTATCGTGCGAAGCGGTCTATCGACAGTATGAGTAGCTGTGCTTGTTGAAAGTGTCGTGCTCAACTCACCGCGTTTTGTACTCCAAATGCGCGGTTGATCAGTGAAGACTTGCCAACGCCAGTCTATTGGAAGTACCGTGTCAACACTGGCCTGAGATCAACGAAAGCCTGATACCTTTCCTATCACCAGAATTCGGAACCTTAGAAGCCCCTGGGCATCAGCTTCAAGAATCTCACTTTCACGGTGATCCAGACTCACTGAGGACACTTCCGGAATATTTCGTCGGTAGTAGGCTGGAGCTCCAGGGTTTCGTCGGAAGAAGAGAAAAGTTGCTCGGCCTGCTAATCTATGACTTAGATTTTTTCCAATACGAGACATGGAACCTTACTTCGGTTGTTGGATTCCTGGAAAGTTCGACAACGATAGTGATGTTTTATGAACCTTGTTGTATTCTGTGGATGTGAGCGTTGAATTCGTGAGCGATCATGGCCAGGGCGCCATGACTATTGTTTCACCTTGTCTTTCTCTTGCACCACATACACGGAACATGTCTTCCGGGTCGAAAACAATGTCTTCATGCTCGGTTCCATACCATCTCTTGTATCGTATGTGTAAGGAAAACGTATCCCCAGGAGAAAGTTTCCTATAATTAAACACGATAACAGCTCAGGCGGGTACAGTCGTCGGAGTCAGTCCTTACATGGGTGGAGAAAATGTCTGTCGCAAAGCCTTTTCCTGCCCCGCTTTTGATTGGCGTGGGCGACTTTCCGCAATTCAAAAGACTCCACATTCTTTTTCGAGTTACTGAAGTCGACGATGACACCTATTGGATATATTTAGTGTGATTTATGATTTCGTCGATAAAGTAACTTGTACCAGAAATGTAGAGGGGGTAGACCGGCGTTGAAGCGTCAAGGGAACTAGCCATTCTGAATCCTGATTCGAGTTGGGGAAGACTGTCCTTGGTCACGGTAGATTTATCTAGAGGCCGAGTGTGGGTCATGCATCAGCCTTGCTGAAGGGAGGTGTCCTCGTGTAGCACCCAGACCAGCTATTCACGCACACGCCCAGCTCGTTATGAAATGGAAAACATGTGGGTCAAACGGTGTGCCTGTGTCGGGCTTGGGATTGGTCGAGGGTGTATGGAGGCTTGGAGCAACCATACTAGGTGACTGATTCGAATTGAATGGTGAGTACAAAGCCACCGTGCTTCTTTAGCCGGACCAGCTGTAACTTCAAGTTAGCACCCTTTAGGCACGGACCCTGTGACCTGAGATCAAGATGGATCGATGGCTATCAGGTGCTTAGACGCCAAGCCTAACTCCTCGTGTACGGCTCACATCCATTGCCCACTGAATCTAGATGGGCTGATTTCAAGTTGAGCATTCACTGAGTTGACGCAAACTAATTTTAAATTGAACATAAACGGAAACCCAATTTGCCTTTGTAGAAATTCCGCCACCTTCGATTCGATGCAAGGACTCGTCGTGTACGCCTCATGGTAACATTGCCCACTGACTCGGAATCTAGATAGGCTTCGGGTCAGGTATTGGCAAACTGCAGTGATCGATTATAAGGCCACACCAACGCTTCTCCATCATATTTACCTTCCCCCATGGATCCTTCAGAGATCAGAAAGAAAATCGGTCGCTTTCGAATCCTCGTTATAGGAAGAGCGAATGCAGGAAAAACTACCATCCTCCAGAGAGTTTGCAACACACGGGACAACCCAGTAATCTATAACGGCGCTGGAGAAAAGGTGCGCCTCATGATGTTAGTAAGAGGCTGGTACTGATTACTGAATTATCGACATCAGATCGATGCTGCAGTTTTAACGGCGTCCAGAGAGGTAATGTTTGCGCTTAGTTGGTAGCATGAACTGACGCGTTCTCAGCGTGGAGAGCACGAAATCGAAAATGAAATGGTGTTTCAAACCAACCCAGGATTCATCTTTCACGATTCACGCGGGTTTGAAGCAGGCGGCGAATCCGAATTCGACAAGGTTAAGGAATTTATCGCGCGCCGTTCTAAAGAAGCTAGATTAACGAATCAACTCCATGCTATCTGGTAATTGCAACTCATCAATCACGACATGCGCTACCTCAAAGTTTCACCATAGGTACTGTATCCCGATGGATGAGGCAAGCAGATCATTCACAGAAGGCGAAAACAAATTTTTCTCTCAGTGTGACACTGGAAGCAGTAAGCTTTCGCACCCGACCATCGTTGATGTTCGACTGATGCACAGATTCACAATCCTCAGTTCCCGTGATGATCTTGTTCACAAAGTTTGATGCCCTCTACGACGTGGCATATGCAGAACTGAAATCGAAGGGAGCATCGATGGAGGAGGCTGAAGAACAGGCGCCGAAACATGCCAAGGAGTCGTTTGCTAACGGTCCACAACTGAAGTTTTTCAACAATGTCCGATGGCCTCCAAAATGCCATGTATGCCTTCCTGGTAAGCCGGTTTATGGTTGAGTTGCTCTACCTGATGACCGTTGATCCATTAGACATGGACAAAGATGATGCAGATTGCAGATCACTCATCGAACGCACGGCTGGAATTCTGGATAGTGAGGTACTACAGCAATTATTCGTCTCGACCCAGCAGACCAACTTGGAACTCTGTATGAAATATGCAGTTGAGAGGTAACTACCCATGGCTTCATTTACCTGCCGCAAGCGTTCGCGACTGATATTTTCCAGAACACTCCCAGGACTTTTTGACTCTGCTAAGAAAACGGGTCGTGAGGAGATAATAGGAAAATTAGGCGTCTGGTTTCCACATCTCTTGGTAAGATTATCAGAAAGTTTGAAGGTTGCTCTCATTAACATTGGGTGTTTACTTGCAGGTAGTACGTCTGTTAATCCTCTTTCGAGCTCGAGCCATGCTGATCCAAGTCATTGCCCACTGTTCGCAGAGAGTGAGTGTCTTGATCCTCCTTCGAGCTCGAGCCATGCTGATCCAAGTCATTGCCCACTGTTCGCAGTATGTGAGTGTCTTGATCCTCCTTCGAGCTCGAGCCATGCTGATCCAAGTCATTGCCCACTGTTCGCAGAGAGTGAGTGTCTTGATCCTCCTTCGAGCTCGAGCCATGCTGATCCAAGTCATTGCCCACTGTTCGCAGGATGTGAGTGTCTTGATCCTCCTTCGAGCTCGAGCCATGCTGATCCAAGTCATTGCCCACTGTTCGCAGGGTGTGAGTGTCTTGATCCTCCTTCGAGCTCGAGCCATGCTGATCCAAGTCATTGCCCACTGTTCGCAGGTCGTGAGTGTCTTGATCCTCCTTCGAGCTCGAGCCATGCTGATCCAAGTCATTGCCCACTGTTCGCAGAGAGTGAGTGTCTTGATCCTCCTTCGAGCTCGAGCCATGCTGATCCAAGTCATTGCCCACTGTTCGCAGAGAGTGAGTGTCTTGATCCTCCTTCGAGCTCGAGCCATGCTGATCCAAGTCATTGCCCACTGTTCGCAGGATGTGAGTGTCTTGATCCTCCTTCGAGCTCGAGCCATGCTGATCCAAGTCATTGCCCACTGTTCGCAGGGTGTGAGTGTCTTGATCCTCCTTCGAGCTCGAGCCATGCTGATCCAAGTCATTGCCCACTGTTCGCAGGTCGTGAGTGTCTTGATCCTCCTTCGAGCTCGAGCCATGCTGATCCAAGTCATTGCCCACTGTTCGCAGGATGTGAGTGTCTTGATCCTCCTTCGAGCTCGAGCCATGCTGATCCAAGTCATTGCCCACTGTTCGCAGAGAGTGAGTGTCTTGATCCTCCTTCGAGCTCGAGCCATGCTGATCCAAGTCATTGCCCACTGTTCGCAGAGAGTGAGTGTCTTGATCCTCCTTCGAGCTCGAGCCATGCTGATCCAAGTCATTGCCCACTGTTCGCAGAGAGTGAGTGTCTTGATCTTCTATCAAGTTCGGGCATTCCTGATCAAAGCATTTGATAATATCTTCAGGAGGTCAGTACATTGATCCTCTACCGACCTTGAGCTACTAACCGACGACATCGTTGATCCATTGACAGCTTGTGAGTGCGATCATCCATTGTCGACCTCCTGCCTTGCTCACCGATGCAATCATTGATCCATTGTCAGGGTGTGGGTGTACTCATTCTCTGTCACCCTCGCGCAATGCTGACCAAAAATGTTGCTGCTCCGTTAACAGATTGTGAGTTGGTCGATCCATCATTGTGCTCGAGCCATTCTGACTGAAGACATCGCCCATCCGTTCACAGGGTGTAAGCACATCGATCCTCAGTCGAATTGGAGCATCACTGACCAATGAAATTACCGATCCCCATTGACAGCCCGTGAGTGTGTTCATCTGCCGTTGAGTGCGGGCGTTGCTGATCGATGACATCGTTGATCCATTGACAGGGCGTGAGTCTCTTCACCCCCAATCGAGCTTCAGCACTGACAATACTCACGCACTGACAGAAAGTTAGTGTGCTGATCTTCTGTCGAGTTCGAGCTTTGCTTACGACTGAAATCGCACATCCCTTGACAGACTGTGAGTGTTTTAATCTTCCAGTGTTACTCACCGACGACATTGCTCATCCATCAATAGGAAGTTGGTTTCTTCGTCCATCCTTGATTTCGGGCCATGCTGACCGAATATTTTACACATTGGCAGAATGTGGGTGTATCGATCCTCAGCAGAGGTGGACGATATTCAACTTTCTACCATAATTTGACCAGTTGTATAAGAATCATCGTGAAGAGATGGGGTCTAGGTTACTCTCTGTGGTATGTCCAATTGGTCACTGATTGTACACACATTTCTGATGTTGCGAATGTGCCAGGCCTCTGGCTCATCACCCTTGGAGGATAATGTTCAGCTCATTTCTGGTGATTTTCGAAGCTACGTTGCAATGAACCTGCTTATTATTTGATCCTTTAGCTGTTGTCATTATCTTCGAACATTCTTTCTACGTTTTCGACAAGAGACGCTATCTTCAGGACAAGCAGGAGTCTGTTCCCTCTTTTTATGCCGCTCTGGAGCAGTACATTGCGTCTCCGCATGCAGCTGTTGTCAGGGAAGGTGTGAGCGCTGCCGTCCAGGCATATGAAGAAGCTGTGACTACTGCCACCCACGCATATGAAGAAGCTGTGAGGACCTTGCCTACTTGGAAGGCGAAGTTACCGTTTGAACGCTTCAAGAGGAAGGCTGCACGCCCTCATGAGAAGGAGAAAGAATCTTTGTGTTCTCAGGCGAAGGCGGAGTTAACCAATACTATTCTTGAAATCACTCTAAATCATCGCCTGCGTATGTTTCACCCTCATGTTGTGACAGAAATCCCACTGATCCGCTTGTCTCCAGCAAGACCTTAATGTTGGGCAATGCAACCCAACATCAACGATGTTCTGGTCCGGAGGGAAGTTGAGGCGTCTCTGCAGTGAATGCAGTTTACTTGAATGGTCTGTCGAGGTAGATTCAGGATGTAGAACTGTACGAAATGGTTGTATGATCGCGCAATATGGTGCTTTGTCCGGTATGGCGTATACGTATCTGGTGAATGTCAGTCTCCCTCAGTCGAGACAGTGGCGAGAACTACTGCGCTTGATGTACCTCTCAAGCATCTGTGGTTTGATTTCAAGCGCATCAAGGCTGGATATGTTCTGCTCCATAGCCTGTCTCAACTTGCGTAACTCTTTCTAAAAAGAAATCTCGTTGATTGGCATTCTAACCCCACACTCTATGTAGACACATGGGATTGAACGTTCCTAACAACGTCAGTGACTCCAGCTGGTGGTTGATATATAAGATCTCTGAAAAGACCTGGCTGTAAGCGGAAGATGGCCTTCAAGCTCAATGGACCTCGAACAGCGGACACACCTTGAAAATCTCTAGCTTGCGTTCCTTAAGGAACAGCGTGCAATATGCATGTGGTCATAGCTCCCGGTTATGAAGTTTTATAAGATGGATGCATTATCTGTTATACATTCAGCGTTGGTTACTGCTCTACATGCCACGGTTAAAATCCAAAATCCATTCAAGTTCTCGACGATCGCGCGGATCATAACCTGGAGTCTAGATGTATTTTCTCGAGTGACTGATAGACGACGACGTCGTGGAACAAAGGAGAAAGCGACTTACAGGATGTCGGCATCGAGTCGATGGAGAATTTTGCAGCGCTGGATGTTGCCTATACTATGGTCTGCAGTTAGACCTTACTGTTTCATGCGTGTCTTATAAGCATGCGAGCGTGTCGAAGTATAACGACTGAATCCCGTGTCTATGAGCTTGCTGCGACCGATGACAGTGGCGCCCATAGCTTAAATTCAGGATCCTGTGCAATTCAGGGCATCAACGAAATTGTCGATCCCTCAGTCATGCCGAGACAGGGAATTGAAGAGCTGTTGGTAGTGAGCGTATCGATTCGCACTCGCACCACACTGAAAGTCTCGAAAGGGAAGGCGTTGATCACGACCGTCCTCATAAGCCGGACACATAATGGAGGGACAGTCAAGTCTGCCTTATACGATGAGAACGGAAGTACATGGAGGATGGAAAAGGTGCATGGCTGGGAGACATACTAGTGGCTGTTGGTGCCTCCAAAACAACATTCCCAATCCTCACCACAACTTTTCCCTCTCTTGTCCCTTCGGCACACCATGCTACTACAGCTGAAGCAACAGGTAAGCACAGCATCCATATTCCCGGCCCCGGGTGATCACGCATCTGATGAGGAGGACAAGCACGGAGATGCCTGTTGTCGCGCTGATGGCGACGGGTGCTGGCTGAGCGGTACGAGCTGGATAAGTCACATGTTTTCTAGCTGCTGCGATGGAGTTGGATTTGTTCCAAGCGGAAGCGGGCCAATCGTGGTGAGACCCTTCGGGTATATGACGGGGAGGGCGGATGTTGTTGTTATTGGAGGTTGTAGATGCGGAGGAGTATGCGGGCGGAAAGAATTGTTTGTTAGAGGAGCTGGTGTACAATTGTTTTGTGTACCGAGGGGGCTGGAGAGGTAATGCGAGAGAGCTGCGCCTGGGAGAGTGAGTGGGATTGGATGCTTGGTAGTGGTGACGTGGTCGCTTGCGCTGAAGTTTGGATAGGGCTGTTACGAACTTTGCATTTCAAGAGGGGGCTGGGGAGGTGATATGAGTACATGGATAGGATCGCTTGGCTGGAGTTCGATTAGGGTGACGCATGTCCTGTAACCAAACCCTCGGCTAAGGCACAATCGTCCTGCCAGTGCGGGCTCAAAGATTTGAAGTTTCCTTGCCCAAGGTTATTTGCATCCGTTTGGTGCAACTTATTCTTATCGACGATCGCGACGAGTCCGCATCATGCATTGAGCACAACTTTATTATTAGCTCACCAAGCATCTAACGCGTCATGACTCCTGAAGAAGAGAAGCAAAGGTACGAATCGGATGTCCATAACCGTTTGTCCAGGGTATCTTATGATTCTCGCGATCAGCTAGAACGCCATCAATCCACAGCATCTGAATGGTACGCTTCTCTTGCTCTTGATGTTCTACTTGATCCATATAATAAAGATCACGCATGAGCAAGATGGTCATTCCATTTTCATCGAGCATGCATGGTTTGTCCGTCTCCATTATCCCCCTTCCTGGCAAGCATATTTATTAACCATAAAAAAGTGATGCGCGAAAATCCACCTTGCACGATTCCTTCATATCGTTCAAGTTCGCGTTAGCGTTCACTACTTAATCACGTTTCTTTTGCCATTGCTTCGGACATTTTGCAGTAAACAAGGCAAGGCCAATGGAATTCAAGGCGCGTGATATCTAGCTCAAGAGAAGATTCCTTTGTCTATTAGGTCTGCTTTAAAGGGAGGCGATGTTATATGTCAAGTCCGATGTGGTACGAGAGTCATCCGATAATCACAGTGGGACACTAATTTCCCTTTACTTACCTCCGCGTTGGCTAGGTTGTCATCCTCATTGGTATACTAATATTTCTATTCAGTTTGTGGGACTCAGGGGGATTCAGGTGTATGGCTAACAGTACGCGCGGTAGGACAAGCTGGCATATTCAATGTTCTCATATGTGTGGTGACCTGGTGGGAAATAATTATTCTTTCACAGGGTTGTCCGAATTGCGTCTGTTTGATGACACCTTCATTACAGATTATCGTTTCTCCGAGTCAGGCTCGTGGGGGTAGTAGTACTAGTAATCGATGACATTGCTGTGTCCAGGAAAGATAAACTGATTTTTCAGGTCGTTTCAAGCAAAAGCTTTTGTATCTCAGAACGCTAGGTAAACTACAGTAGCACGGACCAGTCATAACTCCGATTACATAGTACAAGTACAATCCCATAGGTACTCCAGAAGTCAGACACACAACATTATACACAAAAGAAAGAATCAAGTGCTAACTGCCCCATGGTTCATCCGATGATAAATCTACAGCGGGCAAATTTCGCTGAAGATCCGACATTTCTTCTGCACTAATGTTATATGATTGTAGTAGCTCGATGATTTGATCCAATGAATCACGGCTCGCGCGTTGCCGCAAGGTCATTTGCCTGTCATACTCCTGAATCCGATTATGGACTTCTCCATTCATTGGTGACTCGTGGTAGGACTTGACCGCAAGCTTGATGGCCTTACGAGAAAGTTCTTGATTTCCCGCTACAAGAACCAGTGTCTGCAACACAAGAGTCAAGTCGACGATGTATTTCATGAAGCGCTGCAGCGCAGGGCGACTGAGGAGAGACCTGTCATTATTCTCTCGATCAAGGATAAGTAGCAGGACATACGTCTGCTCATACACCTCGTAAACCCAGCTCGCGATTACAACACTTGCCGCTATCGGCACAACAATAGGGGCTGCAGGTCCGGACAGGGCAGACACGATGGTCGCGATAGTACCCACAATAGTGAGCCCGACTGAACTGCAAACATTGGGTGAGATGAAGTTCATCCATCGCATGAAAGACTGCCCTACAGGGTCTTGTTGGGATCAGGAGGGGGTCCAACGTCCAGCTCATTGACCATGTTCGTCATCAATGTCCTGAACTCTGGGCTGCACAAGTACTGCGTGTAAGCCACGTCAGAACATGTGACAACAACAAAGAAGAGAGCTATTATTACACCATGAGGATCTTGGAAGTTCCAAACATTGACGATGTCAGTGTGAAGCACGTGCAGACAGTCCCACATTGAACGGTTCTTGAATGGTACGCTTGATGCGAGCGCCTTCCAGTATTCTGAAAGACAGAAGTGAAGGCTCGGATTACGTTCAGTAATTTTGAATACAAAATTGAGACAGACTTCTCTTGCCGACCCTGATGCTGCGTAAATCACAAGATAAGAAGAATGAAACAAGCGAGGCTCACTCTATTGATGCTTTTATTTTGAGTCCAGGATCCACTCGTTGAGCGACGGACGTCATCACTGACGCGTCGGTCCCAACATGGTTACGAACGAGTTCTTCAGTGGTTTGGATCAAACGGGCTAGCGTCTCCTCATGGTTTCCATTTGCTGCGCTCGAGATTTCATTGAGAACGCAAATGACAATCAGAACAGTGACACTCACTAGAGACCGTAACATGCGGGATAGCCGATTTTGCGAACTTCTCTAGGGGTGCGACGCAGACTTCCTGTAGCTTGTCTTCTGCGTTTTTCTTGATGATGTCCTGGATGGCTGCCTGGCTCAAACTCTTGATAGAGGACTTATCCAAGGTTCGCTCCATGCGGTCGAGGAGGGTGTCGTATTTAGTGAAAACGGCAACGATGGGAACTTTGACCTCCGTTAGCTGTGACCTGTGCGGAGCAGTAGCAATCCATTAACGTACTGTCTCCTAGCTCTCCTTCGCGCTTCGATGTGAGAAATTGCTCCACACCAGTCTCTAGTAAACGCCCGCCTGCACGGGGTATCTCAAAGCAAAGCCTTGTACGTCGTCAGTCTGCCGTACTAACGCATCAAGACGGAGGTCCCACCAAACAGCGTGCAGCTGATCTTTCAAATCAGGCTTTGCTCTCCGACGGTTAATGAAATCTCGGACTATTTTGAGGTTGTCTTTTTCCCCTGGTTCAAACCCTTTGCTGTCATGGAGAACAAACTTGTTGTTCTGTGGCGAGGTGAATTCATGGTCGATGCTGACCTCGCCTGGCATATTGTGCGAAGTGGTCTACTGATATTATGAGTAGCTGTGCTCGTTGAAATGTCGGGTTCAACTCACCGCGTTTTGCACTCCAAATGCGTGGTTGATCAGCGAAGACTTGCCAACGCCAGTCTATTGGAAGTACCGTGTCAACACTGGCCTGAGATCAGCGAAAGCCTAATACCTTTCCTATCACCAGAATTCGGAACCTTGGAAAGCCCTTGGCGTCAGCCTAAAGAATATCACTTTCACGATGATCCGGACTTACTGAGGACACCTCCGAAAGATTTCATCGGTGGTAGGCCGGAGCTCCAGGGATTCATCAGAAGAGACGATCTGCTCGATCTGCTAACATACGACTTAGATGTGTTCCGATACGAGACACGGAACCTTACTTCGGTTGTTGGATTCCCCGAAAGTTCGACGACGATCGTGATCTTTTTATGAACCTTGTGGTATTCTGTGTATGTGAGGTTGAATCCATGAGCGATCAAAGCAAGAACGCGATTGTTTCGGCTCACCTTGTCTTTCTCTTGCACTACATTCGCGAAACATGTCATCCGGTTCGAAAATAATGTCTTCATGCCCGGTTCCATGCCATGTCTTATACCGTACATGCAAGGAAAATGTATCCCCAAGTGAAAGCTTTCTATAATAAAACGCAATAGTACATCAGGCGAGTACATTCGTTAGATCTAGTCCCTACATGGGTGGAGAAAACGTCTGTCGCAAAGCCTTTCCTGCCCCGCATTTGATTGGGATAGGCAACTTGAGGCTGATCCGTATTTCAGCAGACTCCACATTCTTTTTTGACTTGCTGAAATCGATGGTGATACCTATTCGATATCTTCAGTGGAATCGATAATTTCGTTGATGAAGTGACTTGTACCAGAGATGTAGAGAGGGCAAACCGGTGTTGCAGCGTCAAGGGAACTAGCCATGCTGGATCCTGATTGGAGTTAGGGAAGACTCTCCTTTGCCACGATGGATTTATCTGGAGGCCGAATGTAGGCCAGCGTCAACTACGCCGAAGGGATCCCTGGACCCTTGTAGCTATTCTTAGTTAAACAGGTTTAGGTAAGATCATGATACCCTGTTATCATTCGGACCTTTCTCGGTTCCTTCGAATGACTCATGGCATTCACAATGAAAAGACAGAGACATGGGCATTAGCAAGTGTGCGTGATGGCATTGTCGTGAATGATATGATTCTTCGCATGGCATGCCTTGTAACCAAACCCTCACGCGCGTCGCGCACGACCGCCCAAGGTTGTTTGCAATATCCATTTGGTGCAACTGAAGAGTCAAGTTATCGAACCTTATCGACAATCGCGACGAGTCCGCATCGTGATCGATAAACGACGTCATGCATTGAGCACAACTCGTTTACAAAATCCTTCAGACCAAAAGGTTACACGTGGGGACCATTGCACTCTGTTCGTTATTTTTTTTATTAGCTCACCAAGCAAAATCTAGCTCACCGTGACCATTATCTGAGTACAACGCCTGTCAATTTTTGCATCACAGTGACGCCCGGATTGTGACACACACATATCAGCTCATACACCATCGCAAGATTATTTTTACCTTCTCTCATTTCTCCCCAACGAGAGATGCATGTCCCGAGACCGCCACCGTTATTCTTCGACGTTCGATATCCGACTAGATATTCCTGTCCCCCACGCTGCGTTATTGTGAATGATGGTTCATTCATGCGGATTTCCAATTTATGGTGACTCTTTGCGCTGCTTTGGAGGCCTTAACCATCAGTGTTTTTGACAACAGTATATCACTGTTATCTCACAGTGTCCATTTGTGCCAGCGTCTCGTTAATTCTGTCTTGCCCACCCCTCGACTGGGCAGTGTGAGAGCGCCTCTCCGTTTCATTCGACACTAAATGGCGGTAAGATATCCTATACACGTGCTCACGGCGTCAGGTATGTGATATAAGTAAAGTGATCTTTTCTTTTTACGAGCTAGCCTGACTCGGAGGAGAGGGAACTCGGGAGGCATGCCCAAAGTATGGTCATTTCACCATTGAAGTGTTCTGATATCATGGGTTGGGACTTTGGCGTTGCAGGCGGACAGTGTTCATAGACGGTAGTTGAACCGGTTGAGTGTTCGACCGATGAGCACCAATGCAATTAAGACCGTACAACAAGATGTTTTGTCTGCAAAATATGGTGGCGAGCTGCGAAGTAATTCACTGGGAAGAAGAGGATATCATATGCTCTCAGGTGCTATGGTGACACTTTCCACCATCATGTTCCTGCCGCGTCCAGGGATGATGAACTGATTCGTGCATCCGTTGCAGGGCCCAGGTAGAGCGTTTTACAGACTGTTGCACTACCGTGGCATGTTAAAGGACTCGAGCCAAATCTAGTAGCAAGTACATGATGTTAATCCAAGAGGCTAACATACTACAGTGTGATAATCGGTCGTAAATCCAGTTACATCGTACAAGCAAGCACCATATGCAGTCGCGTCAGTACTCAGACACCGCCCACACGCAAAACCATCCACGAAAGAAAGAAACGAGTGCTACGACTTCGCGATTTCCCATGGTTCGTCCGGTGACGAACCCACAGAGGGAATCTTTTCCCGAAGTTTGGACATTTCTGCCGGATTGATGCTATAAAATTGCACCACCTCTACGATTTTATCCAAGGTATCACTATCCGCGCGTTCCAGGATGGTCAATTGCCCTTCATACTCCTGAATCCGGGTATGAACTTCTCCGCTCATTGGGGATTCGAGATAGGAAGTGACCGCGAGCTTGATCGACCTACGAGTGAGTTCCTGGCTTTCTGATACGAGATAAAGTGTCTGCAACACAAGTGTTAAGTGGACGATGTAGGACATGAAGCGCTGAAGCACCGCGTGGCTAAGGAAGAAGTGTCGATATTCTTTCGCTCACAAACAAATAGTAGTACGTACGATCTCTGGTATACATCGTGAACCCATGCAGCAAGTACGACACTTGCTGCGATTGGTACAACGATGGGAGCTGCAGGTTCCGCCAGAACAGACACGATAGTGCCCACCATGGATAGCCCAGTAGTACTGTAAACATTCAATGAGATGAAATTTCATCTGTCACGTAAAAGACTGGCCTACATGTTACTGATGAGATTAGTTGTAGGTCCAACTTCTAGATTATCGAGCATCTTCACCATCAACTCCCTGAACTCTTGGCTGTGCAAGTACTATGCACAAATCACATTAGGGCGGATGCAACGACGACAAATAAGTTAGCCATTACACGATGAGGGTCATAGAAGTTCCACACATTGACGATGTCAGTGTGAAGTACATGTAGACAATCCCACGTCTTGTGGGTCTTGAACGTGGTGCTTGATGCAAGCGCCTTCCAATATTCTGCAAGACATGAAGATTTAGCTTGTATTCAGTAATGATCATCGTGAAACTGGGACAGACTTCTCTTGCCAACCCTGAAGCTGCATAAATAACGAGATAATAACGAAGCAAGCAAGGCTCACTCAATTGATGCCTGTATTTTGAGGCCAGGATGCACTCGTTGAGCGATGAAGGTCATCACCGCAGCCTCGGGCGTAGAATGCAGACCGACACAGTTTCCAGTTATTTGGATCAGACGGGTGAGTGTCTCCTTGTGGTCCTTATGAGCTGCGATATTACACTTCAGAGGCACGCATGAACCTGTCAAAGTATTCGTACTCACTAGAGACCATAGCGCGAGGGATATCAGGCCCTGAAAATTTCTCTAGAGGTCCGATGCAGATATCCTGCAGCTCGGCTTCTGCTTTGTTCTTGGCGAGTTCCATGATGGCTTCGTCGCTCAATCCATTGAGAGAGTTTTCGTCCAGAGTTCGCTCCATGCGGTCGATGAGCATATCGTATTTAGTGAGAATGACAATAACGGGAACTTCGATAAAGTGTAAACTCCAACATAGCAGAGAGATAGATATCGATTCACTTACTGTTTCCCAGCGTTCCACTACGTTTCAATGTCAGGAATTCCTCTGTTCCCGTCTCTAGCAAACGTCCGCCTGCACGGGGTATCTCGAAACAAAGCCTTCCGTGTCTTTGGTCAATCCATCATAACGGAATGGTCGAGATAGAATCCCTACCAAACAGCATGCAACTGGTGTTCCGGAGCAGACATATTCCTCCGATGGTCAATGAATTCCCGGACTATTTTGAGGTTATTTTGTTCCCCTGGTTCAAAACCTTTGCTGTCGTGGAGAACAAACCTGTCGTTCTGAGGTGAGATGAACTCATGGTCGATGCTGGCCTGACCTGGCCTATCGTGCGAAGTGATCTATTGACAATATGAGTAGCCGTGCTTGTCGAAGTGTCGTGTGCTCGCTCACCGTTTTTTCCACTCCGAATGCGTGGTTGATCAGCGATGACTTGCCGACGCCAGTCTATTAAAAGCACGTTGTCAACACTGGCCTGAGATCAGAGAAAGCAAGATACCTTTCCTATCACCAAAATTCGGAACCTTGGGAGTGTTAACGTCAAGAATGGCACTTTTTGATTGTCCTGACTCACCGAGGACACTTCCGAAATATTTCGGAAGTGGTAGGCCGAAGCTCTTCACCGGAAGAGACAGACTGCTCAGCCTGCTAATCTACGAGTTAGACGGGTTCAATGCCAAACGTGGATCCTCACCTCAGTTGTTGTATTCCCGGAAAGGTCGACAACGATCCTGATATTTTTATGAAACTTGTTGTATTCTATGCATGTGAGGTTGAGTTCATGAGTGATCGAGGTGAGAATGGGATGATTACTGTTACCTTGTCTATCACTTGCACTATAGGCGCTGAACATGTCATTCAGGTTGAAAACAATGTTTTCATGCTCGGTCATCATCCCAAACCATGTCTTGTACTGCATATGTAAGGAAAATGTATCCTCATGATAAAGTTCCCTACAACAAACAAAAAAATCAGGTGAGTACATGCGTCGGGATCGAGTACATACATGGGTGGAGAAAACGTCTGTCGCCAACTCTTTCCTGCTTCGCGTTCAATTGGTGAATGCGGCAACTTGCTGATCTGTACTTCAACAGACTCTACATTCGTTTTCGACTTGCTGAAATCGACAGTGATACCTATTGGGTATATTCAGCGGGGTTGATGATACTGCTTAATGATAAGAATTGATCACCATAGATGTGGAGAGGGCAAGAGACTATTGAAGCGTGAGCCATGCTGATTTGAGGGAAGAGTCTGCTCTGAGCTACTGTAAATTTATCTAGAGGTTGAGTGCAAGCCATGCGTCAGCTGCGAGGAAGTGAGGGTAACCTCGTGTATGCCCCATGGTGCACCATCAATCTGGTCCAACCAGAAATCACTATGCCGATTCAGATACTAGCAGCTTGCACGCCTCAGTCAATTAATTTCAAATATGGATTTTCCATAAACGGAAACCCAATTTGCTCAGTGGCAAGTTCCGCCACCTTCGAATCGATCATCAGGAAATCGGCCATGAGGTGATTTTAATAGATATTTCTGGCAAAATTAAATCAAATATCGACAGTTTATATCCAAATACATAGTATTATATAAACACCAGCATGATGGTGCCGAATGACAAGCGATTGCAAGAAGACCCCAATACTGATGAAGACATGTATGTCTTGCAAATATGATATTTTGTAGATAAACTATTGAAAGAAGTCCAGTATTGTTCCACATACATGGTCACATGTTGCATTAAGTTCACTTTGTGATGGCTGTTTGCAATGTTACCTAGTCGGCAATCAAGAGATGCAAGATCCTCATAATATTGATGCAAAATGGTCATTGCTGGCAGTTGTGACGCGTCCAAGGTAATGCCTTCTCAATTGCTAGGAGCTTTTTACTAAATGGTCACCCATTACCTATAGCACCATGGTCAGTTTCAAGTATTATAAACTATATCATGTCTATTGTAGAGCGGCACTCATCAACGGCCGTGCCAGATGCGGGCAGCCCATCAGTAATTTATAAATCCGCACATTGCTTAATCTTGTTGCAAAAATGGAGATTTATTTTGTTTGTGTTCAACATTGTACAGTAAGTACTAGAGGCTGCCTGCACCAGTATTGAGGTGTGACCCACATGAGTCTCCGTGATGATGGTGATGGCAGTGAGGTGGGAGGGAAAGACAACGAGAGCTGGAGCACCTTAGATTTCTGACTGTACAAATACGTGTGGCTCCCGGTAGCCTTGACCACTAGAATAAGGACGATAAGTATCACCATGAACAGGAGGTTGCGCTGCTGACTTCTGGGGAGAGTAATCTTCTGCAAGACGGGGCACAATAATCCAGAAGCCTTGGACTTGGGGACTCCAACCTATATACGATGATGAGTGAAAATGTTAAGTGGTATGCAAATGGACAAACATTTCATATCGGCCGGATCAATCAATGTGTGATTACTTCCGGGAGTCTGATGGCTCGAACATTGGCTCTGTCATGATATCTCCGCGATGTTTTTCCCATAAAGGATCTTCGATCTTGCCAAGACAACTGCCAGCGGGAATCATAATCCAAAAAGCATGGTTCCATAGGACGAGACCAGTCGAAACGATCTTGGGATAAGCTACGGCTGTTTGTAGCGTCTGGTCTTCGTGTATTTGGCTGGTAAATGTTCAGATGATTATCACTACACTTAAATTCTGGCTAAGTGAGAGGGGCCGAGAAGCATTGCATGGTGCTCACTATGAAAGATTCTAATGAATGCCCAGATCACATTGGCAGCTGAAGCAGACCATCCTAAGCTTCCAGTCATGTATCAAAGTGCAGAGAGCGCCAGAAAGTTATCTCAGCGCAAGGAGTGCTTCCAATGCAAAAATCCTTTGCGATCTTAGTGGGGTGTGTCCAACATGCAATGTGTCTATAATTGGGAGGCTGCCATTTGCAAGGAAGTCTATGCGTTCTGCTAGAATTTTTGCAGTTGAAAATGTCAGTCAGTCCGTCTGGAACTAACAAAGAAAGTATGAACTGGGGAGGGCGAGGTTACTACTAGGCCAATCTGGCACGGGAACATCTTGCAGAACTCTACTTGGAGCATGTGATAGTCAGGAAGTCCATCTCAGAGCGCCATGGAGAACTTACATGCGTCCAACAACAGATCGGGTTTTTACGAACACACTGGCTTGAAACTTCCCAAGACAGACAACCACTTTACTAATAGAATTCAAATTGCCAATCTTCCCACACATCCTACTCAAGTCACACGAATACACAGGAATTCTTCATTGCTAGTAGCTTTCCACCAGAATGGTCACCCGCTGCCTATCCAGATGTGTTTCGATTAAAAATACGATATGCTGGATCTAGTGATTTATACTGTACGTTTGGAATCATGCAGGTCTGCCACTCTCCGCGTGTCCTCCACAAGCATTGCTCACCTGCCTCCAAGGAACACTGGCCCAATCCTCCGATGTATATATACCCCTCAACATAAACTTATGAGAGTGAGGAGCAGCGTGGAAGTAGCACAAGGTAAAACAGGTTCTAATCAACTAACCAAACAAGAACCACATAGGCCAAAGGCGTGCACGGTAGAGGTACACAGTCTGATAGAGCAACCATTTGCCTTGAGGGAGGTCTGATGGCATGCTTGGATCGAGCTCCAAGACGCGCTATGAGCAGCAAGAGGGTTCAGACTGCACATCCTCACTCAGACAAAAAGAGGCTCACACAACCAATGTTGCTCCAAGACTTCGATAGCCTGGGTATACAAAGACACCTCTATCTGACACCTTTTTCTCCTCTCTTCCAAGAGAATTCATTCTACAGCTGCATGCCTTCCGCTATCTTTGTTAGTACATACTCTTTGATGCCTTCGCAAAGTTTCGTCTTGTTTTGCCTCTATGCTGCATTCCCCAACCATTTCCCAAAGATCGTCAGGATAAACCCGATCTTTGAGTAAGAATGATAAAACATATAGTTCAGTCTGGAGCTGCATGAAAAGATTTTAAAAATCAGGATTACAAAAAAATTACCCACTGACCTTCTGATTTGCTGTGAGTCCTGCGTAGAAGTCAGGTGCATCTCACCACCACCATTCAATCATGGATTTTGAGGCGCTGTCATAGTGCAGGAGGGCAAAGCGGCAGGTCATAGCCACCGCAATTAATTTCGCTAACCTCCGAGCAGTTTTGTGATAGTCAGGTGGGGCAGTGATGGTAGACGAAGGTGAAGATGGGGCTTCCATTGTATGGTCCGGTGCAGCAAATATACAGTATCTACTCTGCTTTTATGAGACTGCGACCTGTAGTAACATCATGGTCTGCCCAGCTTATCTTGCCACCATAAGATGTTCTTGCCCGCCACCTTCAGCCTGCTGCCAGAGGTTCTGGCCTGTGAGAATCTGCTGATGTGATGGCCATTCAGTAATCGGGCTGGCCATCTCTAGTGCCCACCATATTACGTTATGCTGCCGAAGTGGTCAGTCCTTTCACCTATCCTTCAACATTGGACTCAACCATATTCTTAAACCTCTCTTCATGGATCAGGCAGGTTCATCACTGACTCTAACGCCCTTCAGATGCGCCTGTACTCGCGAATTCACGCAGGAAAGTGCCTACACAAAGCATCAAGGCTCTTGCACTAAGGGCAAAAACGATTATTCTCCGCTTTGTCTAAAGTGAAGCATCTTTTGGGCTCTGCAAAACGGTCACAAGTGAACCACAGCCCCAGTAGACAGTTTGCTGGCCTTAGCACTGCGCCGTCGAGCGCGCACGCCCACCTTCCAAATGGCTCTTTCCCGTCTGCTGACCCATTGGAACATACAGGGTCTTCATTGCAAGAAAATGCACCCACATCAGCATCAAATGCCGATCTTGGCGCCCCACCTATGGAACTAGATGCAGATCAGGACCTATCACTAGCGCAGCGGAGGAGTTGGTGCATGGGTGTCTCATTGCCACTCCATTATAGACAGTATGAGGATGTGCTTCCCAAAGCTCCCCCAAGTGTTCCCTCTGGTTATACTGCTCTAGCACCAGAGCTTGATGCACCGGCCAATCTGATGGATGCATCTACCAGTGCTCGTGCATCTTCATGACCTCCCCCTTTTTGTACTGCTAGAAATATATTCGGGCTGGTACGCCAGTTCTTTTTGTCCACCCCCCCTTCTCATGACCCAGAAGAAGCGGGTAACACTCCAAGATATCAGTTTCACCCCGGCTGTAGCCTCAACTGAGCCAGATGCCCTCATAGAGTCTAACGACATCTCATTTTCCCCCTACCCCAATCGATCCTCTTTTGAGCTGGGTCACTGGTACTGGCATGGAGGCGCACAGAAGTCCCAGCAGAGCTTCAAGGAACTTATCGATATCGTTGGTGATCCAGATTTTGATCCTGATGATGTCCGGAGTACTCCATGGGGCAGAATTAACTCACAGCTAGGTGTGAGTGTTTATGATAACGAGGGGGAGGAGTGGGAGGATGAGGATGCCGGTTGGCAAAAAATGCAAGTCAGCATTGAAGTACCTTTTTCTCGGACTGCAGCTCAGCCAGGACCTCGACCTTATGTGGCAGCCAAACTTTACCATCGGTCTCGCACCTCAGTCATTTGAGAAAAGCTTGCAAATGCTCAGGATGATGAGCTCTTCCATTATGAACCCTACCAACTGCGATGGAACACTCCTCATCTTCCCTGGGAGGTCGATATTCAAGGCAAGCTGTACACCTCACCGGCCTTCATGGACGCCCATTGTGATCTCCTCGAGTCTCCTGGAGAGCCAGGGTGCGATTTGCCCTGCGTGGTCGTCGCACTGATGTTTTGGTCAGATGCTATGCAACTGACAGCATTCGGTAATGCGAAGCTGTGGCCGGTGTACATGTACTTTGGAAATGAATCCAAATACCGCCATTGTAGGCCATCCTGCAACTTTGGGAACCATGTGGCATATTTTCAGAAGGTGACATCCCCCCTGAATCGATATCCTCGCATTGAAGCTCACACCTTGGCAGCTTCCGGATGCATTTAAAGACTTTGCGGGGACTTACACCAATGGCAAGGGTATTGGCCATGAATGCACAATGCATTGTCAGCGGGAACTGTTTCAAGCTCAATGGAAGATCTTGATCAATGGAGAATTTTTAGAGGCGATGTCTTAATAACTGAGGGTCTTATATAAATACGTGTAAGAATGTAATGACACCACAATTACACTGGATAAGACTTCTTGCCAGTCCTCGATTAACACGGTCTACGACTTTTCTTCTTTCGTGGTAGATAACGTGTGAGTTCTTGGGAGGCTCGCTAAACCAATCAGTCAGATTAACTTAGCCGGAGCTTTATTATCTCTGATTGAAACTATGGGATTGTCTAGGATATACCGTCTAGACACTTGAACTGGTTTCCTGAATATACGGTTAACTGTTGAGAAGCTGGTCTCAAATGTGACTACGTGGACCAAAGCTCGTGTTGGTCAATATACAAATACCTGGTGAGAACGCTGGTCTCACAAATAACAACAATGACAAATAAAAAAAAACAATGACAAATAACAACAATGACCAAAGCTCGTGTTGGTCAGTATACAAATACCTGGTGAGAACGCTGGTCTCACAAATAACAACGTTGACCAAAGCTCGTGTTGGTCAGTAAACACTACGTGGTGAGAACACTGGTCTCACAAAACTGGGTTTCTATCGCGAGAAACTTATGTAATCTCAAGGGAAACACTTTCCCTGCACTTGCCTGGACAGTTCTTACAAAGGAAATGGGCTTTGTAAGCAGCAATTTGTTCAGACTGAAGCTTCTTAGGTGAGAGTTCAATTTGCTCAAGTGGGGGTTCTTGAATGCAACAAGTGGGAGATCTATTTTTTTGGGGGAGAATGGGCTCTCCTTATATACATTTTGTGTGGGAATATTATGTAAGTAAAAAGGTGATGTAATGACTTCAGAATGTGAGAAGAATATTCCAAAAACTGGAGCAGAATGTTCTAGCAGGTGCAAAAGAACATTCCAGAATATTCATGGTGGGATAATGACATCATTCTGAGTCACTATGAGTCATTATGAGTCATTGGAATGTTCTAGCAAATTCCATGGAACATGACATCATTATGACATCACTATGATATCATATCTTTCAACCAAAATACCTGCAGGAGTGTAGGTGAAGTCCTATGACATCATTATGACATCATACCCTGTAGGTACAATTTTATGAAGCATCTGATTAGTCAGAGCATCCTAATAGAAAAGTAAAGTAAAGAAACACTAGAGAAAACAACTCAGAAATAATGGAACAAATAATAGTACACAATACGCGGGCTTTTTAGATAGGTTTTTGTTAGGCTTTGAACTTTTCTCTATGGGTTTCTCTAGCCAAAGTGAATAAGCCAAATGAAAGGCAATACATTAACCTTCATTTTGCTTCTCATATCAACTAGGTCATTATGTGATTCCCATCTCACATATGACTTTTCTTCAAAACATGGTGGATTCATGAATCGCTGAGGGAAAACTGAAACTATTGGACCAAGGTTTGATACCAAGGTATGGGTTGACTAGTCTGAGGACTAAGCTAACAGACTTTGTCTTTTAGGGGGATACCTAGTAGTCATGTCCATGCATGATTCCCAAATCATGCAGGACAGCGTATGGGCATGGGATGGTAATTCTCTGCTGTGACGGAGTCAAATGTAGGTTTTACTCGCGGGTCTTTACCTACTCTGCGGATTACCCTGAAAAGTGAGTTGTGATCGTTCTCCGTAAAATGTCCAAGCTAACCAAACCAGGGTGCTTGTTGCAACCATTCGGCAGCTGGGAGGTTGTCCTTGTCCTCGTTGTCTCATACCAACCGCGCAGCTTCAAAATCTGGGGATGACCCATGATCGGCAACAACGCTCAACCCTGGCGCAGTCCAATGTCTCGAGGAGTCAGCCTGTTAAGACCATACTCAAGTAGTATCGGATCTGAAGGGCTTCGGCCTCAGCTCGTGCGCTGTGCCCCTTTCCCGAGTCTTGCCCCTTATTTCAGAGTACTAGAGTATTGCGTATATTGAGACGGATAAGTCTCGTAACGGATCCGTTATGGCTTCCGGATATCAAATGTATATAATAACGGCTAATCCAGATCGGATCCGAGCTAGAAACTAACGGGCGAGGACTGTCCGAAGACAGAGGCGGATATATGGACTATAGGAATCAATCCTAAGTCTCAGAGTAGACAAGAGTATTGTACTCAAGTCTGGACGGATAACGGAGGGACTTAGAGTCCAGACAGAATGAGTGCAATCTAAGATGATATTCGAACTGATCTACTACAGCGCATGTACAAGGGTTTATATACTACGGATAACTAACGGAACGATCAATAAGCAAGGACGCGAGGCTATGTATGAAGTATAAGCAAAGTATGTGTACAGCATATTGGTAAGTCGGATGGATAACGAATCATAACTGGGAATGAAGTCTAAGCTAAAGCGGATCAGTAAGTGTAGTGGATCAGTAAGCATAACGGAAGTAAAGGGTGACCGGTATACCGGTGTACAGGAATACCGAAAGGAGATGAACGATTGTTAGAGTTATATGAACAGGACATGAAATAAGGATTAGATCGGATCTGTGGACTGGATGACGGATATGTCCATCGGATCTGGATCGGATCTGTACCCGGTGTCATGCATGGTATGGAGTTCATACCATGACATATACGAAAAGCAGTATAAAAGGAGATGAGTAGAGGAGTGTACAAAGGATATACTTCTCACTTATGTAAGCTTTGTTTCTATTTATTTAGTTGTATTTGTAGTTTCTGTCTCTTTCCATTTGTTCTTGTTTATTCAGCCACTTGATTACATCAGTGAGCCATTCAGATATGTTGTAAGCATGTCATGTGACTGGTAATATTCTGATTTGTAAGGACTTTCCATGACTCATCATGTTTTGTCATGATTCGTCATGCTTTGTAATATTTTACAGTGCTTTGTAATATTTTACTCATGTACTTTAGTAAGCAGCTGATTCAGCACACCAAAAGGCTTGGTTTGTAAGCATAATCTTACCAATCCAGTGATGACTCATTGCTTAGTAAGGATGGTTTCTAAAATGTATATAAGGACTCCATTCTCACATAATATATTAAGTTTTTCCCCTTCCATTCTTTTCCCAAACCATGTGGGAACGTAGGAATTTGAAGTCAGGAGTTTTCCCACTTTCTGTCTCAACACTGTGAGATCACGAAGAAAGTGAAGGCCTACAAGTTGCCTTTGAAAACAATCGTATTCACTAGTCTAGATTGATTGTATACTATCTTACAGGGATCGCCTATACAATAATCTATCGTTTTATCCATCATCTTACGTATTCGTGCCACATTCAGTTGAGAGGTCCATATTACCTACTAGGTTTAAGTAAACCTGACAAAATATATTATACTCCTTTACTATCAAGAAGTGATCTAGCAAAGAAGTAATTTATTACCCTTTGGCCACCCACGAACACCACATTATCAACCAAGAAGTAGAAAATCCGTTGACCGTGAACTTGAGGAGCTGGCACCTTAGTCTTAAAGAATACAATTGTGATAGTCATTGTATTCTGATCAACATATAAGACCCTCAAGTAAGAAGACACCGGGAATATGGTATATGACACAGCCCGTTATTACTGCACACAACCTTATATATGAGCGAAATCACAGTGTTGATAGTATGGCAGTTGAGGCACTTCTCAAACCTGATTTGTGGGTGCCGAACTCGGTGAGCATAATCGTCAGTCTCATTTGTCCCCTGAACTAATACCTGATCAGAATGTGCTGTCTGACAATCTTAGTGCATTTGGATTCAACGTGTTCATTGTGCTTGTCGTTGATCTCCTACACGAATTTGAGCTGGGGATATGGCACATGTTTCTAATTCATTTACTGAGAATTCTGACCACATTGAATAAGGACTTAGTACATGAGCTTGATAGGAGGTACCAAACATGTTTATGATGACACCAGGGGTACTCATTTCCATCTCTGACAGGTACAGACAGGTCCCCCTGTTTGGACCTGCCACCATTAGATGATTCTCTGCCAACACCTCCGAAATGTCAAACATGGCAGCACACAACTTTGAAGACCTTCTACAAGTATGCCTTTGGGAAAATTCTTACATATGTTCATGTGCTAACTTTGTACAAGTGTTCTATTCTGGTCTTTAACGGCCTCCTCCCTGATGCTCACAATAAAATTCTTCTCAATCTTCTTTTCATCATGGCGCATTGGCATGGACTTGCCAAACTGTGCATGCATTCCGACCTTACCTTGGAAATTCTCGACCAGCAAACTACCAACCTCGGTGAAAAATTCTGTCACTTCAAATCGAAGGTATGCACTGCATACTGCACACAAGAACTCGACCGTGAGGTCGATGCGAGATCCCGTCAGCAGGCAAAGAATGTTGCTAGACGCATGCAGAGCAGCATGGTGAATGACACTGGGCAAGGGATGGTGACTCAAAAGGAGGCAGGGCCTAATGTTAAAGGGAAACAGAAGGTCAATCTGAAGTGGTCGCAGGATCCACGTTTACCAAGCCAACCGAGAAGGAAGAAATTACTAAATCTTCAAACATACAAATTTCATGTGCTAGGCGATTATGTCACTTCCATTCGTCGCTTTGGTACCACTGATTCATATAGCACAGAGCCAGTAAGTCATGATCTGCTCCCCATCCTCTCTCCGGCTCAGTTGCTATCAGGGAGAGTTAGAGCACCAAACACTGAAAGGCAGATACTGTTGGACTGACTGCAGAAACTTCATACACCAACTAACTCAGATGGAGGGCTCCTTGGACCTGTACTCCCACATACATTTGGGTGGCACCAATACTCGGTGCTTCCCAGCGCTCTTCGTCAAACATGACAAGACGCTATCACTGTATAAGTGATTCCAAGCACTGTCGATCTCGAGAGCCCCGCCCAAATAAACAACAGCGCTAGCCGTGCTCCACACCAACTAGTGGCACAGGCGGGTCGTCACCGACACCCACTGGCATAAGTCAGTAACACAACAATGATACCCCACTGGCATAAGTCAGTAACACAATAATGATACCCGGCTCTTCCTAAGTAATAGACTATGATCTTTGCAGTTGTTCGCCCTCATCGAGATGAACACTCAAAACTGCAAGCTTGCTGCAAAAACTCGTGGTGCGCCTCGAACAAAGGGATCAAAGAACCCTTATCTCATATGCTTGATTGCTAGCTAACAATCACACTCCCACTCACGCCACTCCTTGAGGCATGACCCATATCATATAGCACAAAGGAGCGGAGATTACTCTACAGGCTTTTAAGACGACAAGAGAATGTCGAATCCTGCAGCCCTCTCTGATTATAAGACTTTACCCTCAACAGTAACCATCCTCATACAGTGGCTCAAAAAACCGTCCGTATGTTTTGGCATTTTTCACTATCTATAATATTGTGTGAGAACAAACAAATGCCTCAAAAACATGCTTATACCACATTGTAGTATGGCTTCAGGGCTTTCATTTGAGCCCTACACCGTGGGAATCGGTGGAAATATGGTGGAGATACAAGGCTCACAAAAATGGTGACTCATGCGGACAGTTTTTTGACTCAAGTATTTTACAGTAATAACCAGGTATTCTAGTATTTTGTATGACCTCCCTTGGCTTTAATTACTGCCTCTATCCTTCTAGGCATACTCTCAATTAATTTCTGGCAATCCTCAGCTGTGATCTTCTCCCATTCCACTGCTACTCTCTCCCAAAGCTCCCATACTCCTTTAGGGGGGTTTTCATAGGCTTGAAGCTTTTTCTTGAGTGTTCCCCAGAGATGTTCAATGACATTGACATCAGGAGACTGTGCTGGCCAGTCAAGAACATTGATGTTATGTTCTTCAAACCATTCCCTAGCTCTTCTGGATGTGTGCTTGGGATCATTATCCTGTTGGAAAATGATATCTTCTTCATCAATCCCTGATTCTGCCAAGCTAGGCAGCAAGTGGTCATTTAAAATGTCCACATACTGCTCAGCATTCATCTTCCCTCAACCTCAGCAAGCATTCCCACACCATTCCATCCCATACAGCCCCATACCATTAAAGAACCTCCTCCAAACTTGACAGTCCCATTAACCTCTCTGTCTGTTAGGCCATCTCCCTTCTTTTTCCATACATACACCTTCCCATCTGACCCAATCCTATTGATTTTGGTCTCATCTGACCATATAACATGCTTCCAGTCCTCTACAGTCCAGTGTTGATGAGCTAAGGCAAAGGCTAGTCTTCTCTGCCTATGTTTGATGGAGAGAAGAGGCTTTTTTCTTCTTTGTTACTGCCTTGAGATGAGCTGCCTTGAGAACATTCCTCACAGTTTGTGAAGAGACAGGGGTAAGTGATGGTGGAATTGATATAATGGGTGGCTTGGACAGCATTATCAGCCTTTCCTGTAGTGATATGTTGGATAATAGCCCTTTTGTCAGTAGAGGTAAGCTTGGATGGACGTCCTCCACAAGAGTTTTCCTTGTCTGGGTGGCTTTCTTTGATGAACTTGGCCACAGTGGACTTGCATATTCCAGTTCTAGAGGAAATTTGGCGAGCAGAGAGGCCAGCATAAGACAGAGAGAGGATATTATCTCTTTGAGCAGAGGAGATGGCTTTCATGGTGATTATGACTATGATACATGAGATATTCTGGTTTATATAGTTAGATATAGTCATAAAATAACATAATGACACCACTTTATAATTTATATAATAGTCGCATGATTTTTATGGTGTCATAAATAATGATTTATATAGTTTTAATATACACTCAAAAAACTGTCCACATGAGTCATCATTTTATAAGCCTTATATCTCCACCATATCTCCGCCGATTCCCACGGTGTAGGGCTCAAATAAAAGCCCTGAAGCCATACTACAATGTGGTATAAGTATGTCCTTGAGGAATTTGTTCATTCTCACACAATATCATAGATAGTGAAAAATGTCAAAACATGCGGACAGTTTTTTGAGCCACTGTAAGATGACCAAAGCTTCTGCTCCCCAGGCGCCTACGCCTAATACACAACATATGATGACTGATTCCCGCGAAAACAAACACAACAGAGCTATTATGTCCTCCCCTGACCTATCAGAAGAAGAAGAGTCTCCAAGCTCAGGAAAACGACCTACCATCGGTAGAAATGAAGGAGTTACCATTCCCACTCCCCCCGCTGTCACCACCCAAGTCAATCCCTGGCAATACCTACAGTCTGCGTCCAACGGAACAGTAGGTAAGTGGCTATTGCTGACATTGTCAAACGCACCATTAGTGCTGACCATAGCGTGTCAGAGTTCATCCACAAGAATATTCCCAGTCCCGATGCAGAAGCGGCCTTAAGAGCCATCAACTCCATCCGCATATCGAGCCTCAATGTCTCTGTGGCCCGCAACACCACACACAGTTTGGAATGTACACGTAGACTCCCCCCCTAACCTCAGCCTCAAAGACTACTTCGAGTGGACATCCCGCATCCGCAACTTACTCTTCATTTCAGAAGAGTATGGCTCCGCTACTGTCCGCACAGAGGAACGACAGTTCGTGTGCTCGGGTTGTAAGTCCTTCGACCACCCCACAGGCTTATGCCCGTTCCCCAAGATACAAGGGTGGTTTGGCCCCGCAGCCAGCACATCCGAGGACTCATCCAAAGCCTCGCTCGACAGTCGCGCCAATCATAGCGCCCCCTCCTCCAAATCTAATGCTTTGCCAAGGGGAAGAGGCAACAGAGGTAGAGGAAGAGGTCTGGGAAAGAAAGGACGTGGCCAATACTAGTAGTCACTATAAGTCCCCCCTTTCCACTTAAGAATAGATTAGTAAGAAGCGCTCCTGAAAGCTATATGAATCAATGTATTCGGCCGTGACAATCCTGTAGAGTGAGGTCTATGAGAAATTGAGATACCGCTGTGGGTATCACAACCTGGCAGGCACATATAAGAAAAGTGCTCAGCCAGTATAAGTGAGTCTCAGCTCTGCCTAGCTGCTATACTCGCAGAATGCAAGAATGTTCGACCCTAAAGGGGAAGCAAGGAAAGCAAGGATCCACGGAATGATGCTGAATAACCCTGGTGAATGGCGGTGAAAGCGTGAGAAAGCGCTGAGGGCGCGCGCGGGAAGGTAGTGCAAGCGGTGCACAGGTGTAAAAGATATATACTGAGACTGATAAGAGGAAAAGCACGGATCTAGACGGATACTGGTAGTGCCACTAGCTATAGACTGATGCTAGGGCCTCAAAACGATGATGGACACATGCATTGCATGGAACTAACTGGTGATAGATACTGAGTGGTAGGAAGCTAAGCTGTGGTGGTAGGAAGCTAAGGTGGAAAAGTTGGGTGTAAAACAAACATGAGAGTATGTAAGTTCTACCTAAGCGCTCTCCCAGGGCTCAGAGCTGAATAGGGAGTGCTCTAAGTATGTAAGTGAGGTAAGGTGATGTAAAGTAAGGGTGCATAACGAAATAGGAAGTGTAATATGCCAAATATAGTCAGATAACAAAAAGGGACATACCAAGGGACTGGTTGGACGATGGATGGATGCTCCTGGATGATGCGTGATGCAGTGCGCTTAAGCACGAGAAAGTGTGCAAGGCGCGCACGTGGGAATACTGCGCATTGTGCAGGAAATGTCGCACCTATGGCGTGTTTCATGGGAAAGTGGTGTGCTCTATAGGGAAGTCATAGTGGATGATAGTGCGAGTCGTGCAGTAAAGGCCAGTCGTCAGAATTTGTAATATGGGCCCATATGTGCCTGCAGAAACGTGAGTCTCTACATCTCCCGGGGACTTTGAATACTGAGTGTCCCCACTCAGAGCGCGTCTGGTGAGGATCTCGAGCAAAGTCGATGATATGGGTATGTGATGATTGGCAGGTGTGATGTGCGTGTGCTCAGATGATAATGCAACTAAATGCGAAGAGGCGTGGCTAATGTGCGATGTGCGCGAGCGTGGGAACGTGTGACTGAAGCGCGAGAATGCGTCGCATATGGTGGGTTGCGCGAAATGACTCTGGTACGGCAATCATGATATGAGCTCGAAACTATGATAATGGTGATCATGCGAGGAGTGCTCGGCTATTGAGATGACTGATAGTGTGAATATGGTGCGGATGTGACACATTAGGCGCAGGAATGTAGTGCGTGAAAATGCGTGAAGTGCGACACTGCGAGGAACATGACGGAATGGTTGCATGATGTGCAAAACTGCAAGGAAGCATAAGGCGATGATAGTGCGAGTCGTGCAGTAAAGGCCAGTCGTCAGAATTTGTAATATGGGACCATATGTGCCTGCAGAAATGTGAGTCTCTACACCACGTTAACTCAATGTCACGCATATGCCAAGTGTCTATAGGGGCCCACATTTACTACGTGTGAGCTGCTCACTGAGAGTATCTTGCTGTAGGAAAGCCCCGGACGCAAATAAATTCGAACAGCGACCTTTTTAGGTCCGGGATGTGCCGTGCCGAGAGGCTGAAGTCATGGTACACAGTGATTATCGGCCTCACCTGAAGTCATGAGCCCCTACGACATTGTCCCCCCCTCACAGATGAGGACAATCTGTGCTGACTGAATTGCTCGGTTGAAGCCCAGACAGTAGATCAACCACTACACACATAAATATTCAACCCCCCCACAACACGGTACATACAAACGGCAATGGTTACAGACCCCTCGAAACTGGAGAGGACTATGCTTCGCCTGTCAGCCGTGTCCTCGATGAAGGTTTTGCGGGTTATGGTGACGGGCACCGGAATGCTAACCTCTCTTCAACAGCCAGCCCCCCACCACATGAGCCTACCGCTCTCTCAAACAATGAATCAAACGTTGCGGCAAACGCCAATATGCATATAGCACAAGACCTTGAAGTCCAAGGCTCGGAATGGCCACCGAGCCGTCCCACAATTGTGGATGAAACAAGTCGGGAGCAACCCCACATCCCCAATGTTAACACAAATAAGTGTACTAAGAAAAAGAATAAGAAAAACACGCGCGCCAATGTCAAAATAGCCTCTCTTAACATGCGAGGAAGATGGCACCAAAGCTCAGACAAGTGGTCACATCTGAATCAAATCGTCAGAGAACAAAAAATAGGCATCATCGCCTTACAAGAAACGCACCTCTCCAAAGCTGATGAGGACGCCCTCAATCAAGTATCAGGCTCAAGACTCCATATTATCTTGTCTATTGACCCCGATCAAATGAACGCCAAAGGCATAGCCATAGTCCTAAACAAGAACATCATGGACACATCCCATGTTAAAACAATCGAACTGATTCAAGGGAGAGCGATACTATGCACCATAAAATGGCACAATGAGCACAAACTAACGATCTTAACGATCTATGCACCTAATGACCCGACCGATAACCAACGCTTCTGGGAGGAAATTGCCCAGTCAATAAAAGACCATCCACGCCCAGACATTATGTTGGGCGACTTCAATCTTGTAGAGGATCCTCTGGACCGCCTCCCACCAAGGCAAGACACATTCAACGCTACTAGCGCCTTAACGGATCTCAAACTATACCTTGGCTTAAGGGACGGTTGGCGGCATGAAAACCCCAACACCTTAAAATACACCTTTTCCCAGTCAACACAACAAGGAGGTTGACAATCCCGCATTGACCGCATCTACATGAGCGATAGCTTCATACCATTCAGCAAAGAGTGGGATATCTCACCTTCGGGCATACCAACAGACCACCAAATGGTCTCTACAAAACTCTCGGATAAGAGACTGCCCTACATCGGCAAAGGTAGATGGGCTATGCCACTTCATGTCCTCAAGGACAAAAAGCTAGGAGAAGACATCCTAAAACTTGGGAAGGAATTACATGCCAACATCAGTAACTCCAAAACTGACCGCTCTGAAGAATACAACCCACAGACCATGTTCAAAGAATTCAAAACGAAGGCAATAAAGCTCTGTAGAGACACAGCTAAGAGATCGGTTCCATCACAAATCAACAAACTGAACACTCAGCTCAAAATGTCCCTCAACGACACAACTATTCCAGAGGAGGAGCGTCGCATAATAGGATCCCACATCCAGGAGAAAATTGACTCCTTAACTAGAATCCAGCATGAGAAAGCCAGGGACAACCTAATGGCCAAAATAAGAATAGAAAGTGAATCGGCTACAAGCAAATTCTGGGCAAGACTAGGTAAGAACCAGAAACCCAGAGACACGATCATAGAATTAAGAAAACTAGACTCAACAATAGAGGAGCCATCATATGAGAAATGATCGGACAAAATGGCTGAACTGGCTAGGGATTTCTATGAATCGCTTCAAAATGAAGGATTAGTGTCCTACACAGAAAGACAAACAGCGACCAAAGAAGTACTGAATGCAATACAGACGCAGTTGTCGCCCGAGAACAAACATGAACTGGAAAAGAACTTATCATCAGATAATGTCAGTGAGGTCATCGACCTCCTACCTAATGGGAAAGCTTCAGGGACCAATGGTCTCCCATACGAATTCTGGAAGTGGGTGAATAATAAATCAAAATCCCTATCCGAAAAGGATCAAGATGAAGAACCGTTCAATTTCATCGATTGCCTCACAGCAGTACTCAACGATGTTGAGATTCACGGAGCAGCACCCAACACCTGTTTCGCTGATGGTCTGCTACACCCTCTGTATAAGAAAAGCGACAAAAGAGAAATCACAAACTACCGACCTATAACCCTTCTAAACTGTGACTATAAAATCCTGACAAAAGTGTTAGCCCTTAAACTAGCGAGAACCATACCCTCAATCATTCATGAGAACCAAGCAGGCTTTGTACCTGGTAGAAGCATCACAGACCAAATCCGTCTGACCCAACTCATCATGAATTACACCGAGGTCGAAGAAGAGAATGGCGCGATTGTTGCACTCGACCAAGAGAAAGCCTACGATAAAATAGCGCACAATTACCTCTGGCAGGTCCTAGATCGCTACAGACTACCCGAGAAATTCATTAACACCGTCAAATCCCTATATAAGGACACTGAAACATCAGTAATGATCAACAGAGAAATCAGTATGAAATTTAAAGTATCTAGGGGAGTCAGGCAAGGTGACCCACTGTCCTGTCTGCTTTTCAACCTCGCAATTGAACCCCTAGTGGAACAACTCAGACAATCTGACCTAACAGGATTTAAAACTAAAGAAATGGCTTACCACATTGTAGTGACAATGTTTGCCGATGACACGGCTGTGTACCTAACCGAGAAAGACGACTTTGGAGCCCTTGTAGTCATACTGACCAAATGGTGTAAAGCCTCTGGCGCTAAATTTAACACCTCAAAAACAGAAATAATCCCAATAGGAACCAAATCCTACTGTAAACGTGTCCTGGAGTCAAGGCGTCTCAATGAAGCCTCCCAACCACTGCCCGAAAACATTGACATAGCAAAAGATGGGAAGGCAACACGTATCCTAGGAGCCTGGATAGGCAACGGTATAGACGAACAGGCCGTCTGGTCCCCAATTGGCGAAAAGATTGAAAGTTCCCTGGAGCGCTGGGAGAAATGGTGTCCTACAATAGATGGAAGAAAAATCATCATCCAATGTACGATAGGGAGTATGACGCAATACCTCACAACAGCCCAAGGTATGCCTAAGGAAATTGAATGTTCCCTGACAAAACAAACCCATCAATTTATATGGGATAGCAGAGGAAAGAACTCTATTAGCCTGGAAACCCTCTCTGCCCCGATCAACGAAGGCGGCAAGAACCTCCTACATCTTCAACATAGAAATGAGGCAATCGAACTAAAATGGTTGAAAGGCTTACTAGCCCCCCCAGATAAACGCCCAACCTGGGCCTTTTTTGCACAAGTACTTCTTGCTAAACACGCACATGAATCCCCGGTCATCAAAGAGAAGGCCAAAATTAACCCCTTCTTACAAACGTGGTCTCCCACTCTAAAAAAGCTGCCTCTAAACCTAAAGAGAATCCTCAAAACGGCTAAAAAAACATAACTTACGGTGGGAAATACTGGTAGCGTCCGCGCAAATAACAAACCATCTCCCAATCTGGTTCCATATAGGAGCCTCGGAAGAACTGAATAAGATGAATAACTGCTACTATGCAGCGTGCCTAAGAGAAACTATAATGCCACCTTAGTACCACATATATCAGAAATAGCGAACAGAAACGATCCTACGCATAGAAAGCGCAAGGAGTGCACCTGCTCCCCCTGTTCTGAGGATAGAAACAACCTAAACTGCGCTAAACCTTTCAAATGTGCCCAACTGGCAAGAGATATAATGAAATGCATACTACCTAAGTGGAACCCAAAAACCATAGACCAGTCATTCAACCTGGACCTAACGTCTGAACAGATCAGCGACAACGAGAAAGCAATTAAAAAACACAAAGTCGTTATCTTCGACCCTAAAATTCCCTCACTGTCATCGGTCGAAGAAGGATTCAGGGTGTTCACATCCCCAGAAATGCAAAGCAAGACCCCTGCAAGACAGGACCCTCCATATCAGCTGAAATTCACCATCCAGTAAGAGTCTACATAGCTGGTACTCACCAGGTCAACAAACACGGAGACTTCAAAGCTGGAGGTAGCATATGCCTTGCTCAAAACAATGACCAGAACACCGCGATTAAACTGCCGGAATCATTAGCATCCCCCGGCACTGGAGAAATAGGTGCCCTATTGAAAACGGCAACCATGGTCCCAGGATACGTCCCTCTGGACATCAAACTGGAATCAAACGAAATCATTAAAGATCTGTCAATAATCCTGCAAAGGAACAAATCTCTTAACTACCATGCAAATTGACAAAGCCATGTCACCAAGCCTCGTCAAAGCCACGAAAAACCTAGCTAAGGAAGGAATGAGTAAAAATGAAACCAACAAAATTGACACCTCCATCTCGAGGCCAATGCACTTGAGCGGAATAAGCCTACAGAAAGGGACACAAAACATTTTCTATAAATGCATTAGAAAAATGGTGGATCAGCCAACTAAAAGACGCCTCACGAGAATGAACCTTGCACGAACTCAGTACGCTGTTTGTGAAATTAGACAAGAAACACCTACCAAACAACTAATCTGGAAGTCCATTAGGGATAATGACATCCCGAAAAACATACAAGGATTCCTGTGGAAAATGATACACAGCGCATATAAGATCGGCGAATATTGGGAAAAGATACCTAACTTCGAGCAACGAAGCAAATGTGGGCTATGCGGAGACACGGAGTCCATGGAACATATCTTACTGGAATGTACTAAGTCAACTGCGAAAGAAACAGTATGGGCCGCTGCGAAAGCCCTATGGCTCAAGAGGGAAAAGAGTTGGCCGGAAATCACGGTAGGCTCGATCATGGGCTGCAACTTAGCTAAGTTCAAAAACGATAAGAATAAGATTATGACTGGCAAAAAACAGATTACTAATGATCATCCTATCGGAATCCGCTCACCTATTATGGAAGACTAGATGCGAACGAGCCATTAAATTTGAAAACAATATTGAAAAACACCATTCGAGTACTGAAATCTATAACAGATGGATTCATGTGATGAACATGAGACTGAAATTCGATAAACTACTTACTGACTCCAAAAGGTACGGTAAGAAGGCAATTAAAGCTGAAAAAGTCCTAAAGACTTGGAGTGGCCTTCCGGACAACTGGGTCCACCAATCAGGGGTTTTAGTGAGTATGGTACCTCGCCATCCTCTGGGACGGAAAAAATAAATTTGAGGTATTGAGTCTCACACTGCAACAATGCGTACATAAAGTATTTCCTCTGGGTGACTAATTAATTAACTAATACACGGGTGCAAGCCCTGTAACCTTAACATATCCTTTTGGGCTGACTTTGTCAGTTGCTACTGGATAACACTGTTCCACCCCAAAAAAAAAAAAAAATTACTCAGATAGAACGCTGCCAAACGCGCTTATGCCGTATCAAAAAATGGCAGACAACACGGGCCCCTCATGCTCAGGTTGACGAAACTGCGACTGACCCACAGCTACACCATCATATTGGACAAAGCAAGAAGAGTTTCGATGAGTTGGGACATTATCTCCGCAGTCATGTGGGAGACCCTGCCATGAAGGTATGACTTTCAGGGGCTTGATCTCATCATTCTAACATATGACACAGGACTTCCTTCCACAATTGAAAGATCATATCCTGGACCACATAGGGACTCCTGGATCTTCTGTGGAGAACACCACCCTTACCAACCAAGAACAAAGTTCAATTTTCTTCAAGCGCAATAGAATCTACCATCACAATGTCGTCAGGTTTAATTATATGACGTATGACATATGAAGGGCCCAAGACGTGATAAACCCGAAGACCCCCCATTGCAATGTCATGCTACTCCAGCACGGCGATGGACATGATGACAAATATTGTCATGCGAGGGTTCTCGGTATCCACCATATTAATGTCATTCATTCAGGCAACATGTATGAATCCTGCCGAATAGACTTTCTGTTTGTTTGGTGGTATGAACTTACACAAAGCCATGCATGGGAAACACATGCTTTGGGACGGGTTCACTTCCTTCCTTTGTCGAATCCAAATGCCTTTGGCTTCATGGATCCAGGAGCGGCTCTGAGGGCATGCCATATAATTCTGGCTTTCTCTCATGGCTGGCGCAATCTGAACTGCGGGATTTCTCCCCTTTCAGGAGATAAACATGACTGGCTAGAATACTACATTAACAGGTGAGCAATCTTATTCATATGAGTCATATATACGGATATCATCTAACTCCACCAGTTTTGCTGATCGTGACACACTCATGAGGTTTCATTATGGCCTTGGGGTAGGCCACATGTACTCACATATGGTAGGGATCTTAGACGGTCATAGCTTGGCACAGCAACCTGCCACTCAGACAACCGCCTATATGGAAGATGAAGATGTTGAAGGCAAAGAAAACTTCACAGAAATTGCCCATCCAAGTGACGGTGAACAGGATGAGCATGACAAAGAGGGCCATTACTTTGGCATTGAAGAGTTGAATTTTTTGAACAAGGAAGGAATGCAAGCATGGAGTCCCTCGCAGAGGTGCTAGACGATATGTTCATGGGCCATGCTTTTGATTATGAAAATAATGTTATATTACAGCAATAGAACCCTAGTAGTCTGATGGGCACAAATCCACAGGTTCAAGATGGCCAACAACTACGATGGCCAACACATAATATGCCCGTAAATTATTGATGGCCATCAATTGTATTAAGATCACTAGTGATTATTGGTGGCCATCAATTACAGATTGGCAGCCAGCAGTTACAAATGGCCACCAACTAGCAATGAGAGAAGTAATGGCCACTACTGATCAGTAACGCATTATACCATTTCTAACTTTTGCGTTTAACCTTTGCTAATGTCTGGCAGGCTTTGTTACTTTTTGATCGGCCTTTATCAACATTGTTGGCTGTTATCAATTCCCTCCTCACCTACCCCACCCTGAATCGATGTCTCCAGTGTGGTTATATGTACCCACTATGGGTGATATCCTTCAGCTCGTTCGGCTTGCCATAAGTACAAAACATTGTACAGTAAATCCGCTGATGTGACAACCTTCTCCTCTAGCATGAAGAGGTTTGTCGTCATCCATCAACTATTGTTTCATTTTACCTTTTTGCTCTCAGCATCCGTTCACCGCCATTACTACGGGATTGTATGTTGTTGTAGGGTATCTCGCTAATCACCACCAAGTATCGCCAATCTACGTGAGTTTTACTTCTCAAATGCAAAGGTTTAATCTCACTGTATTTGTTTGTAGTGCGAACAGTCCTTCCAGGAGGCTCAGCCTTGGACTGGTTGGCTTACACAACTTGGGTGGCTGATTATCCCCAGCGAGAGGGATATTACCCACCTTCATAAGTTATTCACAGCAACAGTGAGATGTTCACGGTATCAAACATTTCATCTTTGAAACAACAGATCTAGCCAACTGATGGCACTCATATTAGTGCAATAACCCCTACATGCTGTAGAGCTGATGCCAGAGGTATCCATTTGCCTACTTGGCTCGTGAGTGTTGTGCTCAGCCCTCATGCACATCCCTCATTGCAGTACATTTATAGCTCCAAGAGTTGTTGGATGCATCAATTCAATTCTTTTATGCCCCGTTTCCAGATGGGTATCCGCCTCCTGCTGCTGCCCCAGCACAAAAATTCATGTATGAGGCGCCACCTTCCGCCCATTCAAGTACTCTCGATAACGCGCTCTCAGATGTCCTCCTATTTGACCTCACAGCCACGGAGCTTCAAGAGATTGATTGTGGCTATAACTACTGGGGGTTGTCCACTATTGGCTCTCTCAATGGTATTGACAATCCTGCCGGGCCCCTTTTGGATGATGTGGATGAGGATTTCCCCGAGGAGCTAGCCCTCCAGGTTTTTCATCCTGACCTACAATGGAGAAGGTCTAAGGGTTGCATGTGGGAAACCTTGAATAAAAAGCAACGAGGCACCCTCACCTGTGCAATGAAGAAGTCGTCTTGGTGGCGGATTGTGATGCTCACTAGGGCCATGTTTATTGGAGGTTTGTGGGTAGGAGAGCGCCAAAACTCATTTAGGATTTCTCAGACTGAAGTTCGACGGATGGTGACCAATGACTTTCTCACCACGCTTTGTTTAGTTCACAAGACTTATGAGGAGATGCTGGATCAACCAGGTCAGTGCATTGCATCTTAGATGCTACCAGCTACTATCTTACAGTTTCATCAGTGAATGCCAAATTAACCAACGGAATAACTATTTCTGCTGGGTGGCTGGAGTTCCATATGAACATACACCTTCTCTTGCTTTCACTTTCTCCTTACTGATGCGAGCAGCTTGCTAAGGCATTCGACAATTCAAAGGCGGAACTAAGGAAGGTGGTCAAAGGTGAAATGTCACCACACACCAACTTTTGCGCTTCTTGGGATGAGATAGAAACGAGGGTCACTCACTTTGTACTACTTTCAACTCGGACGAAAACCATGACATACGGGACTCAAAATCATGGTTACTGTACTCACTCAAAACTTTTTGTTTTTCAGGTGCACCAGGCGATTTCTGAGCTTATCGGGGAACAAGTTTTCTTAGAGCTCCTTTGGGAATTGCTCTTTCACCCAGTCAGCAAGTTAGCAGATGGACAACACAATGGGAGGCTAGCAGATCTCTTTCCAGAAGAAGTCTTTTCAAAGTTCAACTGTCTGGCCCAGAAACCGGTGTGAAAGAGATAATAGCGACTAGGCTGGTTAGAAACTAGCGCTACTTATCCAAATAGGCGCGAGTGTAGTATTCGACCCAAGAGGACTGCTATTGAAGCAACTCCCTTCTAATATGCAAGGGTAGTGATAGCGCGAAGGACTAATAACCTATAGCGACCTAAGACCAAAAACTGATGAGTAGCGCTATAGCGATCAGCAACTAGCGACAAGTGAGTTCTGACAGAGAAACATGCGTATAAGTGAGTAGCGCTGTGCAAGTTGTTTTGTGCGATAGCGCTACGCGACGTCCGACTAGCGACAGCAAGAAGAAATCAAAGGAAGGGAAAGTGAGGAATAAGGTAAGATAGTGCAAGTGAAAGGCCCAATAGCGACTAGATTATAGCTCGACTACCGATAGCGATCCCGACATTGCGAAAATCAAACTTATGAGGGAACTTTAGCGACGCGCACTCAAAGCAAGTCAAGCGACGCGCACTCAAAGCAAGTCAAGCGACGCGCGATCAGAGTGATTGGCAAGAGCGGAATCGATGTAGAGACTCGCGTTTCTGCAGGCGCATATGGGCTCATTTTACGAATTCTGACAACTGGCACTTTATTGCATGACTCGCCCATCATCCACTATGACTTCCACCATGGAGTGCACCACTTCCCGTGAAACACGCCATAGGCGCAACACTTTCCCACACTATGCGCAGCATTCCTGCATGCGCACCTTGCGCGCTTTCTCGCACTTAAGCGCACTGCGTCACACATCATCTAGGAGCATCCATCCATCGTCCAACCAGTCCCTCAGTATGTCCCTTTTCGTTATCTTCCTATTTCGTTATGGACCCTTACTTTACATCACTTTACCTCACTTACATACTTCAAGCACTCCCTATTCGGCTCTGAGCCCTGGGAGAGCGCTTAGGTAGAACTTACATACTCTCATGTTCGTTTTACACCCCACTTACCCACCTTAGCTTCCTACCACTCAGTATCTATCACCAGTTAGTTCCATGCAATGCATGTGTCCATCATCATCTTGAGGCCCTAGCATCAGTCTATAGCTAGTGGGCATTATCAGTATCCGTCTAGATCCGCACTTTACCTCTTATCAGTCCCAGTATCCGTCTTCTACACTTGTGCACTGCTTGCACTACCTTCCCGCGCTTCGCGCACTTTCGCACTTCGCTTTCCCATGCGCGCTTTCTCGCGCTTTCACCGCCATTCACCAGGGTTGTTCAGCATCATTCCGTGGATCTTTGCTTTCTTTGCTTCCCCTTTAGGGTTGAACATTCTTGCATTCTGCGAGTATAGCAGCTAGGCAGAGCTGAGACTCACTTATACTGGCTGAGCACTTTTCTTATATGTGCCTGCCAGGTTGTGATACCCACAACTGGAGCCCACCGTGAGGGGGCCATCTGACACAGCGACCAGTTCATCCCTAGACCTTTATATGACACGTGCATTTACGCACTCCATCTGCGCTCCTCCATCCGCACTTTTCGATCCGCGCTTTTCCACGCCTAACGCGACCATCTTTGCGCCATGTATGACCCCCTAGATTCATCTGGAATGCCCCTTCGAATAGCCAACTCAGCGCCGCGCTTTGCAGGCGATGGTACTCAGCTCGTCAACTTCCTAGAGTCAGTAGAACAACTCGCGCAACCACTTGGTTTAACGGACAAGGAGATCATTAAGTATGCCTTGAAGTATACAACGTTTGAACACAGGCAGCTTCTCTCATACCACAAATTTGACAACTATGTGGAATTTGCTGATCAGGTCTTGGATTTTTGGCCAGAATGTGGTGATTGCCACTATACGCGCCCTATCTTCGAAAAAACGGCCGCCATCGAAGCGCCCCTTGCAAGTGCACCTCCGCATCCAGAACGCGCTCAAGAGCAACCAGAAGACGAATCCACCGCCCCCAACGCACTTAATGTGATGCCCACCACATGCAACCTTATAGAGACTACAGGTGAAACACACCATCCGGAAGTAGAAGATACTGCGCCTTTGCCCCTCGCTCCGATGTCTCAATCTGACCTTGTATGCTCATCGCACTTTAGCGCGCCTAATCAGGTGCCTCCTGCAGCGCCAGAGCTTGAATATGCGACACCAGTAGACCAGAGTATGTCCCTCGACAATCTGTGCATTACTGACGAAACCGCGCTTTTTAACGATAGCAGTTCATGCTCTTCAACCAAATGTCCAAGTGGTGCATCAGATGCGCATCACATGGATCATGTTCCAGACGACCAAGACGCATACCTTGACCCGCTAGAACCACTCCAGAAGAAACGCGCATAAATGCACTAATGGTTTGTATGAATGTCCCTCAGTTAACGCGATTTATGGTTGTTATACGTCGAAAGCTCTCAAGGAGCAAAGCGCCTATTGCCATGTTGCCGCCCATAGCCTATCAGGCTTTCCAGGATAATGTCCTTGATGATCCGCATGCATTTTCATTGAGCGCTCAATGCGCCTTTGACATATGGAGATTCCACATTTTCGTTACTGACACTGTTTTGACCCTTGCACCGGTTACCAGCTATCCGCCTTTGAAGCGCAGCCATATTGGTCTAGACTCGCCACCAATGCTTAGTATTCTCACGCTCTGCGCGCGCCTGACTGCGCAATGCGCTTGTGTTTGTGAAACTAATCTTGGAATCGCCTCTCAATATTGCGTTTTTAGCCCTGCACTCCCCACCAAGCGCATTTCAAGTACCTTGCAGCAGATTACCGTCAACCAGATGTTCATGCACGCGCCGTCCCGCCCAAATCTGCATTCAGTATCACCAGCCATCCCACGCAAGCATCACATTTCGCCTCTATGAGCGCGGAAGTTGCAGTTTATGCAGAAGGAAGAAGAAAGAAGACGAAGAACCCCCTAGAGCGCGCCCCTCCACAGTATTAGATAGGCGGGTGGGCCGAAGTGCAGAATTTTACATAGACGGGTGGGCCGACATCGGGTAATATCAAGTACCAAGTACTAAAACCCAAAACCCAAAACCCAAAACCCAAAACCCAAAACCCAAAACCTGAAACCTGAAACCCGAGCCCTGAACACCCAGACTCGGGACTCAAGAGACTCAAAACTCAAAATTCAAAACCCAACTGGAAAGTCATACATTTTTACGAGTTAAGAAAATTCAAATTTAAGATGATATACATTTTTGTCATCTGGAAATACCGAGTACCGAGTACCGAGACCTGATACCCAAGACCCGAGATTCGGCACTCGGTAGTCAGTGAAATGAGTACAGAAATACATAAGATACTACACATTAGTGTCAAATTTTGACTTGTGAATCACAAGTCTCGAGTCTCGAGACTCGAATCACCGAGTACTGACTACCAAGTACCAAGTACTGAGTGCTGAGTGCCGAGTGCCGAGTGCCCTGAGGCTTCCGGGTATTAAAACACAGATAGCCCTCGCTCTCAGGGGGTCATCAGAATTTAGATCACCTCAAACGGATGTGATTTGGGTGAGATATGAGCAAAATACTATATACCGGGTGAATTTCAGCATTGGAAGTTTGATGCTTTCGATGTTTTTGATGTCGGGTCTTGATGCTTTCGGGCATTAACATGTAGATAGCCCTCGATGTCAGGGGTGTGGTAAAATTTAGATTGTCTGAAACAGATATAATTTGAGTGAGATATATGCAAAATACCACACACTGACTACCAAGTGCTGAGTACCAAGTGCCAAGTGCAGAGAACCGAGTTCCGAGTTCCGAGTTCCGAGTTCCGAGTTCCGAGTTCCGAGTTCCGAGTTCCGAGTTCCGAGTTCCGAGTTCCGAGTTCCGAGTTCCGAGTTCCGAGTTCCGAGTTCCGAGTTCCGAGTGCCGAGTGCCGAGTGCCGAGTGCCGAGTGACCCGATGCTTTCGGGTATTAAAAGCCCTCGCTCTCAGGGGCCCGTCAGAATTTAGATCATCTCAAACGGATGTGATTTGAGTGAGATATGAACAAAATTCTATATACTGGGTGAATTTTGGCATCAGAAGTTCGATGCTTTCGATGTTTTTGATGTCTGGTCTTAATGCTTTCGAGCATTAATATGTAGATAGCCCTTGATCTCAGGGGTGTGGCAGAACTCACATTGTCTCAAACAGATATAATTTGAGTGAGATATTTGCAAAATACTATGTATATACTGACTACCGAGTGCTGAGTGCCGAGTTCTGAGTTCTGAGTTCCGAGTGCCAAGTGCCGAGAACCAAGTTCCAAGTGCTGAGTTCCGAGTGCCAAGTTCTGAGTGCCGAGTTCCGAGTGCCAAGTTCCGAGTGCCAAGTACCCCGATGCTTTCGGGCATTAACACCCAGATCGCCCTCGCTCTCAGGGACCCGTCAGAATTTAGATCATCTCAAATGGATGTGATTTGAGTGAGATATGAACAGAATACTATATACCGGGTGAATTTTGGCATCAGAAGTTCAATGCTTTCGATGTTTTTGATGTCTGGTCTTGATGCTTTCGAGCATTAATATGTAGATAGCCCTTGATCTCAGGGGTGTGGCAGAACTCACATTGTCTCAAACAGATATAATTTGAGTGAGATATTTGCAAAAAACTATGTATTTACTGACTACCGAGTGCTGAGTGCCGAGTTCTGAGTTCTGAGTTCTGAGTGCCAAGTGCCGAGTGCCGAGTTCCGAGTGCCGAGTGCCGAGTGCCCCGATGCTTTCGGGTATTGACACCCAGATCACCCTCACTCTCAAGGGCCTGTCAGAATTTAGATCATCTCAAACGGATGTGATTTGAGCGAGATATGAACAAAATACTATATACCGGGTGAATTTTGGCATCAGAAGTTCAATGCTTTCGATGTTTTTGATGTCGGGTCTCAATGCTTTTGGGTATTGACATGTAGATAGCCCTCGATCTCAGGGGTGTGGTAAAATTCAGATTGTCTGAAACAGATATAATTTGAGTGAGATATATGCAAAATCCCATATACTGACTACCAAGTGCTGAGTACCAAGTGCCGAGTGCCGAGTGCCGAGTGCCAAGTGCCTTCCGAGTGCTGAGTGTCCCAATGCTTTCAGGCATTACCACCCAGATAGCCCTTGCTCTCAGGGGTCCATCAGAATTTTGATTCTCTCAAACAGATGTGATTTGAGTGAGATAGGAGCAAAATACTATATATCAGGTGAATTTCAGCATTGGAAGTTCAATGCTTTCAATGATTTTGATGTCGGGCCTCAATGCTTTCAGGCATTGATATGCAGATAGCCTTCACTCTCAGGGGTCCTTCAGAATTTGGATCATATTTTCGCATCAGGAGTTTGATGCTTTCAATGATTTCAATGTGAGGCCTAGATGACTGTGTTCATTGACATGTGGATAGCCCTTAATGTCAGGAGTTCACAGAATTCATATGGCCTCACATGGACATATGAGGTAATGTAGGACATTCTCAACACATCAGGAGACACATAAAAACACATCATAAGGCACTACATCATGTCTTCAATAGTCATACCTATGTGTAGTATGATAGTGTGATCTTTAATATACTGTTCAGCTGACACTCATCAAGTATCACAGGTCTATTGTACAGACTTAGAATAAAATACAGTAGTCTTAACTTGATAGTCATTACACGATAGTCTTCACTTGATAGTCTAATATGATTGTTGATTACTACATAATACATAAGCTGTGAGGGTTAGGATTATTATGGAAGATATGACAGTCATGGTTATTAAGAAAGCTTATATTATGCCTAGCAAGTTAAGACTATTGAGTTAAGACAATCATATCCTTAGTCTAGTAAGCACTGTCAAAGCTTGTGACCTTCTGGTAACCGTGTGGCAAAATCATATTTTGCTGATGTATATATCTTGTGATTGTAACTTTCTTGCACCAGTGCACAGTGATTGCCTTGAATTTCGAGTTTTTTTGTATTTAGAGATACATACCACTGACAGATACTGTTTCAGGGACTGGAACAGTACACTGGAAGCCAATCTATCATATTATACATAGGTGTGATCATAGCAAACCTGATGCAGTCCCTGATGATGTGTTTTTATGTTTCTCCTGATGTTTTAGAATTTTTCCCACACAAGGCTGACAACAAAAACATTGAACCTGCGAAGCTCAGACACACCCAATAAATTGTATTTTGCTCATATCTCCCTCAAATCATGTCTGTTTGAGGCAAAATATGATCCCCAACATCCCTTCGATAGTATATGCAATATATAAGGATACTAGGACAACAGGATTTATTCCTGTTGTGCTATGTGCTTACCCTTGGTGCAAGGCCTGACATCAAAAATCACCCGATATATAATATTTTGCTCATATCTCACTCAAGTCTTATCCGTGTGAGACGATCTGAATTGTGACAGGCCCCTGAGATCAAGTTCTATCTGCTTGTGAATGCCTGAATGCATTGAGGCTAGACATTGCAAACATGGAAAGCATTGACCTTACAATGCTGAAATACACACAGTATATGGGATTTTGCTCATATCTCACTCAACTCTTATCCATTTGGGATGGGCTAAATTCTGCCAGACCCGTGAGATCTAGGGCTATCTGCATGTCAATGCCTGAAGGCATCGAGGCTTGATATCAATAACATCAAAAGCATCAAACTTCTGATGGTGAAATTCACTTGGTATATAGTATTTTGCTCATATCTCACTCAAATCACATCCGTTTAAGATGATCTAAATTCTGATGGGCCCCTGAGAGCGTGGGCTATCTGGATGTTAATACCCGAAGGCCTCGGGGCACTCGGCACTCGACTCGGCACTCGAACTCGGCACTTGGCACTCGGAACTCGGAACTCAAAACTCAGCACTCAGCACTCGGTAGTCAGTATATACATAGTATGGTGCAAATATCTCACTCAAATTATATCTGTTTGAGACAATGTGAATTCTGCCACACCCCTGAGATTGAGGGCTATCTACATGTTCATGCCTGAAAGCATCAAGACCCGACATCAATAACATTGAAAGCATCGAACTTCTGATGCCAACATTCACCCGGCATATAGTATTCTGTTCATATCTCACTCAAATCACATCCGTTTGAGATGATCTCAATTCTGACGGGTCCCTGAGAGCGAGGGCTATCTGGGTGTTAATACCCGAAAGCATCAGGGCACTCGGAACTCGGAACTCGGAACTCGGCACTCGGCACTCAGCACACAGCAGAAAGCTTGATTGCAACACTGAAGGCACTGAGGTGGATGAGGGAACACCTCCTGACAGTGATTGAATGCCTGAACGCATCAGGGCACTCAGCACTCGGCACTCGGCACTCGGCACTTGGAACTCAGAACTCAGAACTCAGCACTTGGCACTCAACACTCGGGACTCATTCACCCTGTATCTTGGATTGTGCATATATCTCACTCAAATCATATCTATTTAAGACTATCTAAATTCTGATGAATCCCTGAGATCTAGGGCTATCTGCATGTCAATGCCCGAAAGCATCAAGAGCCGACATTAAAAACATCGAAAGCATCGAACTTCTGATGCCAAAATTCACCCGGTATATAGTATTTTATTCATATCCCACTCAAATCACATCCGTTTGAGATGATCTAAATTCTGACGGGTCCCTGAGAGCGTGGGCTATCTGGGTGTTAATACCCGAAAGCATCGGGGTACTTGGCACTCGGAACTCGGAACTCGGAACTCGGAACTCGGAACTCGGAACTCGACGCACTCAGCACTCGGCACTTGGTACTCAGCCCTTGGTAGTCAGTGTGTGGTATTCATTTGGCACTCAGAACTCGGCACTCAGCACTCGGTAGTCAGTATATACATAGTATTTTGCAAATATCTCAATCAAATTATATCCATTTGAGACAATGTGAATTCTGCCACACCCCTGAGATCAAGGGCTATCTACATGTTAATGCCCAAAAGCATCAAGACCCGACATCAAAAACATCGAAAGCATCGAACTTCTGATGCTGAAATTCACCTGGTATATAGTATTTTATTCATATCTCACTCAAATCACATCCATTTGAGATGATCTAAATCCTGGCGGGTCCCTGAGAGCGAGGGCTATCTGGGTGTTAATACCCGAAAGCATCGGGGCACTCGGCACTCGGAACTCGGCACTCAGCACTCGGTAGTCAGTATATGCATAGTATTTTGCAAATATCTCACTCAAATTATATCCATTTGAGACAATGTGAGTTCTGCCACACCCCTGAGATCAAGGGCTATCTACATGTTAATGCCCGAAAGCATCAAGACCTGACATCAAAAACATCGAAAGCATCGAACTTCTGATGCCAAAATTCACCTCACCCGGTATATAGTATTTTGTTCATATCTCACTCAAATCTCATCCGTTTGAGATGATCTACATTCTGACAGGTCCCTGAGAGCGAGGGCTATCTGGGTGTTAATACCCGAAAGCATCGGGGCACTCGGCACTCGGAACTCGGCACTCGGAACTCGGCACTTGGAACTCGGCACTTGGCACTCGGAACTATCTAAATTCTGACAGGCCCCTGAGAGCAAGGGCTATCTGGGTGTTAATGCCCGAAAGCATCAGGGCACTCGGCACTCGGCACTCGGCACTCGGCACTCGGCACTCGGCACTCGGCACTCGGCACTCAGAACTTGGTTCTTGGCACTTGGCACTTGGCACTCAGCACTCGGTAGTCAGTGTGTGGTATTTTGCATATATCTCACTCAAATTATATCTGTTTCAGGCGCTTTCTCGCACTTAAGCGCACTGCGTCACGCATCATCCAGGAGCATCCATCCATCATCCAACCAGTCCCTCGGTATGTCCCTTTTCGTTATCTGACCATATTTGGCATATTACACTTCCCATTTCGTTATGCACCCTTACTTTACATCACTTTACCTCACTTACATACTTAGAGCGCTCCCTATTCGGCTCCGAGCCCTGGGAGAGCGCTTAGGTAGAACTTACATACTCTCATGTTCGTTTTACACCCAACTTTTCCACACCACCTTCCTACCACTCAGTATCTATCACCAGTTAGTTCCATGCAATGCATGTGTCCATCATCATTTTGAGGCCCTAGCATCAGTCTATAGCTAGTGGCACTATCAGTATCCATCTAGATCCGCGCTTTTTCTCATATCAGTCTCAGTATACGTCTTCTACACTTGTGCACCGCTTGCACTACCTTCGCGCACTTCACGCACTTTCGCACTTCGCTTTCCCGTGCGTGCTTTCTCGCGCTTTCACCGCCATTCACCAGGGTTGTTCAGCATCATTCCGTGGATCCTTGCTTTCCTTGCTTTCCTTGCTTCCCCTTTAGGGTCGAACGTTCTTGCATTCTGCGAGTATAGCAGCTAGGCAGAGCTGAGACTCACTTATACTGGCTGAGCACTTTTCTTATATGTGCCTGCCAGGTTGTGATACCCACACCGGCGTGTGTATCCTTTGAAGAGGTGCTCCTAGTGTCCATGCAGTGTAGTCAAGCTGTACTGTGACAAGAGTGGGAATAAGGGATTTCCAGCTGTCATACAAACGAGTGGACATCAGATCGGGTTGCGTGCGACGGCTCAGTGTGGATTGTGAATATGGAGAACAGTTATCAGCAGATTCAGTGACTGGAAGTACATCGTCATTGTGAAACACCTCTTCCCAAGCATCAGTGGACTCGGTGTCTGGCTTGAGGGCTACAGTTTCTGTGTGCCCATCTTGAACAGCATCAGGAAAACCCTCCCATGTAAACTTAGATAAAGCTGCTCACATTAGATCTTTTTTAGCGCAACTAATACAAATTAGACATATTAGATGGACTAAGCACCCTAGCCAGACTTTATTGCTGATTTCCAATTAGCCATACCTTGCTGCCATTTAAAACAATTTGACATGTCCTAGTAGTCAACTAGGAAAGCCTTTACATGCGCTGAGAAACACTGATAGAATGACTTTCACACTTCGAGTACATGAAAAATTTAATATCATTAAAATCGGGTATCAGGCTACAGCGTGGCGGCGGTAATGTATGACTCATACGAGCAAAGCAAAAAGCACGAGAAAAACATAGTGAATGGTGAGATATAGCAAGTGGCGAGGTATAAATGATTATAAGACACATTGAATGTCCTGCAAAACATGGCATGTCAGTGAGATATTCTACTCGTCGTCCATGCCGTCGAGGTCCAAGAGCATTAGATCAGTATCTTTGTCATAGGCTCCAATTGTGTCACGACAGAAATGCCTGTAAGGAACAGTAAGTCAGAAATATGTACGCCAACTCGGATGCAGACTTACTGAACCTCCTCATAGATATCAGACATCATTTTGTGAAACTTGACTGGAGCCATCCATTGGATTTTCTCCAACAACGCCACATGGTATGTATAGATATCACAGAATTGGTTGCCTGTGAACTTGAAGTCATTGCCCACCTTGTTCTTCTTTGCAATCAGAGTAGTGTGAATCTAACAACAAAGAAGGTTAATGAGCAGATAAGTGCGAACACAAACTTACAGCTGTGCTAACTATGGCTAACATGGGGATGGGGATTTCTGGCTGACCAGTTTTGTTCTTCGCAATGTCAACAAAGCGTCGAGCAAACTGCGAACCAATGGACTTCGAGTTCTTGAAAAAAACCTCATATACAGTGTCGACTATAGGCTGCCCTTGATATGGTTTCTGTCGTTTTGGTGAAGGAAGACCCTCTGCCTTGATGTGAGGTGTCAGTGTGACATCAAATTCTCGCCTGAAGAAAAACTAACATCAAATATCTGTGGAAAAATGTAGGAATGACTTGCGAGGAGACGGTCAATGATACCATCGCAGTTATGGCCGAGTCGGAAGTATCCTGGGGCACATTTATAGGTGACATCCTTGATATCAGTGTGAAAGAGGCTCGCATGAGCATCAATCTATAGCAGGTGTCAATATTAAACCATGGTAAGACAGATCACTTACTAGATTAGCGAGCGCCGACAAATATTCATCATCAACATACATCCGTTTCTCGATTGGCACTGTCTTGTGGTGCTTCGCAGCCTGCAATAGGATTTCCCGCGCATATGAGTTCTTGGCCACGAGTTCAGGGTACCCGTGCTTGAAGGCAATGTATGCCTTGACCTCAAGAATACCATGTTGGATCACCTTGCGAAGTTCCACGTTCTGGTCTGTAAGTCATACTGACCCAGTCTTTGTGTAAACAAGATTGGCCATGGGGTCAGCATGCAGAGACATGGAGGGCTTGGGTTTGATATCAAGGATGGAAAGATCTTCCTCATCTTCTTTGTCTTCTTTGTCTTCTTCCACTACAGAGGAGTGCTTGTTGCTCTTGTTAGCATGTTTGAGAGGCTGCAGTCCAAAGGATGATCTTGTCATTGGAGAGTCCCACAAGGGCTCTTGTTGAGTGGATTTTGATTTTAGTAGACTTGGAATCGAAATATTGTCTTACTTCGGCAGCATACTTCTTCTCTTTCGCACTTGAAGGCCTGTATTGAGAGCCCCATACAGGCGGTGGAGGTGTCAGTGACTGGGATGGAGCATTTTTGGTCTTTTGAGGTCTGCCAGACTCGCTCTTTGCAGGCTTTTTCTGGTGGTCTGCCTGCACATTGGCAATTGCAGGAACCTTGAAGGTCGCACAGATTACTTATGTAAGCTGGTAGTGCGGCAGACTCACCTCTCCAAACAGAGCTTCTGCGATGCTCTCAACTGGCTCTGATTCTGAGTCCGACTCTTCAATTTTGGAACCGGAATTTCTATCAGAGGCACTCTGCTTGCTAGCACTGTCTGAATCAATATCCAACTGTTCAGTGATGACTCGGACACAAGCTGCAACTTTCAACCATTAGTAAGAGTGTCATGTGGCAACACGCAATGCTGACCCCTCTTCTTGGACCACTGAGGTTGGCTAACCTCCATGTTGTCCTCAGAGTCTGATGCGAGAGGTGGCGGCCGCTCTAATCTTTCTGTGAGCAAGTTTGGCTTTTGTGGGCACTGATACTTACTGCAGCTTTTGCTTTTTACAGTTCTGAGGAGAGGTGCTGGTGTCCTTACTTTTGTTCTGCCGCCTGCATTTATCATGGTGAGTTGTCACTACATGTGAGCTAGTAATTGCGACTTACTTTTAACTGACTTGACTCGGACCCGTTTTGGAACAGATGCAATATCGCCAATAGGTGAGCATTCACGCTTCCATGCCCATTTGTTTCGGAGTGGTCCCCACACTGCCGCAAAGTGTCGTTGTTGTGAGTATGAATTTGTATGGTGACAGTGTGCTTACCTGGATTTTCTAGAGCCTGGTCTTTTGCTTTGCGTCATACTTGAACCAAGTGAGTTTTAACCTTGTTAACATGATTTTTTTTCTTACACCATGGATGAGAGTCCATTGAAGGTAAGATAAGGTTGGAAGGAGTAAAAAATATGAAAAAACAAATGTGAGAGTGCCTTTCTGCTACAGAGAGACCACTTCAAAAAGGTGAGTGAGTGTTTTCGATCAAGTTAGAGCCAGGTATTCAATTTGAAACAGTCAGCCTATTATACCATAACACTGAGCGCTGAGCCAGGGTTGGCCTTTCCCTGTCTTGCTTAGTCTGCTATTTAGTGAGTTCATATTGGAAAACTTAAACACAGCCTTACAAAGTCCTAGCGCACACACTCATTCCCTCCCTTATTGGTGGCATGCTAATCAGATGCAAGACATTTCCTCCGTTTACGGACTATCAAGAAGCATCCTCCTCTCCATTACCACCCTCCATGTTTGGCATGTTCAGGTACTATGGTGTTTCCTCTGTTTATGAACTACATGGTAATGGTTCCGTCAGCCTGGCTAATCGGATGCAAGATATTTCTCTGTTTATGGACTATCAAGAAGCATTCTCCTCTCCATTACCATCCTCTATGTTCAGCATGTTCAGGTACTATGGTGTTTCCTCTGTTTATGAACTACATGGTAACGGTTCTGTCAGCCTGGCTAATCGGATGCAAGATATTTCCTCCGTTTACGGACTATCAAGAAGCATTCTCCTCTCCATTACCACCCTCTATGTTTGGTATGTTCAAGTACTATTGCATTTCCTCCGTTTATGAATTATCAAAAAGCATTCTCCTCTCCATTACCACCCTCTATGTTTGATGTGTTCAACTACTGTGCTTGGCGAAAGTCATTTATCTATGCTGGCATGTGCCGGACATATTTAATGAGGCTGATATTTGCTTCCATTGCTGCAAGATTCGGATTTTCCAATCTCCGAGTATGTGGCATACGGTCAGCCTAACCTTCACTGCCCTCGTATTGCTCCAGCGACTCATGGCACATTTTCCCACTGCTTTAGGTTCTTCCGGTCACCGTCTTTTCATGTCCGCTTTCATACTCGCATCAATGGTTATCTGTGACGACACTTACTCCAACAAATCCTGTAGTATTGTAGTGCAGGGCATGTTTCAATTGCGAGAAATTAACCAGATGGAACGCGAGATGTGTCAGTATCTCCTTCCTCCTCAAAGACAACCCCTCCTCCTACCCCTCCTCCTACCTTCGCTGCCCTCATATTGCTCCAGCGACTCAAGGCACGTTTTCCCATTGCCTGGGGTTCTTCCGGTCACCGTCTTTTCATGTCTGCTTTCATGCTCGCATCAAAGGTTATCTGTGACGACACTTACTCCAACAAATCCTGGAGTATTGTAGTGCAGGGCATGTTCCAATTGCGAGAAATTAACCAGATGGAACACAAGATGTGTCAGTATCTCCTTCCTCCTCAAAGACAACCCCTCCTCCTACCACAAATCCCTTTCCGCCTCCTCCAGCTGCTTTGGCACCCACACCTTCATATCACCATAATTATCCTTCGCCACCAAAGCCCGCTTTCCCTTCATACTCCGCCGGACCTGCCAAATTAAGTCGCATTAGGCCGAAAAGAGAAACTCTGATGCATCGCTTTACCTAAACTTTCTTTACTTTGGCAGAGCCTCGCCACCTCTCTTCTCTGACCATCAGACTTGCATACTTCTGATTCGTTCTTACTGTTGGGCCACAAGTTGTAAGTGATTTTTAGGCATTCAGTGTTCGATTTTTTCATCAAATCTACACAGAACATGCCTCAAATAATGTGTCCCTCCTGTGATAAAAAGCTTGCATCAATCACAGGTTATAGCCAGCATCTCGTGAAAACCACCAATCCCGGCTGTCACACCCTCTACCTTTCCTCACAGTGATTTGCTTCAGACCCACCAGAGGAAGGAGATATAGGTGCCCCCGATCCAAATAATCTGTTTGAAGGTGATTTCTTTGGAACATACACTGAGGATGAGCTCGCATGGTCAGGGTCAGATGATGAGAGGGATGTTGACAGGGCACATATGGATGAAGATGACTCAGATCATGACATTGGCGATCACTACGAATGGGAACCTCCTGTAGTACCAGCACCTCCAAATCTTTCTGTGCGTGGTGAGCATCATGACATTGGCGACCACGACAAATTGGAACCTCCTGTAGTGCCAGTACCCGCATGTAATGAGCACAATGACACCTTGCACCCACCTACTGCAGATCAGGGCCAAGATGCTTGGCATACGGCTCAGCAGCGACTTCGTGAACACGAACAGGCACCCATAATTGTCCATTACCCTGATATACGAGCAGGACAGCCTGTCGAAACCATCAAGCAGCCAAGCAATGCAACATACCATGCACAGCTTAATGGCGTGAGTGCAGACAACATCTACGCTCCATTTGCCTCAAAGCTTGATTGGGATATGGCTCGATGGGCAAAATTACGAGGTTCAAGCTCAACTGCATTCGATGAACTTGTCTCTATTGAGGGTGTAAGTCTGTGCTTCTGTCAAACACCAGGATCAATCTAATCATAACACCTCCAGCTTAGCGAAAAGATCGGTCTTTCCTTCAAGAATACATGGGAGCTGAACAAGATCATCGACGATGAACTTCTGGGTCATCCAAAATTCAAATGTGATCAGATTGTTGTCGCCAATGAAGCGTTTGATGTCTACTATCGCGATATCATTGAATGCATCAAGGCTCTTTTCAGCGATCCGAATTTTGCTGACTTCCTGGTCTTTGTGCCTGAACACCGCTATGCCAACGAAGATGAGACGATTCATTTATATCATGAGATGCATACCGGAAAATGGTGGTGGAATAGTCAGGTTGGTATTATATATCTTTTATGAGCTTCAATGTACAAGTATTAACACTGTATTCTCTAGAAACGCCTAGACCGTGAGCGCCCTGGTGCTACAATAATTCCTGTCATCATTTCATCAGACAAGACTCAAGTTACGTTGTTTCGCAACAAGACAGCATACGCCATCTACATGACTATTGGAAACATCCCAAAGGATATTCGTTGGAAACCATCACGCCAGGCACATGTCCTTCTCGCATACCTTCTGTTAAGACTGTAGCTCAAGGGTAGACGGATCCGAAGGGCTTGGCCTCAGCTCATGCGCTGTGCCCCTTACCCGAGTATGTGCCCTTAATTTCAGAATGAAGTCCAGATGGAATCCAACAAAGTCCGAAGGACTGCCGGAGGCTGGCTACTCTAGTAGAGTGCTAGAGGACTTCTGGATGAGTGCGAGAAACTTCCAGAGGAGTATAGGAAACTCCGGAGGAGTTTCATCCACTGTATTAGATCCAAAGGTAAGACTTCCCAAGGTAAGTTCCCTAGATAGAAACACATAGAGGATAGGCTGCAAGGGACAGAGTCCAAAGCAGGATAGGATAGGAGGAGTGGTCCGAAGGACAGGACGTCCGGAGGTCCAAAGGTTAAGATGTCCGAAGGGTACATCGTCCAAAGGTTATGACGTCCAAAGGTTACGATGTCCAAAGGTTACAACGTCCAAAGGTTACAACGTCCAAAGGTTACGACATCCAAAGGTTACGACATCCAAAGGTTACGACATCCAAAGGTTACAATGTCTGAAGGTCCGAAGGTTTACGAGGACCGTAGGAGCGGACAGGATTAGGACAGGAGGGGAAAGGCTACTATGGACAAGGTCTGGAGTAGAAACAAACAAAGGTAGACTACACTATGGTAGAGTCGGATAGATGGGGTTTAGACAGAAGTCTCAGAAAGACAGGAAGTGCCGGAAAGGCAAAACTTCGGTCTTAGGGAATCAATCCCTAGACTTCAGAACAGAGGCATAGGGGACAAATCCGAAGGTCCGGATTTCTGGCCTGGGGAATCCATCCCTAGGCCTTGATGGAAAGGCAGAACTCAGATGGACCACAGTCCAAGGCAAGAATGAGTGAAGTCTAATGTGCGAGAGAGCAAGTCTATGTTGATATTCGAACTAAGGAAACTTTACAGGAGTTGTACAGATCTTTATATACTGGAAGGGATCCGAGAGGATCGGTAAGCTGAACACAAATGCTATGTACAAGCATGTGGAAACATATTAGTAAGTATGAACGGAACATAAGTAAATGAACTCGGATATGAACAGAGTACAAGGATCAATAAGCAAGACGGAAACAGAGATAACCAAAGTCCGGAGTCAAGGGGATTACCATAAGGAGATAGACACTGATTTAAGGTTTGGGCTTCGGATATGAGTATAGGTCGGATCCAGAGGTCTAATATCGGATGAAGCATCTGGATATCAGATGAGCGGATCCGGAGATCTAGGTGAAGACAAGACTATGATATGGATCATGAATATAGTCCAATAGTCTAGGGAAGGTAGAGTCCGAGATGGAATGAGCTCGGATCCGATAGGACCAAGGGTGGATGAAGCAGGCTCAGCTGCAGAGGTCCGAAGGTATGGATATATGGATGTACGAAGGTGTATGGATCCAAACCGATAGTGGACTGGAGGACTAAAGGCATGGATAAGGGTATGGAGTCATGGATAAGGGTATGGAGGTCCGGATGTGCATCCGGAAGGCGTGGGAACATCATCGGACGAAGGTCTGGAATATGAGATATGACACCTTCCAACAACTCGCCTCGAACATGTTACCAACAAAGCCGCTCGCCAACGGATGCTCGCCAACTTATATCACACTTGTGTGGGACGCGTACTTGCTCCACTCGCAGCTGCTGGCATCGATGGCATTAATATGCAACGTGGTGATGGCACAATTCATCGAGGACATCCCCTGTTCGCATGCTTTGCAGGAGACTATCCAGAGCAAGTTTTAGCTACTGGAGTCAAGACAACTCAATGTCCAAAGTGCGACGTTCCCTCCGACGAGCTTGGTCTAGCAGCTGGTGTTGCAAACTGGCAACCACGAGACCTGGGTGTGGTACTTGATGCACTCTGTGCTCTTGACGAAGGTGGATTGGCCTTTGTTCGTGCATGCGCAGATGCTGGCATTAAGCCGATTGTCCACCCGTTCTGGGAGGGACTACCCTTTGTCGATATATTCGAATCTGTAACTCCTGACGTTCTGCATCAACTATACCAAGGGCTCATGAAGCATCTCCTCGCTTGGCTTTCTGATGCATGTGGCAGTGCGGAGATTGATGCACGATGTTGACGCCTTCCCCCAAATCACCATATTCGACTATTTTTAAAGGGTATCACAACTCTTTCATGTGTGAGCGGTACAGAACATAATCAAATTTGCTGTTTCTTGCTCGGCATCATCATCGACATCAATCTACCTAATAACATGTCTTCAGGTGGACTCCTCCGTGCCGTCTGTGGTCTGCTAGACTTTTTACACCTTGCTCAGTACCCGTCTCACAGCTCTGAGACACTGGTTTTACTTGATGAGGCACTTAACCTTTTCCACGACAACAAGGACATCTTTATCAGCCTCAGCATTCGGAATTCTTTTAACTTGCCAAAGCTCCACTCCACAGCTCACTACGCTCACATGATTTGAATGTATGGCACTACGGACAACTACAATACTGAATACACCGAACGCCTTCACATTGACCTCGCAAAAGACGCTTATCGCTCTACAAATTACAAGAATGAGTTCGCTCAAATGACGACTTGGCTTGAACAGCGGGAGAAAATTTTACGACACGAGAAATATATTCAGTGGAGACTCATTGGAAACGACGCACGTCCGCATCATCAGCCCCATCCCCCAGAAATGACATTTCGTCATACTCAAACGATGACGAAACATCCTACCATCAAGGCAGTCACATTGGACAAGGTCGTGAACGAATATGGCGCCATGCACTTTAACGAATCTCTCACATGTTATGTTGCGAAAGTCACACTTCCTGCCAACACTACTGTTACGGCCAGGCAGCGCAAAGATTGAGCAGCTGATATACACATCCCATTTCAAACACTACCAGTCTTTCACAAGGTGAAATGGCTCTCGGCTGATGTTCGTGGTCATGGTGATCCTCTGGTCACAGTTGATAGCATCCATGCACGTCCTGGACATTCAGGAACATTTGCGTCTGACAGTGTTGCACCACAATTTGATACTGTGTTTGTTAATGATGGTACAGATGGGTCACTTGGCATCAAAGGTGAGCGCTCTGAATTATGCTATTGACTTGGTACTCAGTGGTTACTATTCAGGATATTGAATTGCACAAGTCCGTGTTATATTCTTAATCCCTCCCAAAGCCATCCCAAAACTTTTCCCGTCCACATTCCAGCCTCCAAAACATCTCACATACATTGAATGGTTCTCTGCCTTCCGTGTACCTGACCATGATCACAGCTTGCACAAGGTCTTCTGTGTCATCAAAAATGGAGAATGAATGGCCAGCATTATCCCAATCAACAACATTTGTTGTAGTGCCCATTTGATTCCGCATTTCGGCCCTGTAGCTCCTCATGAATGGACTTCTGCTAATGTTCTTGAGGAGTGTTCATCATTTTATGTAAATACATACTTGGATCGATATAATTTGTAACACTGCGCTAGTTACCAATGATTATCATTAGCTTGCACTATACTATCGCTCTTAGAGCTAGCTACCATAAGTTTCCACAGCTGTCGAAAATTTCTCTAAGAAGATCTAATTTATTTAAGTTTATATGGGAGGGTTTTCCTGATGAGATGAGGTATCCTGAGACTGAGTTGAGCCTGCCATTAGACTGGCCATCTTGGCAAGTAGCTGGCACTGTTTGACCTTCTGACCCGGCACTTCGACTATCACCTGAGTTTTTCATTTGTCTCTGAGTTTCCGTGGACTGGAAAAGTGCATACCCAGTCCAGAGGATGTAAGTTGAGCTGCACGGGTCCCTGCATGTGGAGTCACTGGCATGATGAAGTCTTGCAGGAGGAGAACCAAGAATAAGCAACAAAGAGTCTGCGAGAGAACACAAAAAGCATAGAGGTATGGTAGATAGTACAGAGGGTCCAAGCCACGCAATGCTTTGGATCATCCTGATGGAGGGCAATGAGGTGCGCAGAAGGAGGACAACGAGGTACCAGGAGGAGGGCAATGAGGTGTGCAAAAGGAGGGCAACGAAGTGCACAAAAGGAGGGCAACGAGGTGCGCAAAAGGAGGGCAACGAGGTAGAGTTATATTTTTAGAATGTAGCTATTTACATATGGAGGATCCTCCCGGCTAAGGGGCCTCTCAGCCCAGTTTCCCATAACATAGAAACCGGGTCTGAAAGACCCTTTATTGGCACCAAGAAGTACTGCCTGAGGTGCGTTGTAGGCAGTTCGGTCCAACATAGTCTGACCATATAGTTTCACTAGTCCAACACCCATTGTGCCTTTGGCACAGGAAGCAAAAGGAGCGCTTTGTGCTTGTCATGAATTCCAAATACAAATCATTATTCTTTCTTGAACACTCGCAAAACACCCGTTAAGCGCCCATCACAAGCGCCTGTAGTTAGCGCTCAGTCAGCGTCTATACCAATAACTTTCACAAACCCTAACCCGAACTTCTCCATTCCATTAGCGCCCACTACCTCTATCTCCGACATCCCTGATTTCGACTTCCTTACTCAAGCTATTAAGTCACGTGACTCTAGAACCTTCGAGAACCCTTGCACAGCCATCACACGTTCCATGACATCATAGTGTAGTTATATTTAGAACATCGTACGATTCCCTTTTCTATTTAATGATTGGCTAGTTAGTTCAGATTCAGATTCAGTCTCCGCTTCAATATATGTATATAGGTAGCTCGTTGTAGTCAGTAGTTCTTCAGTTCAAACCTCTTTTGTATTAGCTTATTGCTAGCAATCCTAAGACGTCCCTGCTATCCTCTCTTCTTTGTTAGACAACCTTTGTTTGAGTCCTAGTCTCTGCCCCAGCGTTAATTCGTTTAAAGGGTTGTGACAGCGCTCCTTTTTGGCTTCCTGGCCTCAGCTGCATCCTAATATGTGCAGTAAATAATTAATGAAAATTTGAATGAGAGAACAGGGGAATGGGGTAACGGGCCAAAGGTGTGAGCGGATTGGCCCATTACCCCATTCCCCTGTTCTCTCATTCAAATTTTCATTAATTATTTATTGACATGTGCTGCACTCGAACGGGCAATGGTATTGAGTCGGCGCTCGAAATCACGTGACAAAACCACGCGATATTTCCAAAAAGAGGTTTAAGCGAGCTAGGCGAGTTAAGCGTTCTTAAGCGTTTCTAAGTGTTCCTACGCGAACTAAGCGTTCTTAAGTGTTCCTACGCGAAAGCCACGCGAGTGCCCGTCACTCCCCGAAACCCGTTCTCCCTTACTTTATAGATAACTGACACTAACACCTATCCAGAGATCATGGAGGAAGTCAAAACAACCAAAGGTTGCATGTCAAAATTGTCGTATATTGCCAGCTCGCTACCGAAATGACACATGTTACAATACCAACCCGCCATGACAGAGTTGTCAAGAGCGACCACTGTCACCTTGTTGAGGACTGGCGGCAGGTGATTGCAACCAAACTACCACAGTTGTGTATTTGACGGGTTCCACCCAACTAAGTTCGGGTATTCAAAGCTTTCTCGATTGGCATACAATTATGATAGGTATTATGCAAATTTTAGATGAGATAAAGCTTGCTAATAATTTGTCATTTTCGGGTCATTTACCTGATGATGCAGGGACTCGTCGTGTACGCCTCATGGTAGTGACTGTACAGCTATATATATAAACATTGCCCATTGCCCACTGAATCTAGATGCTGATTTCGCGTCAGGCATCTGCCGAGTTCACACACTACAGCGATCGATTATAGGACTACACCAACGCTTCTCCGTCACATCTACCTTCCCCCATGGATCCTTCAAAAATAAGAGAGAAAATCGGTCGCTTTCGAATCCTCGTTATAGGAAGAGCGAATGCAGGAAAAACTACCATCCTCCAGAGAGTTTGCAACACACGGGACAACCCAGAAATCTATAACGGCGCTGGAGAAAAGGTGCGCCTCATAATGCTAGTAAGAGGCTGTGATGACTGACCCATGCATCAATATCAGATCAATGCTACAGTTTTAAATGCATCCAGAGAGGTAATGTGTACTCTTAGTTAATGACATGAACTGACGTGCTCCCAGCGTGGAGAGCACGAGATTGAAAATGAAATGGTGTTTCAAAGCAACCCAGGGTTCGTCTTTCACGATTCACGCGGGTTTGAGGCAGGCGGCGAATCCGAATTTGACGAGGTGAAGGCATTTATCGCGGATCGTTCCAAGGAAACCAAATTAAAAGATCAACTCCATGTCATATGGTAATTGCAACTAATCAATCACGACATGCGCTATCTCACAGTTTCAACATAGGTACTGCATCCCAATGGACGGGGCAAGCAGATCATTCACAGAAGGCGAAAAGAAATTTTTCTCTCAGTGTGATACAGGAAGGAGTAAGGCTTCGCATACCAGTATCGTTGATGTTCGACTGATGCGCAGAATTACAATCCTCAGTTCCAGTGATGGTATTGTTCACAAAGTTCGATGCCCTCTACGACATCGCATATGCAGAGCTGAAGTCGAAGGGAGCATCGTTGAAAGGCGCTAAAGAACGGGCGCCGAAACACGCCGAGGAGTCGTTTGCTAACGGTCCACAACTGAAGTTTATCAGCGATGTCCGATGGCCTCCAAAATGCCATGTATGCCTTCCTAGTAAGTCGGTTGATGGTTGAGTTGCGATACATGATGACCGTTGATCCATTAGATATGGACAAGAATGGTGCAGATTGCGGGCCACTCATCGAACACACGGCTGGAATCCTGGACAATGAAGTGCTGCAGCAATTATTTGTCTCGACCCAGCAGATCAACTTGGCTCTCTCCGTGAAATATGCAATTCAGATGTAACTACCCATGGTCTCATTTACCTGCCGCGGACGTTAGCGGCTGATACTGTTCAGAACACTCCAGGGACTTTTTGACTCTGCTGAGGCAGTAACATCTCAGGGTCATGAGAAGATGATAAGGAATTTGGGTGCCTGGTTTCCACATATTTATGTAAGATTATTGGAAAGTTCAAAGGTTGCTCTCATTTACGTCGAGCGTTTACTTGCAGGCAGTATGTCTGTTAATCCCCCTTTGAGCTCAACCCATGCTGATCGAAGTCATTGCCCACTGTTCGCAGCCTGTGAGTGTGTCAATCCTCCTTCGAGCTCGAGCCATACTGATCGAAGTCATTGCCCACTGTTCGCAGAATGTGAGTGTGTTGATCTTCCTTCAAGCTCGACTCATGCTGATCGAAGTCATCGCCCACTGTCCGCAGCCTGTGAGTGTGTCGATCCTCCTTCAAGCTCGACCCATGCTGATCGAACTCATTGCCCACTGTTCGCAGCCTGTGAGTGTGTCGATCCCCCTTCGAGCTTGATCTATACTGATCGAACTCATTGCCCACTCTTCGCAGGATGTGAGCGTGTTGATCCTCCTTCGAGCTCGACCCATGCTGATCGAAGTTATTGCTCACTCTTCGCAGGATGTAAGTGTGTTGATCCTCCTTCGAGATCGACTCATGCTGATCGAAGTCATTGCCCACTCTTCGCAGCGCGTGAGTGTGTCGATCCTCCTTCAAGCTTCAAGTTCCAGCCATGCTGATCAAAGTCATTGCCCACTGCTCGCAGGCTGTGAGTGTGCCGATCCTCCTTCGAGCTCGAGCCATGCTGATCGATGTTATTTCCCACTGTTCGCAGGAAGTGAGTGTGGCGATCCTACTTTGAGCTCGACCCATGCTGATCGAAGTCATTGCCCACTGTTCGCAGGCTGTGAGTGTACCGATCCGCCGTCGAGCTCGAGCCATGCTGATCAAATCCATTTCCCACTGTTTGTAGCGCGTGAGTGTATCGATCCTCCTTCAAGCTCACGCCATACTGATCGATGTCGTTGCCCCCTGTTCGCAGCGTGTGAGTGTGTCGACCCTCCTTCGAGCTCGAGCTATACTGATCGAAGTCATTGCTCACCATTCGCAGGCTGTGAGTGTGTTGATCCTCCTTTGAGTTTGATCCATGCTGATCGAAGTTATTGCCCACTGTTCACAGACTGTGAGTGTGTTGAGCCTCCTTCTATCTCGAGTCATGCTGATCGAAGTCATTGCCCACTGTTCGCAGCGTGTGAGTGTGTTGATCCTCCTTCGAGCTCGAGACTTCCTGAATCAAGCCATCTCCCATTCGTTGATAGAACGTGAGCGCATTAAACCTTGGTCGAGTTCGTTCAAGCATTCCTGACCAAAGCAACTGACCATCTGTCGACAGGAGGTTAGTACATTGATCCTCTACTGACCTTGAGCCACTGACCGAAGCAATCATCAATACATTGACAGCTTGTGAGTGTGATCATCCTCTGTCGACCTCCTGCCTTCCTCACCGATGCAATCGTCGATCCATTGTCAGGACGTGAGTGTATTAATTCTCTGTCACCCTCGCGCCATACTGATCAAACACGTCGCTCCGTTAACAGATTGTGAGTTAGTCTATACGTCATCGAGCTCGAGCCATACTCACTGAAGACATCGCCCATACGTTCACAGAGTGTAAGCACATTGATCCGCAGTCGAATTGGAGTATCACTGACCAATGAAATTGCCAATCCCTATTGACAGTTTGTGAGTGTTTTGATCCTAGAGCCTTGCTCGCGAACGACATCGCTGACCCATTGACAGTCGGCGAGTGTCTTTACCCCCAATCAAGCTTTAGACTTGCTCACCAATACTATTGCTCATCTACTGACAGAGTGTCAGTATGCTGATCCTCCGTTGAGCTCGAACTTTTCTTATGACTGAAATCGCGCATCCCTTAACAGATTGTGAGTGTTTTGATCCTAGAGCCTTCCTTGCGAACAACATAGCTGATCCATCAATAGGACGTTAGTTTCTTCATCCTTCTTTGACTTCGGGTCATCCTGACCGAACATATTACACATTGGCAGAATGTGAGCGTATCGATCCTCAGCAGAGGTGGACGATTTTCAACTTTCCACCATGATTTGACCAGCTTTATCGGAGTCATTGTGCAGAGATGCGGTCTAGGTTACTCTCTGTGGTATGTCCAATTGGTCATAGATTGTACACATTTCTCATTTGCGAATGTGCCAGGCCTCTGGCTCATCGCCCTTGGAGAACGTTGTTCAGCTCATTTCTGGTGAGTTTTGAGGCTACGTTGCAATGAACCTGCTTATTATTGATAATTTAGCTGTCGTCATTATCTTCGAACACTCTTTCTACATTTTCGACAAGCGGCGCCATCTTCAGGACCAGCAAGAGTCTGTCCCCTCTTTTCATGTCGCTCTCGAGCAATACATTGTGTCTCCGCATGCAACAGCTGTCAGGGAAGCTGTGAGCACTGCTGTCCAGGCGTATCAAGGAAGCATACTTGCTTGGATGGCGGTGTTACTGTTTGGACGCTCTCATAATGAGAAAGCGAAGGCAGAGCTAACCAAGACTATTCTTGAAATCACTTTAAATCATTGCCTGCGTATGTTTGACCGTTATGTTGTGGCAACAATCCCACTGATTTGCTTGTCTTCAGCAAAACCTTAATGTTGAGCAATGCAGCACAACGTAGATGGTGTTCCGGTTCGGAGTGGAGTTGAGGGTGAATACGGGTACACGGGTTTCTTGAATGGTCTGTCGAGGTAGTTTCAGGAGGTGGAACTGTGCGAAATGGTTGTATGATTGTGCAATATGATGATTTCTCTGGTATGGCGTATGCGTGTTTGTATCACTCCGGTCACCCTCACCCGTGATGGTGGTGAGACATGTTGGGCTTTCCAAGTATCTGTGGTGCGACTCAAGTGCATCGAGGTTGGGTGGTGGGGCCAGGTTGGATGATGTAATACCACGTGGTTAATCCGAGAGCCTCCTTCGATTTCAAAGTTCATCTTGCCTTCACCGACAGTCATTCGAAATAGTCCCAGAATGATCTGCTCGTCTTTTGATTCGTCGTCCAGTTGCTGCAATTCATACTCACAACCAACTCACAGCAATAAACTCGATTCAATCTAATATTGTGCCTTTGGCGTCACGGTTCTTCAACGTACGTGTCTATTTCTGTGTCCACTACGTCGTGGACCGTGGTTGCCTTTCCAGTATCCGCTGCAGCGGCTGATCCTCGGACGGACCATCCGGCAATGTTCAAAATGCCGCAAAGCGCTTGACTCAGTGCGTGTCATGCCACGTTCTGTCCCTCGGGCCTTGACGCATATTTAAGAGGACAAGCTCCGATTTTTGTGGAAACTACATTGCCCGACCAGCACGGGAGACACTAGACCCAGGACCACGTACCATCTCACACAGGACCGCACCACAGGTCCTTGCAAAGTTCAATGTCCGAGCAAAGAATATATTACCCGCCGCCCGCACCAGCACAGCACAATATGGTACAACCCTCGGCTCCTAACTCCGTCACCATTCCTTTTGTTGAACCTTCTCATGATCATAATATCGGTGTAATCAAGGTGTAACTAACTACAATCGACACAGCATGCTACCTTTCATCCCGACATCCACACATCTGTTGGAGTCTTGTTTCGGGCAACGCTCTAAACGGTGAAGATTTGACTATGTACTTACATGTCATAGGCTGAACTCAGACTGCGCCATGCTGAGGCGTGTTCCGTTCTCGGTATTCAGTTCCGAACGTTAGTGCTGGCTTGTGCTATTTGAGCGTGCGGGGGGGTTACTTGTATCTCCCCACCGGTGACCCACGCTAAAATCCGTCGGCAACGCAGCTGCCTGCCATAACGTATAATGTCCCTCATTGGCGAAGGCAGGGTCCTATCACGTACGCACGAATTCTCGTTTGCTCATGCCCCTGATTACGACTCATGAAGTACTTAGTACGACCAATAGACGTGTCTGTATATGGAACTACGAGTCATGTGAATGATCCCTGCACGTGTTTTCGTACTTGTAATTCTTCATCTGCAAGTGTTTCACTCGCACGAACAATCAATCGTACGCGAGTAGCGTCTTTCGAATGGACAGATCACATACGAATCAAGGGACGTTATCCTTGACAGATTTACCGATGGACCGATATTTGTACACTCGAGTCATAGCGGAAGTACGCAGGCGTGCATATTACATTTAACAGCTGGCTGGCGTTTATGCGCACTTGTTCCCTCAACGTTACCGCAATGGCTCTAACTTTAATCCCTGGTTCTTCTGGTAAGAACGACTACTGTTTACAAAACACCGTTCTTCGGGTGAATTGTCCATGCGGAGTCCTTGACTGACTGACTTCTCGAGTTCTTCGTCTCCGGACATGAGGTTATGAGTGTTGGCTCGCGTGTGATGAAAGGCGCTCCAAGAGCATGAAGTTCTAGGCGTTGAACCATGCGCTGGTAATTCTTCAAGCTCCAAAGGCTTGGCCGGAGGTAAAATCTCGAATCCATATCTGATGAAGTAGGTAAGCACCGTCACCGGCGGGTGGAACAGTTGCGTACCCGAAAATGGGCGTTTATAATGAACGGCGCAGATAGCTTGTCTCCTTATGCTCCATACACATGCACTAGCGCAGCATATGTGTTCTTTATCCGCGTCTGCAGGTACAGTGGCGCGACGGTTTAACCAAGTACAGACAACGTTGTTTATGCTCTTGGTTCTAGACTTTGGAAGCACCGGCGGCAAAAATTCATTCATGATCTACGAGAAAAAGATACAACGACGTCTACTTATATTCATGTTGTCCCCCTATCTGATGACCGCTGAGATGAACGTAAGGTATGTATGTTAATGAAGCGTGTAAATTCCGCAGTACATCGATCCCGATCGAGGCTTTTATGAGAGACCGATGTAACTCACTTTGGAGTTGTGGAGTGGTGATTAGTACTTGATCGTAATACTTGAGCTGAAGGTGGGAGGGGAAGCCTAGCTCGTTGGGACTAGGCTAGACCTTGATAATTGTAAGCTCGTGATAATTAATGAGGAGTCGGCCCGGGCGGATAGTAGTAGCGACATCGAATGCATAATTGGACGAGCAGTAATTAAATTGCTAACAGGGTGAGCCACTCAGCAAAGACTGTAACTCGGCAACTTGGCGTTGGACTGCCTGAACGTACGTCTGTGGAATGATGATAAGAAAACTCAAGAATGGCAACTTAGCAGCGGCCGAGCTAAGAGCCTATGCCGTATATTGATAGTATATGAACTCAGCTGGTCGTACTACTCCACATATGTACGTGTCAGTCGATGACTGTTTTGGTAGTGAGGTTCCCAAGTGACGAATCTTGCGTAGGAGGACCTACGAATGGTGGAGCTTGAAGGGTCGCATGGTTCAGGCCCCGTGGCGAGTGATGGACGTTATATAGGATCGGAGTCCCATGTGAGATATTGGGATGCCCTGACGGTGGCGGTACTGTTTATGAAAGGAGGATTGGCGTCCCCCGACACGTATTGTGATCGCGGTTCATAAAGGAGGAGAGCGGAGATCGTCGTACGTACGAAGGGAAAGTCCTTTAGTGCGCTGGAGATGGTTGAACATTCCAGAGTATGAAAGATGATTTGTTCCGTCCGAAAAATATCAGAGTGGCGGTGAAGATAGACGGCTGCTCACGAGTGGTGGAAAAACAAACGTGTGAGAGCGGAGGGGTACGATGTAGCTTCCCCTTCGTCGTTCGATCTCCATACTTAGTAGAAGATGACTTCTAGCGAAAAGTGCCTACGTGAGAAGGTCACGGGGCGAGAATAAAATGCTAGTGGGACGACGGTGATCAGTGACAGAGTACTGAACAACCATCACATGGATGGACTTGGTGGATGAAATTGACGGCCGAAAGAAGAAGGATGGAGGATGAATGAGTGAGTGTGGACGACGGGCAAAATCGGCCGGCGGCAAAGAGAGGGAGTGGAGAAGAGAAGGACCGGGCGCTGTGCGGCACGGTGGGGCTTGAATGTGTGAAGGTGGACATTGAGCGAAATGACCGCGGGACGGCCTCGAGGCAAACGACTTGTGTCCTTATTAGGGTCAGTTGGTTGAACGACAGGGGTATTACCTAAAATGAACATATACCTGATGCTGTGTAAGTATTCGTTTACTTAAGGATCAAGTCGTCCGGGGAACCGGGATTGTAGGGTATAGGGCATCGAGATTGGGTTTGTCGTGGAGGAGATGAAATACATCGTGAAGAACATGAGGCAAGCATGTACTCGTGAATACCTAAACTAGGTATCCATTTTGACTTGAAAGAAAGAAGAGAAGTCAACGAAGTTTACTCGACGATGACTAGTACTTGGAGATTCGAACGGTGACTCGGGTGAAGGCGGTTCGTATGCTAATTACAATGTTCAGTTAGAATGCAAATTTACATTCGCTTTTCAATTGGACGGGACACGTTGTCGAGGCACGGATACCCGGTACGATCGCAAGGGGGGGTCGCTGAATTGTAAAAAAAAATAACAACAATCATAAATTTTTTATGAAATGAAATATTTGATGGGCCTCGTGCTACTAACTAAGCGAAACGATCTCGTAAGCAAAGCGGCCCATCAGACTTTTACGCCTGGGTTCCCCGTTCCAATCAAAGTCTTCTTATACTCTGATCAAGCACACTGAAACTTAACATTCACTTGCCTCGTTGTTCCTCTGGACCTTCATCAGTCCATGCCGTCCATAGTCAACCTCAAGTTCAAGGTCATCATCCTCTTATTCATTTCTAAAAATTCCTCAAAGCGCTAACATTAACTCCATTCCTGTGTATAGGGTAACAAGTCTTTTGTTGCTTTTAGCAACTTGAGCGACACCGAGTCACTCACAAAGACTTGGAAGGTAGTTATCTTCCCCATATCTAATCTCGTTTAATCTCGACACTAACCCCTTTCATAGGTATGCACCAAAGTAGCATCATATCTCGAGCAGGGCCAACGCCTCGAGAATCTTTCTTGGCGACTTTGGCACTTGCAGAACTTAATGGTCGACACCGACAATGCAAAGTCCAAACGCGAATTCAAGAAGTTGTCAAAGAACATGGGTGACAAACTCGACAAGGAGAAGGGCCGGTATGTTTCCTTTCACTCCTCCCCACAGCATTTTACACTAATCATTTTTCGTAGCGCTATTGAATCTCTCGAAGCACCTGACTTCAAACGAAACGCTTCAACTGACCTCATCCGTCAACGAGCTGTCGAACGCGAACGTTCCCGAGAGGCTTCCCAAAACGCCCGGCCCGGTACTATTAAGCGAATGCAGTTTACATTCAGCATCGACGCTCCTCCCGGCTCGTTCCCCGCGACCTCTTCTTCATCCTATACCTTCTCTGGTGAAGGCTCCACCCCCACCAAGCCAGACCTCAGGCCTAGCGCCGAGTTCAGAGAGGGTCGCAGGCGCAGGAGAGGTGACGGTACCTCTGGCACTAATCATGCCTCTTCCGACCCCGCATCCAACCAGAATGGCGTTTCTTCCTCTGCCACGAACGACTCATCTTACGAAAAATTCGTGGCCTCGTACGAAAAGCTTCATTTCCCTCCTATTTTTAGTACTTCGTTCGGCCCAACTGCTATCCTCTACTCTACCCCTACTCTATCTAACCCTATGAGCTACGGCGAAGGCGTCAGTGGTGGCTGCGCAACCGGCTTTAGCATTTTTCGTCCAACAATCGAACTCCCCCTAGACGAGCTTCTAGGCGATGAGTACGATGGCGAAGACGACCGAATGGCCGACGCTCCCATTGGGCAACCAGACGATACAAAAGAGGACGGGAACGACGAAGGTGACGTCGTCATGCGGTACGACGAATACAACAACAACATTGTCCCCACCCAGCCCGAGGGCGAGTCCCTCCTTGGCGGGTCTTCTGCAGCAGCAGCTTCCGTTGAGCAAGACGTCTTGATGAGCGATTCTCGTCAGCAGCAGCAACCACAGCCATCTACTCCTGATCCGTTCCCAATCCCGCAGGTTCCTTCTCACACTCACACACACACACAATCGCACCCGCGCACTCGCGGCAAGGACCGCTCCGGCAAGACACCAACTAACCGTCCTGTACTGACTGTGCAAACGTCTGCCACTAAGAAGACTAAAGCTGGACGGCGTGCTTCTGGAAGCGTGAAGAGTCCCTCGTCTGCTGCCCCGTCAGCATCTGCTCTCAAGCACTCTGCTGTTGCGAACGTGAAACATACTGCATCCGTGACGGTACCTGCTTCTGCTACCGCGACAAGCCTTAATCCCCTTCTCACCCTTGGAGGCGCTGCACCGGGTGGAGGAAAAGCAACGCTTACTGCTCCCGGCGGCGTCAAGGCTGAGTGTAGCAACTGCGGCGCTACTCATACCCCGTTATGGAGAAGGGGATTGAACGACGAGTTGAATTGTAACGCTTGTGGTCTTTATTGCAAATTGGTGAGTGATACTTCGTCTATATACGTCATATGGACTTTGTTGAGCGATCATCTCATTTCTGTTTCACTTTGGCAGCATAAACGTCCCCGTCCAAAGTCCATGCGTGCTAGTCATGGAGAAGGACGACGCGGTGGTGCGTCGTCTTTGGCATCTGCGTTGTCTACGTTGGCCTCGATTACGGCGCCACCACCTTCCTCTTCTGCTGCTGCGACACCGGTTGTGGAAATGGTGAGTCCTGGTGTGAGTGCGGCAGCTGCAAGTGCCATTGCGAGTGTGAGTTCGGGTGCGGGTCCGAGTGCAGGTGCAGGTATCAGTGCGAATGTCACTGCTGCAAGCTCAGTTAAGGGTGCTGGTGCTGGTGTAAGTTCGAGTTCGGGCGCAAGCCCAATTGTCACTGCGACTGCTACTGCCACTGTTACTGCGACTGCGACCGCGGGCATGGGATTAGGTGCAGGCAGGGGCGAAGTCGTAGAAATCATTGGTAAGTCTGATTCTATTTCGATTGAGTGGACTTTCGAGAGGGGTATACTTGAACATATATTAACTCTGTGTCTACAGGCAGCGCGCAGTGCTACAACTGCCACACGACTGCAACCCCTCTGTGGAGGAAGGACGACGAAGGCAAGACCGTTTGCAACGCGTAAGTTCTCATTTACTGCTCTTACCATAGGCGTACTAATATCAAATATACATATAGATGCGGCCTCTACTATAAGCTCCACGGCTCCGCTCGTCCCATTAGTATGAAATCCGATATCATTCGCAAGCGTTCTCGACACGACGCTCGCGCGCAGCGTTCCTCCCTCACCGACACCCCAGGCGCTTCTAACACGCCAGGTACTCCTTCCGAGACGCTTTCTCAAACTCAGACGCCATCCGCGTCTCCAGGCGTCTCGCGCCGCCCTACGCCGTCGCCTTCGCCAATTTTGGCACCAGACAGCACGACACAGCCCGTTGCCTCGCACAGCATGAGTGCGGGGATGGGCGCAGGCGCAGGCATGGTGGGTACGGGTATGGGGGGCAGCAGTGAGTTAATGGGTGCGTTGGGTGACACCTACGCGGTGTATAACCCCTTCCCTGGGCCATACCACCCAGACTATCTCAGTCAGAACTGGGTGCCTCCCAGTATGGCTGGCGTCAGTGGTGGCCCGAACGAGGCGTTACCATTCTCTGGAGTCGATATTATTGACGGGGAAGCGGGTTCCAACACATCTTCGTCTAACGCATCTCCAAACACCAATAGTGCTAGCAACGTTCCTAACAACAACGCCAATAATACCGCGAACGCCAACTCGAACTCTCGCACAACTGGGCGTACCGCCAAGCGCCGTCGTATGAGCACTGACAGCGTGTCAGAGCCTCCTAGCAGCGCGGTTTCTTACTCCTCTTATGGAGGGGACAGTTTCACGACGGGTTCTGGCGCGACTAGTGCAGGTACCTCTTCGTCTTCGCGGCGTAGCAGCATGGACTTCCCTTTCTTCAGTCCTTACACCGTGTTCCGAGGGAACGGTAACAACGCGTTCTGGCACCACTCTAGCAGCGGCGGCGGCGCTGATCGCAGCCCGCAATTCGTGCACCCTCCAATGTTACCTGATACTGCTGGAACCTCTGACGGACATGCACATGGGCATGGGCACGGACGTGGTGGGCATGGACACGGGATGGATTTCCTGCACCCGCCAATGATGCTTCCTCAGGAGGAAGAGAGTCTCTTCGCTACCTATTTGCATCCGCCGATGATTCTTCCACAGGAGGGTGAGCAGGTACAGCACGGGTACGAGTATGGGCAAGGGGAGTACTACGAGACGGGCAACATGCAGCAGTACTAGGCGGTTGGATGTTACAACATTCTACGTCTTGCGCGCGTTCCGTCTCGAACGCCTTTTTCCTGTCTGCCTTCTCGTCCGCCTCATCTTCTCCGTCGAAATCAGCATTGCATTCTTCATCTGACGCACGACTTCTTGAACGCACTGACATGATCCCACGCCATCTCACGACATTTCTCTCGTCTCGTCTAATGTCTCCCTCTGCAAACGTAGAGTTCACATATCATAGCTTTTCTTTTGCTCGTTGGCCTTGGTTCCTACCGTCGTCATCCATTTCGCAATCATTTTCTCTCATCATCTCTGTCTCGCCATCTACACTCCGGCACGCTCGCTAAAGGCACTCGCGCAGCTTAGACTCATAGAGTCATTCCAATTTCACGCAACTTATCTCCATTGTGTATCGGTGCTTTTTCTACTGTAATCGACTCCACACGCGAGTCTCGTTGTCTCTGTTAGTGACTTGGGATAAGGGTTCACCAGTCAATCTGTTTCATTGTACCACATTTCCTTGTATTCCTCTCCCTACGTTCCTCTCTTTTACCCGCTTCATTGTACTCTTTCACCCTCGTTTCCCTACCTTCCATCCTGGAGATCGCTACCACGTATTCCAGTCTTCCAAACCCAGCAGCTTCCCTTACGCCTATCCGTACATATTTTTGGAAGATAACTCCTCATTTAGCAGTTTTCGTCAGTCGTTGTTTGTATACTCACTCACTTACGACCTACGTACATAACATCGCGAAGGGCTTCGCGGATCAAGCCCCCCAATGGAGATGGTTATATCTATCTACTGGTTTTAGTTTGAGGGCAGGTTTAGAAGTGAAGTTGGTGGTAAGCTTAGCAGTTTGGGTGGTTCTCGTGCCTCCATCGTTTTGTGGAGTTGGGGTTCTAGACGGGCTTATTATCTCAGATACGCTGGTCTTGTGGTGGTGCTTAACGATTCTGTAACAGCGCAATACCTTGAAACGGCGAATCAGTACGGCACACGTTCACCCTTTCTCATTCCGGGGGTATACCAAATTCGGAATACACGAGTTGCTCTCCGCCGACGCAACTAGGACATCATAGAACTGAAAAAGTATGTACGACTGACTGCGAATAGAGGAACGCACGCGCATCTGGCTGTGTTCATTACGGAGGTCACGGTCAAACGTTGAGCCTCGCATGCAACCGGTCCGGACGATTGGAGATTGGACAAATACAAGTGTTGGTCAATGTTCAGCATTCTCTGCCCCTGTCTAAGCAGGCGGGGATCTCGAGGACGGCGACGTCCCAGAATTTTGATCGTTGAAGTACCAGATCGATGTGATGCGCACCTCGTACCTTGTTCTATTGGACGAAGTTTGTAGCCAGAGAACATTCTATCTATCTATCAGGAGCTTTTCTTTGGAAGTTGGACGGGAAGCGTGAGCCGGGTAAGGACAAGCTAGCTCTGGATTGAGTCCGGGACTCCGGTTAATAGCACATGATGATGATCTATTCAATTATGATCAATTGTCACGAAGCAGGCAAGAAGAAACCTCAAAAATCAAGCGACCCCTCCATGACGACTTCCTCGTAACCGCGACGAACTATATTTCAATACATCCGGAGATGGAGAAGATGCGTTCGGGAAGTTCCTATTCGTAAAATCCCTGGATGGTCGAGTATTTTACGTCGACAGAGGTACCTGGTCGTTGGTTCTATTTTACAGGGAGCCTCAACCTCTTGCAGAATTGAGTTATGGTCGAGCGCCTTCTCGAGCACGACCCTGGAGCCATTAAGATCGCTAATTTAAAGTTCAGACCAAGAATGCATAAAGAAAATGAATATCATGCCTCATGTAACCCATAAGTGTTTGCCGAGGGCAAGGTCCAATCAGACACATCGTTGACGTCGATCGCATGTTCTATTCAGTTCTGATTTTGAACGACTGCGTGCGCCCAAAACGCCGTTATCTTTTTTTTTCATCCGTAACAAACGTTGACAATTTGAGATCTCTAGGAGGGGAAAGATGAATCGAGAAAGTGTAGAGTAAAGTGAGTATCGTACCAGAGATGTGATCACCTTGAGCTTCTTTGAGGTTGTAGATAACTGAAATGAAAGACGCGAGAGGGGAAGAAGTGTAGGAATTTGGTAGGAATGCATCAATATTTTCAACGAGGCGGTATTAGTGTTTTGAATTTTGAGCGTCAAGTGACAGCTGCGCCGTCCGGATGAAAGGTTGAAGAGATCAAAGTCCGCTCGTAGTGGTATTAATATTGATATATATCGCGTCGAGCATAGAAGGTATGAATAAACTTCTGTAAGTGACTTTGAACAAATGGAGGAGTAGGTTCCCAGCTCTCTTCCGCCGCAACAGATCACCGCCACTGCTGGAAAGATCGGCCATTGCGTCCACAACTCTTTCAAGTCATCGAGTCCGCCTTTACATACTAGTGCAACCTAGAGAGAACAGCGCCGATATTGATCTGCGGTTGATGTATCAAGATTTCCTCCACGATGCAACAAACAGACAGTTTACTCCTTGCGGTCCTGATTTATGTAAAACTAATCGTGTCATGTGCTACAAGGATCAGCACTTTCGAATTCCTTTGGATACGACGTCGACAGGATACGGCTCACCGTGATGATCTGTGCCTGAAAGAAACCCGAACAGGTGAGGATTAAGCACGGACCGAGCACTGGTCGCCGAAGTGCAAGGGTCCGAGAGCCGTATAGGAAGACCGGGTAAGAATCATTACTGACACTATTGCAATCGATATCGTTATAGGCATTCGCTGACCGGACCATCGACTCGGAAATGCCCGCGTCCCGCTGCTTGTGCCACAGCCCCCGCTCGCGCACCTCAACCGCGGTCCGCAGGACGATCTTGTCTGGGAGCACATTGTGCTCACGCATCCAGACCTGTTTAAATCATATCCCTTTCGTTTCTCGAAGTTATCATGAGCTGTTGTCGGCCTCCGCCCGGTAAGCTAGCTGTAACTTGTATCACACAAAATATTTACGACGAATAAGTACTAGTGCTCATCACTCGACTCCACTCATCTTACAAGATCATCGATCATCTTAGAAGGGAGGTTCAGTCATATCTTGACGTCAGCTCACACCTTTTCTATTGGACTTCCACTCGAGGCCTCAATGCCCGTGTATGACACGTAATCCCAATTCTCGATGGGGAGCCCAAGCCGCACGACGACACTTGCCTAACACAGCATCCAAAAAGACTCGTTTAATTTTCACTGTTCAGAGACAGTGTCGACGACATTTATGTAAAGGTTTCTTTTTGGTATCAGAGTCCTTTGGCGTCAGTGACCCTATGTTGGACATGTTTCGTCATATGCATCTTTCTTTCGTATTTAAATGTTCTCGTGACTCACTTAACAGTTGAGCTCAGGCTTGTTCA